GAAGAAAGTGTTGAGGGCGCTATGGAGTCAGAGTTCTTAAAAGGCCACCGACCAGGCGGTCACCGAATAAAAACAAAAATCGGACAACAGAGCAAGCACGCGTCGCTGCCTGTTGCTGCAGGACCGGCTGCAAAGAAGAAAGCTGACGAGCAGAAGCCAAGATCGAATGCTGTTTCGCTTCCCTGGATTTCTGACGAGTCCTCGGAAGAAGACAGAAGACATCGTGGTCGACAAGACCGCACGCGGATAGAGAAGCGGAGTAAGCAGATGAGGGCGACAGGTGAACAAGGACAGCAAAGCGAAAAACTGTCTTCAGCAACAACTTCTTGGAGGCGTCGATTGGTCGATGATTCCGACCGTTCACCTGGAACGGACGACGAGGAGGAAGCCCCACATGATCAAGGCAGCGATGATGATTTTTGGCTTACGTCCTCCTCCGACGAAGAGATAAATCCTTCTGGAGGTGGTGTCTCATCCCTACCCGCGACCACCAACACAGAAGGTTTCCCGCTGCGCAAAAACCTCTCCCCACTCCAGGTCAAACGCCGGCGGGCCGTGGCGGAGTCGCACGAGGCGTTTTGGGTGCTGTGTGTGCGGGAAATTTTGTTGCACGTTTTGCCGGAGTGTGGCCAGCTGTTGGAAGAGTGGAAGCCGTTCCCGAAATCTGCGTTGCCAATTACACCTTGGGAGACGACCAACACGTCCGCGACAGTTGCACCGTTCGGGGCCTCGGCAAGTAACTCTTCCAATAGTCACGGGAACTATCACAAACCAGCTCCATGGAGCAAAAAGGACAGGTCTCCTTCGCGAGCTGACTTCGCTCGTCGCGCCTTGTTCTTCCTGCGGGTATTGCACCTCTTCACCGTGATCGAGCAACAGTTGCACACAGGGCCACTGCAGGTTTTTCTAGGAGCAATCGGGAGTCTTTCTGAGAAGCATGCGGCGCAGTCGTATGGAGCTGGCGATGAAGTTCTTTTCGGGAGGAATGCGTCCTCGTGTCCCACTTCGACCAGCACCTCGCCCTTGCTATTATTCTGCAGCTTTTTCTTTTGTGGTTTGCTTCGCTCGTGCAGCGACGAGGGGAGCACGACTTCTGGCGCAGACGACAACTCGTCACTGCTAAGCGCGAAACGGAAACTGCAGCAATATGCACCGAAGGTTCTCTTTGACTGCACGAATCATATCGCAGAGAACGCTGCGAAATTTGTTGACATTTGCGGGGCTTCAGTCATTCCGTTTTTGACGACGGCGCAGGCAGTCGCGGCAAATCTGGTGAGGAGCCACATGCTGCTGCAGAAGGGCCACCAGCTGAATATCACAAATTCCGCATTTTGCATTCACGGTAGTTCGGGGGCTGGAAGAACGACGCAGAGGAGGTCCGGCTGGTCGTCCTCTTCTTCTTCACGCGGGCCCAAAAGCGGAATATCTTCAGCACCGAACAAATTACATCACAACAAGGCTGCACGCGACAGCGAAGATGCCCCTGTTTGCACAAAATACTTGCACGAAGACGTGGCGCACGTGGCCGCAAAGAGTAGATACAGCCTCCATAGTACACCAAGTTGCGGAAACATGCCTTTTGCATCAGCAGGCACAGGATATCACGAAAACGTTGTTCACACTAGTACCGCAGTGCCAACATCACAATTCCTTGTCGGCGAGGGCGAACAAGTTTTCTTCTTCCTGCAATTATTGCAGGACATCGCTCACACGAACCACGGAAAGCTCACCACCGAGCTCGCCATACTCTTGTCCCAGCGCGATCGGAACAAGGACGCAAAGCTGGACTTTCTGAACCTACAAGACGTGCCGTGGCGCGAGTTGCCGGATCGGCCGACGGTAAGCGAACTGCGCGACCCGAGCAACGTCGAAGCCCCCTTGCCGAAAATCAGCTTCGACAAGCCCTACAGGTCCTTTGAGGAGTACATGGAGACGCAAGTCCGCCTTTTTCGCGAGGACGGCATCAGTAAGGTCCGCCTGACCATGAGCAAATACATCAAGGACAAGCGCATCGTGTTTCGCGAAATGGGCATGTACCACTCCGTGCTGGTCGGTATGCACACGGATCTGAACAAAGGAGGCACCGCCCACAGCAAATCCGCCGTCAGTCTGGTGTTCAAATCGCTGAAGCCCTTGGGGTATGAATTGCAAAAGTATCGTACTCGTATATAATGCATTACAAATTTCCTGCTCAGCATGAGAAATAGAATTTGTAATGCGGATTTACCTTAAGAAAAAGTCATGCAAGACTTGCATTTATACGAGTACGATACTTCTGCACAGGATATGGGGAAAGACAAGGAGGCGGAGAACATCGCGAAGCTGTGGGGGAAGGAGGAGTTGCGGTACGGAAACATGGTGTATTTGTCCTTGAAGGGCACCTTCGCGGAGAGCTGCATTCTGTTCGGGACGATCACGTGGTCGGATCTGCTGGACCAAACGGGGCTGTTCATGTTGGAAGTTGCCGGGCAGGCCAGTTACGACGGCTCGCTGACCGAAGACGCCAGCCTGTTTGAGGTGATCACGAAACTCTTGGCCACAAACACGTTGGTCGTGGCGGAGCAGCTGACCTATTACCCGGCCTACGGGCCGGTCTTGAAGGTTCTGCGGGAGAACTTTGGTAGCGCGCGCGACTTGGCGTTTTACGAAGAGCTTGTGTTCGGGAAATTCCAGAACAAAGCATTGAGAATTTTTAACGGTGCTACTTCTTGCGCAGCCGCAAGTACCAGTGCAACTCCCGCCCCGTGGGACGGCGCAACGAGCGCAACCCGGATGCCTCGAGCGGCGCGGCGAAGGTTTTTCTATCTAGATGAAGGAAAAGACCGGATCAAACTGCCCGCGCGGCTGGTGTTTGGCCCGGAAGCGGGGGAGGTTTGTGTGACCGTGGCTGACTGCTGCAACCAGATCGAATACAACGAGCCTGGTTTTTTTAGACAAGGAAAATCAAGGAAGTTCATCAAAAATCGAACACCCCCCGGCCCGGGGCTCCCGGGAAATATAGATGATGTGTGTGGGCCCCAACCATTTCGCACTTCCCCCCTGCGGAGCCCGCCCGGCCATGCGCTGCCGCTGGCATGTGTGTCGTTTTTAGTTCTCACGCCTGCGCATGTACGAGCCGAAGCGACCCCAGCATTGGCTCTGCAGCCCTGCTCCGGTTCAAAAGTAGGCGCCTATGAAAGAACAGCCCGAAGGCGTTCGAAGGTGGCGCGCGTTTAAAATCGGCGCTATTGTGCCGAAAGCGTTCCGGGGTCCCATTTTTTGTCCTGTCGCAGCGCAGAACGCTCCCACTTTGTCACCTGAATCTGTTGCGCAACTCGAAGAATGTAGAGCAGCGACATTACGTCCACCAGCAGAACCACCCAGAGCCGCAGGAGCAAACGGGCAGCCGCCCAGTCCGTGTCCCCGCCTCGGCCCGGTTGCCGGCAGCGCCGGGCCACATGCGCTCCCGAAGGCGCTGCCCCCCTGTCGGAGTTCGCCGGTAAGGCCGGCCACGATACCAGTTGCGCGGGCCGGCGCGATGCGTTTTGCGCATGCGGCCTCCGTCCGGTAGCCGAAGACACTCCGAACGCCTCGCCCCTGTTCTGCAAAGTTTTTGGCAGATGCAAAAGCGCGCGGCCTTGTGCCCGCATTGGCTGCGAAGACGAGGCGGCCCACCGTTCTTTCTTCCAAAAGCCCGCGGCCGTGGGTGTCTTAGGACGTGCTTGCCCTGGGAATATAGCGGGCATGGGGGCAATAAAACAAAGAAGGCGAGAAGGGAAAACCGGGAGGAGCTCCTGTCCGAAGGCGAAGCCGGGGGGCCCCTCAGGGGGGTGCTCTAGGGGGGTGCTTTTTTGGGCGCGGAATTCTCCAGTTTTAGCTGGGGGAAAGGCTTCCCAAGGGGGGTGCTTTTTGGGGGTGCTTTTTTTTGCGAAAAAGGGGGCCCCTTTGGCTGCCCGGCCGGGGCCCCCGGCGGCCGCGGAAGCAGCCCTTTTCGCTTTTGGCCAAAGAGAACGCCGGCGGCCCCGGAGCCACGCCGGGGCGCGCCAGGCTGCTCCCTTCGGACCGGCCGCCGCCCCGGCCGCCAGGCAACGCTTCCGGTCGCAGCGAAGGCGGGCTCAGGGCCGCGCGCTCTTGCATCTGCCAGAAGCCTTCCAGAACTGGGGCGAGACGTTCGGGGGGCCTCCTGCCATCGGACGGAGGCCACACATGCAAAACGCACCGCATCGGGCCACGCCACTGGTATCGCGGTCGCCCCTACCGGCGATTTCCGACAGGGCCGCGGCGCTTTTGGTGACGCTTTTGCCCGGCGCTTCCGAAAGCCGGGCCGGGGCGGGGAAAGAAACGGGCTGGGCGGCTGTTGGTTTGTTCCTGGCGCTTTGGGTGGTTCTGCTGGTGAATGTGGCGGCGTTGCTCTACATTATTCGGGTTGCGCGAGCGATTCAGGTGGAAAACTGTAAGGGCTCCGCGCTGCGACAGGACAAGAAATGGGGGCCGGCAACGTTTTCGGAAAAATGCGACTCATCGTAAACGCGCACCACCTTCGAACCCCTTGCACTTGTTTTCCCATAGATGCGCGCCTTTGATTCGGAGCAGGGCTGCAGAGCCAATGCTGGGGTCGCTTCGGCTCGTACATGCGCAGGCGTGAGAACTAAAAACGACACACATGCCAGCGGCAGCGCATGGCGGGGCGGGCTCCGCAGGGGGGAAGTGCGAAATGGTTGGGGCCCACACACATCAACTATATTCCCCGGGAGCCCCGGGCCGGGGGGTGTTCGATTTTTGATGAACTTCCTTGATTTTCCTTGTCTAATTTTTTTTCGCAGGGCTACAACGTGTCATCATCTTCTGGTTGGACCGCGAGATCTTGGGGAAGTCGGGACGTGCCAGGACCTGTTGGAGAGGGCAGCCCGAAGCCGAACCACGGAAGCACTGCAAGCATATCCAACTTCGGGACTCGCGTAGCTGCAAATCGCAACGTCACGACGGCTGAGGCTTCACCGGCCAGCATCGATCTTCGTGACGAAACCTCCACCCCGTTGGATCGATTTCAGAAACGGGCGATCCACCACATGCTGACGAATCGCCTGGCGATCATCCAAGGCGCCCCCGGAACCGGGAAATCCTTCACGTGCCGGCGCATAATCCGCATTCTGCATTCGTTGCAAGGGGTCGAGAACTGCAACACCAACCCGGGCAGGTGGCGGTTCGTGCCGACGCAGGACCGGCTTGAAGCTGGTGTTGGTGAGGACCTCGGGAATATTAAAATACAGACGACAAAAGAAGAGCAAGGTTCCCTTTCGAAGATATCCGACCTTCAGAGCTGCCAGCAACTCCGTTTTCTAGTTGTCACCTACAAAAATCTGGCACTGGACGAAACGCTGAGCGGATTGCTTTCCACCTTCCCGGATAACCTGGTCCGCATCGGGAACTCCAGCAGCCCGGCGGAGACGCCGGAGCTGTCCGCGCGGCGGCTGTTTAACCTGAAGAAGCAGAAGAAGTATGGACTGAGCTGGAAGATGCGGAAGGAGTACAAGCAGCTTTTGTTGAGGGCGAGAAAGCTGCAGCTCCGTTTGGAGGACGAAATCCGCCGGTTTCAGGTCGTGCGGTTCTTCTCCCCGACGATGTTCTTGCTGCAGTGCACCTACGAGCAACTGTGCAACCTGCTATTGTTGAAATGGGAAGAGCAACGCCCGTTCATGGTCGAGGCAGTGAAAAGCCGAACCGCTTTGCTCGGTATGCTTGGTCACGTGTCAGACTTCCTCGCGAAAAGAGAACAGTTGGGCGCAGCCGCGGGAGCAGTTGCGGGGCAGGCAGTAGATGAACAAGTATCTAGAGCAAGTAGCTCTTCTTTGCCTTTCTCTTATACCCCACCCCCGCGTCGGCTGGTTGCGGAATTCTTCGCGAACCCGGGGCGGCTGCCACTCGACTACCAGGAGACGTGTGCGGTTCTAGGCAACCTAACGACCGAGGCTCTCAACGAGTGGGCCCCAGACGTCGAGGAATTTCGAAATTTTTCGAGAAGCCTGCGCGAGGCGAAGATCGATCTGTACAGCACCAGTGAGGAGATTATTGACTGGAAGGATGGCAGAATCCAGGACTCGCTGCGCGACCAAACCGAGGACCAAGCAGCCGCAGAGCGGCTGGGAGAGAAGGAGGCGTTCCTGAAATCCCTCGCGGTGCAGGAGAACGAGGAGGTGTTGGACTACAAGGAAAGGCTGCGAGAGGAAACAGAAAATTTGTACGGGCGTGCGAGGGCGAGTCACGAATCGCAATTGAAGAAGCTTGACGAGATCGTTTTTTTCGACAAAGAAGCCGAGGTTTCCGCGCGGAACCACGTCAAGGAGCAGGCGAAGGAGCTGGGCAGGAAGGCAAAACAGGTGGCAAAATTCAGCAAAAAGTGGTTTTGCGACTTGAAGAAGAAAAAGAAAGCTGAAAAGATAAAGGAAAAAAAACAGCACAAAGGTCAAGCAATGCAATCTGAAGGACCATCTGTTGGCGCAAGAAGGACCGTAGGTGTCCGCGACACAGCAGCTACTGGTGGAACGACAACCGCGACTAGAATCGCACGAGGCGCAACCCCTGCGAAGAAGAACGAAGACAACAGCAAGACCAGCCCACTTTCTAACAGCGACGAGAGCGATGCGTCCTCCGACACCGACTCCATTTCCTTTCTCAGCGACGCGTCCTCGTCTTTTTTGGAAGAAGAGGAGCTTTTTGAACGTGGAGACGAAGAACGTGATAGAGGCACGCGTCAACCCGATTCTGATTCTGACTCCTCTAGTGAAGAGGACGAAATCAATGATCCTCATGCGGCAGCTGGAGATAGAGGTACTAAAGCACCGACCAACGTTCCCTATTTCCCCGCCGTCGTCGACAACCTTTCCGAAACTGCGAGACTTACCCTGCTAAACGACCAAAATCTCGCTGGGATGTCGCAGCGGCAACGGATGAGCTTCTTGCAGGTTCTGATCCACGAAGCGGTTCGGAAGGTCAACAAAGATTTTGAAGCAGTGCACAAGGAATTCGAAGACTGTCGGGCCGAAATTCAGAAAATCCGGGAGGAAAGGGTTGTGCGGATCCTCCGCTCGCAAATCATCGTTGGGGCGACCATCGTCGGCGCGTCCATTCACACAAAGGTGCTGCAGAGGCTCAGGCCGGACGTCGTGGTCGTCGAGGAGGCCGCGGAAGTCTTGGAGCCGCTGTTGCTACCGTGTTTGGGACCCTGGGTGAAGCACTTGATCATGATTGGAGACCACCAACAATTGCCGCCCATGGTAGAGTCTGACGTTTTGCGCACGCAGCACAACTTCGCGTCCTCGGCAATGCTGAGGATGATCAAGCTGAAAGAGAAGGTAGAAATGTTCTTGAGTTTTGTTGCTCATTGAAGTAGAAGTCTTTGTCTTGCTTTGTTCTTTAGTCCGGACATTTGTCTAGAAGTGATCTGGTGCGCACGCGGTGCTTCGAATACGGCTGCGGTAGACGCCGTGGCTTTCGTCTTCTTTCTTGAAGCTTCGAAGCAAGAACTCTGTTTCAAATCGCGTTCCACAACCCAACACATCAGGACCTTTCGTCCATTGACCCCCGAAATCGCATCTACGCGCCGCTGATGCTTCAAGCGCGGAGCTTACCGGAAATTTCCAAGTACCTTCGAAGATACGAGTATCCTGACATGCAGGACAACGAAGCAGCGGTGGCCGTCCTGGAAACTCCGAAATTCGTCGCGCATCCCATTTTCTGGTGGGACACGGGGCGCACGCAGGACCGCGAATACAACCACAGCTTTGAAAATCCGCGGGAAGCGGCGTTTGTGGTCCATTTAGCGTTCTATCTGTTCCAGAACGGCGTTGCGCCCGAACAATTGCACGTCTTGGCGCCGTACCGAGCCCAAGTGGCCTGTATCGGCAAGTACGCAAGGGAGAAATTTGGGCGGGACCGAAAGAACAAACAGATGCTGCAGCAATTACAGCGCCAGCGGGACGAGACCTTTGTACGTGGCAGAAATTACGCTGCAGATAAAAGACCAGCACCAGATGGTATAAGCTGTTCTAGTCAAGCTCTGTCATCTTCATCTAATGCTCCTGCGGGTGGCGGTATTCGTGGAGGCCCGGGTGAAGAAAACGCAGCTGTGGCTAGTAAAGTAGACGGTTTTGCGCTGCAGCCACAGCATGGAAATCATCAAAAGCAGGAGCAGACTGACAGCGAACAGCAGCAGACCGCAATTGACTCCCGGGAGCGTAATTTTCTCGACGCGTTTGTGAAGAATATCACCCCGATTGACGGGTTCCAGGGGAACCAAAACAAGTACATCATCATTTCGTGGACGCGCTCCAACCCCGACCACATCTGTGGGTTTCTGAAGCGGCCGGAGGGCATCAACCGCCGAATCGTCGCGCAATCCCGGGCACGGTGCGGGCTGTTCATGGTAGGAGACGTGAGCAATTTCGAGTATGACGTGCCGAAACGGAACTTGTTCGCGGAGCAGGTGGGCAGAACGGGTGGAACAAGCGGGACTACAAGGAGTGGCAATACCAAGAATTCCAGCAAGTCGCCATCGAAGAAGAAAAACTCCAAAGGAAAAAACGCGACCATCAGTGCGGCCAGCGGCGGACTTGATGCGAAAGACCTCCGGATGATAAACGCAGCAGATGACAACAAGACCGCGAACGAGTTGTGGAAAACCCGGTTCGTCGATTTACTGCGAGAAGACGACCGCGTGAGCCCGTACCTGCCGCTTTGTTGTCCCCGGCATCCGGAGAAGAAGTTACAGTGCGCAGCGCCGGAAGACTTTCCGAACTTTGCGCTGGGGAAGAATTTGATTTGCCGGGAAAAGTGCGGCAAGGTCATCGACGCCTGCGGCCACACCTGTGAGCAGCTCTGTCATTCCGGCCCGTGCTCGCAGGCATTGTGTGTGAGGGAGGTAGAAATCCCGTGCAGCAGGTTCCCAGCGACGCACCCGAAAAAAAAGGTACCTTGCTGCAGCCGCCTGCTGTGGTCGACATCGTGGTCCTCGTCGATTTCAGGAGCTTCTAGTGCCGCTGGTGACGTCACCCTTAACACGACTTGCATCACTGCTGGTTGCGGCGCGACCAGAGCTATTTCTGCCTTATCTCTGCAACCAATTTGCGAGGAAATCGTGGAGCTTGCCTGTACACATTGCGGAAAACCGAGCAAGAAAAAGTGTGGAAAACTGCCTCAACTACAACAGCCAGGAGAGTACGTTTGCAGAAAGAAGTTCAAGTGTCATAAAGACCCAGAGCACACCCTAGTCCGTTACTGCAACGAACAAGAGGCAGACATCAAGTGTACTCAGAAGTGCGGGAAGCAGCTCCCGTGCGGCCACCCGTGCCCCTTGCTTTGTGGCGAGGACTGCAGTCTTGCGGTGTGCAAAAAAATTATTTGGATCACGTGTGCAGCAGGAAGGCATAAGCAAAAAGTCTACTGTGACGATTTCAAGAAGCAGGCGGAGGAAGAGGCCGCGAAAATTATGGATAAAAATGCAGCTGCCGCAGCTACCACGGAGGCAGCTGCGCCAACATCAACCTTCACCAGCAAAAAGCTTTGCAAGCAAGAGGTGAAATTCCGGTGCACCAAATGCGCCGGTTCCCTGGTCCGTTACTGCTACCAAGCGGAAGCAGACATCAAATGCGACCACTACTGTCGGCGGAAGCTGAAATGCGGACACCAGTGCACGCGGCTGTGCCACGAACCCTGTCCAGAAACGCCCGAGGAGTGCCTGGTTTGCCGCGAAGACATGAAGAAAAACTTTTTCCGCTTTGTGGACGATTTTGAAGACGACGAAGAGGCGGCAGAAGAGGAAGAGCTGCTGTCTCGTAGAAGTAGCAAAAATGGCATGCCCGGCATGCCGTCAAGCTCCAGCACATCTTCGTCGAGCAGTGCAGCAAGTTCGTCTGATCAAGCGACCAATGCGGGGTGTTCTTCGTCAACCTCCGCAACAACCCCAAGAAGTACTAGGAAAAAGAGGAATTTGAATAGGGACAAGGAGAAGAAGCACGTCAAGACGCTTCATTTGTCCGAAATCCGGTACAGCCAAAACTCTTGCTCCGATCACTTCCGGAATGGAGACAACTTGTTCGAAACCCTGGAAAAGTTAAGAGCCGACGAGGAATTGCTGAACTCTTTTCCGAGCATCGAGGTGGTCGAGTACGAGGAAATGTTTTTCTCCATGGACAACCGCCGGCTGTTTCTCTTGAAGCAATTGTATAGCGACCACACGCTGATCGAGACGATTTACTACCCAGACCCGGCCGAGTATGGGAAGAGTTTGTTTTTCAAAAAAATGAGAAAGAACTTAGAGTCAGGAGATGTGCGGGAGAATTTGAAAAGTTTGTGGGCGATAGAAGTGAAGCCGTTTAATCCGAAGCGGAAAGGGGTCAGCCGTCGCGCATGAAATTAGGGGACGGGCGATGGCGAAACGGAAAGTACAGCCAGCACATCTGCAATACCTTTTCGGAGAAGAACAAGAAAGGCACATTTTTGCATTTCGAAAATAATATTAAAATGACTCATTGTAATATCCTGAATCAACAACAATCTAGTCCCTTGCTTGCGCCCCAAGCAAGCTTGAGCTAAACCTAAATCTAAATCATGTAGAAGGCAGTCAACGAGCTCGAGCCAAAACCAAACATAAATCCAGGCGAACCCCGCTGGGCCCTGTGTATGATCTCACTCGGTGGACTCGTCCTCTCGATAAATATGGTTGAGGTCAATATATGTTTGAATCTCTGAGTACTTACAAAAAAAGATGAGTAAGCTAGTACAGCACGTAACATGTATAGACGCACCCACAGATCGTGCAAGTTAGTAGATAGACTTGCAAGGCATTTTCAGAACGAGAAAAGTTGATCCAGATACGAAACACTGACTTCGACGGCTGCCTGTGAACGAGATTCCAGCACATCAGTGCTGGCTCATTCAAGTTATTCTCACCAATCTCAGAGGCAAGCCGTCGCTCATTCATCTTCATTTGCGAGCATTTCGTTTGCAAGCAGAACGAAGCACTTCCAACGACCCCTTCCAATCAACTCGAACTTTCTAAAGAACGCTAGCACAAAGCACCACGAATAGGATTAGCGAAAGTGGAAACACAATGACATCGCAAGAAATTCGGCCTGGAAGCTCTTTTATGAGTTGAGTATAAACGAGGACTCGTGATGTGTTGCTTGTGTTCTTCCTTAGCTCCTGACCATCGTAGCAGCAGAGTGCGAAAAGCTCTGAGTCTATTTAGGCACCGTCGGTCCGTCGATAGCAGGCTCTTAGTTCCTTATTCGTGAGGCTTACAGCGACAAACAGCTCCCGTTTGTGACTGCTACAGACAGCTCATCGGCAAAGTTGTCGGTGAAGGTATGACAATATAATCGGTCGTTGGCATATACACAAAGATCTGTCCAGATCAGAAAAGTGTACAGTAATCGGTAGAAGACGATGCTGATGCTACTTAAGCTTAACAAATCGCTGCATCGTTTATAGTTAAGTTTATGGATGCAGCAAGTAGGACTAGGACGGAGCCCAGGTTCTTGTTGCACACCCCGAATGAATCTGTTTTAGAAGTCTGCTATTCGTCCAATGTACAACCCGCAGTGCCTGCTGTGACATGCTGGTTTCATAAGGATCCCAAGCACCGTCGCTCCACCGGACGATCGTTGTTGATCGTTGTAGTATGATGCGAATACTATACTAATTTTCTTTTCTCTGTCCCCTCTTGAAAGAAGGAAGTTCCAAGTTCTTGCCATATCCGCAAGAAAGACATTTACCATGTTGGGCTAGAAGCTGATCCAAATGAAAACTACAAACACGAAAATGCCAAAACACTTCCAACTAACCCTGCAGCGAGCATTCGGGCTTTTAATAGCCTTTGTTTATCATCATCAAAACGGTGCGACCACGTTCGTCCACGCCGTGGCCTACCACAGCTACCCGTCGGGCGACGTGTACCAGGGTCCCGCGCACACGAATGACCTGCAGAGCGTCGAGGTCGTGGTCCGGCACAACCCCTACGCGGATTCGCCCACGGTGGCCTTCAGCACGGTCTTCGACTCGACGAAGGCGACCATCCTGCACTTTGCCACGACCTATTGTCCGGTGGCGGACGAAAACGTGAAGAAGCTGAAAACGTTGGCGGATGCGAACGCGGATGTGCAATTTTTCACCATTATTCCCTACAACAACCAGGACGGCAACTGTTTCAAACAGGAAGCGCTGACCGACTCCATGACGGGAGCCAGCATGACGTGCCAAGGCGACGGCGGCGCGGCCCTGTACTACGTGAAGGGTTTCTCCTACCTCTGGTCCGCCAACCTGAACCAGCCCGAAACCCCAAAAAACTACAAGCTGCTCCAGGACACGCCGTACCTGAGCTTTTCCGGAATGAACATGTACCTAAAGGGGGAATTCTACTCTAAATTCGGAGTGTCCACGGCGAACGGGGAGTCCTGGCACACGAAGGAGCAGGTGGTGGCGTTCACGAAAAACGGCAACAACTTCGGAATGATGTTTCCGCAACGCCGATCGGGGTCGCAAGGCATCGTGGGCATGCAGTGGGACGCGTACGACAGCGCAAACGGGGGTCCCAAAACCTCGGGCGTGATGTGGGAAGATGTGCAGGCGCTGCTCACCGCCGTGAAAGCCGACAATTCCCCGGCATCGCAGACGCCGACGCCCACGCCGGCACCAACGCCGGCGTCATCTTCCTCGGACTGTATCGGCACACAATCAAGGTCTTGTCAAGAGAAAGAGAGTAGAGTCATAGTCCTTTTGCATATTTTTCGTCCTTTTCGCCAGAATTTTTATGTAGTTGAAAGTGTAAATCAGCTTCCTCTTCGACTTCGTGTGGAAGTTCGTGTGTACAAAGAGCTGGCGTCAAAATGGGTTCTGGCGTATCTGTGTTCTTGCATCACGAGAAATTGAGACACCTTGTGTCTATATACGAATGAAAATCTCTACAACTACATCTCACTAACATGCAAGGTTTTGCTTTGATACACTCGAGGGGCACACCGTCGCCCACTCCATCAAGCCCATCGCCGTCGCCCACTCCCAGTCCCGCACCGGCTCCAGGTATGGTTTTCACCTAGGATTTTCATGGATGCTGGTGTTAGTTTTGTTCCAATTGAATGCAGCAAAGATGTGAATTTCATCCGTCGTTGAAAACAGTATGTAACAGTGTCGCCATCTTGCGTGATCGCTCTGGCGTCTTGTTTGCTATCCATCGTGCGAAAAGAACTACATATTAGCGTACCTGTACCACTCCTCACTGCATGTAAAAAAAAACTTCACCGCAAATTTTTCCCCATCCTTCAAACAGCACCGACGACGCCCGCTCCGGACAACCACGTGTTTTACGGGCAGACGAAACTGACTTTCACCACGAGCGAAACCTGCACCACTGGCTATCTGACCTCCACCCTCGGGCCGTCGGTGGTAAAGGGGCTGGCGTCGTTTCTGAGCCTTGCCTATCAACTGTAAAAATGTCTGGGCCTGGAAGATAGCAACTTGTCATGCTGTTTTTGGACTCTAAAAAAAATTTGTATTGCATGACCAGCAAGAGGGGCGCAGTTTTTGCTACACGGACAGGGCATTTCTCATGCGGAAGGTGCATCAAGAAGCACTCAGAAAATCTGTGATGCTAGGGCATACACCACAGCCGTCGTGGGTAGTGTCAGGTGTGCATGACAAATCTTCCAATCTTCCAGACCCAGACATTTTTACATTTCATATTGGCGAGGACCGGGTGGCGCTGGATTCCGTGGCGTGTGCGCGAAGGAGGGAACTTCTGATGGTGGACGAAAGTGGGAGGACGGTTGAAAATTTATTTGCTCATGAGACGGCCGACGCGAAAGAAGAAGATGCACGCCGACTTACGAGCAGCACGGTCAGTGGCGACTTCGGGTACCGCGTCTCCGGTTTTTCCAGTCAATCGTCGGCTTTGACCTCGCTGATTGCTTTGCAAAACGTGGACGGCAGTGCCGGGTCCGACACCGCTCTGGTTTCTGCGGTCAACACGGCTCTGCCGTGTCAGACGGTCAACACGGCTCTGGTTTTATCGCGCCAGACCCGGACCAAGAGCCTCGGGGGCGCGCCGGGAAGAATTTTCGGCAGCATGGCGCAGTCCATTCGCAAGGCGATGCCGACAAAGACGACCGTCACGTTGACAAAATGCAATGGAGCTGCAAGTGCAAGCACTACCTGCGGAGCGCAAACTGGTGCAACAACCGGCACTACACGCAGTACCAACGAAGATGAGGAGCGTGACGAATTTTATTCCCCGGTTTCTCCCACATCGCCGCAGGAGCCGAATCACTTCGGCCGCGAGGCGTCCGGTTCGTCTAGCGGATGCGTCGTTTATCATACTACTCAGCTTTACCAAGAGCTTACTGCGCAGCACCATCAACTACCCTTCCGTCCGCCCACTCCGCAAAACGCGCCGGAGCTGCTGGATAACTTTTCGCCGCCTGAGACTCAATCAGGAGCAGGAACAGCAGGAAGACAAATGGAGCCCCAACAACCCCCAACGCAGCTGCAAACCCCTCGTGGTTCTGCCGTTAACGCAGCACGTAGTAGAAGTAGAGCGGGAAGCAAAGCCTCCTGTTCATCGGAGCACTGGCCACTGCACTGCTCTCAGTTGCAGCAAGTATTGGCGGCAGTGGGCGCAGGAGGAGCTCGTCCGGTTACGGGCTGTGATTACCACAACCACGGGCCGCAAGTGGAAGCAGCCGGTAATCATGGTTGCCACCCACACATCGTTGATCACGACCTGCAAATGGAAGAGGAAGAAGAACGTCAGCGCAAGGAAGAACCCGCGCCACTGAAAACGCATGTGTATTGTGCGGACGGCACGGGGTTAGTACTAGACACACCAATGCTAGATTGTTGTGGAGCAGGTACTAGTACAGGCACTGGAGCTGTGTGTTTGCTTTCTCTGAGATGAAACAAAAACATCGTGTCTTGATGAAAAAGGTCGCGCAGGGAGAAAGTTTAGTTTTTGGCTCCTTCCCAGCAAGGCAAGATTAAAATAAAAAGATAGCCGAGTCATCCCGTAGATGTGGATTTCTTTGTAGTTACAGCGAAAAATTACAACAGGCGCGATGCCTATTCAGTGGCACTCGGCGACCAGGGTGGAGCCTTGAAAACCGCTCTGGTTTCTGCGGTCAACACGGCTCTGACGGCTCTGATGAACCTCATCAACAAGGAGCTCGCGGCGGTGCAAAATGCTACCCAGACGGACAAGCTGCGCGAGATTCTGGGTCCCCGCGGCGCCAGACTCATCGCCACGTACGTTCCTCGGCAAAGGCGGAGCGGCCACGGACGTAAAAAACATAACATCAGGGCCACCATTTCGCAGGAAGCTGTGTGTCGAGAGACTTACCGAGAGCGCACAAGAGGGGCGCTAGCAATCGGAAAAGTCCTCAACGCGCCATGGCTTGCCACCGCGCGTGCCGCTGTGGCTGCTTGCTACCATAACGGAAAGCTAAGCAAGAACAAGATCGACGCAGCAAAAGTTGCTCGACCAGTTGCAGTGCGACGAGCGACATGCAGATCGACGAGTAAATGACAGACAGCAACCTCACCCGACCAGGATATTTTTTAAGAAAGAAAGAAAGAAATAACTAACAGCGAAGATAGTATGGTAAATATACCGCGGAAGGGTAACGAGGTCGAAGTAAAGAGTCGATAGAAAGAACAACGAAGTGGACCGGTAAAGGATGCAAGACTACCAGTGTTCCTGCGGCGTCAGTATGCATTATTGTTGCGATGCATCGGTAAGAAAGCACTCCGCTATCTTTGTTTTTTCTCTCGTTTTTTCTTTTTTTTTTGTATCTGTTTTTCCTCATTCACTCGCAGCAACATTGCATGTCCAGGCCGCAAGAAAAGCTCACACTTCGTAAAGATTATAATTACTCTTCGGAGTTTGTTACTCCTTCGTCGCTCTTCGGGGCCTAGTATTAGTCGCCGACCAAACGACATTTGATTGCTAGCGCTCGAATGATAGAAAGCGTGGCCTGTTGCAATGCATAGACAGGAGCGCAGGGGGAATAGAGGGGCACATGGTCACGGCCAGGACACGCCACCGACATACCACCCAAACGCGGCTTCGTCCGGACTAGTGCGGAATCCTATGCTGTGAAGAACATCGTTTCGGACCCTGTTGATGGATTATCGATGCCCTTGTCAGGGCACACAGTTTTTTGCTTTCTTGAGTGCAAATAGCAGCTGCGATGTGGTCGGCACTAATGTTTCGACTCGCTCTACTTTGTCCGCCGTGGAATGGAAGAGGAAAAAGAGCCGCTGGTTTGCAGACTATCATTCGTGGTGCTGCTTTAGGGAAATTGAGTCGCTGCATGATCTGGCAAGGGCAACGAAAAATAGATATCATTGTGGTGTTGTTAATGTACCATTTTCAACAAAGATTTTTTGAAATACTCTGTTGTATCCTGGATCTCTTCGACCGTGATTTTTACTACCTGATGAAAAATGCAAAACCACTTTAATTATAGGTACTCAGGCATTGCAAATTTTTAGATCCGAACGTGAGAAAGAGAATGGAACGAGCACTAGGAAGATGAATGCAGACATATCTATGCTGACATGACAACATAAATTATCAATCGACTTGTTGTATGGGGAAGTCCAACATGAGGTGCCGGTAGCACGTATTGTGCATGTTGTATACTCGTTGACGTGGAACTGATTTGTACAGATTGCATACTAAATATTCATAAGAGCTTTACGTAAGGTAGTGTCGTTGTCTTTCACTAGGTTCAGGTAGTTGTCCAGCAGAAAAAGTTTTTCTATAAGGGCCCAAGCCACAAGTTGCTTGCCCAGCCTGTCTTTTTGTTGAAGTAGCGCTAACCACGTGAGGAGAAAGCAAAAACTTTCAAGCGGATTCCACGTGACCACTCACAACAAACAACAAACAAATACTCATAAAGACAAAGACACTTCACGTAGACATTAGAAAACGACTTAGAAAGTAGATTGTAGAACACGCAACATTTTTTTGTTTTGCTTTGTTCTAACTTTATCGTCTTTTCCGCTCCAGGAGGAGGCCCCTCTGATATAGTTCCTTTCAGCGAACAAGTAGTGCTTCCTCTGCTTGAGCGATAAGACATCAGTACTCCACTATTTGCATGGCTAGTAGAGAACATTTGTCTCTCACATCAGTTTCTGAAAGCACGGCAAGAGGATGCCCCGCCTTTCCAAATTCAGGCGGCGCATTTTTTTCGAATACTTTTTCAAACTCATGCTGTTGAGCAAAGAAATGTTTTTTCGCGACATGGCCATACTTTCTTATTGGGTCAGAGCAGTTTGTTACTACTAGACATGATTCGTAGCGTTACTTAGCCAGGCTGCAGATACTAGCTGCAGAACAGGACGACGCTCTTGCTCCACTAGCATGATGAAGGAGCTGTTTCAGTTTGGTTTTATCTATGGCCCCAACGACGTCTTTACCAGATTGCTACCAGCAGAAGTGTGTAGCAATTTTGTTGTCTTTGTTGCGTTAATCAAAAATGTCTCTGAAATATGGTATAATTTGTGCAGCTTATCATCGAGATACGACTTTAAAAAAATAGTGCTACTCTGAAAACTAGAATAGAAAGCGACTTTTTTTGTGAGCAGAATTTTATTTGATTTTGGTATAGATAAAAATATGATGTATATAGATATGAATTGACTTATTGCACACTAGCATGTCGTTTCTGTCGTCGTGAATGATAAATATGTTCATTGTTTTTGCGAAATGAAATGGAAACCATTGCAGCAAAGGCTGTCTTTTTTTCTGTCTGTTGTATTATTTTTGGGGAAGCAGTGAAAATGTGAAATAATCAGCAGCGGAAGTTGCCGCCCATAGTGAACACCAAAAGCGCAAACAGCTCTGTGCTAGTGTTGCTGCATAAATCAGAAAGGCAGTGTTCATCAGAAACGTCGTCAATGCTGTTCCTAAGGCTCTTTGACTTTCACGCGAATCAATGTCAGTTTCTAACCCATCTAGGAACTTTTGTCTGTTCGCGAAGCGTGTAGACGTGCACGCCCACGCGCTGCCTGGTTGTCGTCCCATTAATATCATGGCACCGCTATAAATGAAATTGTGCACAATTTGGAGCACATTCTGAAACTGCGATTGAAATTGACACTTGACCCGCCCATTGCATGGCTCCAAGTACTACTGGGCATAGACGGTAGGTGTAGTCGTACACTCAATCATCTGAATATCTTGGGATCATCGGCTTTTTGAAAAGACGTGGTGGTATTGTGTCTCTCTCAGACTACAAAATCTCTCTGCATTCTTCAACAGAAGAAAGAGTTCGAGTATAAAAGAAAAAATGGGGGTAATCATGCGAATTGTGATAACCATTGACACGTTGTTTATTGCGTGTAGAACTCCGTGCTGTTTCACGAGCCGCGACTGCACTTTGCATTAGCGTTCGTTATTCGCAGACGACGAAAAATAGGCTGTTGTGAAAAGGCTTCTTCGTCCTCCACCGGCGAAAAGACGTCGACGCTCCATCCTCCACTTTTGTCGAGACCGCCGCAGTGAAAAAGCCGCCATCAGGAAAGCTGTTCCGCCATCTGGAGTTCAGGAGCTGTACGAAAAGCACTGACTAAGTAAGTTCCCTGTTCCGCCGCGAGGTGGGTCGTACCTACAATCGTACCATGGGCCTAGTCTTTTCGTCCCTGTTCCGCCAGCTCTTCGGGCAGAGGGAGGTGCGAATTTTGATCCTGGGACTGGACAACGCTGGGAAAACGACGATTCTTTACCGGCTGAAGGTTGACCAAGTGGTCTCGACCACGCCAACCATCGGCTTCAACGTGGAAACGGTGCAGTACAAAAACATCTCCTTCCAAGTCTGGGACCTCGGCGGGCAGAGCAGCATCCGACCCTACTGGCGATGCTATTTCCCAAACACAAACGCAATCATCTACGTCGTGGATTCAATCGACAAGGAAAGGCTGCAGGTACTTACTCTAACCTTTTTTACGGAGGTTCTTGTTTGTATTTGTTCGCTTTCTTGCATTGGGATTGGTATCTTCATCGACGCATCTTTCAAATCTAGTAAAGGGAAAAGTCACAGGAAGGAAGATTTATTTTTCACCATGGACATGCTGGTTGCACCGCTTCATGCATATATACACGACCAAAGTTCTAAAAGAGCCTGTCGCAAAAAAAAACAGGACGCTAAGGAAGAATTGAACCTGATGCTTGGTGAAGAGGAGCTGCAAGGCGTGCCGCTGCTGATTCTGGCGAATAAACAGGATCTACCGCAAGCGATGAACGCAGCGGAGGTCAGTGAGGGTTTAGGGCTAACCGAAATTAGGTCGAGGCAATGGGCGATTTTCCAAACCTCGGCATTGCGGGGGAGTGGGATATTAGAGGGATTGGATTGGTTGTGCAACGTCATATCCGCAACGTGATGCATGTTGACGACTTACTTTCGCGTAGATCTACAGCTTGACCCACGACACTCATACCCAAACAAGCTGACTCAACCTAACTATCATGGCAAAGACCAACCGTACCAACGCCAAAGCGCAGGACCTTTTCAAACAGCCTCTTCAACGCTCCAGCTCTCCGAGTAGTATGTATCGGTATGCATCGCAATGGCTGCGTTAGCGATCTCGCTGTTGTATATGTCATCGACCATGTTGGTGTTCGCAAAGATTCATATTTTGCTTGTCTTGTTTTCTTTCGAATTTTTTTTCTCATTCACGAAGTTGAGCGTACCTCTGCTGCTTGTGGCCGGTCTGACAGGCCACTAAGTAACGGAGAGGAGAAGAAGAACGACGAATTGAGCAATGCGCAGTTTGTTTACACCACTTGATGCGTGGTCTCTGACTGTATTTTTGATTTTGAGTGGTGGTTGCGAGGGCTGCTCTGGCGCTACGACATCGTGATGAAGTACTTCTCAGCGTCAACTTATCATCTGTTCAAATATTAAAACCAAGCCGCTTCATATCGTAAGAGTGGTCGAGGACAATTGTTTTGCCCGCGCGCGAAACAGCACAAGAACCCTTCCTCCAGAAAATGATGCTCCGTGGACTTCTGCGACGCGCCAGGCCGATGCGCATGACTCTCCCAACGGACTATGAAATGCAAAAATGTCTGGGTCTGGATCTGGAAGAATGCAACTTGTCATGCTAAATCTGAAGCATGCAAAAATCTGTGTCGCATGATTACCAAAAGTCGTCCAGTTTTGACCAAGCCGGGAGGGAGTTTCTCATGCAGGATAGGCATTAGAAAGGTCTCGCTGAGTCTGTCATGCTAGGTCCTGCATTCCAGACCTCATGGGTCATGGAAAAGCAGAATGACAAATCGCGCACTCTTCCAGACCCAGACACTTTTACATTTGATACGGACATCCAGTTTACGAAAGACCGGGCGGCTAGGCGGGTATGATAGTGCTACAAGTTTTTCAAATTGTCATGTTGACCTAGACCACCTCGAGCTTGGCATTTTTATTGTTTTATGTTTATCGATTATGCTGTATCAGGATCAGCCTCGCATTCGCAAATTTACATACAAAATCAGATGACAAACATGATGGAGGAGGATCGCGTCAAGTTCTACAATTGGAACCTTGCCTGCATCGCCGTCACCGGTGTGCCCTTGGCATACTAGTATAATTCGCATAAAGTTTTCTATATTCTTTTTGTTTGAATGATAAACTTTTATTTTGCTTCCTGTTCTTTTCAAAGTGCGAAGATACCGCTATGCCTGTTTTTGAACGATTATGATTATGACATGCGCAACGCATAAAATGGATCACATCCTCTCAGCCTCACGGTGAACTACAATTCCTCTGACGATACGGACCGCATTTTGCGAGTCTTGGACCCGGACGCGCGATCGCAGATCGGGTACTATCCGGGCATCATGGGTTGAGCTTGGTGGTGAGGCAGATCGGGTTGGTCACCACTCTAGTACCACTCTAGGGAGTAGAACGACAATACTGAAAAAATTTTTTTATCCGCTGCCGCAGCTCGTACTGCCTGCTTCTCTACTTCTACTACTTTGTTCACTAGTTACAACCCGTGTCGTCCGCGGTGTTATTGCATGTTTAGTAGTACTAGGTGCACGAGGACGACGCTTCTGTGATGGACTTCGTAAAAACCGCAAGGTGAACCACATCGATTTGAGGCTCCTGAAGATGGGAAAGGCTTGTGTAGTAGTGCTGGTGGCCACCAGCATCGATCCGAAACAATTGAAAGTAGAGCCAGTTGTAGTGGAAAACACCTCCCTTGGTTGTCAACGAGATATACGTGTTAGGGAGACAGTGGTGTTCGATTCCTTGATGATGTTGCCAACACGATTTTTACAGGAGTAAAATAAAGAAGAAGTGATGTAAAACCACATCGTCCATTGTTGAAAATTAGCATGCTGTCCTCGTGCGCGTGGGTGGCAATATCGCATGATTTCACAACCAAAAGGTGTGATGGAAAAGCTGTTCCTTATCCTTAATAGAAGTCGGCTTTGTAGTCGCCTCTAGCGGGAAATTGACAGTCGATGAGAGAAAAATCTTGGTCTTTATGCGAGAAGTGTGGAAGCTGAGGGAGCTTGCTTCGAGTCATTCACATTCTGTATAGTCAGATCGTTGGCGTGGAGGAGCGAAAAGCTACGCACTTGAGTAGCTTTCGCGGTTTCGTTCAGCGCTTTCGAACGAAGTTTCTTCGTTGCATGTCTGAGATTTCGTTTTTGATGATTGGACAAAACTCTTCATCAGTTGCAGTGTGTGAAGACTGATAGAGTTACCAGTCCTTCTACTTCTTTACACAGCCACATCAACGAAGGAGTTGTCACATCAAACTAGTGCATGCGGCAATAAGATGACGTCACCAGCTCCGCAAGCTAGTGACGTTCCGCCCCGGCGCGCGGGCTACGAGATCCTCGGCGACCGCATTGCGCGGTTGAAGAACATGCAGCAGGTACTTTTGCCTGTTGAGACGTTGAATTGATGTTGTGCTGTTTATTTTCTGACTTGTCCTTGTCCATCAAGTTCAAGAATTTACGTCGGAGCAGACTCATCTGAGCAACGGAAAGTTGTTCCAATCAACATCCTGAGAAATTCCGAAAAAATGTAAATGATCTTCAGGTGAATGCCCTCGCGTCCCGCGCTAACATGCGGTCGCGGCAAGGTCAAGCTCAACCCGACCCCCAGCACACGAGCTCCGTCCCGGACTTGAGCAGCGCGACCACCGAAGCGCCTAACACCTCTGCCTCGGAAAAATCGTCTTCTTCGTCCGTGAAGGCGAATTATTTGGGGAACTACGACGAAGCGCACGTGGTTGGTACTGTTTCTGCGCAGTATGATCAAATGCAAGACGAAAATCTGATGGCGTCGAAGAAGAATCTGTCATCCTACCTCCCCAGTACAGCGCCCCCCGCGGCAAATGTTCCGTCGTCTTCCCGGATCGGAGATGGTGACACGAACCGCAGCAACGACGATGACCAAAGCGACACGGGCTTTCAGAGCAGGGCTTCCACGGCTCGCGCACGGGGGGAGCTCGTGGCTAGATTTATTCGGGAAACGCAACAGGAGAAGAATATTGACGTGGGCAACAAGCAGGCGGCTGCAGCACCACCACCAGCTGCGAAAACAAACCAACCTCTGAATAATTACAGCGTCACCCCGCCGCCGAGCACTTACAACGCTTCGCACCAACATGCCGTAACGACGACTCCAGCGGTGAACGTTGCTACCACCAGCGCCACGCGCCACTACAATCGACTAGCGGCCACCGCTGCGCCCGTCATGATGTCCACTTCCACCGTGTATGGCAGTAGGCAAAATCAGCAGCTTCCATCGCGAAACAACTCTGTGACCAGAACAAGACCTGGTGTCCTGGTCCCGGAGCGCCAGGTTGTTACAGCAGGTGGAAGCTCGGGAGCAGCCGCATCGCCAAACAAAGCTCCAGGTACCAAACAACTCGCGGGTGGAACATCTGCTGGTGCCTATTATCATGGTTCAGCAGGAGGAGCTTCTGCGAAACAGACAAACCTTCGTGGCAGCTACACGAGAACCACCAGCAACCAAAACTTTTCATCGGCGTCGACGTCCCAACCCGCTGCTTCTAGGGCAGAATTTGGCTTTGCGAAAGCGAAATTGCAGCAAAAGCAGGCGATGTTGCAGAAGCAGTTGCTCCTTTCTGGCACCCCCTCTTCCCACGATAGCAACCATTGGAACGAACTCGAACCCGAGGTGGACAGCGGCGCGCGCACGCCATTCTCTGACTTCGAGGACAATTGTGTCGGCGGAGGTGGAACTATTGCGGGTCACGGTCAGGACGATGCTGGTACTACGCTGCCACTAGACGGACGACGTGAAGAAGGCGCTACTGCAATGACAAACTTCGCAAGTTCCACAGTCACTTGGTCGTCCAATTTTCTTGGAAACGCCACCGCTTGGGTCGACTCGTGGAAGCAACAAGTGGCGGATGTGTTTGAATCTACTTCATCAGCGGCACACAAGGGCACTAGTGGCGGTAGTGCAGGAGCAAAAACCAGTAGTCCTGCTGCGTTCTCGTCCAAGCGAGCAAAGCCTTCTGAAAGCCAGGCTCTGCTGCAAACTCCAGCCCAGCAGCGTCGAGGAGATTTTTACACCGAAGAGCCCCAGGGCACGGCTGGGGCAGCATCATCCGGCGGGCAACGCAGCAAGATGAAGCAGCACCAGAAGACTTCTGGAGCTAACAGTATGAACTACCAGTTCTTTTACGGCTCCGCGGCGGTGCCGGCTTCCTCGGAAAAGTCGCTGATTCTCTCGCCGCAACCGGTAGTAGAGGACCACGCCGCTTTTGGGTTGTCGAGCGCCAAGCGCCCGCGGCCGAAGCCGAGTTCTAGTACTACCAAGAGGAAAAATCTGCTTTCCGCAGCACCTACGTCCGACGACGAAGCAGACGACTTGCACATTTTTGAGCAGGCCCTGAAATTGTCGGAGAGCAAGACGAAAATGCAGATCCGGGCGGTGGGCTTCACGTTGTTCATTCTCATTTCCTACTTGGTTCTAGCCCACTCCGCACTGTACTATCCCTCATCTTCTAGCAGTACAGCAGACCACGGCACGCAACCGGTGGTCGACGGGGCCACGTTTCCCTGTCCGCACATTGTCTTTGGGAGTTACCGCTTCGGCCCCGGGTGCGAGCTCTTCTGGAGCCGGGTTTTCAATGGTTTAGGGGGTGGACGGACTATTGCACCAACTAGTCCCTCTGCGAAAGAGAAGAAACAGCTTTTACGGCGAGAGGCAAACAGTAAAAGTTCGGATGGAGCTACGAAAAAAGCGCCTCAACAGGAGCCTTCCCTCTATCCTGAAGATTCGTTGTTTGTGAGAAAATCCCACAGCAATTTAGAGGACTTGAATGAAGAATCAAGTTCCTCTTCGTCCTCTAGTGCATCGAAAGATGGCGGAATTGACCTGGATTCTTCGAAAGAAATGACCGAGGCCGCCACGACAACGACCCTGACCGCGACCACGACTTTCATTGCGAAGATCCTCGACAGCGTTCTCACGGGCGGCGCTTTGAGCAGCCTAACCAACAGCCTCACGGGAAGAAGTAGTAGTAGTGGTTTTCTTCCGAATGGCTTAACGACCACGGTCGAGCAGCAGCAGTTTAAGAAGCAGATTTTCCAGGGTTTGACGGATTTGGAATCGTCCCTGGCCTTCTACTCGTCCGAGCAGCTGAGCGACGACGCTTTGAAGTTTTCCGGCGTGGTGGCCCACTTTGTGAAAGACCGGGCGCGAATGGGAAACGAAGTGAAGCAAATGCTGAAGAAGTTTCCCGAGTACACAGGGCTGGACAAACCATCCGAAATCAACCTCGTTTACTCGTCCGACGACGAAAAGCTCGCCGTGGTGGTTGACAGCCACGGCAACGAGGTGGCCGGAAGTACAGCAACCTCGCCCGGAACACCAGCGGTGATACAAGAACTACCCCCGAGCGCGCCGGGGGCTATGAGCGGCGAACTCGGATCGGGACCGGTGATTGGATATTACGGTAGCAGTACCACACCGTCTTCCGCCATACCGGAAGGAACTCCGGCCGCAATACAAGATCCACTGTTATCGGAGCAGAAAGACCAGAAGCGGGTGTACCTAGCGATCGAGAGATTCGCGCCGGCCATTCACCATTGGCTTCGCCACCTGCAGAATAACATGATTCTGAAAGTGCAAGTCGTAGTGTCTCCGGGGGACCATGTTTGGCTGTTGCCGTCGAACCGGCGGAGGAACGCGAACAGTCTTGCCGGTGACATCTTCCAGGGGCCAGAGCAGTTCTCGTTGCTGACCCCGTTTTTCGGCACCGGAACGCTGAACGTTGCGGGCCAGTTGGAAGCCTTGACGGAGGGCAGTGTCGCCGGTGCCGATTTGTCTGTACCCTACCAGCTGCAAGGAAAGGGCGTGGCGTGGTACTTGGAGAAAAGACGCATGCGATTATTTTTGTGATCAAATTTGTGATGGTGCGAGGGAGGCGGCATGATCGAATTTGCATTTGCTCGTTCTTGAAAAAGGCCAGTGACAATCCTCGCCAAGGATGATCATGAGGCTCGTGCTTGGCAATAGTAAAAAATTGCGATAGTGAGTCCATTTTTTAAAACGGACACAAATTCCAAACTCATCAGGCTTATCGTCGACCTCCTGTCTGACAACGTCGTCAAGTACCATGAGACCACCAGTAATCGCGGGTTGCTCAAGGCCGCAAACGACGCTGTTGCGAGGATCCAAAAGGTGCGGCGAACCACGTTTCCCGAGAAGGTGGAGGCGGCCTTTGATCTGTACTTCAATCTCTGGACGGGTAGAGCAGCGTCCAGAATACTGTCAAGAACTACGGAGGAAAACACCAGCACCATCAAGCAACAAGACCTTCACTCTTTGCCTGCTGCATTATTTCGTACCACACTCGAGTCTGAATTTTACGACGCGACCTCAAGTTCGGACCAGGATCTGCTCAGTAACTTGAAGCCCACGATTGACCCGCCCACACCAAAATGGATGTTTGATCAGCCTGCTGCAGTATCAACGTCTGGGTCCACCTCAACTGCAGCATCTTCGCACTCGCTTCTGCCCTTCGCCATGCAAAAGGTCTATGTGGTTTTCGAAGAGCCGATTGTGTCTAGTGTCGTGGCGAGGGTCATGAGGCCAGCCGCCGCGGGCTCTCCTGACGACGTAGTGTCAGTGGGCGGAACGGGTCGCGCAAGCACGATGAATCCCACTTGCGTCGTGGATCGCGTGCGGAGTAGCTTCTCGCCGTTGCGGCTAACCTTGCGGAGCCACCTGAGCCAAGTGTCGTCGCTAGAAGGAGCTTTGAGCAGAATTATTCGGGACCAGAGGTATCATTTAAGGTTTACTGTTCTGATATGTTATTTCATCTACTTGCATCATGATCATGCGTTTTTGTGTGTGCAACGAAAAAACGAAACGTTGTTGACTACCCGTCTCGTTCCTTCTCCCTCTTAATCAGCCAAAACCTATGAATCCAAAACACAGTTCTGACGACAGTATGGCAGCTTTGGTTTTGCACCCGGAGTATCTGACGCCGAAGGTGTGGAGAAAAATCACCGAGGCTTTGAAGCAGGTACTTGATTATACACGACCTATCGATTCTTGTTTCTATACGCACGAATGTTCTTTGTATGAGGCATCCCTATGAAGATTACGTTTACGTCTACGGCAACATGCATCATCTTCTATCGTGCTACTTTCAAAAAGAAAAAGCAAAAGACAAGCCCATTTCCAATACAACATACTCAAACAGACCCCGAACACCGCTACGCCGACAGCAGCATCAGCAACTGCGTCAACAGCTGCTAAATCTGCGGACGACAAAGATGTCGTGTCCTCCGACTCTGCCAAACCAGACGACACGACAACTTCCGCCGATACGAAAACAGCAGCGGCAACCGAAACCTCCGCAACCGCACCAGTTTTCACCGATCTGGTCGCGTTCGAGACACTAAAGGCCACGTCGCACGCGAGCGAGAAAGCGGAGATTAGTGCGTTTGTCGAGATCCGGGCCGCGGACAGTACACCTGCAGTAGCTACTTCGGCAGCGGCGGAAAAAATCGTGGAGAGAAGCATCACCGATTTCCCGATCTTCCTGAACGCAAAAACCGCCGGGGAGGTGCTGAATAAGATTACACTCCTGAACGAATTCGACGGAAATTTTGAGGCGTTCTTGCTACACGCGCTGGGACAAAGCCGGCTGACGAAGTACAAGTTACCGGGATTGCCGGCGAAGGAGATGCCCGGGTGTGTGTAGAGGGTAGCACTAGCAGTGAAGAGATGAAGTGTTTCATAGGAAGCGGATGCCCAACCTCAATGAATTTTGTAGTGAACAACAAAGCGGTCTACGACTTCCGCTACCGCGTTTTTATACTGTCAGCCAGTTGTCGCAAGGCCCCAGTTTTATGTATCAAATGAAAAGATGGCTTGCTTCTGCTTGTAAGATGTACAAAAAGACGAAGAAATACGCAAGAAAATTTTACCTGTAAAGACCCAGTATTAATAATTGATGACTTGGCATCTTCACTGCTACTGTTGGAACACACGAAGCCGCTAAAGGGTTCAAAATGCTAAAGCTTGACACAGCTAGCAAAATCCTAAGAACTCACACGGCAGGGGCTGCGTATGCCTCTAACTGCCAAACCTGGGAAAGCATAGGAACAGGGTCCAGGGTCTCGATCATCATCATCGTCATCATCATCATGCTAGCGCTAAGCCTAGGGCTGAAGGATCTCGATCACACTGCTAGCGCTAAGGGTCAAGATCGTAAGCATTTGGATCAGGGTCATGGTGCTAAGCTTAGGCATTTGGATCCGGAGCGGTGCGTAGAGTGCATCTCGTCAACGCCCCTCCTGCAATCGTCGCCAAAAGCCATCGCTGACCCATGTCCATTCAATGCATGTAAGCATAAGTCAGTCTGAAAAGAGTGAACTACTTACAATCACGTCGAAGCTCAGGCGAGCTCGACTAAAGTCAATACTCCGAAAGGATGTAAACCGGTCCGCAACGCAATTCAGGTCTGTGCCCACTCCCACGTCTACCCTCATCCTGAGACGGTGGGTCTCGCAATGCTGTAAGCGCTGGAGATGATCCTCACTGGATAGAAAGCTTCTGACGCTGTTCTATACAGAGCGACAATCGACAACGTCACGGCATGGCGAGTAGCGGCGCAAGAATTGCGTAGCGACTCTCTGCTTGTGTCAAAATCAAAACTCTACTAATGGCAGGCACGCTCGCAGAAAAGCTACCTGTCCCCTCCTCGAATGAGAAGCGTCCAGCGCGCTCTAGCGTGCGCGATCCTGTCACGAAATGTATACTCATTGCGAAAACTCTTCTCTAACTTCAGAAATCAGCGTAGCCAGCCTCAGAGCTCACTAGACGGGTCCCCTCCTCAGATGAAAGTCCCCAGGCTGAGTCCGAAAACTGCAGATGCCGTATCTGGGTCCTTACAAACTGAGAGGTGGCTGCCCGCAGCTAACTCAAGGGTCTGAAGATAAATCTACAGAGAATCTGGAGAAAGTCTACTCTATTTCACTACGAGGGAAGTTCGTAAGCTTCTGCTACTACCTAGGGCCCAGACTATGAAACTCGACACATCATAAGACTTGCTGCTCCGTCTTTGACGTTGACTAAGCACCAAGGGGAGGCTTGGCGCGTCTATCTGTCTAGCCACTTCCACTCTGGGCTTCCAAAAGTCAGCTTCAGGCGTGGCCTCGTGCGTAGCTAGGGAATGTCGTCTGTGTATCCTGTGCATCATCCACACACTAGGAATCTCACTCCTCCTGCGATGACTTGACGCAAGGGAAGAAATTTCACTAGCTATCAACTACGTGGAAAAGTGTAAAGCAAAATGGATCACACCTATCCGGCGCCACGCCACACGCTCAAGCATCTCGCTTCATCTGTCAAACCTGTCGCAGGTCCATCTCTGTCCACGCTTCGCGCGTATTCGTTAGTCTATGACTCACTATTCACTTTCTGCTTTCGGGAACTGTTGCTATCTAGAGGATAGGCTTGCAACTGAGATAGTCGCTATCTTTCATTCCTGGAAACTCCGCTTCAGGTAGGTCCCAGCGGACTGCGATGCAGAATGAGTCGCCGAAGCAACGCAACACAGACCACCAAAAAGGGCTACCGTAATCATTGTTCAGATAGAATCGACTTGATCTATCAGAATCAGCGGGGTCACGCACTTAGCTCACCGAGTCACCCCTGACTTTCGTCATTGACTCTAGGTCTCACGCAGGCACAGGGCCACACGAGAAGAACATACCTAGGTCGATTGGACACCTTGACCATGCAAAGTAGGGTCGAGACACAGGGTCCTTGAGCTGCTCAAAAGTCGCTCTTGGAGTATGAGACTCACCCATCAGCTCAGTGCATCTGCTGGGTCTGAGTAAGAGGTCACTAGTCATGGTAGATCTAGCCTCAGAGTGAGTTTGTATCTAAGTGCACCAGGATCGGGTCTCCATGCTTCTCAGCTTAGGGCTGGAGGCATGTTGCATCAGGTAGCCTCGACGCTTTTCCAGCGGTGAAGCGCTCGAACCTCCGCAAGCAAGCCTCCCAAGGTAGGTCGACTGCCTGTGATTCGATGCAGTACCCACTCGCTCACGAGTCGCCATGTAGATGCTGAGCATGTTGTAGTGCGGAGGCGAACTCCCTACCACATACACACACTCACCCGACTTCGTCCGCGTCAAGTCTTTCATAGAAGAACGACACCGCGTCAAGTGCGTCTTCTTATATTTACAGCATCGGAGTTCTGGACACGAGTGGAGTCTCGCTTATCAGCGATCTTCCGCCACGAACCTAGAACCACAAGACTACAATCTGGACAGCTCGAACCGTGCAAAGGCACTTTCTTAGACAACTCACGCGGGACCGCGTAAGCTTGTCTTGTATAGAGCTAGACCTCGCGGACTAATATGCTCTATGTCTCCAGACTGTGTTCTTGTCACAAGCTGCCTCGGGGTCTTCCAACCTCGTGCGTCAGCTTGCGCCTAACTGAGTTGGCAATCCAGGGCTCCTTCACTGAGAGCATACCTCTCGAGCCTTTCTCTCACTTACTGGATTCTTCAACGCCTTCACCTCATCGAAGGGTCTAAGCTTGACTACTATGGACTTCTCTCATGCGTTTCGTCCAACTTCGATCCTCCCAGACGAGTCACGCGCACGACATTGCTCTACCTGGGTGCCAATCAGGAAAGTAGTCATAGCGATCATCTATTGAATCGGACTTCACAGCATGAGCAAAACTGAATCTTCCTCCTCCTGTCCTGACGACGTGCAAAGCAATGTCTCTCCCCTCCTCAGATTGAAAACCATCGGAGCATCGGAGAACGGACCAGAGGGGTTCAGTTCTGTACTTCTCTCCGTTTAGTTTCTATAAGACTAAGCCTTCCGCCTTCTTCTCAACGTGCTCCACCCCATGAACCTCCAGGCGATGAGCCGACCATCCATCTATGGTCTAGTCGTCCAAGCGCGGGCTGAACCGGCTGTGACGCGCCGTCTCGAAGGGCAAGATGATCTCTCTAGATAGGCTTCGCTTCACATACAAAACAGAGCTTCCCCATCGTGCGTGCCGAATCAGGAAAACCCAGCTGGAGAATAAGCCTACAGACGCAGAGGACTTTCAGCAGTATCCAAGCAACCAGGCTAACCGATAAAGCTCGCACAGGGATAGAAGGGGGCCACCAACTGCCGAGGGCAGTGGTAGTCTCTGCAGCTTCTCACGCGTGTCTCGCGCTTTCTCACTTCCTCTAGGCATCTCACCTTCTCAACATGGATTCTGTACTTTTGCGCTAACCTCCATGGACAGGACCTGAATGGGCTTCCTGTGTCCGATGGGTTTGCGGCGATTGCTCATCACTTGACGAGATCACCACTCAGGACTTCTCCTCCTGTCTGCTAACCAGACCGAAGAGATTCACGAACCGAATTCGATGACAACTGGGTCTCTCGGCTCATGTCCTGGCGAGTACACACACAAGGATAGACATTCTCAAACAGATTTCAAGTTTCTAGAACTGGCCCGACTATCTACTTCCACTCTATCTACTCTGACCGATACTCGGCGCTGCTGCGCTGGCTCTCAGGCCACGCAGAACACCTCTAAACGGGCTCGAAGCTCGTCGAACTCGGTCACGTCATCCATCAGCTGCTTGCTTCGCGTCGTCCTTCGTCGTCCTAGAGTGTTTCAATCATTTCAAAAGGTCACTCACTCACAGTCTTCAGCTCATAGCGGTTGCAATAGCAGCTGCGTCAGAAACGCTGCATCGCTATGCTTCAAGTGCTTCTGAGCATCATTCACTAAACTAATGCTGTCTATTGACAATCGACCTCGAGACCAAGGCAGCTGGGACTGCTAGCTTAGCTGTTAGGCTAGGCCTGCTGTCTCAGAGCCTCCCAGGTGGGCCTCATGTCTTTGGTCGTTGTCTGTCATACATACAATCTATCTTCACTTCTGTCAATTCATTCTACTTGGATCCTATTCAAATTCTGATCTACTTCATACATAGAGTCCCTGTCTTCCTTCCTTTACCAGGTCACGAGACGCAGTCCAGATGCTTTAGCGTGTTTGTTTTGCCAGGTCACTTGCGTAACCAGCTCAACAAATTCAGCACATCTGTCATCTTCCGCATCTCGAACACCTTCAAACGCAACAACACAAATCGGCCACGCTTTTCTTCGCTTGCCGTTGTTCTGCGCGTTTCCGCTTTTCGTTTTTTTGTACTTTTTCAAACACGTTGGCGACATGTTTCATTTTTCTTATTCGGTTGCAAAACCCACTCAGTTGCTGAACTGATGGGATGTGAGAAAAGGAATCTTCATCCACTCACTTAAGGAAGAACTTTGATCATCCGCGCATACTTCAAATCAAACAGGAATCCGTGAGGATGGTCCTCGTTCTTCCCTTCCTTCGGTTCCTCGGTCTTGCTCTCGCTCGTCTTCTTCTTGTTCCCCTCTTCGTTGTTCGCGTTTTCCTCGTCCTCCTTGCTTTCTTCGTCTCCGCTCTCGCGCTCGTCGTCCCCACTGCTTCCGCTGCAGCTCGTGAAACGGGGATCATCGGGGTGAGCGATCACCGACTCCAACGAGGGGGAGGGCGGCGGGGTCCGGAGTTCCTCGCTTTTCGGTTGGAACTGGCGCCAGGGCCGGAACTCCCGGGGCGGCGGGCGGTTTTCCTTGCGGCCGGTGCGAGGCGGGCCCCCATGGTATCCCAGGAAACCCATCCGGTAGGTTTCTCCGGGGCGGTTACCGTACGGGTGCCCGTGGGCATCCCATTCGTCCGCGTCCATGCTGCTCGTTTCGGCCTCCTCGTTCTCCGTTGTTCCGCTCTCCGCCGCGCTCTTCTCCGCCTCCGCCTTAATCCGGTGGATTTCTTTGCCAACGTTCTCGATGCGCTTCGCCGTCTTCTTGCCGTCGCAGTTCCGGACGTTCGCGCGGAGTTTGCTGCGCTGCTCCTCCAAGGCGTCCAAGTAGGCGGCGCGGGTTTCTCCGCGGTGCTGTCTGCTGCGGTCCCGAGACTCGCGGCGCAGATGCGTGCCCTTCGGGCGCACCAAGTAGCGGACACGCAGGCGGTCGGGGTCTTCTTCGAGCTGTTTCGCGCCGTGGCGCTCAGTGGCTCGCTCCGCTCGCAGGCGTTCCGCACGGGTGCCGGCGCTAAGGCTGTCCATGGTTTTCAAAGCTAAGGCCGAAGGGCTAAACCTTAAAAATGCGAGGAATTTGCTAAAGTTGGCGCAAGTTTGGCAGTGTTGGAACACACGAAGCCGCTAAAGGGTTCAAAATGCTAAAGCTTGACACAGCTAGCAAAATCCTAAGAACTCACACGGCAGGGGCTGCGTATGCCTCTAACTGCCAAACCTGGGAAAGCATAGGAACAGGGTCCAGGGTCTCGATCATCATCATCGTCATCATCATCATGCTAGCGCTAAGCCTAGGGCTGAAGGATCTCGATCACACTGCTAGCGCTAAGGGTCAAGATCGTAAGCATTTGGATCAGGGTCATGGTGCTAAGCTTAGGCATTTGGATCCGGAGCGGTGCGTAGAGTGCATCTCGTCAACAGCTACAGATGCCCTCCAAAATCAATGCGTGTGTATTACGTTCTTCACCACCACAACCTGCACCACTTACGGAAAAAATAACTTACACTATGTATTCCACGCAGAACAAAAATGTATCACAGAAAAGAAAAACGGCATGCTGCATGAGCTTCCACTTGAGAAGCGCTCGCATCCCTCGTTTGTTTCTTGTATCATTCTACAGTAACAATACCAGTTTCAATTCTAGATGATTGTAGTGGAGCAGGAGCTAGTGTATCGGTTATCGTTATTCTCTACCAAGTAAGTACAATACTTCACCGCTCTGGAAATCTGGACGTAATCGCGAAAACTACCTTGTAAAAGAAAGAAAGACCCCAATTGTACTGCGCTTGCGCTAAGCACTTCGTCTCAGATCAAGATTGATGCGTCTCCTGAGATACGTCTGAAGGAGGTACCCTGAAGCGCTATGTCGCTTTCGTCTGATGCTAGTTTTCTTTCTGCTTGTTCGATAGCATTGTACCAGGTTGTGCTGCAACCTCAAAAATGAAATGCGACCTGCACGACTTGCTTCTTAAGCAAATCATGTGTGTAGCTCCTGAGTTCCGCTACAAACAAACATGTCTTGTCTACATGCACCGAGGGTGGAGCGATGTGCATATCTTATCTTCTATGTTAGTTCTCCAAGTAGATGGAGGTGATGGAACAGGCAGCTTGAGCTTGTCTGTCACACAGGTGGGAGTGATGTTGTCGCGGCCTCTTTCGCGTTTGAAATCAGGAAGTTTAGAACGAGCGCAATTGATGTTTGGGTTTGCGTTCTTATTACCACCCTCCAAAACCGCCCGAGACAAAAATGCAGCAACCCTATCATGTAACCGCTTCCGCACCTGACGACAAGATCGATCCTTGGCTGGTGAAGCAGGTTACTGCTGCGACGAAAAAGCCTTTTGCTTTCTTCGAGAATAACGACGCGCGAAAATTTCGAGAGGACGAGCAGCCCGTCTACACGCTGCTCGACAAGCCCTTCCCGAGAGACGGGGCAAGCGGAACAAGTACAGTTGGAGCTGCAGAGTTGAAGGGCGGTGGTCCTCGCGAAAAAATTGCCAAAAAGAACAGTACAAGTGCTACCTCGTCTGTTGTATCTTCCACTGCAGCTGCAGGAACACGAACAACAGCAAGTGTAATCCCCGAGGCGAAATTTGCGTCGTCGAAGATGGACAGCACGTCTTCAAAGAGCGGCACTGCTGCAGTGAGAGAACCCGTCACCTCGAATAAAGCGAAGTTTCCTCCGAGGGTTGCGCAGACACCTGCCGCAGGTGCTGGTGCGGGTACGGCCCCAGGAATGTCAACAGCTTCATCGGGCAGAAGAAAATCGTCGGGGGCCGCTGTTTCGGCGACCATACAACCAGCTGCAGCTGCGCCCTCTGGGTCCTCTTCCTCGAGATCAAGGACCAGACCACCGGGCGTGCCATCCCTCACAAGCGGCATCAAGAACATCAATGGGTGTAGTGCTTCTGCGAGTGTGAGTGAAAAACCGAAAGAAATAACGAACGTGGCCAGCTGCGGCAGCAAAAATTCTCTCTCGGCCTCGTCTGGTAGTGCGAAGATGAATCAGCGTGGTTCACGCACGGCATCCAGTAAAGGATCCTCAGCGCCACATAAGCAGCCAGATCCCGCTACGACAACCGCGGTTCCGCCTTCCTCGGGCAGGAGTGCAACAGCTGGGAGAAGCTCTAGCAGTGCTGCGACGTCGCACCGAACTAAAGACGCAACAAGAGGCGAGAGCACAAGTGCGGCTTCCGTTGGAAGTGCCTCTGCCACCAGAAGCCGGGCAAGCAAAGGGCCACCGAGCTCCTCGTCTCAGCCAGGGAGTTGTGCAAAAAAACCCGATGACAGGCAACAAAGCCGTAATCGGACGGCGAAACTACAAGAGAAGGAGAATAGTAAAGACGCCAGCGCGGCCAAGAATCCTAACATCGAAAAAAGACCACTTTCTCCGCCGCTGCCAGCACCAGCCGACCCCGCCGAGCCCGACGACGGCTCCGACCTGGATGAGGCGATTACCAAACTTCGGCTGCAGAACTTTCAAAAGAAGTACATGCTGTTGCAGCAGAAGCGGGCAGAGGAGTTGAACGAGACCATCCAGTTAAACGAAAACGTCCGCAGGGCTCAGCAGGAAGCCAGTTTGTTGAAGCAGGAGCGGGTACGGAAAGACAGCGAGATTTGTCAGCTGCGGCTGCGCCAGGAGATGGTCGAAGCGAAGGCGAGCAAACACAAGGCCGAATTGCTGCGGTTAGCCGAGGCGTACGAACGACTGCAGGCGGAAAAGAAGAAAGTTCAGGTAAAGTGGAGTGACTGCGTGAAGTTTTTTGTCATGAGCGGCCTTATGAGGTCGCATGCCGCGGCATGGCCTCTTCTTTCTTGAACTGAATCTGCGTCTACCTTCAATATTCAATGAAAAAAGCATCTACCGTACTTCTTGCCCCCGAACTTAAGAACATACCCCTCCACCTCCACAGGACTCTCTCCACGAGCTGGAGCAGCGATCGCAGGAGCGCGACGCGCTGTTGCTTTTCTACCAGGTGCGGGAGCGCGAGTTTACCAGCACCGACGCGGAGAACCTAGAGCTGAAACAACAGAACCAAAGACTGAAGGAGCAAATTGTGTTTCTCTCCGGTCTGGTGTTGCAGTCGTCGGACAAAGAAAACAAGCAGGCACAGGAGCTGTATTTCCGAGGTGACGATTTCAAGTGGCCCGGGGGAATGCAGGAAGAGGAAGTGTCAGGAGAGCAGAAGGATGACTGAAGTTGATGCAGACATGACGTTCTTTTAGTTTTACTTCTCGGATCCTCGTGGTGGTCGGTGAGCTACTTTCTCTCCCACCGCGGCTACGCAGCAGCTGTCTTGTTTGTGCTTGGGCCTGATCTTTATTTAGCAACCTCGCAGTCGCATCGAGATATTCGCACTCTAGCCTTAGCCCCTTGACCAGCTTAAGGCTACTACCGATCCAACATAATCATCACCATCTTCTACTTCTACCTCGTTTTCGCATTGCTCACTTTGTTGGATGTCTTGGTTGGAGATCGAAAGAGCTGGGGTGAGGCCTTACAACTTTTCGACGACCAGAGGATAAATTCCACAAGCTCTTCGTGATGAGTGATGTGCTCGCAGCTGCCCACTCCCTGTTGTACTCTTTCGTCATGAACTTCTCGAGTCTAAAACCAAAACTACACTATCGTGGTTCTTTTTCACAACATTGATTGGTTCTTCAAGACTCAACCGTGTTTTTTTGTATGATGCTATCGTGAAGGTACTTTCATCTATGATGTTGAGCACTGCCTAGAGGCAGTTGCCCTCCCAACTCTTAGTACGAACTATGTAGCTTGTACTAGCTGCTGCGAATTGAGTGGTCGCAGATCCACAAGAAACCGCGTTTTGCCGATTCAAAATGGTCGATTCTTCAGTCTTCGTTCTGTTCGAGCTCAACGTGCGTTGCTATACTGTTCTTACTCCGTTGCCACGTTTGCAGCGGCTACACAGTGACGCGAGCGAACCTGCGAGAGGGAGATGAATAAAGCCACCCATCAGGTCGACATCGGCATCCCCGAGGTGTAGGTGGTTAAGTTTGATGAGCAAGGAGGCTTTGAGAGTTGCTGAGGAGCTGGTCGTGTGGCCGTGTGGGAGATGATGCCGGACTTCAGCTGAGAAGTGTGCACTTTGTGTTGACCACCCACCCGTAATGCCATCAACTTCAAATTAGCCGTGGTCTTCTTTGGCGGTTGCGGTTCAGGTTTTTCTTGAAGCAGGTGAATAAATCTTTTTAGCACACTGCACAAACGAACGGATTCTCATTGTGATATGGCCAGCACGACCGCACGTGCTCAAACTCAACAAGCGCCGCACCGACCCACGAGAAGATGAGCAGGACCGGCATGATGAGACCGCAGCAGAACCACAACCCCGGTGCCGTCGAGCAGCCGACCACTAGCGCACTCGACGTGGTCGCGGTCACCCCCCGCGTGGTGATTTTCCGCAGCCCCTGGCTGCTCGCAACGCACCGGGAGTGCCACCGAAACAACGTGGACCAACTGAGTCTTTTTTTCGAAGCCTTTGCACAGAAGCACGCCGAAGAGGATGTGCGGAAAGGAGTTGTAGGGAGAACATCGAGCTCTTGTTGCGGGTCCTCGTCATCCTCGTCCTCTTCAAGCAGTGCTGGTTCGATTTCGAGAACTCGTACTCGAGATGCTGACCATAATTCGCCCGCCGACTCCGTTGCTCCTGTAAAAGGATCCTACCAAATTTTCGATTTGAACGGAAACGAAAATTTGCGAGATTTCTTGCAGTCCAAATTCAACTCACGACTAGTCAGCTTCACCTCGCCGGTTGGAGCTGCGACTAGCTCGTCTTATGCGACGGGACAGCCCTCTGGCACAACAAGCAGTGCGGCTGGAGGTGCAGGAGAAGCGGGCAGTCGCAACTCCGCCACACAGCTGCATGACCGAATAGACCTGCAGCAAGAGCAGCTGTCTATAGCAAGCAGAGCCACTGGCTCCAGCACCACAAGATCTACAGCGAACGGTCCAGGACCGCCGGCGTTGGAGCTTGTGCTCGAGTTCGCGCTGGCCCTGAAGTGGTGGCTGTCGGTGGACAGGAAAAACGTCGCGTTTGTGCACTTCAAAGACAGCTCCTACTACAACCTCCTCTACCTGCTGGCCATCTCGTTTGCCGCTTCAACAGCAACAGGCAGAAGTGAGGGTGGTTCGTTGATGTTACAACCGGAAGGACTGGCTGAGACAAGCAAAGAGAAAGATAGCGATAGTGGATCGGTGGACGGAAAGTTGAAAAATGCTGTCGAGTTGTGTGGGAGCAGGTCCTCCTCGTCTTCTGATGCTGTATCAGCCTCCACGAGCACGGTCATCTCCGCCCGGGACAACTCGTGCCCGCCACCGCCGTTTCGAAGCCCAGAGGTGCTGCAGGGAATCGGTTTGGTGTCCACACCCAACTTCACCCGATCGAACTCTGGGAATAAGCTTGCGGAATCTACTTCTCGCGCCTCAGCGAACTACGACGGGCGTGGTGTGGCTGGTGACGTACAGGCGAGAAGGGCGTCGAGAATGGCGACTGCGGAGGAAAGTGCGCATACGCTCTTTCAAGGCGAGGTCGGAAGTGCTTGCGATTCTACTGGTAACAACTTCTGCAAAAAGTTGGTAGTGCCATTAGCCGGACCGTTCGCATCATCAAGAGGGGCACAAGCGTCGAACAGTCAGCATCGCGGAGAAGTAGAGAGTGGGAACCTGTGCGCCAGCGCAACATCAAGTAGGGCGGCAGATGAAGGTGTTGTGCACTTGATGCTGGTTGACATAGCCGCACCTGCTGAAAGGGCATGTTCTTTGGCTGCACCTTTGCGCAAGTACAATCACAGCAGTGGTGCTGGCAGTGATCGTGCCAAAGTCGCTTTCGGACAAGAACCGCAGTTCCGCTCATGGAAAGAGATTTTGGACACCTTGCTGACGACAGCACCAGGGAAGCAGCAGGGAACAACTAACGACGAGAAAATTCCAACTTCGAACACATCTGGCATCTCCGCAGTCGCTCCCTTACGAAATTCGTCTTCCGCGAACGTGATCTCTCCGTCGAAAACAGGACCAACGGGATCGAGCGTTTCCTCGGTCGTAAAGATGCTTCTCTTTTCCTCATCGAGCAGCTCAACGAGCGGTGGTACTACATCAGGCCCTGGATCTTCTTCTTCATCTAGCAGCAGCTCCATGATGATGCCCGCGTCCTGTGTGCGTTACCTGACCTACGTCCAGGAACTGCTTCGCACCTGGCCTAGGGAGATGGGTCGGATTTGCGATTTACGACCCGTGCGGGATGAAACTGCTGATGCAGCAAGAAAAGCAGCTGCTGACCAAGAACTTGCACTAGATGCAAGAAAGCAACCAAGTCTAATCGCTTCGTCCAGCTCGGAAGAAAATCTCCGCGTTGCCGCGGTCGAAGACCCCGGGGGTTCTGATTTGTCCACCTGCGAGCCGTCTTCGGGCATGGTTTCTTCCGGTGGGTCAACATTTTCCGACACTACTGCTAGCAGGAAGATGAAAGCGAGTGAGGCTTCCAATGGTGTCCGTAATGGCTCGATTGACGGTGTTGATGTCGGCGGAAAACCTGCTTCACTCGCAGACGCAGAAACGCAAAAGCCGAAGATTCGAACGCGGAAGTACCGGCTCCGGCGCATCAAGGTCAGCCATCCACCTGCGCCACCGCTGCCCCCACACCAGCACAACTTCGCACCACCATCCGCCGGACCGGTCTACCACGATACCGCAAACAGTCGCCCTCCACTGGCACTGGGAACTCACCACAGGATGAAGTTAACTTTCAAAATTTTCCATTTCAACCACGAGTTCCCGACTGAGACCGCTTCCGACCTGATTGCGACTGAACAGCATCACCTGCAACAAACCGCGACGTCCCCGGAGTTGAGCACATCGAGCACTAGCGAGGAGAGTAACACTAACAGCAAGCCGCACCCCTCGAACAGCAGCAACGCGCCATCGATCGCCTCCACGCACAGCCGGTGGAGCGAGCTCGAGCGGCAGCCGATGTGGCAGCCGAGTGCGCGGCAGAAAGGGCCGATACGCGCGACCTGTGCGAGCTTGAGTCGGTCCCCGAACTTGGTAAGGGCGGTGGGGGGCGGCGGGGTGAGTGGTAATGGTCTAGCAACAGCAGAACAGCAAGACGACACGCTGTCCGCATCGGAGTTGCGCCGGTTGGCGGGCGCGGGCGGGAGCTGCACGCCGAAAACATCAGGGAGCTGCTACGACAGTGCTTCTGCGCTTGCCAGCCCAGCACTGTACAACCCATATAGTACAACGAGTACGACATCCCGCACGCACAGTCTCCCCGGGCCGCATAGCATGGCAGGGTCAACGCTTGCCCCTCCGCCACCTTGTGCTTCCGCGGCAGCAAGCCAAAGGTACCGGAGCACCTCCCGGCCGCCGCAGCTGCCACCGCAAATTGGATCATCGCAGATGATGTTGAGTCAGCAAGACGGGCTGTCTGCCTCGGAACTGCGCAGATTACACAGTGAGGCAGCGAAGACCCCGAAGAGCTACGCTGGCGGTGGAGGTGGAGGGGGCTTTCTTACCAGCGCCAGTCTCGGGCTGAACCTGCAATTGGGCGGAGCTGCTACGGTCAGAACGGCATCCGGGTCGTCAACTTCTCGAACACCAGTGAAGCAAACGGGGACCGGCGCTAGTGGAACCTCTAGTACTACCAGCACGCTGTCGTTTCTGCAGTCCGCGGTTGCGCACTGTATCCAGAAGACGCCCATCATCAATTGCGGGCAAAATAGCAAGGCAAACCAATACGGTGGCTCCGCAAATCTCCGCTCTCCCTCTGCACACTCCGCGATGCTGGAGGAGCAGCACATTTCCTACACGCAGGCCCGGGACCGCTTCGAACAGATGGCGCAACACAACAAATCGCCGTTCCTGTCGAAAAACCAGGTGTCCATTGTGGAGTACCAAAACCAATTCAATTGGAAAACCGGGGGGAAATTCAAAGAAGTGATGACCTTGTTTGACGACGAAAATGATGCACGCGTTGATCATCAACACGGACATTTGTTGAGCTACGGCAGCTCCTCCTGCAGCACAACCAGGAACAACGATAGCAGTACAACTGTTTATTGCAAAGCCGTGAGTTACGAGGACTACACCGAGTTTCACTTTGCGGAGGAAGTTTTATTGGAAGGCAACGTATGCATCACCTGTTACCAACACGTCGACCACACAAGTAGCAACCTGCTTCCGCTCTGGCACTACTTCTTCCACACAAACTTCCTTCCGGATCTGGTTGCGAGTTGCGCTCTTGCGGACACCTCAGGGAGGAGCAGCAACGACGATGCTAGTGTCACAAACATGCTCAATCTGGCGCTCAGGAGAGAAGATGTCGACCACGTGCTTGCGGACAAAAACCACGCCAACAATCTTCACGCTGTCTGCAGCTTCCAAGCGTTGGACCCGGAAGATGAGGTCGATCCAAAGTGGCTAGCGTCAGCCTCAACGCAACAACATCACTTGCAACTCAGAGATGTGGTGTCATCAAGTGAACAGCAGCAGTCTGCAATAGCCGGCCGAAGCAACAGCAAGACGTTCACCTCGATTGAAAACGGGGTGCTCCAGATGAAAACGACAGTCGGCGTGATCCAGAATGGCATTGCGAGGGTGGAAGTCGTTCCTGTGTCCGCGTCCTCGACTTCTTCTACGTCAAACGGAATAAAGAGAAGCACTAGCAGATCTTCGTCCGCGAAAAACAGCCCTGCGACGGAAACGGCATTGCCCTCGCCGGTCTCCTCGTCGCCCGCACGGGTGCACAAGGGTTCGTCGATGAATACGAGGAGGGAAAACACTATCCATCATCTCCTCTTCCCGACAATACCAAATCTGGAAAAAACCCATCTTCTTTTCCGTAAACGACACCACTGTGCACCGAGCATGAAGGAACTCCGGCTGCTGCTTGCGGACAGGGAGTTGTTTGCCGGTTCGAAGGTGCAACAAGTGCAAAATTTGGAGGCGAAGGAAAAAGCGGAAATTTTGAAGCTGGCGTTGCAGATGTGCAGCAACGATCTGGAAAAGGCACTGGAGGTTTTGGAAACCGTTTTTTCTCTGAACACAAACCCCTTTGTCAAGAAGCTGGCCGCAAAACGGGAAGTCGCAGCGCAACGTGCAGCGGCCAGGAAGCTGTTGCGAGAGAAGTTGTCTTCTAGTGGTGGGGCAAAAGTAGAAGCAGAGACCACAACGTCGCCAGGGAGGAGATGCGGGGCTATGCATAGTCCACACGACAGAACTCATTCTGGTGAAATAACAGGGAGCAGTACAGCTAGAATCGAGGCCGGAAAAACCACCAGTTTGCATAGGACGCGATCCGCGGCGCCTGTGCCGTCCAGGCTGTCAGAGTCTGAATCAACTAGTCTGGGTGCTCGGCCCTCGCGTTTAGCGGTGACGCCAAATTTGGAAAAGCGAGACGCCGCAGGTGTGCTGCCAGGGTGTGAAATACGCGAGCAGGAACGGCAGGCCGACAAGAATGACCAGTCCGCCTCCGTTTCGACGAGCAGCACGGTGGAACAAGCGAAAGCCAAGTTCTTACCCGGCTCTCGCATCCTCGGCGACCGGCCCCCAAGACCACCGCCAGTGGCATCGAAAAGTGTTCTTGGAGCAGCAAGCACCGTCACGCAGGCGGTCGAGCGGGAGCTGTCTCCTCCGGAACGAGCGACGTTGAGCGGCCCTGCGTCCGCCGTAGTTGCTGTTACGGGAGGTGTTGCTCGTGATCATGCTGGGCGGGACGACCTCCCCTTTTCAGAAATCACCGCAACTTCACAAACACAAGTGATTGTCGGAACTTCACCTTCCTCGTCCTCGAGAGTCGTGCCGCCAGAACTAGTGCCACCGGAGGAGGTACGACACGCTGATTGTTAAGATGATGCACAGGCATCAATATCAAAATGCTGTTGGCTATCGCCTGCACCTTTTGCTTTTGCATGCACGGTCCCATTGTGCATTGTGATTGTGATCCGCTTTCTTGAGTCCTCCGACATTCTCCTTTTATTCCTTGGACTCGTAAACAAAAAAAAACCTCAAAACGTCAAGGTCTTATCCTCTTCATCACGCCGCACCCTGGAGCAGCAGCCGCGACCCCAGGGTGCCCTTGGAGGAAGGAGTGCGACAGAGGCTGATCTTCTGACGCCGGCACTTTCCTCAAGGCAAGGGTCACCGGTCCACGTCAAGGAGCCTCCAGATAAAGGCGCTTCCGATCCTGTTGTTTCCGGTGCGGGTACACAGCCGCTGCAACCGGAGCGCTCTCCTCCTCAGACGACGACTGGAACGTCGTCGAGCACGATGAAGTCGAAGCTTCTTGTCCACTCCTCCCCAAAACTTGACGCGCTGCGGAACCAGTTGTACGTGCCGCGCCCGCCGCCGCCACGACAGAAGAGCGCTGATGCAGGAACTTCCGGCTTGCAATTTCTCCCCGGTAGCCCGCCACGCTCTCCCGGGTTGTCGACCCGGCCTGCTGGCACTGTTCGTGCTGGCGTGTTGCCTGCGAAAACCGATGGCGTGTTGCAAGGACAACATGGACAAGTTTCGCGGCTTCGCGATGTTGTTGGACATCAGACGCAAACGCCACAGCTGCATCCGACAGGCGGCGCAAACAGCGAAAGAACTCCCACGGTGTCGGCGTCCTCTGCACGTTCGATGTACCAGCGGAAGAGCCTTCCAGCCGCGCCATTGCCACCACCGCACGCGCTGCTATCGCCGGCGAAAAGTGTTAGTGGTCAACATCAATTTGCTGGTGGAACCTACGCGAAGGAGCACGAATCCTGGTGTTTGACCTCGGAAAAGATTGGCGGAGCCTACCAGTCCTCCAGACCGCCGGAGAGAGTGGCAACCAGCGATGACCATGAGGCAAGAACATCTGCCGCTGGTGGAACTCATCGTGTGGAGGAAAACGTCGGACAAGCCAGCGGACAAGGGTCCTTCGAGGGTCGGAGGGTGGACTCTTCACGCATTCAGGACTCACTGGAGCTTCCAGGAACTCGGCTACAGGCGCCACTTGGGAGGCACCAGACGGACCACAGAGAGAAATTGCACGCCAGCTCTTGTACTACTGAAACGAGCGCAGGACTTACTGCTGTTGTTCATCGTGATCATCCTGTGGCACCAGAGCAAGTGCTTGCATCTGGGTCCGCTTCATCTTCACGTGTTCTTGGGGCCGCTGCTGGTGAAGAACCAGAGCAGCTCGTCTTAGTACCTGCCACGGTGCATGTCCAATCTTCGCATCCGCCACAGCAGTCGCCAACTTCATCTGCCAGCACGCAGCCGGGTGCTCCTTCGATGACGAAGCGACCTCCGCTGCCGCCGAGCGGATCGCCGGTTTCGAACCAAGGAGCTGGTCGTCAACCTCCTCAACCCGATCAGCGCGTCGTCCTTCTCCCAGCCAACGGGCAGCAGCAGCCACCACTGGCAATGCAAGACGACAGGGGGGAACCGGTTTCAGCTTCAGGAGTTGCCTTGGTCAATAGCAGCACCGGCACTTGTTTTCCCAATAGCAAGCCCCCGGTGGAGCAGCTGCACCAGCACACTCAGCCGCACGTCAGCATCACATCTTCCTCGACGCGCACGACCTCCTGCTCTATCGCGTCCGTCTCATCCATTCTCGACAGTCTGGACCCGAACGCAGTCGACGACGACCCGCTGCTGGCACTGGTGCAAACTAGTGGAAGTCAAAGTCGCAAGTCGTCTTTGCAGGACCACGTCGATCTGCCGCCGGACCGAAACGTCTTACGAAACCAGGATGAAACTGCGCGCCAGCCTGTACCTGTAGATAGCGATGGTGGAACGAGCGGTGCAGTCGTGGCAAGCGGACCTCCAGCTTTCACGGCCAGCACGAGTGCGGCCTTCGACGCGCTGTCGCAGCCTCTGGTGCTGAAGTCCAGAAGTCCGTCTGGTTCTCCGGGAGCAACGCCACTGCAGCAAGACGGACACCTGAACCAACAGCACTTGAAGAAAGCTGGGACTAACTCGCCTTCATCGGTTCTTCCCTTTTCACAATCGCGATTGTCGTCACCTGCCGCCGCGGTCAATCCGTCCATAACGTCGCCACCGAGCACGTCACCCACTTCATGCACGGGCGGGCAGACAGTCAGTGTGCCAGAAGGTTTCAAGATCGCACTGGTCCCGGTTGCGCAAGCGACGGCGAGTAAGGAGCCCTCTCTCGTCGGCGATGCAGGTAAAGGCGATCTTGCGGCGAGCGCAAAAGCTGCAATGGCGGAAGATGACGAGCATGTTGGCGGCTCCGCAAAAGGAAAATCGGGACAGGAAAAGGGTCTTGGTGGAAAAGAGAATCTGCAGCTAGGTGGAAAGAAGGGCAAGCCGCCGAGCGCACCGCCTGCGAAAGGAGGTACTTCCAAAGAAACCTCCTCGAAAGGGGCTTCTTCCAAGCCCGCCCCACCCGCGAAGGGCAAGCCAGAGCCCCCAGGCAAGGGAGCAAAGCCGGCGCCACCGGCGAAGGGCGGGAAAAAGGGGGCTCCGGCGTGTCCACCAACCGGGGCGGGGGGAGCGAAGGGCGCGAGCAAAGGCGCGGGGAAGAAAGGGAATAACTCGACTGCAGCAGGGAAGAACTCTGCGACAGCGGCGAAGAAGCGGCCTGGGTTTCTTCCCCTCGGAAAACAGCTCTTCTGGACCGACACTTCGCACGAGGCCACGGGAAAGCACACAATCTGGGAGGCGCGGATCTCCGCGGATTTGAAGGCGCAGCTTTTCGACGACGTCGAGGAGTCTGACTCGGACGCAAGCAGCAACACGACTGAGGACGACGAAGACAGAAATGAAGGCACTGCAATGTTGCTGGATAAGACGAACAAGCCGCTTTCCTCTGCCTCCAGACTGAGCTGCGAGAGTACCAGTAGAACAAGCTCTTGCACAGAGGCTGGCGCTCCTGATGGTGAAAAGATCGATGGTGCACAGCGCGAATCAACAATATCCCGCTCGGGTGGAACAACTGCGAACGCAATCGTGCTGGACCAAGGGCTGCATCGTCCAGACGACGGCGAAAGTGGTGTTCTGGAGCGGAAAAATTCGGGTCTCGACGCTTTGTCCGTCGGCGACAACGATCCTGATTTCGTCCCGTCAGACAAAGAGATCACGGACGCTTCGAGCACGACCACCGCCAGCACACGACACCCCGCGGAAAATACCGCTCCGGACGCCAGCTTGTCACAGAAACGGAAAAATCTCGACAAGAAGCTCGCGAACCGCGAGCGCCACGACCTGAAGTCGATCGGGTCCTTCGCCGCGGAACTGCAGAAAAAGTACGGGTTCCGAGTGCGCAAATCGAAGAACAGCAAAAATGACAGCTCGGATGACGAGGGAACCGCATCGGGCCGAAAAGGCGGCGCAGGAAAGAACGGGCAGAACGGCGGTGGAGGCAAGGGCGCGGACGGGAATGGCAAGGGTGCAAACAAGAAAGGGAAGAAGCACGAGGAGCAAGCAATTCTCTCCCGCGATCGGCATTTGCAGATATCCGTCTGTCTCGCGAGACTGCCGCCCAAGGACCGGATTCTGGCGGATTTACAGGCTTGCACGTACCTGCACCGGATACGCGAGCAGCCTATTGTGGAAGAGCTACGCGAGCGGTACTTCGCGACGGCCGCGGAGAAGTCGGTGCAGGAGATGCTTGACGCCGGGAGTCCGGCAAACAATTTTGGTGGAGGTGGTATCGACGAGCAAAGGGATCCCTTCCTGGCTTTGCCCTCAGATGTAGTTGTGAAGGAGGGCGGTGAGGACGCACTGGAAATGCTTGAAGAGAAGAGCTACATTGAAGGAGCAAGATCCAGCACGGTCGTGGCTGCAAGACCAGCTACGGCAGCGAATGTAGGAGCCGCAGATCTGGTTCAACTGCAAGAAGGGCCAGGAGCAGATACAGAGCGAGCCGCTCTTGAACTCGAACTCCAAGACAACACGAGCAAAAAACTGCGCCCTCTCTCCTTTTTCGTCCGCTATGACCAGGACGAGTTGGAGAATTACAAGCGGCTTTTCCCCACGGACGAGGAGATCAAGAAGATCAACCTTGTCCAGAGCCCCGAGCAGCTGCACCCGATCGAGCAGTTTGTGATCCAGCTGAAAAAAACCGTTCCCCGGCCCATCGAGCGCATCCGCCTGATGCAGTTTCAGCTCGAGACGAGTCTCTGTTGCAACACCGACTACGCGGGGCACGCGTTCCTCCTGCAACAACGCAGGAAGCTGTTTTTCTCCCCTGGATCTTCGACTCTTCCGGGACCTCTGGAAGCGATGTTGTTCTCCTCGGACCGGTTCATGCCGCTGCAGTTGCAGGGGAAGCACGCGCCACTGGTTTTGGCGGTGTTGTACGGAGGCTCCTGCTCGGGGGCGGGCCGCGCGGAGCGGCAAACACCGACGGCACGACGGAGTGCCCCGGGCGCGATGGTCGACGCGGCGGCCCTCGCGCGGATGACGGTGGCGACCACGTTGCCCGAGCCGGTGCCGTCCATCACGGCGAGCGCGGTGACAACGATATCGGAATTCATCCAGGCGAACTCGGACGAGTGGCACAGCGTGACGCACGCGAGCTCCCCGGGCGTGGAAGACGAAGCGGCAAACTTCTCCTGGTTTTTGCAGGCGGAGTTCGGAAATCTCGGTCCCAAGGCCGCGGGAGTGACCGGGCACGCGCGCGCGGTTATGCCGCTCGAAAATTTGCCGCCGGAACTGTTTCTTGCGTCCTCGTCCACCTCGAGTGCTGGAGCATCATCCTCAAATGCACAGCTTTACAGGGGAGGACTCGGCTCTAACCAGCAGAAGGATCAGTATCAAGATACGGTGTTGAAAGAGCTCCTTGCGATCGAAGCGGCTGTGTACGAGTGTTTGCACAGTAAGGCACTGCAGACCCTGCTGACGATGGTTTTGCTGCTTGGAAACTACGTCAATTACGGTGTCGACATCGTGGCGCACTCGACGGGGGCAGCTGCAAGTGGGCCTAGCTCCTCGTCGTCCTCCTCGTCTTCAGCGACCGAGGAGAAGGACAAGCAAGCAAGTGCGGCCGCTGAAAATAACCTGGACGGCAGTGGTGACTCGTGCCAAAAGCAACCGAGCGAAACGTCGGAGGGAGCGGAAACCGCAGCTAATGCGGAAAACGACGGGAGCAAGACGCCGTCCTCCTCTGCGAAGGGCGATTTAGACGATCTCCTGCACACGAAGTCTTTTGCCATCGGCAGTTTGAAGAAGCTTCGCGAAATGAAGATTCAGGGGCAGAAAGGAGAGGTATGGATAACTTTCATGATTTCTTTCTTCAATTCACGATGAATTCGCACGGACTTCTGCGCCGGCTCCTGTCGCTTATATCTTTATGTTGCAAGTCCAAGTTGCCATTGCTTTGCATGACCGGTCTGCATACTGGTTTTCACTATTTTTGTCATTCAGGTCGACATGCTAACGTTCCTGGTCCACCGCCTCCCGCCCGACTTGAATGAGCAGCTGAAATCCGAGCTGCACTACGTCCTGGCGGTTTCCAACAGCATCGATTTCGCTGACGTCCGGGAGAAATTGAAACTCTTCAACGACAATTTGAATTTTGCGACCCGGGAAATTGCCAAGGCACCAACAGCGGTCATACCAGCGGGAGTTCCGGTAGCTGTACAAGTACAACAATCGTCAGCCACTGGGGGAAAAAAGGACGAAGACAGTGTTCCTGCGACAAACACTAACGAGTCCGCCCCCCCACGGCCTCTGTACAGCGCAGCTTGCATCGACGACATCAAGGACAGCATCCAGCGGGGTGAGCAGAGGAGAATCCTGCTCCAGGCCCTGTTCGGCTACACGGACCTGCTGGGGCGCTACCTGGTGCGGTATTTTGCGGAGGACAAAAATAAGGAGACTTGTGAGACGTTTTTCAAAAACCTCGGGTCCTTCCTGCGCGACTTCGACGCCGCCGCGAAGAAAAGCCGGAAGGAACGGGAGAAACGGCCGAAGACTTCGTCGGCTGCGTTTTCGAGAAGGGAGGCCAGGAGGGGGACGAGGTGAAAGTTGGACATCTTGTTGACTACCTGCCAGTGCCAGCATTGAGTTTGTCGTTTCCTTCAATTAGTGTTGGGGTTGGCCATAAATGTACTTAATATGCTGCCTACCGTGACCGTCGCTACCATCTGGTGCCTGTGGGGTTACGTATTTGATTCGCGTGTTGACGCATTCGCAGGCCCTGAAGATGCTTAGCTTTCCTTCGCAGTTATTTTGCCGGCTTTACCTACTTTTTAACTTTTTGAACCTTTCCTGTAGCTATTCCAGACCGTGACAATACAAGAACTACTACCCTTTTATTATAAAGAAAAAAGTTACTCACGCGAGCTTTACGTCATTTTTGCACCTTAGTTTATTTTGCGTCGAATCGGAACAAACTTTGGATACATGGAGTGCTAGCTTGTATTTTTGCGGTAGTGTGGTGCTTTTGTGTTGCCATAGAATGCCGAACCGTGGCGGATTTTGCACGAGAAAAAACTCTACGTACTCTATACGTAACAAGCAACCTTCAGACTCAACTTGTGAAGTGCTAAGCAGAAAGAAGAGAGACAACTACAATTTTACCTATCAACCTCAGAATTTCTTGGGAATGATCCAATACCAATCTTATTTTTTTCACTAAAACATAACGCCCGGAAAGCATGACGCGGGTGCTATCTGACTCAGCAACGCTCTATCTTGAAGAGCCGTACGATGTCGAAAAAGGCTTTATCAACCTCTAAGTAGTGATAATAAGCGCGACCTCAGTGCGGTTTCTGTTGAGATGATTTATTGCGCCTCGTTTTCATCCCGGTGGATTTTATGGGATGGACAAAAGTAGGCAGCCGCGCAACAACCCGATGCAGTGACAGCCTTCAATTTGCGGGCAGCAGCTGGAGCACAACCAGGAGGAGCTCACAGCTGTCATCGTGTTCACGGTATATTGGCAAGAGGTCGTCCAGCAGCTGCTGCTGCAGTCGCCGTCGTGTATTGGCGTTTTGGAGATCAAGATCAAAAGGGGCAAGACAACCTTCGCAGGCTGAACGTTAAAGATGTTTTGGCTTGATGGATCATAGCGATGTTAGAGCTAGATGACATCAGAAGATGCAGCTTGATTCACGGTGCCTTGAAGCAGGTCGAAGAAGAGTATAATTTGATGCCCTGTAGAAGAATCGTAGGTATATTCAGTTTAATTATTTCTGCGCGAAACAGATCAAGACACAACTTTTACACATTGTCACCATTTTGCCATCAAGCCTGATGTGCGACAAAATGGCAGCTTGGATGACGTATAACGAGCATGTTCTCGAGCAGGCCTGGGAGCTCGCCGCCACCAAATTGAGCGACTTGATAGCGGGATACGAAAGTGGAGTAGATCGTGTTCGGGTCAAACGATTGATTGAACGCCAGGAGGACTTTCCGACGTTTTATTCGAGGTTCCTGCAGGAAGTGGAGCAACGTCTCGTTGACAGCACAATTAAAGCAATGGAGGATAGTTTGGGAGACGTGTTGCAATTTCCCGACGAACTGATTCTCAAGATCAACGAATTCCTACCTTTCACCACCCACCATGAATCCGCACAGTTGCTGGACCCGTGGATCCCGCGAATGCTACCGGTCATTTTGCCTGCTCGTCTCAACTCAATGCCAAAGGAAGTTCTGTACCAGTTTTGTGCTTCCAAGCTCGAGCACGATCTGCAGCTGTGGCGGAATTCGGAGAAGTTGAAAATTGCACAGAAGGTTCAGGAAAAGGCCGCTGCGGGTGAGAAGAGACGTAGAATCAATATCAACTATCGGCGCCACGACCGCGTGCTTGACGAAGCGTGCGACCTTCAACTGCGACCGTGTCCATCTATTCCGCAGTGGCTACGGGAATTCGACCTGTCCAGGAAGCAAGCGGGTGCCGAAGTGGGAGAAATCATGGATGTGTTTGTTGCCGCGGGCTACAAAGTTGATCAGAGGGCACCGGGACAGTCGCATCTTTGTGACATCCAGCTGTCGTGGTAAAATGATATCTCCTTTTCGACGAATTGGCGGAGGGCGTTAGAGATTGAAGAATTTTACGCGAAGTCAGTCTGTTGCTTACTTACTTCTTTTGGGATCTTGGTCTTTCACGTGGTAAAGAACAACTTCCAAGATACTGCCAGACAGCAGGTGGAATGGCGCGCTCGCTCTTGCTATTGATCAAATCCTTACCAGTCTTGTCGACCAGCTCGCAGACAGTATCACATCAGTGATTTTGTTGAGTTGCTCTGTAGAGTCAGTGCCGCCAGTTTCTAGCGACAACATCGCATTGCTCGTTTAGCATGAAGTGCCTTCTTTTTCACGACAGACAAACAGTGTGAGGGGACGTCAAACACTTGAGACAATGATTCCGCAACAAGGGTTGTGCGGCTCACGACCGGCATTGGCTGCACTTCCAATATCTATGTAGGAGTTTCACCGGATCCGGAGAATGGAAAAGAAAGACACTTCGTTGGTATCTTCTTCGGAGAGACGAAGCATTCAAACTTGGAGTGCACGAAACGAATTTTTGCGTTTTTCGTGAGGAGTCTTGAAGTATTTTTTTACCATTTTACTTAGTAACGTTTTCGCAGAGCGAGACAGAACAGCCGCAGGAGTGTGTGGCAGACCCGTGAGACGACCCAGAAATACGCCAGAGGGGAGCTCGTCAAACGTAGCACTCGGCACTTCTAGAAGCAAAGATGAGCTTGGGTCGTACGGGCTTCCAGAAAGCTTTGCTCCCTACTCCGTGTCGTCGCGCAATCCGGGTGGCACCACAGCCCGCCCACGCAGCTTGTCTAGCAAAGCCGTTCAGGCTCCAGAGACGAAGCGTTGCCGACGTAAACCTGAACGCGCAGGTTCGAGCTACAGTGGGTGATGTTGCCGCTGGAGGTAATAGTGTGGATCCCATTTGGGCGATCGCGGACCGTGACTACGAAAGGCGAAGAGGCGCATTTTACTTTCGAACGGAGGGAATCCAGTTTTTTTGTGACGAGATCAGTGGGGTTGACAAAGAAGTGGAATTTTGCACCCTGCCACACACCCTCGGAGCTGTACTACTGTTCCGCTTCACAGACGGATCACTTGTCTCGACTGGCAGGACGATGGAAATGTGCGCGAACTCGTCCACCGGTCCAGACGGAGAAGACACATGGCGTCCGGTGTTTCTGCGTTCCGCAAGACGAGCGGACTACCGTCGCAGCGATGGGCAGGAAATCTTCCGCTTTACGGAGCGCCGCGCCTCGGGTCCGAGTCTGTCTTTCTGCGTAACTCCGTCGCGTCGTTTCATATTTGGTGGCGAGTCTTCTGATGGGACCATGTCGACGCAGGGACTACGCAGAAACGTTTCCTTCTCGGTGAAAGATCACCTCTCAAGGACTCTCGTCGCCAGGATGTTGCGTGAAAATTGGGCTTGTCAGCCGTCTTACCCCCGCGCGTATTGGCTGCAGGAACTGGATTGCTGGAAGGATGTGCACGGCTTCGTCCGATCGAGACTTATACCAGGAATTGTTGAATTGGAGCGATTGTTGTGGAAACCCTTCGGCCTTTCCCTGTCGTTTTCCCTGTCAACCTGCGACACTGGCGCGCTTCTGTTCTACCAAGTCGGGCATTACCGTGTCTTGCATCGTTGCGCCGCGTATTCAGGTCCGGGTAAGCACCACAAGCTTATTCCGATGACGAGAGCGGTTGGTGGCAGTGGTCGAACAACGCCGATGGCAGCGAGCGACATCGACGCAATCGATCTCGTCGCTGCGCTCGATTACGAAAGAGGACCAGAAAGAAAACTCGTGGGATGTTTTCTTTTCCCTCAAGCAGTCGTTCGGGCCGAGCTGCAGTGCCATGAACAACATGACGCTCGGGCGCAATGTGAAAAGTATCTGCTACTGGTTTATCCCCCTTCTAGCCAGCCCACCATGCGCAAGACGAGAAAGAAAAAAGACGAACAGCAGAGATGGTATATCGACCTACGTGCAGCCGCGTGTGCAGCCACGCGGCTTCAGAAGCTGCGCGGAATTCTCGAAGAAATCGAAGCAGTCAAGCGGATCTCTACTGATTTAAACATCTCTGAAACGCCAGTAGCTGCAGGTGCAGCCATCTCCCGCTGAAACCAACGGTCACAGAAATTGCTACACGTATACTCCACATACACATAGTACGTTCTATAAATATTCTTTTCTGTTTCCACTCGGCATGCTTTTCAGCATATTGAACTGAAGATCGAAGAAGCAGATGCTGATGAGGATGATGGGTCGGCGTGTCTAGCGTGATTAAAGGCGGGAAGACCAGATCGTGGCGCTGATCGTGTTCGAACGCATGTATATATATGTCTTTCGGCTCGTGGAGGTCGGGACTAGATCAGAGTCAGAAGAACACCCAAAACCGGTGGGTACAAGGAGGGCTCTTGTGCAGCTTTTCCGATCTAAACAATGGAAGAATCATATGAACGGATGAAGAGAAATTGAAGATCATATAAAAGAACGCCGTATGATACGCATGATTGGCTTCGCGTCGGCTTTCGCAACATTGATACGTAGGACGTTCCATGTTGGTTTTGCAACCGTAGTCGTGATCGTAGCTTGTGGAGATTTTAGGGTCGCAATGCAACGTTTCAAATAAAGTTTCCTATAATCCCCGTGGCCAGGTCATCACGTCAACGTCATGATTCTGTACCACAGAGAGAATCCCTTTTTTTCTACTTTACCTTGTTTCGAACCTGAACCATACACGATCAAGATCATCTCAAAACTCTACAACCACCAGTCGTTCGCAAATCTTGTTGCGGCTGGCTTGTTTTTCAAGCGCGTTTGCTTTTGCGTTTGTTACTTCAAAGTTTTTCTAACCGTACTCACCACCACTGCTTTCAACACCGGGGGCATTTGTTTCGCGAATGGGGTTTCTATCAAGGCCGGCACTCCATCATCACCGTACCCCTATCCCTACACGTTCACCCGTATGAAACCAAAAAAACACACATTATTTTGTTGGCAGGACCGTGTCGTTGCAGTTGTCTTCATTTTTGTCATGCGATGAATGTTATTCATGAGATGCAAGCAAGAAACCGCAGCACTAGAACTGGGAGTAGGACTAGCTTCGTATTGTGTCGTTTTTTTGGTTCCACTACCCGCATTCCGATTTCCTCTGGAGACAACGAGACCAGGCGTCGCTTTACCCGCCGGCGATCTTCGGGTTCCGCGACCGTTTCCGGCGTTGAGGAGTCCGCTTCAGCGGCGTCGGGCTCTCCTAGATCATCTGTCCGCGGTTTTTTAGGGACCGGCTGTGCGGAAGACGCTTTTGTTGCTGAAGCACCTGACGGGGGGGCCGGGGCGGACGCCGAGGGAAAGAACAAGTGCGATGAATTACTCTCTGACGAAAATTTAATTGTTACGACGCCACCTCAGTACGAACACGAGGAGCAGTATCATCATGTAGGACTTTGTCCCGTTGGAACGGACAAACACGAGGCGGACGATACTACTGGGGATGTTAATCCACCGGCGGTGGCGTCTCCAATTTCTAAACCGATATTGTTTGCTGCGACAGAAACATGTGACGACGGCAGCTGCACACGTACTAACGCACCAAAAACAGATGAAACCGAACCAGCCGGATCCGGCCACAAGAAGGACGCAAGAGCCACCGCGCCAGTGACTGTGACTGTGCCTTCTCCGGAGGAAAGTGCAATCGGGTTAAAGAGCGGAATGGGAATGAGGGAAGCTGAAAGCGAGGGAAGCCAGATGCACGTAGACTGCAACGCGACACGTGAAAATGAGTCAAGCATGATCGCTGCCGCAGCTTCCCCTCCCACAGATGAGCTCACAAGCAGCAAACCCCTCTGTGAAGATGCCCTTCCGTTGAAGCGAGACGATGGGTCTCCTGCGTTGAAGAGCTTTTCACCGCCCGAACAGCAAATGACACAAACGAGACCTGGGACAGAAACAGCGGAAGCGCTTCTAGCGCATCAACCGACAAAAATTAGTTCGAGTTGTAAAGATACAAATGGCGTAGACCGGGATGCGTCTGGGAATAGCAATAGCCCCTTGCAGATGAATCTAGTACCAGGATCAGCCTGCAAAGGCGCTGCTTCACGACCAGATCACTCCACCACTAAAGACGGCACCAACGAAGCCGAAGACCAAGATGAGGAGGAAGATGCACTGCCCGTAAAAAAAGCTGCGAAGACAACAGCTTCTGGGAGTACCACGGGCCCCACAACAACCAGCACAATCTTCGTCTACGGCACACTCCAGTCCGTCCTTGTGCTGGAAGCTTTGTTGTCCCGCGTTCCAAAACGCAAACCCGCCGTTTTGGTCGGACAGAACTTTGAAGGTCCGTTTTTCGTGCGGGAGCAACCGTATCCCGGGGTGGTGGTGACTAGAAGTGCAGAGAGTTCTTGTAACGGTGTGTCGAAAACAAGAGGCCCAGTGGCATGTGGCGGTCAGCACTTCAGTTCTTCGACGACGTCGCCCCGTGCTGGAAAGTCGCCTCCAGCAGTGACTCAGCAAAAGAAGCAAGATAGCGCGCTCAAGCATTTCGGTGCCGTTCTTGCCGCCGAGCCGGTCCACTTCCCTCCCGGGACACCAGTTTCTTCGCCGGGCGGGAGGAGTAGAGGTCTGAATTTGAATATGGACGACAATGAAACTACCTTGTCTACTTCGGTTGTGAAAAAACCTGCAAGCTCTTCAAGCAGTTCTCTCACAAATCCAGCAGCGGAGAACTACAATACCTGTTCTTACGTGTATTCGAACTCGACATCATCAACTCCAGCACGTCCTAAATGTTCTGGAATAGCAGGAGCGGCGAGCACCAGTACCAGAGCTCCTGAACGCGAACCTGCGGCGGAACAAGCACCTCCCGCGGACCCGGTACCCTATCCCAGCTCGCGTTCTTGGTGGTACTTGCCCATTGGGTACGGTGCGGACAGTGGAAGTGGTAGTGGTGTAGCAAGTTCATCCATCGGCAAAAAGAAGACCGGTGAAGGAGATGGGGGCGACCGCGAAGCGTCTGCGGGGCTGGGTTTCGTTGAAGAAAACATTGACCATTCGCCTTCGCCCAGCAAGCATCAAACCGAGCAACATCCGGGAGGCGTCGCACCGCCATCCTCGTTCAGCCTCGCGGAGCAGTTGCAGCGCTTTGTGGGCGGTTGCTGCACCGGAAGACAGAAGGAGTTCCCCCACAACTTGTTCAGTGGTGAGTACTACCACAAGTTGCACCAAGACGGGCGCAGACGCGACATGGGCGGGAACGCAATGCAGCCGCGGATGAACCCGATGAAGAGAGGGAATAGAGGGACTAGTTGTAAGCGGGGACACAAGCAAGCTGCAGGCCCAGCGGGTTCTTTCCTCACACAGGAGGACGCAGAAGAAATCTTCGAGAAAATCTTACATGCACAGGCGGAAAACGGGCCGGGGCTGTATGTGTTTCCGGATATGAAGGACTGCCGCGTCGGAGGTTTCAGGTTCAGTACAGACCAGGACAACGTCTACACGGGGAACGAGGGTGGAGCTTCTGGCAGCAGTGTCGCAGCTGCAGGCATCCTTTCAAGAAATACTAACCTGGCACCGGACGACGACCCCTTTCTGGTCCGGGACTGTGCGGCGAACGACCACGTCGGCGAGAATTATGGGCGGGAACACGAAAGCGATATCAACACTGGTGTTCCAGACAACCACAACTCCTGGTGGCTCGGGCAGCAGTTGCAGTTTGTTTCCGAGTTCTTCAAGTTTATTTTGGCTCGCGACAATGTTGAATCGCAACAAAGTACATTAGGATCCACGACGAATCACGATCAGCTTGAAACTGCTCCCGCAAAAGAACGTGTGTTGAATCTGATCCCGGGGTTTGTGATGGAAAACCTGTCAGAGGAGGAATTAGCATTACTCGATTACTTCGAGGACGAAGACGAATACGAGCGGGTGGCCTTGCCAATCATCGCTTCTGGAGCTGGTTGTGAGGACTACAGCGGGGACAACAGTTGCTCATCATCTTCCGGTAAGGGAGAAAATACTGTAAGTCAGAATCATGAACAAGATCCTTCTTCGTGCACGACGAAGTTCGCTTCTATGTACGCCTATCGGGAGCAGCGAAGGGCGAATTTGGAACTGCCCGAGTCCCTCAACGCGAAGGTAGACCACGAACAGGACCCCATGCCAGAGGACGGTATGAGTGAAAAGGAGGCATCAACTCGAACTGCATTTTCGACCAAAACCTCGTCGTCCCCAGTCTCGAAAAAAGTCGGAAGAATTGTGAAGGAAAAGTGGTTTGCGATGCGGGACTTCATGGAGAAAAAAGACGTACATGAGCAGTACGTGGACGACTGCAAGTACTGGCGCGGCCAGTTTTTCGAGGAGGAGAAGTTTTTCAAAAACGTACACTGTCCGGAAGAAGAAGCCGAAGCTTCTTCACAGCTGGACGAAAATGAAGATGAATTATTGAAGAGGACGGATACGGAATGAATTACGCCATTGTCCGGCCAAAGCCATCAAACTAATGAACTTGCTGACGAGTTATCTGGTCGCAGTCGCAGTTGCAGGGAACTGATGAAAGTAATATTGAACATCACCAGAGGAGCGAATCTGACTGAAATACTGTAGAATCGGCGAGACGACATGAACTAGAGCGTAGCCTTGAGCGGATTTTATATTGTCCACAAAAGTAGTACAAGTACAGAAAGCGGTGCAGTTTTGACAACTTTGCGCTTTTTCTGCTTTTTGCGAAACCATCGTCAAAATTTATTTCTTGATATCGCGATGCGTATGTGATGAATCATAAGGGTGAACGAGCGTGATTTGTCAGTAGTGTTTCTGTGTTGATGCTGGTGTCGTACCAGCTATTCGCCCGCTGTGTACTGTAAGCCCAAGGAGTTGTTCTCTTGGTCCTTTCTTGCGATAGTGCTCATCAAGTAGGTCAACGTCATTGTCGAGCTCATTATCATGGACGGGAGATCAAAGCCGATGGAAATACCAGCCGCGATCGAGACCGAGATAGAAATATTCCCCGATCTTGACAGACTTCCGAGCACGATCGCGATCATGGGGATGTTCTGCATTAAAATGCGTGTTGCATTCAAGTTCTAGATCATCATCATGTTGTGTAGGTCGCAAAAAGATCTACGAACATGGATCATAAAGAGAACGATGGACAAAAGACACACGAGAGCACCTTGTGAAGATCAGATTCCTAGTGTGCTGTAGGATCGTTCATATGTAACAGTTCGAAGAACTCAACTCTCCACCTGTGGTGCCGCATGTAGTTTAACACGACCGAGCTTCATCTTCATAACCCAGGCGACCGATGAGGATCATTGCGACGACAATTCCATGACACATCCATAAAGAAGGTGCTAATCATGGTAGTAGTGCTAGTATGAAAATATGTCCTTCTTCTACTGCTCGGCTGTACTATCTTGAGCGGCATAGAAATCTTGCGAACGAACACTAAGGTCATCCCGTAGTACATCACCTCACCTACAATTGAAAAGGAGCAAAGTCTTCTGTTTTTCCCTAGGACAGTACGCAAAATATCATGTCCGCATCAAGTGGCGCGCTCGCGCAGCTGCAACAGCTGGACGTGAGCACCGCCGCTGCCCGCGACCTGGTGTTTCACCTTCAAACCACGGCGAAAAAGATTGACCCAACGAATCCGGCCCAAAGTCGAGCTTTTCTGGAAGCGCTGAAACGCTTGCTCACCGGCTTGAAATGGCACCTGGAGCAGGAGAACGGCGTCTGGTCCAGGCAGCTGACCCAGATTTGGTGGAGCCTGGCAGCGCTAGCGGCGGTGCCCGATTTCGGCTCAGTTCTTAAGGCGGAGTTGCAGGCACTTTTACAAAGAGACGTCGGCGGCGAAAAATGTAGTGGCCCTCTCGTGCAAGCGACGCTGTACCAAATCGGGAGTTTCGCAACAGACGCGATGGGTGTGTCTTTGGTGCTGTGGAGTGTGTCAAAATTGATCGACTTTTTCCCCGCCCCCGCGGGAAGCAGAGAAGCGTCTAATCATGTCCAGATGAAAGGCCGCGAGAATCCAACGGACGCATTGATCAAGCCGTTCCTGTTGCTTGTCGCAGAGAGTGATGGAACAGGGCAGCACAGCTTGGTCATCAATTTTCAAGACACAGCGAATGCCCTGTCCGCACTGGCGAAGCTCCATGATGCGCGGAATGCGACGAGGACTTCGACTTCATCGACGTGGTCCAACCCTGTTGTAGGAGACGCCGACGACAACTCTGCTGGAACTGCGTCTTCTGAAGCTTGTTTGACTTCTACACACCACAACCACGATGAGATGACTCGTCTTTACCGGTCCGCCGCGGCCGCGTTTCTGAATGCAGCAGTTGCTGCATTGGGCGGCGGCACTGGGAAAAAAGGGAAAGGGAAGGCGGTCAAGGGAAAATGCAAGAATCAGAAAGGTGGAAATGCCGGGAATAAAAGCGGCAAGGGGAACAGTAAGGGTGGAAAAGATGGTAGTGCCATCAGTGCTGGCCCTTCGAAGCAGATTCAGCCGGTGGAGATAGCTACGATTCTGTGGGCGTCTTTTGTGAGCTTGAGGCTGCAGGTGAAAAATCAAGTTCGCGAACTGTTGTGGACGAAGGCCCACGAGCTAGTCGCGCAAATGGAGCTGTCGCAAATTGCGATGTTGCTCCAAGCACTGACGGTCGGCGTGGAAGGTCCTGGAACAACCAACGGCGCTGCGTGTTCAAGAATAATGGAACAGGGAACCAACAGCAACAAAGCTGCCTCGTTGGAGCGCTCCACCACTGTAATCGGCCCTCGGATTACGGAGTTGCTAGGAAAGAAAGCGCAAACACCTTTCTCTTGGTCCTTTATCACTGTTTTGCGGTGCTGGGAGAGGATCGTCGCAGAACAAAGGGGAAAAAACGAGAAGAAATCTTCAGAAGGTGCAGATCATTGCTGCGCAGTCTGGAGCACAATCCTCGACTTTGGCGCCGAGAAGGCCCGCGGGGGCAAGTTTTTCTCGCCCCGCGACATCGCGGAGCTGAGCAGTGTGAGACTCGACTCCTCTGGTGACATGTGGCCGACACACGGTCGTGGGAACGAAAATAGCAAGGAGCGCGCTCTCATAGACGCCTTGGAAAAAGCGTGGTTTGCGAAGCTGGATGAGAAAACTGAGAGCAGCACTTGCAGGAATTTTTTCTCCAGAACCCTCTCCGGGTTTCTCCAGGTGCGACAGGTTATCTCCCCCACTTCTTTGCCCGAGTTCGAGAAGAAACTGCGCCGGTACTGCGAAGGCGTCGTGAGGACAGCGAAAACAGGTCATGAGGTTGCCGCCAGCAAAGGCGCACGTGATCAGATGATGTTGATTCCAGACATTCTGCAAAGTTTCGCAACAGTGTCCACCACGAAGCAGCAAGTGATTTCAGAGAAGCTCCAGGCGAGTTTGCTCAAGACCCTGACGGAAAACGTGAATGTCAGCATCGATGTCGCAGAAAACGCAAACGTCAACGAGTGGAAAGATACTTGTGAAGCCGTCTGCAAAACGCTGTACGCGGTGGCAAAGCTGAGCCGTGGTCGGGCGCGGAATGCCTTCAGCCTGAAGGTTTTTGGTGCAGTGGTGCGGTTTCTGGAGAGAGTCGAAGCTTCAAGACTGTTCACGTTGTGTCTTAAAACAGCGACGGCCTCCTGTGGAAATGCGTCTCGCAGCACTCCACAACTTCGCACCGACCGGCTCACAATCGGCATTTGGGCGCTGGGGGTTTTGAGTCAGCAATACCCGCTGAAAGTGGATCAGACTTGTCCTAACTTTTTCGACGCTTTACTGAAAGAGTTGCGTGTGGTAAAGGTCAACACTTTGTTCGGCGCCGACCTCGCAAACAGCATTTGGGGGGTTGCGGCCCTGTCCTTGGGAGGAGTTGAAGAAGAGGAAATTGGAATTGCATCTGCGAAGGACGACGAAGACAATACTCCTGCGGCACAAGAGATGCAGACGCTTGCCGCTACAGGCGTCCAGGCGCACCTCGCGAAGGCCTTCTGTGCCAACCTGCACACCCTTTCCCCAGGTCAGTTCGCGTTCACACTTTTCAGCGTGGCCAAATTTGAGCTGAGTGCCGAAGTGAGGAATCAGCTCGTGGTTGCGCTGACCGACACTGTTCTGAGAATGTCTACATCGTCTGATGCCGGAAGACATCAAACAAACGACGATCAGAAACGGGGCACAACTTCTGCAAAGCCCTCCGCACAGCTTGCCCTGCGCAACTTCCCCTCCGAGTCGTCTGTTGGAATGATGCTTTCCGGGTTTGTGTCTGTGATATCTCCCTCCTCCTCGTCGGCGTCGCAAATAGGGGGAGTCGAAGGGAAAGCAAATGGCACGAACGTGGAAGGGCGAAATCTCACTGCACAGCTATCCATTGCACTTCGCAAATGTCTGGTGCCGGAACTGTTGCACATGTATAACAGTTCGTGCGATGTTGACATCCAGGAGGAGAAGGTCAGCGGAGAAAATCTTCCGGAGCAAGGTATTACTTCCTCTCACACGACAAGCATATTAGCACCAGCATCGAGTTCCTCGTGGCAATTCCTAGCCCAGCTACGAGCCTTCTTGCAGCTCGTCTGCCTGGAGCCTCAAGAAAATGATGATGGGGTGAACGATGCGGAGGCATTGTCTGACTTGTCCGCGGCCCGGACCACTACGGTTGGAAACAATGTTCAGGATTTGGTACACCTTCTGGAGAACCGCTATGCAAAGATTGCCAACGACATGCAAAGCGCGGCTGTCGCTGCCGCGACTGGGTTTGCGAATGCCGTGGAGGGGAAGGTTTTGGCAACGAAGAAGCTGCAAGAGGTATTAAACCTAAAGGAGAACAAGACTGCCCGCCCTGTTGGTGATCATTTTGCTGTACTAGCGGTGAACCTGTCGTGCAAGAAGTTGGAGAAGATGTTCCGCCGGCAAACTGGGTTGAAGAAGAAGAATTTCAAAGTTGTGTCAAGGTTCTGTGCTTCTGAACCCGAACAACGTACGCCGGAAGGACCTGAACCACAACCAGCAGCGGAAAGAAATACCTGCACAACGAGGACGACCGTAAGAAAAATCACAACCGTGGCCGACGCCTCGGTAACGAAGTTCCTGGAGCAAGCCACCTCCGGCGCTAGCACCTCCGACGAAGCTTGTTCAGCCTCCTCCTCAGGAGCCAGTTGTTTCTCCTCGCCACCGAGGCTTATTATCGTCGAAGCCAGCACCAACCGGGAGGCGACGAGCTTTTTGTTGCATAGTTTCGTCGAGGGGCAGCTGCTACAGACGCCTCGAGACCACGGAACGGATCGCGACACGGGAAGCGAAGTTGACGCCGAAGGAGAGTCCGAAAGTAGAGTAAAATCTGTCGATGTTCTACTCCTCGGCCGGGAGAATACGGGAATTTCCACCACTTGGGTGCAGCATTTCCGCGAGCTGGCCACGACAAATATATCTTCATCCACTCCGAACAAAGAAGCGTCGGCTTGTGATGCAACGTCACGTATTAATGAAGAACCTTGTTCCTGTTCGTGGAGTTTGAAAGCCGTCTACAGCCTGACACCGCCTGCGGACGATCGTGGTTGCAACGATGTCGCAAATACTGGCGGGGCGATTCTCCACCTGCAATGTTCATTCACGAGAAAAACAAGTGCCAAGGAAAATCTTGTCCGCAGCACGCAGACGCGCAACATTTTAAAGCCAACCTCCGTCCTCGGAGTCCAGACTGAGTTGCAGAAGGTGCTCGCGTTCTTGCCGGATCAAAATACAACTGCGGCTGGTGGCGCCACGTCTTCAAAAGCAGCTCCGAAAGAAAAGTGGTACGTCTACCCGGGTCTCTTCGCCGGTGGCACTGTTGACAAGATGACGGCTTACTTGCTGCAAGTGGTGAGCAAAAACTTCGACACGATGAGGAATTTCGACTGCAAAACTCCGAGGACCTCGCCATTCGAGATCCTAGACTTCTGCTCCGGGTCTGGTGTGTTGGCCCGTGGGGTGCTGGATTGGATCAACGTCAACCATAAAAGAAAGAAAGCGCCACTCGCAGTCGAACTCGATCTGCTCGACAACGACGCCCTGGCCCTTCTCGCAGCAAAGAAAAACGTCCCCGAGAGCCGGAGTTTTTACCTGTCGAATTGCTTCAAAACACTCCTACTAGATAGTGCTGACAGCGAACAACAGGAACTACAAGCTAGTGCACCAGCTGCTGCGGCAAGAGCGGAAACTACGGTAAGAACACACGTGACGTACGACCTGATCCTATCCAACCCGCCCGTCCACGATGGGACCAACGCCGATTGCTTCTCCGTTGTGGAGGATCTGCTGGGGAAGGCGGAGAGGTTTCTGAAAACCAACGGTGAGCTCTGGTTGGTCGCACAGAACTACATTCCTGTCGGCTGTATGTTCGACAAAGTGAGGAGCGCCGCGGTGATGTCGAACAAGAGCAAAACTACGAACAAGATGAACGAGCAAAAATCATTTTCGTCCCTGCAATGTGTCAAATTGTACACGAATGGCCGGTTCTCCGTGTGGAGGTTCGCAAAAACTTCTACGGGAATTCGTGTCTGTGAAGAGGGGGCAGAATCAAGAACATCCCGAAGGATAACAGGTGGCGGCGCAGAACAAAGACAAAGAACTAAGACGACCAAGAGGCATCGGAAACGAAGCAGTGAGCATCAAGATGAGTCTCCTCAGCATGCAGTCGCAGGCACGCCAGACACCGAGGAGCCTGTAAAGAAGAAAAAGAAGCAGAAGATGTAGATCATGGTTCCTCCGCGTAAAACAGGAAAAATAAAAAATGGCTTATTGATTAACGAAGACCATCGCAGTTGGTTGCGCGAACATATTTTTCGAACCTACTTGCTGTTTGCTCAGTCATGGCGACACTGGTGAAGAATGCACTCGTGCAGGGAGGTTTACGCTTGCTCCACTAAATCAAAATCTGTCGCCGAGAAAACAATGTGTTCCTGAAGTTCCAGCAACGGTCGCCGGCACAGTTTTTCCAACTATGAATTTTCTTGTTATTGGATCCCGGCAGATCAAGCACAAGCCTCATTATTTCTTTTCAGGTCTAGAACCGATCATACTCTTTCTTAGCCGGATATTTACTAGTTTCATGATTTGAATTTGTTTTTTTGCAACGAAAATTTGAACAGGGTATTGCCGGCTATGGGTCGGCAAGTACATCCTTGAGTATCGCTTTCATCGCGTTGTTGGTCGTGCCTTCAAGTTTTCACATAGCGGCTTCGGTTAGCGAGTGTATCCCAGACCCACGCTTCCACTGGTGAAGAAGTTGGTTAGTGACAAGATCGTCACATGCTATGTATACGCTTAGATACATTTTTGAAATATACAAACACCGAAGTAAAATAAAACTATGAGCGCCCATAAACGCCCGCAAAACAACGCCGCCAGTAGCAGTTCGTCGGCACAAAACCAGGACCCGTACCAAGCCCTGAGTCTTCCCTACCATGCGGATGAGAAGCAAATTCGGCAGCGATTCAAGGAGCTCGCGAAATCGAAGCACCCGGACAAAGGTGGGAGCAAGGAGGAGTTTCAAAAAATTCTGGCCGCGTACGAACTGCTGCAGGATGAGGAGAAGCGAAAAGAATTTCACTTCAAACGCGCGGAAGACCCGTACCGAGCGGCGGCGGGAAATTTTTATGGCGGTAGTCACAACAAGGACAACTCGCGAAGAGCCTACAAATCTGGGTTTGACGACCACAGCGGCAGCGAGGGAGAGGATTTTGATTACGGGCACCACGGCAAACAACATCACGATGACCTCGGTCCGACCCCGCCCGGCTCGCCGACCTTCGCGAATGCGCCGATGTTTGGCAGCCGCAGCGAACGGCAAAAGGAGGAGGAGTTTCAGGGACACTACGACGACTATTTGAAACGCATGAAAAAGAGGAAGAAAAGGAGAAAGCAGAAACTCGACTCGTCCGATTCGGAGCGGGATGAAGAATACCACTACGGGTACCGAGAGAGGCGCAAGAACAGTAGGGATAGAGGACGAGGAAGAAGATCGAGGTCTCCCTCCTCGTCGCCGGACGGCGCTTCATCCTCGTCCAGACGGCGTGGTGAACATCAAACGCGAACAAACACAACAAACAGGATCACGGAGAAAAGCAGCAAGCAAGAAGAGGAGGACGACCACGCGGCACAGGAAGCCATGCGGAAAGAACTGGAACGGAGGGAGAAGCAAAGAAAAGAGTATCTCGCGACGGCAAAAAGAACCGCAGCTACTGGGAAGCTGCAGCACACAAACGGCCACACTGAAGATGAAACGGGAGCAACGCCTGCGAGTGCTTCGTCCTACTTCTCTGAAGGACGAGCAGGGACTTCTGCAGCTTCGCCTTCGTCGGCGTTTCATGTTGGGAACAATTTTAGCAGCAGAAGCGACGGTGCATTATTCCCTACGATAATTCCCGCGGCACACACCGATACCGCGCCGAAGGCCATTTACGTCAAAGTGAAGATGCGAAGTGATTTAGCACTTACCGCATGGCTTGATGCGATGCGAGACTTCGGAGCCTTGCCTATCGTGCTGGACGGTGGCACCGGCGGCATGGGGAGAATCACTGCTGGGGTAGAAGAGCTGCAAGAAAACGAACAAGTACTGGAACCCGGGGCGTTTTCTAGTGGAAGGACAGCAGCAGCAGGAGAAAACAAGACTAGTTCATCATCCTCGACCCGCCAAGAAATGACCATCATGAAGGCGACTCACGACTACTATTGCGGATTCAAGTCGATTGGTAACGCTTGGCAAATCGCCATTACGTTTCACCACTGGGAAATGGAGTCGAAATCTGAAGAGAAGCAGCGCAAGGTTTTTTCCGCTATTTCCCTGCTCACGTCTCCCTCTTTTCCGCCAGGTAAGCGGTTTGAGGAAGAAAGAAGAGCGTTGTACGAAACGGAATTGACTCTGGTCGTGACAAAGAAGAAACTAGAGGTCTTAGCGCCCGCGAAAATAGAGATCGCGAAAAGAACGAGATTTAATTTGAGTACAAATTCTGAAAAAGATGACGTCCATATGCTCGCACAGCCTGGAGTTGTTGGGCTTCAGATGGGAAAAACATTTTTCATTGACGAGTTCGGCGTTGGGCGACTGGTCAACTGCTGAATTTACTTATCTTGGATAGAACCAAGTAAAAAAGGTGGTTGTGTTCGCCTGTTTCTGGTAAAAGATACAGTGCCATGATTGCAACGCGAAGGCGTAGTCCTCGGTACTATGTATAATTGTTTGAGTTTTGATTTAGACATCGAGATCTACTCCGATAAGATGAAGAATTTTCAACTCTCGAATACAAACCTACCACTCTTATTCTTGATCATTGATACTAAAAAGCATGTTTTCTTTATTTCAGCCTGCTAATATCGGTTTTGAAGGACGAACTGCAGCTGACAGCGCATTCCATCGGTTGACTTCCATCCGCCATCGGTGTTACGTTGTATGTTGTGATTTTGTGCCCACTCTACCGGCAGCTTATCTTGTATCTGGATGATATGCCCAGAAATTGTTTGCCGACGGCGGCGCGAGGTGAATATTTATGAGCGATGCACAGCGGTTTTCTGTTGTGGACGTGGAGGCGGGGGCTCTTGTACTGACCAAGCAGCAAAAAAATGGCACACGATACAGAAGTACATGTCGGTGAGTCAATGGCTGAGTCGTAGAGTTGGCTTCAGAGTTATTTTGGTGAACAAACATAAGCAGGACACCATGCCCGTCGCCGTGCATATAGCGGGAAAAGTAGCAGTCACAGTAGATTAAGTTTTCAAGGGTTAAGTTACTATCCTTTACATTCATAGGTAATTCTCCATTTGACGAGGCAGCTGACATCCACGAGGCGAGACCAAGATGGATGTTGACATGGGGGGCGGCGACGGCACCCCTACGGCCACCACCGTCGGCATAGCCGTCGCGGGAGCGGCGCATGCAGCGGCCGGGCAACAACAGCCCGGGGGTTCCCCAACCTCCCCGACGGCAAGGCAGCAACAGCGTCCCAAGGCCACCAAAGCTGCCGCCGAGGAGCACCAACAGCTGTCGCTCGTCAGGAAAGTTATGACCTGCTCAAACGTTACACTCTCAATCTCAAACGTTACAATAGGCTCTGGATTTTGTATTGCATGACGAGCATGACAGACTCGCAATCGCAGAGGCAGAGCGTTCCGCTTTCTGCAATACAAATTTTGCTAGATTCCGCGCAATGCTATGGGAGTAGGGGTAGGCCAGACCTAGAACATGCACTTCTTGCATCACAGATTTCCATATTCTAAAGTGAAATGCTTGACAAGATTGTAGTAGCGGCTGAGCAAGTTATAAGAGTCCAGGTAAGCTTCGAGACCGTCCGGCAGCAGGCGCAGCAAAAGGGGGTCGACGTGCCCAGGCAGCTGAAGGACCTGGGGTACAACCGCTTCGAGGACTTTATCCTGAGTTGCGAGCAGTTCACCTGGACCTGCGACCCGATGGCGCTGGCGGAGCTCGGGCCCGGGATGGTGCTGTACTTCGATTTTCTGAAGTATCTGATGTCCCTGGCCGCTTTTTTTTTCGTATGTTACCTCCCCGCGATGTTTGCCGTGGTCAAGGGGCAGGACGACCGAGAATTGGAGTTGAAATCCTGGGTGGTATCCCCTGTAAAATCCTCTTCGCCTGCTCGCCCAGCTGTTCGACGTAGTTGTTCCAGTGGTCTTTAATACCACGACTCGTGGTAAAGATAGGAAACCTAGTACTTGTGTGCGTGTCGTGTTCAAGACCTGGTCCTGGTGGTGCATTTCCATTTATTACGCTCATAGGCAACATGTGTATCATCCTCGTCGTGTGGAGGGTCTTGTCTTTCTCACCACATGCTTAAGTACACATGTGGTTCGGCTTATGGCACAGCCGAGGGAGGAGGAGGTCAAGAAGAGGACTCTTTTACATTGCATACCAGATTGATTCCTTGACAGTGCCTGCCAGTGTGAATCCCCAGGGCGCGGGAGCCGTATTTACGTGGCTAATAAACAACAGCCCCGCGGTGGTTCCGTCTTACTACTTCGCCATTGGCAACACAGGCAAGGGCGTGCTGAACGACAACTGGGTGATTGTTTTGTACTTGGTTTCTCTCTTCTTCGGGGCCATCTCGGTCGGACCCTACTCCGTCCGCCAAGAGAGAATCGACCAGGAGTTATGCAGTTCTCAAACGTTACATTCTCAACTGTTACACGAATTTGTGATGCAAAAACAGCAAAAGTGAAATGGGGAAGATTGCGCCTCTTGCAGTACAGGTTTGGCACAGATTTAGATACTGTTTAGCCCTTTGGAAATTTGTCATGCGAAGCAGCTTGATGGTGTAGATGATGATGAGCGTTTTGCATGGCAAATTATGTAACAGCTGAGAATGTAACGCTTGAGAACGCCATAGGAGTGCGACCTCGCCTCGGTGTACCCCAACGACTATGGTTTGTTCATCCGGAATCTGCCGCGGGACGAGTGCGAAGAGAGCAAAATCAAGGAATATTTTGAGCAGAACGCGCTACCGGGCGATCGCAACAACCGCTGCGAGGTCGTCAAGGTCATCATTGCCTGGGACAGTACGAACCACAAAATTCGAAGCCACTGAACCGTCCACCTAGAGGTCAGAGGAGCATCAAAACGCATGACAGCTACTTGATTTCGGCGAAGATTCGAACTTCAATATTTGTCATGCTGGTAGTTGACGTAGTGAAGGAAGAGGAATATGCAAAAGCCGTTTGTTTTTTATATCATGCATCGGCCGCATGAAGAATTTGATTTTCCATCTACCTGTGCGGTAAAACGAATTTTTCTCTGGACACAAATCACCATGTTCAAGCAGTACAGCGACAAGCAAGCCCAGCTGGGTAAGCAGTACTTTACCTTGTTGCAAAAAGGCGCGGAAAAGGACGACCCCAAAGTGCTCGAGGTAAAAACGCAGTTTGAAGAGGTTACTAAGGAGCTAAAATCGCTGAAAGCCGGACAGAATCTGCAGGGATCCGGGTGCGCGATCGTGGTGTTGAAGCACCAGAAGGACCACCGGGCGGCGCTGGACAAGTGGGAGAGGTCCATATGGCTGAAGATGGTGCACGGGCTGAGTGAGTCGTTTCCGGTGTGTGCCTGTTTGGAGGGGTTTGTGGCCTATATGATGGGCACCCCCTTGTACAAAAACTCCGCCGGGGAGGGGCACCTGTTGAAGGTGACGCGGGCTCCGAACCCGTCGGACGTAAATTGGCAGGACCTGGGACGAGGTAACTGCGAGTCCTTGCTCCAGCGGTGGCAGCTGTATTCCGTGATGGGGGTATAGTCTTTCGCTTTTCATCTTTTGTAAGTACACAGTGTCCCGTGACATGCTGAAGTCAAGAAAAAGACAGCAGTGTATCTTCACGAATGGAAACTTATATTTATACATAGAAGCATATAGCATATGCATATTCCTCACAACCTCCACAGGTTATGATTGGCGTCTGTTTCGTTTGCACGTGGTTGCTTTCTGAATGGGCGGACGATGAGGAGGGCAACATGTGGGTGAACATGACAACGGCACTGACCGTGGCCGCGCTGAACGGAATTTTGCTTTTCGCGTCCCGGTATTTGACGCAATTTGAGTACCACGAAACCAAAACCTCTGAAGACGGGTCGACAACGAAGAAGATGACGGTGGTACCCTGTGGAAAAGCATCGCAGTATCTGTACGTGTACCTAACTCGAAGTATGTAACTGTGTGTACGTATACTACACTGTGTGTAGCTGTACGTATACTAGCAGGATTACATGACTACAGACCCAGTTGTTTCTTACCGAGGTCTGCATGCTGAGCTTCATTTTCATTTTGATCCTTTAATTGATATTAAGATTGACATTTTTCATGCCACCTGTACATCGAAAAATGGGAATGCGATGCTTGTTTTGCAATCCATACCTGGCCATGGTGATCAACACGGCCATCATTCAGTTTATTGTGTACCGCGACGACGAGCACTGGTTCCGAGACGGGGGGCTGGTCACACAGATGATGTTCATGGTGCTCACGCACGCGGTGATCATGCCCTGGTTTGGGATGATCGACATAGGCTTCAAGATGAAACAGTACGCTGCGAACAGAATCGACTGGGAAAAGACCAAGCTTCCGCAAGAAAAAATCAACGGCATGTACACCCCGTCGGAGCTGGATTTACCGCGCCGCTACGCCATTTCGCTGAAGATTTTCCTGACCGCGCTCCTCTGCCTGCCGCTTTTCCCCTGGGCCATGCCGTTTTGCGTCCTGGGCCTGATGCTGCAGTACGCGGTGGACAAATACATGCTGGTCACGAAATTTGCCCGGCCGGCGTTCACGAAGAACCCGGAAAACGCGTTCGATGCGCTGTCTTTGCTGCACGGCACCATGTCGCTCTTTGCGCCGCTCACCTTCTTCCTCTTCCTCCGACCGGCCTGCACCGACGACGTGAAGGGTTTTCTCACCGGTTTGTTATTCCCGGTCATGTTCGCATCCTTCGCGACGTACCTCCTCCCACTTCCCGTGTGGCGGACCTTCACCCGGACTTTCTGCTGCGTCATCGGTGGGTGCGACAAGGCGTTCTACGGGAAGGACATCGAGGACACGACGCACGATATGGACTACTACACGGCGCAGATGATGTGGGGCAAGGGAATGAAGTACCACAAGTCTCACCCTTTGTACGCGGCGTTACCCGACAAGGTGAACCCGGAGAACATCCCCCGGCCGGGATCATCCCAAGCCGCGCAGCAAGGGGCACAGGTTGGAGCAGGCGGTCAGCAGACGGTGGTGGTGCCAACCTCTACCGTGCAGATGTTCCAGCAGAATCAGCAGGCGATTGAAGTTATGAATCGCAAGCGTTCTAATATCCTCGCACTAGACCACGAGGACGAAATTGCACATTTTTTTTTGGAAGGAGACCTCCTCGTCGAAATTGTCATATTACAGTTGCAGATTCATTGTTATGTCACTGTCAGCAACAGTAGACGAGCAAGCAGATGCAGCAGATCCATCATGCCAGACTGCAATTGAATTCATTGTTGTATGAGTCAGAGTCGTGCGCCGATAGTGCTTTTGTGGTGCATAGAGGTGAACTTGGCGAATGTCTTGATCAGCTACGACCAGGTGAATCGGGCGGGCGCCGCGAACGCGGTTGTGATCCCGGCGTCGGATGTGCAAGTGTCCAACAATTACGGTGGCGGAAACGCGAACACTGTGCAAACCTCTGGTGTGGTGGTGCAGCAGAGCTCCCAGCACTTCACGGTGGACCCTTATGGGGGAGGGAGGCAACAAGGTTCCTACGGAGGCGGGTCAGCCTATGGGTACGGCGGTTACGGTGGGGGCAATTACGTGATGAACTTTGGCGCCGCGCGAATGAATTACCAACCAGCCCCGGGGCAAATTGTTATTCCCGCGGCCCCTGCCACGGTGGACCCACGACAATCGGCTGGTATGATGGTGCAACAGCCCACTGTCGTCCAGCCCAATATCTACGGTGGTCAGCAGGCGCAACAGGTACAAACCTTTCCTCCTCAACAAGTAAATCAAAACTATAATCAAAGCGGCCGCGGCGGTAGATCCTCATCTGGCGGGGGGTCTATTGTGCAAAATGTGTACAACTTCGGCCAAAGTGCCTACAACGCGTACAACAGGAAACGCAACAACGCGTATGACAGGACGCGTAACATTAGCATCCGGCCACCTCGTACTTCGAAAAAACTTCAAAAAGACTTCAAAGATGAGTTCAGTGCGAGTTCAATACGAACGCCGACAAAATCCTAAATTTATCATAAAGTCATTTGACCTGTTGCAAAATCGAAGAGAGCCAGCGTCTCTGTCGAAAGTCGGCTGACTTTGCGTAAAGTTTGCAATAACTCAAATGACTTTTTGCGGAATTTGCACCAAAAAAGTCAATTGACTTTGTGCTAATTTCACGAAAAGTCAAATGCCTTTTCCTGAATTCGGCTCATTTCACAGACAGGCAGCAAAAGTTTGAAGAATGTGCCCAATTTTTTTGCAGAAGTCAGTTGACTTTTTTGGAAATTAGCATAAAGTCAATTGACTTTTTTTGATGCAAATGCCGCGCAAAGTCATTTGACCTTGCCTGGAAGTTGTCAAAAGTCAAGTGACCTGTGCCCTTTTTGAAGTCAACGGATTTGGGCAAATTATTGAACTCGGACTGAACTCGGACTGAACTCGTAATGAACTCGCTTTTGAACTCGTGCTCCGGTCTTTTTGAAAACTCTAAAAGTGCGAGGTGGTCCCGTGCTAAGTAACAACAATCAACAACACAACTACCACAACAACTCTTCTTCCCAGCAGACCTATAATTCTTCCTCCTACCAAAACCAATACCAAAATCAAAATCAGCCACAGTACCAGTCCAACCACCAAGCGCAGTACCAGCCGGGCGGCGGGCAATACATCGCCGCGGCGGCGCCCGTGGTCGTCGCAGCGAGCCAAGTGCAGTACCAGAATCCCGGGGCGGGAGGCGGTTACCAGCAGCCACAGCAGTATGGGGGACCAGGGTACGGGGGCGGTGGGAATAACCAACCCGTGATAATATCTGCAGCGGATGTACAGGTCGTGAGGCAGTAGTGAATTGCTGACGAGATTTCATCTCTGGAGACTGAACCCGTGGTGATTTTTTGTATACTCATATTTGTCAAAGTCAATCTCTTTGGTTCGAGCTGCTAGCTCGCGGCGTTTTTTTTCAATACTGACACGACGTTGCCACGAGAGTCATAAAGTGCTCCGGTTCTGCTCTCTGTGTGCCCTGAGTTTTGATTTGGTTTTTTTACTTCAACTTTGACACCAAATATCTGCACTGCAAAGGCCCTGCGCATGATGATGAGATGATGTTCTTGTAGGACGACGTGTCACAACGCAGATGAATGGAATTGTGTGCACTTCTTCGAGGAGGTGGGCAACTTTATAAATTCCCACACCTAGTGGTCGTAAAAAATACCAAACCGCTTTTCGGAGCTTGCTTCAGCAGGAGACTGCATACACTATACTGTTGACGGCGAGAGTTCATCAAAGTCGAATAAAAGTAAATCTTTCTCTTTGCTGGTGCCTCATTTTAGATGCTGTGAACGTCCGAATAAGTAGAAATTACATGTTTGATTTCGTAAGAGTTGAGAGAGAGCTGCATGCTAAGCAAGCGGAGCGCGATTCGTCCGTAGTTTGGGAGATTTACATTTTCTGATTTCGTGGTTGCGTGCTAGACAAGTGGTTGATGAGTGTTCACGAGGAGAGCTTTGACTTCCAGTGAGTGGTGCGAGTGTGAGTGAAATTGCGATTGCCAACGTCGTAGCTCCACCGTAAGAACAAAATGCGACATGTCAATTCGTGAATGGTATTTGAATTTATATGATATTTCTGTCCATCATCGTGTTATTTTCATCGAGGAGGACGATCGTCTTGAATCTGTAAGAATTTCCACCGATGTCCGTTGCCAAAAAAAAAACATGGCAGATCAAGATTTATTCATGATTCCCTTCCAGCAGGTCCTTCGGCTTACCAAAGCTGGCTTCGCTAGTATCGTTTTCGTTGCGACTACGACGATGAAGACGCTACATACATATATACTTGATGCTTTGATAATGTCCCGAGAGCGACGAGATCGTCGTAGTTGCCGCAAAAATGATGAAAGCACAGGCAAGCTAGCATACTAGCGCGACATCAAGATGGACCGCGTCCCATCCATCAAGGTCGTTCACGACCGCCTGCACCCGGCGTTGTCCCGGACCCAGACCTTCTTCGGCTCCCTTTTTGGGCGCAAAGCGGCGCAGGATCGAAAGGATGCAGAAGCGGACAACGACGAGGCTGAAGACCACGAGGAGGGCGAGCACAGCAAGGACGGCAATGGTAAGGGGAAAAAGAAAAAGAACGGCAAGAATGGAAAAAAGTCCTCAAAATCGACGAAATCCAAGGAGAAGTCCGACACCCACGAGGACGGGACGCCGGGGGACCTGAACCTGGACGACGATGAGCCGGAGGAAACGGAGGAGGAAAAAAAGCGGCGGAAGCGGCGGGAGCGGGCCGAGCAAAAGGCACGGGAGCTGGACGCGAGCAAGAGTCCGGAGGAAAAAGCGCTGGACGAAGAGTTCCGGAAGATGGTGAACTTGAAAAAGAAAATCAAGAAGGAAATCAAACAGCTCGGGACCGACCCGGGCAAGCCGCCAGACGTGGAGGACTTCTACAAAACCTATCCGCTGAAAATTAACCATCCCCATCCAGTTTGTCATGCAAAACATACACAAAGTCCTCTGTTTGTCATGCACAAAGTGGTTGGGAATGGTCAATTTTCACGGAATAAAACCGCAGACTTTTTGCATAAAAGGCTCTTCAAGGAGGATGAGATAGACGCGCTGGAATTGGCAAACGTGGAGGTGCCCGCGACCCCGGAGGAAACGGAAGACCAAAAGAAGGAGAGATTGAAGAAAAAAAAATTGAAGAAAATGAAGCAGTCACAGTGTATTGCTCGTTTCGTTCTTGTATTTTGATAGCTGGGTTATTTCGGTTTTGCTTTTGCGTTGCTGTAATGCTGTGCTTGGGTTTATTCTTTTTTGTTCGATGATGATGATGATGTTTGTGAAAACGTTTTCACTGCGCATGTAGTTCATTTTCATTCTGAGCAGCTGTATTACACATGGAGTTTTGATAAGTGATGTTGTCCTATGGATTTTATTCAATTTACCCCACAACCACCCTAGCCGGAGACTACCCCCCGGCCTCCGAGCGGTTGAAGTACCGGCACAAGGTCCTGCAGCCACTGTCCATGCAGATGAAGCGGTACATTTACAAGGACTTCAAGCTCGAAAACCGGTATGACGACGAGATTTTCGTGGATGATAATTTGGACGACGAGAAGGTGAAGATCATGTTGGACCTTGGGTTCCAGTACGACGATCTGTACGACGAGGAGACCGGCGACCCCGTGGAATACACGAAACGGGAATATCCAGGAAAAAACACCCATCCCCATCCATTTTTTGCATGACAAACAAAGGAATTTATACATGTTTTGCATGACAAATTGGATGGGGATGGGTGTTTTTTCCTGGATAGGGAACTGCGGGACATGGTCGCGCGGAGAAATTTATGCTGTGCAAAAGTATCGTACTCGTACTAATTGCAAATATGCATGACAAATCTTCCTCCAAAGGTAAAACAGCATTACAACTGCGCCTTTTCTTCTTGCGAAAATTTGTAATGCAACCTATACTACTACGTTACTTTTGCAATGCACAAAATTTCGAGCTGCAATTCCGCCTCGGGGAGTCGCCGACGCGCAAGTGGCGGCAGGACGCCCGGTTCCTCGGCGGAGAGCGGGGGTTGCTGGCGAAGCAGTTAAAGTCCCCGGGCATGATGCTCACGGACGAGGACATCGACAGGGAGGACGAAGTAAAACTACTTTGCCATAATTTACTTATTAACATCGACAATGAGTTGACGTTTTGACGTGCGGCTGCACCAATGCGCACGCGTGTGAAATTGTCATGCGCGAAAATTAATCATCGATCGGGAGCACATAATACATCTGAAATCTTCAAAATCTTCTCAAAAAGGAAATGGACGAGCGCTACTCTGATGGATACGCCATGTGGGTTGAGCAACAGCAGTGGAACTTGTACTACGAGACGCTCGCAGACGAGCTGGAACAAAATATGCATTGCAAAAGTTCTTGAAGCATCCATCGTACTAAAAGTACCAACTTTTGCATCTGAAATTGTATCCATCTCGAAAGGCATCAAGATGGAATCTGTGATGCTCGTGTAGATAGCAACCTACAAGAACTTGTTGTACTAGTTTTGTGATGCAATATCGCGACTTAGTGCGGTAGAATTAGTGCGAGTACGAACATTGACGATACTTTTGCATTGGATAGAGAAGCTCCAGAAGCAGATGGCGAAGTACGACGCGACGCACGGTGGGATCGGAAAGCAAGCGCTGATCGGCCGCCGGTTGAAGCACTCTTTGTCCCCCAGAAGCCGACAGAAGTTGAAACACGCGCTGCAGTCTCACGACCCGGACTCGTTCCCGCTGCCGTTGAATCTCCGAGACGAGGAGATCAAGCAAAAACGAAAGGAGATGAAGGAGGCTGGCGTGCGGCACAACGTCCGCGCGCCCCCGCCACCCCCGCTGCCGAAGCGCGAATGGTTCGAGAGAATCGGGGTCGAAGAGGGAGTGCGCACCCCGCAGTCGGACGGGGATATTTCGAACGCGGAGAGGGAGATCAGAGAGCAGCTGAATCTATCCAAGGAAAAAACATTGTAGGTGTAACTTTCTTGGAGGATTAGCATGACAAATATGTCTCGCATGACAGCAAAAACCTGTCATGCGCAGATAGTACGGGAAACGCCCTTGAATGGACCCTACTATGCAGGCTCAGCATGACAGGCGCAATCAATTTGGATGCTGCGCATCACAAATTTTTTACGCTAACAACGTTTTTTTCTTGGATAGAATCAGGAGCTGGAAGACTACTTGCTTGCCAACGCCGATGCCTACGACGACTTCGACAGCCCCATGGCGCAGAAGGTCAAGGGCTTCGGGTACTTGTCTTCGTCGGGCAGTTATGAAATGCAAAAATGTCTGGGTCTGGAAACTTGTGATGCTAAAAATGCATGATGAAAACACTTTCGAATGCAGTCCGGCATGACAACTTCCCAAAACGCTTTCTCATAGGCAATCCGCATGAGAAACTGCGTTTTTGCATGACAAACGAGGCTGCGACTTTTGCTGGTTATGCGATACAGATTTTCTAGGTATGGTAAGCTAGCATTACAAGTTCCAACCTTCCAGACCCAGACATTTTTACAATCCATAGCAGTCAATCCGGCGGTGGGCAGGACGGCACGGAAGTCGGTTTAGGGGGTAGCTCGAAGACGATCAAGAAAAAGAAATCCATCTTTTCCTCCATCGACCTGCCCGGCGCGAGCATCGCGCGGGGGGTCGCCTCCGTGTTCGGGCAGCAAGAGGAGAAGGAGCTGAAGGGCATAGACCTAGTGCAGGCGGGGCGGACCAGCTTCAACATGGCGGCGTACACCGGGGCGGACGGAGGCAGAGCGGGTTTGAAGTACGCGTTTACGAACACGGAGAAGCGGAACGCGCGAGAGCGGGACCAAATGTTGGACGAGCGAGACGAGTTGTTAGAAAAGCGGGAGTATGCATTGCAAAAGTACTTATCGTACTCGTGTAAGTGCATTAGAAATTTTGTCCTCAGCGTTAGAAATTTGCAATGCGGATTTACCTTTAAGAAAAAGATTTGTCGTGACTGCAATCACTACGAGTACGAAACCTTTGCACAGCATAAGGAGGACAAGGCCGACGAGCTGGATGAGGAAAGAAAACTCCTCGACGCGCAGTTGGCAGAGATGAGCTCGCCGTCGATTCTGCAGCAAAGCCAGCCGAAGGAGGGCGAGCACAAGTCGCCGCCGCGGGAGACAAAGGGGGACAGTTTTTACAGTTCATCGCGAAGTAGAAACAGCTTTTCGAATCCGTACGATTTTTCCGCAACCGCAGCGAGGGGGAGGAAGCTTCGGTCCCAGATGCGAGCGAGGTTTCACCAGAAAAACCACGAAAACTTCTATGTGGATGGCGAGCATAGCGCGGTGGTGCCAGAGGAAGGGATGGACGAGGAAAACCAAACAGCAGAAAAAGGAAAAGCAACTACAACAGCATTCTCATTCAGTACCGAAGGAGAAGCAACAGAACATCAAGAAGTTGAGGAACCATTCCCCGACTACTACTTCTTTCCCCCAACGACCCCGACGAGCACCAGCAGCACCCTTTTTTTCGAAGGCGAGCACAGCATGCGCGCTCCGCCGCCCCCTCCCGAGGACCCACCGGTGCCGATCGCGTTGTACTTCCCCGATCCGGACTTTGAGCAAAATGACGAAGATGACGACCAGAATGCAGAGGACCAGGAGGCCGCGATCCGGGAAGCCATGATGGTGAGTCAAGCGCAGGTTTCCGGCGAGGAAAACGAAAATAACGAAACCGACGAGCCAAGTGGCAGTAGAAGCAAGGACCACTTGATGGACTCCAGCCTAAAGAAAACCATGTCCGGCGGGCTGGAAGTGATAGAAGAGGGGGAGGGGGAGGAGGGAATGGACTTGAACAGGGAGGGAAGTAAGGAATCCGTGCAAGAAAGTAGGCAGTCCGGAGATGTTTATGATAACGCTGACGGTGCTGGTAGAGGAGCAGAAGTAAATGGGCAACTACAAGTCATCGATCCCGCTGCTGATCCGCTACAGAAATCGCAGGATGATTCCCTGGTTCTGTATGACACGATGGTCGACGGTAGACTGGTGATGGCGGGGGAAGAAAACGTGGACATGACGGGCATCCCGAACCGCGACCGGGAGGACTACGAGCGGCCGAAGAGCCGCGAGCGAGACGAAAATTCCGACCTCCCCTCCTCCTCCGCGAGCTCGGGGGGCTCGGTGATTCACCTGAAGTGGGTCGCGCCGCCAAACGAAAATCCCGACGCCAGCTACCGGCTACCCCGACCGCCACTGGCCTTGGGCGTGGACTTGGACGGCGCGATTGCGAACATCAAACAGACCAAGGAACTCCACGCGGCGGCGTTGGAGAAGAAGCAAAAATTCGGGGAGCAGATGGTGAAAAAGCACGCGCCCAACGCGAAGAAGTACCTGCAATACGGGGCGGAGGTGGAGCAGATTTTGCGAAGGTCCAAGCACAGCGTCGAAGAGTACCAGCGGAAGCAGTACAAGCGGAAACTGCAGCGAGATCCGCCCCAGAAGACCAACGTGCGGGACCCGGCGTCTTGGGTGAAAGTGTTCCACTTCGACACCATGACGACGAGCTACTGGCGCTTATCAAATGCAAAAGCATCGTACTCGTACTAATCGCAGACACGCATGACAAATCTGATTCCAAAGGTAAATCAGCATGACAAATTCCCTTTTACGTTCTGAGGATGAAATTTGTCATGCGATTTATAGATACTAGTGCGATACTTTTGCAATGCATAGCGCTACGAAGCATACAACTTCGTCCTGCACGCATTGGACGCGACAAAGGACGTGATCCCGGTGACAAAACGGAACTTCGAGGTTTTCCAGCGAAAATTCGAAGAAGGAACGCTGCGGCAACAGGCAGAGGAGGTACTTACTTACTTTCATTTGTTTTTTTCTTTTGTCATGATAGCGTGTTTCCTTTGTGAACACAGAACAAGCAATAGCTCAAGTAACAAATCTTCTGTGCAATGAAGCTTTGGTGTCCCTACCTACCAACATCCCTTTGTGCCCACCGCAACGTCAAAACACACGACGCGAATAATAAACTTCCAGGAGCGCAAGCGCCTAGAAGAGGAGGCTAAAGCGTTGGAGAGGAGCAAAAAACGTGTGAACCCCTTCGGCAAACGCATTTCTTTCGAGGACGAGGACGCCGGTGACATCGTGATTGACCAAGGCAGCGATGACACGGACGACGATGCGGAGGACTACGATCCCTACAGCTTCTTCGAGGGCAAACACGAGGCCGTAATCCCCCCGTCCGATCCCCCTATCGTTCCAAGAATCCCGGCCGCAACGGACACGCCTTCCGCATCCTCCGCCTTTTCCGCCGGGACCCGGCAGTCCTCCGGAGCTGCGGCAGGGCCTTCCTTCCTCCCGGGGCAAAGACCGGAATCGCCGCCCAATCTCCCCGGACAGTCCTCGTCGTCACGCGCGATTCCGGGCCTGGGAGCGGGAACCATGAAAAAGGATGGCTCGGTGGCCAAAATGTTTGGCGCCGCGCAGAAGCGGGCGAGCGATGAATTGCAAGCTGGGGTTGGAGACGAGAGGGATTCCACCGGGATTTTGAAGCGCAACATCTCGCAAACTTCGAGTGCCATGCTATCCAATTCGGGATCCGGAACGAGTGGCACGAACACCAACACGCAGCCGTCCTTCGGAAAGCTGCCCTCGATCCTCCGCAGAACCAAGACGATCAAATCCGCCCTGCACCACGGCCGGGAAAAGCGCTACCCCGGCGACAACCCCAACACGGAGGCACTGTGGGGCGACACAAATGTCCGATACGGGGGCAGTTACAGTCCGGACAAGAACAGGAAATTGTTCGTCAAAGACAGTCACGGTTCGGCGAAGAAGGAGCAGAGGCAGCGCGACAAGGACGAGCAGACCACCGCCTGGGGCGGAAAAGCCCACGTGGCGGAGAAAAGGCAGCGCTTTGATTACAAGGCGAAGATGAAGTGCGCACTGATGAAAATCAAACTTCTTCGCGGGATGGGCAACGCGAAGAATCTCGAGAGAGAGCAGCAAGAGCACCAGGCGAAGCTGATGGTGTTGCCGAAGGCGTTGGTGGACGAGAAATTTCTGGATGAGACAAAAGCGATTTCCGAGATGAAAACGCTGCAGCACCGACGGGAGTTGACCAATGTCATGCGCGAGGAGATCTACGCGAAGACGAAGCCCTACTTCAAATCGAGGGGAAAAAGGCGGAACAGCTTCCACGTACTAGACCCGTTCACCGGGTTACCTCTTATTGACACGGACGGGGAGAGGGATTCCAATTACACCGATTCCGACGAGGAAGTAGACGTCGCCAGCCCGGACATCACCGCTAAAGAACGGAGGGTCAGGCGCAGTCCGAAGAAACCGGCAATCGTCCTCGGAAATATGAAGCCGGGAAGTGCAGGTAGTGCTGGTCAACCCCCAGGCCCATCACCCACGGACAGCAACGAGCAAACCGTTTTTGACTCCGAAGACGAGGAACCAGCGCACCGGAGACTGTTGACATTTCAACAGTTGAGGGGAACGGCGATGTACTACACGCAGATGCGGAAAACCGAAGAGTTCGAAGCAGAAAATGTGGATCAGAAAGTCATGAAAAGAAGGGAAGCCAAAGACGGAGTCAAACTCGCGAGTTCCAAAGTCATCGTGCCGGGAACCGACAGCGCCAGTGAAGACGAGGTGGAGAGGAAAAGGAGAGTGATGAGGTACTACTTGAAGGCCACCTCTATGTGTTTTTTGGTTGTTTCAGACAATGTCATTTGATTTACGTGTAAAACAAAAACTTGTGATGTTGCGGTTGTAGAGCTGCCCTGCATTCATAACGATTTTTCAGACATCTCGTGCGAAAAAATATGCGCAAATTTCTGTCAGCCGCAAGGCCCGGAAGAAGAAATCCCAGATCGTTTCCATGGAGAAGAAAATGGAGGAGCGGCGACTGCAGACCTCCGACCACCTGTACGAGACGATGTGCGGTTTCGTCGAAATCAGCGGCGAAACCCGGGAGCGAATGCTGAAGCAACTGCTGGGGCACAGGGAAGTCCTTCCCGGGGAGCAGAATTTCTGCCAAGCGAGCTGCTGCTACATCAGCTACCGGTTTTTTTCCATGCTCGAAGTGATCTCGTCCTTTGAAGTCAGTGCGCGCATGACGGAGGAGCGCTACATGGATTTGTTCTTCGGGGAAAATTCGGCCGACAAAAAGTTCCAAATCGGTTCCGTCGCGATCACGAGAAGAATCCACGAGATTCTGGATCTAGCGGATGTGGACCCCCCGAAACCCCCGCCGATCAACAGTCTGGCTCTGGTCGACCAGTCCAACACGGATGTCGGGACCAGGTTGGCACCCTTCAAAAACTTCGCAACGACGGAGGAAAGGATTGTGGCGGACGAGTGGGGGAACTTGAAACTAGAGGTCGTCCCCCACACACAGTCGGATGACTTCAAATTGACGAAGTTGATGGTGAAGGACGATCTGATATGCGTTGCAAAAGTATCGTACTAGTAGGAATAGCATGACAAATTTTTCCAGGAAGAAAAATAGGATTTGTAATGCTGATTCACCTATTAAGATAGGAGATTTGTCATGCACCATCACAGCAATTACTACGAGTGCGATACTTTTGCAATGCATATCTGAAAACTTTGTCCAGTCAGCAGCACTACTGCTACGTGCAGCCGGGGTCGGAGCAGGGGAAGTTGGATTTCTTGTTGTCCTTGGTGCAAAAATCGCGGGACATTTGGGGCAAAGCGCGGAAGAAGTTCGAGCCCGAGCTGAAGCAGTTCATCAATCACCAAGTCCCGAAAATACGGGTCGACTTGGACCAGCCGATAGTGGCGGATGTGTTTGAGAAAGTCCGCGACGAGATCGAGCGCACGGTCCAGCAGGACCGGTTGATCGACCTGGAAAGACTGGAGATGGAAAGAGAATTCCACAAAATGCGGGTCGCGAGACGAAAGAAACAGGAGGAGGACCGGCGGGAGGAAAGGAGAAGACGAAGGGAAGAGAAAAATCTCTCGAAAGAGCAGAAGTCCCTTCTCGAAGCGTCGCGACAGAGCAGCAACCCCTACAGTAACTACGACAAGTCGCAAAAATTGGACAACGGAGTGATCGGCGGTGCCGGCTGGCAGCAAAGAATTACCCTGTGCAAAAGTATCGTGCTGGTATTGCAATCATGCGTGACAAATCTTTTCCTCAAGGTAAATCAGCATTACAAATTTTATTTCTTATGCTGAGGAAATTTGTGATGCATTTATACGAGTGCGATACTTTTGCACTGCATAAGAATGTCGGATTTACAAAAGGAAAGGGACAACGAGGATGAGAACACGTCTTTGATGCACACGCTGAACACGACCGGGTTTCACCCAAATCTCGGCGATCCGAGAAGGAAAGAGCTGGTTTTGTCAGATAAAACGCTGGAAGAGTTGGAAGAGGACTACAAGGAGCAGTACGAAGACCTGTCCCCCGCGAATAGGCGGCAGAGGCAGTTCGTCATCGAGCAGACGAAACAAAGAAGATTTATGGTCGGGATCTTCTACCAGAACTCCTTCTTCCAGCCCGGGCACCAGATTTCCTACTTTTTGCAATACCAGCACGGCGACGGAGATAAAGGGCTGAAGGTGGTGATCGACCGGAACCGCGCGGCAGATTTCGTCACCATGTACTTGGAGATTGCCTATGCATTGCAAAAGTATCGTACTCGTATGAATTATGCGAGTCTAGCATTACAGAGCTGCTTTCTTACCTGAATCTGCATGACCAATTTCATTTTTCTTCTAGGAAAAATTTGTGATGCAATTCGTACTAGTACGATACTTTTGCATTGCATATTGCCAACGCAAAGGCAAAACTCGAGTACTTCAGCAACTACGAAGAGACTTTAACGAAGATGCTGCGCGACGGCGGAAACCGAATTGTCACCTCTGCGAACACGGTGTTCGACCGAATCCTACGGCAGCTCAACCTCGCGAAGCAGTTGCTCCAAGCGTCCGAGTTACTCGGGATTCCGGACCCGGAGCAGGAAGTGCGAAGGTTGCGGAGAGAGCGAGAGGAACGGCGAATAGAGGAAGACGAATATCATATCCTGTGTAAAAACTACGTCTTCACCGTGCAGATTTGTTTCCACAGGATCTATCAGGAACACTTGTAACGCACGTCCCCATGAGGGGGACTTCTGAGTTCCGACTAGTGTATTGAAATTTTGAAACTTGAGGATTTGTATTGCAGATTTCCCATCGTGATTCTAGATAAGGCCAAGGCACCTTTTTACTCAGGATATAGCAGGAGGCGCGGAGATTAGCCGGTCCGGGCGAGGACACGCCATTCGACGAGGATGAAGGAGAAGAGGAAGAAGATTCGGAAGAGGTACTTTATTGATTCAACGGAAACTGATCCTGGACTCGTCGCTAGCGCGGTACTAGTAGAACACTCCATCAAGAAATACGCATTGCACTCCTAAAGCGCAGAGCTTTTCTTTGACAGTTTGTGACACCATCGTGCATAACTTTCTTCAGGATGGTATCAAGCGAGTATATGCATTTTGGTATTTTTCACGTTTGTGGCACCGTCGTGAGTAATGTTACGCACCATGATGCTGCGCTCGAGGGGTGTTTGGTACCGTTTAAGCGAGATCATCTGTAACACGCTGGTGCATGGTCCAATCAAGCTGCGTACTATGAGATCGGCGATAAAGAAACAAGCGAAAAATTTTACACTTACCAGTGCTGCTGCTGGTAGGTTCATCTCCATAAAATCGCACGTAACGAGCTCTCCTCTTTAGTAGATCAACCCTCCGCAAGAAGGATGTTGCCCGACTCGTCTGCGCTCAAATCAGTTGGCCTTCAACTGAAAAGCTAGCATGCGCAACGCTTACCACGACGTCTGTCAGGATAAACAACTGATGAACATCTGCTCAGTTGCTCATACCATCGCGCAAAAGATCATCCACGACGTTGTTCTTAGTCTATTTTTATGCAGCTGCAGTGCCGTGCTGCATAACTTTGTACACGATGGTATCATGGTATTTACATTTCGCAGCAATCTCGCCAGGCAGTGCCGTCGGTACTAGCAGCTAGAACTCGAAGCAAATTATTTAACGTGTAGGTGCTGCTTTTTATGCAAAAGACCGTCCCGACCTGAACTACCTAAACGTTCATTTATTACAGGAGGAAGGGCAGTCCACGGACCTGGACAGCACGGATCCAGAGGACCTGGACGAGGAGGAAGAGCCGGAGGATTTCGACCTTTCCGTGCTCCTCCCCCCCATTCACCCGCCGAGGGAATTGAACGAGAAGAACCTGCGGAGGGAAGACCTGGAGCGGAAGCTTTCCCCCGAGAAACCTCGCCCGTATCCTGAGTAAAAACGTGCCCACACCAGAGTCAGGATGGGGATTTTGCAACACAAACCTAGGCGCATGACAAGTTGCACTCTGCAGTGTAGTGCAGGTTAGCAAGTGCAGCCGCGTCACAGATTCATCTGCTCATCCTGTTCACAGCATCACAAATTTCAAAACACGACTGGAAATGGGTCTCATGGGGATGCGCATTGCAAGTCTTCCTGTCTTTGCAAATCTGCATTACAACTCTGGCGTGGGTACGTTTTTACTCAGGATAGCCCGAAAATGATCGCCAACCCGGACACCGGCAAGGAAATATTGGCCGCGCCGAGGGGGATGAAGAAGCGCATGCAGAAAGCCTTGATAGTTGAGTCGGTCTCCGGGTTCCGGGCGCAAGACAAGGCAGCCAACACCGTTCCCGACCTGTTGGACTCGCCGGAAGTGTTAAGCAGTCGGGGGCCGAAGTCCAGTATTGATTACGATGAGGACGATATCATGAGAAAAAAGCGTTACAGTTGTTACACATTTGTACTAGGGAGTTCAGCATCACAAACCTGTCTTACATGTTGACAGAGAAAGTTTGCAATGCATATGCAGAGACCATAAGGGAAAACACGTATGAACCAACGCTCCTATGCATATCCGGCATGACAGAACTTGTCTGTATTGCATCTTCGCCTGCAAGACAGTGTGTAACTGTAACAGTTTTTTCCTGGCATAGACGAGCTGGAGTTCCCGATCATTGAGGACACCGTGGACCTGCCGATCCCGGTCTCCAAAGTGATGATAAAGAAGCAAAAGAGGCTGGAGAGGGAGGAGCAAGGGCGGATCAAGCGGGAGGAGGAGGAATTATTGAACCGGAAGAAGGGCAAGAAGGGCATGAAAAAGGACCTGGCGAAGATGATTGGTACGGGACAAGTGTCCCACATCTCGCAGCAGGAGAGTCAGATGACGGGGGGGAAAATGAGCAACATGAAGGATAGCCGGCAGAGCGGGTTGGAGGAAGAGGATGAGGAGGACGTAGACGACGTGGGCGATTTGGATTTCTCGAAAATGCGGGTCGGCGTGAAGAAAAACTTGAAGGAGATGAATACCACGGCTAAATCCTCGAACGTGGTGCCGTTCCGCAAAGACCCTCTAGAAGAGGCCGAGGATGATCCCTACGGCGAGGAGGAGGAGTTCGCGTCTCTGTTCAGCGAAAACGACCGCCCGGAAGAGGGGTTGGACCACATTGAGGAGGCCGCGGAATCCAGCTCGTGTCCGTCGGACTACGAGGGGAATCGGCAGGAGCTGGACTACGAAGCGACCATCGGGGACGAAACGAAAACGTTAGTCGCACAGGAGGCCTTGCGGGACCAAAAGAACGGCGCGCCGATCCTCGCACAGGACATCCAGGCGCTCCTCTATCCAGGAAAAAACACCCATCCCCATCCAATTTGTCATGCAAAACATGCATAAAATCCACTGTTTGTCATGTAGAAAATGAATGGGGATGCTGGGTGTTTTTTCCTGGATATCCTCCAGCTCGCGAAGATGCGACAGCGGACGAGCTTACTTCTGGACGTGAACATGAAAAAGCTGCGCGTCCCGTCCGCCGCCCGGCAACTGGCGATTTTCGAACACTGGAACCCGCACTTGGACCCGAATCCACGGAGTCTGTTGGGCTTGCTCTCCATGCACTTCTTCGCGCCCCCGAAGTTCTACCAAACCGAACACGAAGCGAGATACGCAGTAGAGGCAACCAGGCTGCAGGCTTTGGAGGTGGCAAAGACCACTTCTACTACCGAGTTGGAAATGTTAAACTACAAAACGCAGCTCGCTGTAAATCCTCTACCAGAACAACTTTCTGCATTCGCCGAGAAGCAGCAGAAACTGCTGGAAGACCGGGAAAAAAGCTTGAAACTGCCACCGATAGGAGGAGTAGCCTCTGTAGCGAACAAGAACAAACCTGTAGGCGGTGGAAGTAAGACGGTGGTCCCGCCCATTCCAACGCATTCCATCCTATCGAACAGTGGGTCGTCGCTTTCTGCGGTGGTGCGGGTGGAAGATGACAAAGGGTTGGCGATGCAAGACTCCACCAAAGTTCCGGAGGAGGAGAAGATGCTGCGAAACTGCAATCGTTACCTCTACGACGTCTCCAAGTCCCAAGACCCATTCGCCACAGTTTTCGCCGACACGCTGGAAGACCTATCCTGTAAGCTGATGCGCTTCGAGCACCGCCACGTCGGGTTCGAAATGGTGGCGCACGCCTTCCCCGGCAATTTTGACTTTGCCAGCGGCTCGCGGACGGACCAAGCGGACATGCTCTGCCTGCTGGCGCTCTGCAAAATGGCCTCCACTTTTGGCGATTGAGCGCAGGTCGTTTGGTGTAGGAGTTCGTTGCACTTGCGCGACTCCTTCTCTTGTCTATTCGTAGCCCTATTTTCGATAATTGAAGCACGGTTTAGTATAGTACAACGTCAACAAATAAAACCGAAAACGTTACAAGTTGAATTTCCTGCAATTGCCTTCATGAATTTGTTTTTATAGTACCTTGAATGTCAGACTTGAAAAATCTGTGCCGCACCTTCTACGAGCCTCGTTAGGATGGGTGATCGGCAACTTCTACAATACGAAATGTACTGAAAACTTGACTGTCACGAGCACCGCCGAAATGTCACTTTATGCTTTGGCTTTTTGTATCTAGCTTCTTCGAGAATTCATTTTTGTAAAATCATGTCCTCAAAATTTTTTGTCAACTTCAACCTGTCAACACTACTGTTGACCCTCACCAAACTGTATCTTCAAGTTGACTGCAACTTACTTCAAATTGGTGCTCGAAGCTTTGGCGCTTTCGAAATGCGACGTACTGTATGATGCATAATTTGAACAGGATCGTACTTGACGACACACAAAAAAGAACAAGATGCAAAAGAACTTTTATCCGTCTTCGGGATAGGCGTTTTGCTTTTTGCGAAGCAAGCCGGTCGGCTGCAAGAAACTCGTTTACTGGGGTTCTTCATTTCGTACGTTGATATTATGAATGTAGCTGGTCCACCGTGTCCCTGAACAAACACGCTCCCGCGCCACATAAACAGTGCCTCTATTATTTTCTTCGAACTACAACCAAGAAGAAAAACAAAAACAGAAAAACTGCACTGGTGGTCGATGTCAGCTTCACGATTTAGCAGCAGTGCTGCGCCGCCACCAGCAAGGAGCCACGTTTTTTTTTTTTCGTTTCTTTGCAATAAATAAAACCAAGTCTGGGTCGAAACCGAAATTTATTCATGTAAATACACATTGGGTGAAAACTAACAGCACAACATGACTATTCAGACAGTGCTGGTACACTTAATCAGCGGTCTGAAGTTGAAGGAGAAGGTGTAACCATGGTAGCGCAGAATGAGCACAGAAAGACCATCTGACGGTGATCATTTTGGTTCTCTGCAGCTAGCCCTGCCAGGACCGAACCTAAATCCGTCTGAAAATCTTATCCACTACGGCCGCGTCTTCAAGGGACAATGACAATTGTGTGACTGTATGCACCAGGAAAGAAGACGGAGTACTGAAAAATTTCCCACCGGTTGCAGCCACGATTTTCCTTGATTCCTTCCAGTTGCACTTTCAGCACGACGACAGAAGAGTCCCAACCTTTTCTCCCGTCTGTCCGCGATGGTCGACCTTTTCTCCCGTCTGACCGAAAAAGTCTCGAAACTCACCGAAAAGGGGCTTTCCCTCTTTCAAGACCAAGAAAATGCCGTGCTATCGCACAACAATCACGCTGCGGGGACCGCCACGGGTGGCCGACCGCTTCTTCGCCAAGTGTCCCGACGCTTGCTCTGCATGGAATACCCAGGAACATCGCAGAAAGTTGCCTGCTACCTAGCGGACGCGCTGAACAGGCTGTACAGCATTTTTTGACGCAGCACGATGTTGTTGTGTAAGCTGTAAGTACTTACCTCTTTATCTTTTCTTCTGTCACTTTCTACCAAGGACAAGGAGCACTACGCGGCGCAAATTTAGATGCTGGTATCGCAGTTGGACATCATGAGAGAATTATTTTTTCGTTCCCGGCGCGGGCGCATCTGGACATGAAAAAAAAACACATTTGAAAACGGCTAAAAATCCAGGTACGGTGCTTCCTATCTGATCGTGAACATGAGTGAGCGGCAGTACGACACGGGTATGTTCCTCGGCTGCGTCCATAACGTTTCCTACCGCGGGTTTCCCAGCCCGCCACTCCTAATCGCGCTGCAGGTGTGCCATTTTTTGGTCCAGTTTCTGCAAAAATCGGAGAAGATATCAAGCAAAAAAGTGTTAACGTTAACGGTTTTGTGGCATTGCAGTCATGCATGACAAATCTTCGCTATCATGCATGCTATGCAATACAAATTTGGGCATCATTTCTCGTGCATTCCTGCATGCCAAATTTCGTTAACGTTAACACTTTTTTGTGTGATAGAAGAACGTCGTGGTAATTCACTGCTTCCGGGGCTACGCCCGCACCGCCCTATTCCTCGCGATGTTTGTCGCCTACTTCTCGAACCGGGAGGCAACGGAAATTCTGGAAAAAATGGCGGTCAGTCGCCTGTGTCCGTTTTTCTCCCTGGACACCCTGCTGCCTTCGCAAAGAAGGTATTTGGTGTACTGGAACACGGTCTTGGCAAAAATGCGGACGCGAGACGGAAACGGTGTCGTGGTGGGTGGTTTTCATAGTGCAGCAGGGAATAGCGATCAGACACAAAATGCGCGAAGTATACAAGAACACGAACAGCAGGAGCAGAGCAGCAAACCTCCACTGTTGATGAACCTGCAAAGCGAGAAGTTTTTGCAAAAAGTGACGTTGGTCTTCAAAACCAGAACTCAGGATGCGGAAAAAGCGACCAGAACCACCAGCGCTGCCAAATCCTTGCTTAGTGCAGTCGGCGCGGAAATCGGCCGTGCAACCGGGACTTCTAAAACATCGGTTTTAGGGACATCAACAACAACAAAGCCGAGTGTAGTTCTTTCCAAGTCGAGCACAACCAGCTGTAAGCCCATCGTCCCGCCCGGAGCTTATTGCTTAGAACTCTGGAGCCGGGGTGAGTGGGAGTTTCAACCGACCAGGCACATCGATCCGGTGGACTTGTTGCACAGTAACACCGGAAGTTGCAACAGCCCCAACTACGCAACACGCACAGGCTCGCAACGTTTTCCGTCGACGAAGCTTGCGTGTGCGGCAACTACGAACTCTTCTATTGCGGCAACATCACCATTACCAAGTTCATCTTGCACAACTCCCGCCCAGCAGAACCACACGCCCTCCTTACTGAAGAAATCGCACCTGTTGTCCCGGCCAGTGAGGTTGTTTCCAGCACTGAAAGTGGAGGAAACTACTACACTTGGAGGGGACGAGGTGGAAGCAGCAGCTGCAGCAGGGGTCTCGTTGTCGTCTTCCTCTTCTTCCATTTCTGTGACGAAAATTCACCTCGAGTTGACCTCGCCACAAGTATTATGCGGTGACGTGCTGATCAGGGTGTTGAGACAGACCACGGAGTCGGAGGCAAGAGCAGAAATATCAAATCCCGCGTCCGCAGCCCTGTCTCGTCCCCCGACTGGTGGTACTAGCGCTACCGTTAGTAGCAGCGCTGCACTCGCTCCCGCCAATCACGACGCTCCGACTAGTCCACCTTCCCGCGTCGTCACGAGTAGCAACTACGAACCAGATTACCGCGTCGCGTTGCACACCCTCTTTCTCAACAATGACAATACGTCGAATAGTACTACCTCCAACGCGGGACAAGATGGTGCCCTTGACCACGCCAGTGCAACTAGTACTGGCTCTTCTTCCTCTGTCATCTTCACCCTTCCAGCATCCGAGGTGGACCTTCACCCCCGGATCCTCACCGAGCAAGACAAACTCCTCGACCGCATTGAGATCAGTTCTTTCTCAAAAAGAAGCTCCGGTACTACTCGTGCTGGAGGCCATTACGATTACTACAACGAAGACCAGCACTCGTCCTGCGGGAGCTCGTCCTGGGCGTACGCGAACCTGAGCGAGGACAGCGACGCCCATTTGGTGGAGGACCCGTTTGAACTGTGCAGTAGCCCGGACAGGCTGGAGATGAACGGGTCCGAGTTCGACGGGCTGGAAAATGATCTGGCCGAGGTCGATCACGAGTTCGGAACTGATCCAGTCGGCGCTCACGGCGGCTCCAAAGTAGACCTGCTGCACGATAGCGACCTGTTCGAATACAAAATTTTCAACAGTTGCACAGCAGAAGCAGGGGAGCTACAGGGTGCTTTAGGTTGTAGCACTAGTGCGAGCTTCGTGAACGAGCAGGTGAGTAGTGTACAGGAACTTGTAGTGGCTGCTGGTGCTGGAGATGAACGACAAGCCCAACGACATCAAGCAGAAGGTAAGAAGACGACACACGACTGCACCGCGACTTTCGCTTCTTTCTCGTTTTCAACGCCCGCCGCTGTGCCACCTCCACCCGTGGGAGGATCAATGCAGCAGACCAACGCGGATGCGTCCAGTGATCGCCCCTCCGGCTCCTCCGGGCCACCGGTGCAGCGGCAGGTATTCGTGCAGTCGGATGCGAGAAATCCGCCTAGGTTGCTGTTTTCCCCATCCGGGCCCGGGGGTTCCTCGTGAAAGATGCGGAGAGCAGCGGTGCTGCTGGTCGTGGTGGTGGAGACTACTCTTTCATTTCAACCACGTCGTGCAACGAGCGCGCGGTAGCGCGCTGCGTGAGCAGTGGCAAAGTTCAGTTTTGGAATTTTGACGTCTGACGTCGTATAGATACATCATAGATACGTTTTTTTGAAAGTGTAAAAGTTGGAGTTGCCCCTCATGTACAGTGAAAGTTGTTTCAGTATGAAAATTTTGTTTGAAAGCTTACGCTTAGTCCACTGATTTTCGCAAAAAGTAACGTTTCGCTCCTTGACATTGACTGTTTTGTGAAAAGTAAAGAGAGTTATACCGCCCCGCAAGCGCATGCGCAGTTGCCCTTTGGAGCGGCAACTTCACTTTTGGCGCAGTTGCTTTCCTCGGTGTCGGAAAATGTGAATCCGCGTTTTCGTGTTGTTTACTCGACATTGTTCTTCTTCTGGTCTTTCTGTTTTGATGTATACATCGGTTTGTTTGTACTAGACAAGACTTTCATGAACTACTGGGACTATATCATCTTGAGGGATCACTGCGTTTTTCGTTCTTGAGCGAGGGACAGAGAATAAATGAAGCGGTAGCACTTTGCCACTCAGGATGCCACACTGCCAACCAAACCGCTTCTGGTATGCTTTAGTTTCATCTTTCCACGAAGTAGCGCGGAAAGCGAGAGACATCAACCACGCACGGATTCATTTTCCACATTCGTGGTTCCGTGCTGCGCCATCCCAAACGTAACGAAAACGATTCCACGGCTCGGAAACGGCAAGGACACACGAAAAGGTCGTGGAGAAATAAAGCACCGATATTTACTAAATAAGATGGTGGGCGTTTTTTCGTGGTGCTGGTGTTGTTAATGTTGCGAACGTAAAATTTTTTTTGAGAAATAACGTCTAGCTACGGGCCGATCGCCTGCTGCCTTTCCGCCAGCACGATGGCGCAGCAAGTGCCGGAGCCTTCGTCCCCATCCGGTATGTGGACTCCGAAGGGATCCGGAAAAATGAGCCCGCCAGGTGGGGGCAGCAAGAGTCCACCACTCGGTGGGACATTCTCGCCGAGGAGCGACCGGAAACCGTTTATGAAGCCGACTTACATCTACGACGACATTCGGGTGCCAGACGGCTACGCGCAGGGAAGCAACGAACACCCGCTGGAAACGTTCTGGACTTTATCACATGTGATGTGCAGAAGCATCAAAATGTGACCACCTATCCAGCTGCTCCATCTGCAGATTGTTGCCATGCATGACAGGCGGATTGTTCTGCGTATTTCTTCTAGGTAGATGTTGTCTAGATTGACGTAATCATTTTGTCACCTATGTATTCATCTCGCCATGCCCGTTGCATAGTACTGCCGTTGGATAGTACTGTACTGGCACTACCTAAGTCTTTGGCTGCTGGATGGTACTAAAACTCATTTAGCTTTTGTTCATAGCATACTGTTTTTGGTACGACCAGGGCGGTGCACGGAACAAGGCGAAGAAGAAGAAAAACAAGCGGGACCATAGTTTATCCCCGACTCTGCACGCGACGTCCTCGAGCGCCACCGCGGAAACAACAACGGGCAGCGAGAAACGCCTGTCCGCCGCGGAAAAGGAACAGCTAACGACCAAGGGCGAAGTCGAGTCGCCGGAGGATTCCGAAGAGTCCGTCCCGATTTCCCCAAAGACCTTGGGGGAGGAAAAGAACGACAAGGAGATGTTTTTGACGCAGTTGAAGGAGCTGTGCACCGTAGGAACCGTGGAGGAGTTCACGCGGTGTTTGGCGTACCTGAAAGGCCCGAACCAACTGCCGAAAAACAAAAACGTGTATTTGTTCCGGAAGGGGTTCATTCCCGCCTGGGAACACCACCCGGACGGGGGCTGCTGGATTATCCGAGTTGCCAAGGACTGGACCGCGGTAGGATTTTTGTTTCTTCTCGTGACCCATTATATCAGTTCACCGCTCGCGTTTTTTTGGAAATTTTCATTGTTCCACATGAACATGCCGACGATGGATCACAAGTGCAAAAACTTTCGGTGAAATAATGTTGTGGTACACATGATGTACTACTTAGCATGATCCGCTAGAGACTAGCTGCAAATGCTTCCACTCGTCCTCTTCATCTCCTATATCACAACAACTACAGGTCGACGCGCTGAATAGCAAGAAGAAAAAGAACCCGAAGGTCGAGCCCAAGCTGCCCCCAGAACCCTCCAAGGTCGCGGAAAAAATGTGGATTCGGCTGCTGCTGTGCGCCATCGGGGAAGAGTGGAATTTGCCCGACGTCGTCGGAATCGTTCTGTCGACGCGCGGGGGCACGGACGCCCTGTCCGTGTGGAACAAAACGGCGGGTTTGAAGATGGTGGTCGGCGATCGACTGACGTACACCCTGGAACTCCCAGACACGACGCTGCTGCAGTACAAGGAACACAAAAAATCGCTCCAGGACTTGTCAACCTTTAGAAACGCGGAGGAGTTCGTATTTTTACCGCCGTGATTCTTGTAGGAACAACCTAGGACAGCATCTGCGATTTTTCATGGTCGCAGGAGCGGGAGCCGGGTTTAAATTAGTAGAATATAATAAAATTCAAAATTGTGAAAAAAATATTTTTGATTGATGCTGTTGCTGTCTAACTATCTATGGCACACCAGACGAATTCGAGTGCGAGTCTTGTGACAAAGATAATGACGCAAGCCGTTTTTACACGGACTGAACTTCTCCGGACGCGACGGACCAACCTCCGTCTTTGGCGATACTATCCAAAACACAGTTTTTCAATCCAGAATTCCATATGAAATTAGCACATCACCCGTTTTAGTCAACCCATCAGAGGTGTCAGCTCATTCATTGACAAAGAAAAAGAGAAACGCAAAAACTGCCACGAGGCAATTTCACTTCATCTGGATCTGTTCCCACCGTCGAAGAATTTGAACCGCGATCGCCTCTCTCCGTTCTTTTGTTGTTGCCTGTTCCTTTTTTTGCAACAGCCGCATGAAGAAGAAGTAAGCTGCAAAATTTTTTCAATCATGTAAGCCTAAGCATGGTACTCGTGGTGATCAGTATCGACGCAGCTAGAGATCACAAATTTCTATTATTGAGGTAAAGGCAAAAACCTTATCCTTCGATAGGACGATTAGGACGAATTCCGTGAATATTGGTTTTCCGTTTATGGGAATATTTCTTGCGGTAAACGTTTCCGTGAATAGTTTGAAGCTGCCCTTTGATATTGCAATATTTTCGGTCTAATTTTTTGTCTCCCAGCAAATGGCACCATGCCGAAGCTCCAAGGCGTACTAAAAAAGGCTGCGAAGAAAAACGCGCAGGAAAAAAGCTCGAGCAATTCGCAGGAAAAAAGCGTGAAAAAGCGGGAGCAGCGGGGGGCCTCGACAGGGAAAAGCAACTCCAACAAGCGAATTAAGCCTGCTACAAAGATCGCGATCGCGAGGAAGGAAATCGCGCAGCCGAAAGCCAAAGTGGCGAAGAATCCTCGCCTGCCAGCTAACAAGGCAACGAAAGCAGCTGCAACGGCATCGCTCAAGAAGAAAGCCAGTAAAAGGACCACGACGAGCGGATCATCACCGTCTCTGAAGACAAAAAAATCAAAGATGGCGAGCAGCAAAGATGAAGCGCGACCTGCCTCTTCAAGCACGGCCGCCGGTGACCGGCGAGCGCAAGCAGACCCGCCTTCTTCGTCTAGCGCCAATGCAGGAACGAAGCAGCCCCTGCTTGGTGCAAAAATGATTCCAGAAACCGCAAGCGCGAAAAGAATTTTGCTTCTCACTGGGTCTCCCGGGGTCGGGAAATCCACGATGCTCCAAAACGTGGGTGCTGCACTCTCCACAAAGGGCTTCCAAGTTTTCGGCTTCTACTCTGCGGAAATGCGAGACGGTTCCGGCGGTCGGAATGGTTTCGAAATGATCTCCTTGACCAACCGTCGGAAGAAATGCTGCCTAGCAGACGTCGGCAGCGGGACCGCGACCGCTCCATTTGAAACTGGAAACTCTGCCGCGGCAGCTGCCAGTGCTTCTACTACTTCGGACCGAAAAATGTTTCCGAGAGTTGGGAAATACCGAGTCCATTTGCAAGAGTTCGAGGATTTCGCGATGGAATGCTTTGAGGAATTTTGGAACACTAAGGTCGTCAGAAGTGGTAAAAACAAGGGAACAAAATCTATTTCCAGTGGTGAGAAGGCGATTTTTCTTCTGGACGAAATTGGCAAGATGGAATCCTTCTCAGACAAGTTTAACGAGCAAGTGCAGAAGCTCCTCTCTGCTGACAACGTGCTGCTCCTCGCGACCGTGAGCCAGAAGGGAACTGGGATTATGGAACAAACGAGAAGCTGTCCGGGTGCGCACCTGCACGTCTTGTCCAGAGAGAAGAGGGAACTCACAGCGCCGGTTTGCCAAAGCGCAATCGTCGAGCACTTTGTGAATCTCGTAGGTGGTGGGGGTGGCGATAATTATAGTAGTTTTGCCGCCCTCGGAATGGACGTTGACGAGGAGCAAGCTAAAAAAGAACCTGCTGCTGCAGCAGGCCGCACGAAACGCTGGGGGAAAAAGGCAACATAGCGCAAGAAAGCATGAACCCCGATCAGATTTGAATACTCGCTCTCTCAAAATAAACAAGTTCATCACGACGAGTTACAGCTCCGAGCAGAGGCAAATATTAGAGAAGATCAGCATACAAATGCGATGGCGCTGAACCGGCGCGGCGGTAGAATAGTTCTACTTACAAGAAGAAGTCGCGTTCTTTTGTCAGGTTTTTTCCGACTGCGCGGGTGTTGATCGTGATCGTTTTTTCACACCAAAAAATCCAGTTTTGATGTGTTGCTCTTTTCGTCAAGATCATGATCGAGATCATCATCGTCATAGTAAATAGAATATCCAGCGACCGCCTCCGCCCGTTTGGTCGATCGTGGTTCTACAATTTTTTCTTTCTCGATTCCCACGCGGCGGCGAAAAATTGCAAATAAATTCGTGGTAGTTGTTCTTTTGAAACCTTCTTCGAAACAAAATTCGTGAAGATGATGATCGCACAGAAGTGTTTTCCTTTTCATTCATTGTGGTTAGCGATAAAAAAAAAATCGTGGCTCTTGTTCGTTGGACAACACTTCGTAAACTACTAGCTAGTAGCATTTTTCCAGCTATTAAGCGTGCGGATTTGAATGCTAATTCGAATTGTTCTTCCCGTGGTCGTGGATGCGTCCGCTGAGTAGAACTTCTGGATTTCTACTTTCGAAAATTCAATATCGATTTGCGTCAGGTGTGTCGTAGTAATGACTTCTTTCAAACGACAAACAAACGTAGTTTTACCTTTTAATTCCATTCCGTCCGATAGATAGATAGCGCGAACGCTAGACAGAACCTCTATACAGGCATAACTCGTGTTTTAGTGTTTTGTTCCTGAAAAAGCAACCTAGCAGTTTCGACCATAAAAAGAGACCGTTTTGGCGAAACATCAACATCATTTCACGTCTGTTTATTGAGAAGCATCAAAATGACACCAGGACCAACAACTACAAGGAATGGTGGACTCGCGCTCGCCGCTAGTACAACCCCAGCATTGTTCTATTGGTTTCTTACAATTAGCAGTTTGACCGCCCCGCCTTCAGTAGTCCACGCCGCTCCGCATCTGGGCAGCAGCAGTAGCAGTTCCTCGTCTCCCCGTTTCATCGAGGCCGTGGTGATTGACGCAAATGAAGAAGAGGCTCACGCCGCTGAAAATGAAACACGGACCAGTGGCACTCATAGCCGACGGAGGAGGTCGTCGAGCAGCGCCCGTCGCAGCTCGATCGGATCGAAGGCGTCTTCGGGGTCCTCTGGATCTACTGGCACTGCCTCCACCTCGACAGCATCATCCTCCTCGTCCAGCGTTTTCAGTACAACTCGGCTCTTGTTCCGCCGCCCAAGCAGCGTCTTTTCTGGAATGGTGTCCGCAGTTACCTCTAGCGGTTGCGGTTCCCATCTCGTAGTTCGGAAGCACGGGTCGGCTCGGAAAAGCAGTAAGAGCAGTTGTACTAGTAGCGATGAAGGCAGTGAAAGTCGTGAGCACCAGCCTGGTAGTGCAGCTTCGTCAAGCGCTGATCATGGTGCCACCAGTGCTGCTGGAATATTAGGGATGGCCAGAAATCATAATACGGTGGATGATCATCAGCATGGCGATCATTCGCCAGCTCCTTCGACGAGAGCAGCTTCATTGTCCAGCATGATGAGTCTGTCCGAATTTGAAGAAGCAGAATTACAAGAAGTAGATCAAGACGTCCACGTAGAGATGGAACAAGAGTCTGATGTTGATGGTGATCATCAACACGCCGCCCCAATGGAGCTGGGAAACGTCGAAGGTATTTCTTCGACGGAAATATCATGCCCATGCGCCGGATCTTCTACTTCAGCCCCACCGTGTGTCGGTCAGTCAAGTACTGGCGCTTTCAATTATTCTTGGATGTTGAGGAAAAACACATCCGGTGCGACGAACAAGATGAAGCAGCCGGATGCCCGTACATTGGTCCGACAGGAATTTGACGAGTGCGCAGGCGTCGAAGAAGTTTTCGAGAAGAGGGCCAATCAGGATTACTACCTGGAGTTTCTAGCTCTGAAGAGGCTGCTATACAAGTACCGGCTGAACGGCCGAAAAATTTGGAGCGACGAGCTTGCATATTTGACCAGGCCGACAATATCCAACTGTCGCGAAAAGAAGTCCTATAAATCGTATTCTACTGCTACGCCAAAAATAAAGCCTAAGCCGCGACGTGGTCGGGTTTGGAAAAACTACAAGCAAGAGTCTTTCCAGCGTTGCTTTTGATGTATGCAGATAGAACTCAGTTCGCAACGTTGCAAAATTAGCACCATGTGACACTCAGGATCAACACGAACACACTAGGCGAAGTATCTTGTTGAGCTACGTATAGATATGTCTTTTCGCCTGCATAGTCGCTTTCGATGAACTTTGAGGATCACTTTCAAGATTTCGACATTTGGACGACCTCGCGCCACTCCGGCGAGTTTGGAGAGTCAAAGGAAGCGATCAAAATCAAATCGGGCCTCAGCGCGGCACAGAGTCCCCGCAAAAATCCGGCGGTTGTCAGGGACAAGGCGTTTGCGAAAGCAGTGTCGGGGGATTGGTTCCTGAAGCTGACTCCGGAGCAGAAAGAGCAGGTGTTGGAGTTTCTCAAAACGAAGTGGCAACCAGCGCGGTTTGTTTCTCAAAAGAGCCTGGCGCAAACCTACGTGGCGGGCGTGGAGAGTAATTTTTTATCCAACAGACGGAACGCATAAGTGTCGTGTATTTCTCCAACATCGCGATGTAAGTAAGTAAGTAGGTACGAAGATGATAAGAAGATCGGGACTGTGCCTCACGCTGCACCCGTCTCAAATGATTTTGATCACAGGACGGTAGATCGATTCTGATTCATGAAGCGAGCCAGGAATAATCACAAGAACGCAACACATCTGCTACAGCATGTTGTGTCAAGTAGATGAATTTCGATAATTTGTCTTCGTACAAACGCATGCGCGATTGTGAAATTAGTAGCTAGAAGTTCTTGTGTCAACATATTGCAGCTTTTGCGTTCTTGCATAGTTGAAGGTGAAACCGAAAATGTTCCTGCACAAATCTGGTGACCTGTCGGGCAAGATCGCGGAGTTCCAACCTCCCGCACCGATGCCGTGTCTGTTCCGGGAATTGTACACTAAAGTGAAAAAGGCGAACGTGTACTACCAGGACGCGCTGTTTTTCCAAGCCCGGAGGATCTACCGGCACCCGCAGGCCAGGATCCGGCAGCACCCGCGAAGACTGAAATTCTGCGAAATTGTAAACCTCGTGAAAGAAGAAATGGAGGCCATTCTGAAGCTTGGGAGCAAAATCCAGGAAAAAGCGCTGAACCGGATAGGATAGCGGAAATGCGTTTTTTTTAAAGCTTCGTTTGTCCTCTACTTCAGCTTCACGACTGGCACTTCCACTTCCGGTCGTGCGAATACTTGTCACGAGCGCGGCTCTTTGGCAAGTTCCTACATGCATGTGCAACGGCAGCGAGCTTATGATTATGTTGTTTTTCATGAAATAGAAATAATTTTGTTTGCAGATTTTCAGTATATCTGAACTGCAACTGTAGATATCGACGAGCGGAAGTGAGGGTTAGTTCGTCGCGCTGAAGAGAACCGACAGACACGAAGCGTCTACTTTTTCCTCATCGATAGCCGAGTGCGGAGCTGAATGGGGCAGACGCGAAATGGATTGAACCACCACCGTGGAACCAGAACAGGTTCCTTTTTGGACTCTTTTGAGGAACAAATCGGCTGCAAGAAGAAGTTATTACGCTGTTGCTCTGCTCTTGTATCTGAAATGAACTGCTGCAAGATTTTAGAAGTATTAGACGAGTCGTCTTCGTCTCGATGTCACGACCGCCGTCATTGTAAGCAGGTATAACCGAAGGACGTCCGAGAGCAGATAGGTCCGGGGACTTTACATGTACCAGACAAAACAAACCTGCAGGTGGTCTCTTGTGCGGCACGCGGACAATCATCAATAGGAATACTTATTTAAATGCATTCGCAGATTTTTTCCGCCTAAAAAATAGAAAAATCAGAACACAGAACAAGAGCTTCACATAAGAAGTCGCGCCAGAAGAGCTCGATCTTGAGAAAGCTCAAAGCTGGCGTGAGGTCGACACGGGGCTACTAGTGCGAGCTGGTTTCAACAGGTCTCTGATGTTGTTAGATTAGATATCCATATCGTTTCAATAGAAAGAGAACTACACTATTTTTGCGTCGGAAAGTGCGCTGCTTGTCCTACACATTAATATACCAGCGGCACTTTACGTCGCTATCCTAATATGCTATCTATCGCTATATTATGGTTTCGTATAGAGGACGAAGAATTTATCTCTCGAGTAGTATCTATGTACTCATCTTCTTTTCTTGACTTTTTGCACATTCTGTATCCGTTGTATATGCTGACAAAGGAAAAAATGAAAAATGAGATCCCTTGAATTGTAACGTCTAACCAGTTGATAGCACCTACCATGTGAGGCGAAGGAGAGGAACCTAGGAGCTGCTTGGTGATGATGTGATGTTCCCCGGCCTTTATTTTTTTACCAGGCACGCAAAATCAGAACAATGATCCAGGCAGGTTCGGATTGAGAACGATGATCCAGGCAGGTTCGGATGTCTTCACCGGCAGGAACCTGAAGAGGACCAACTCTTTTGGCACACAAGAATCAACATCCCTCGTGCGAAAGTCATGGCGATGGAAAAATGTGAGTGTGCTGGCAAAATAGATACTAGTGCTGCGGTTATTACTTGCGCTTTTCTCCTTCTTCGTGCAGGACCGCCATTCCGGGTCCCTTGGTCTTGGTGCACAGAGCAGAATTGATTTCGCATGAAACGATGGAAGTTGATGATTGATCATCATCGATCAGTCCGACTGAGTCGTGGAGTAGCTCCACCTTCGATTTCGTTTGCCGTCTCCTTTATGTCGATTTCACAAGCAGAAGATCAAGATCTCCGGTGCTTTTCAATATATCAAGAAGTTAGTCGTGGTGCAGCGAGCTCTCGATCACCCTCTAATGTATGATGAAGATGGTTCACCCTCATCTCACGTACACGTTGGAGATAGTTGCGCCGGCGTTCTGCCGATTCCAAGATCTTCTCGCGGTCGTAAACAAACCAAGCACTTCATTTTTGTTTATTGTGGTCGGTGTGCTGTCTCTGTCAACATCCCGAGCGTTCAAATTTTAAATCACCACCGTCAGGCTACACGTCCTTATCTCCTCGTATATTTATCGACTTCATCATTCCAAATTTTTGTTGCGTTTTGTTGTGGTCTACATCTAGTTCTAGTCTTGTCTATTACGTGGAGTATATGCCATCTAGTACGTAATTTTATTTTATACCATTGGCGTCCCTGGGGCCATCTACGGTTGTGTTGTGAGGCCAGCACAACTTCTTGAATGCTAGTACTCTCTTCTTCATCTTCCGAAAAGATCATGCGGCCGCACAGGAGCGGTTGGGCGACCACTCACGCGTACCGCTTCCGCCCAAGCAGTAGGACGAGGACCAAGTCGCTCTCTCAGCACTTCGGAGGAGCAGGCTTATTTGTTGCGGTCCTTGGTGTTTGCGAGTTGCTACTTTTACTTTTTGCAAACGAGAACGTGTTCTTCACATTCACAAGTAAGTACTTTGCGCCTTCAGCCCCGACGTCGACAACCTCGTCCCTTCTCGGCGTCGGCTCATCTACTTTTTATTTGCCGTTGGGAGGTCAAGGTCTGAACATTTTCGCCCAGGCGGCTGCTCCTGCCGAAGGACGACCCGATAATGCGGACGAGGATGATGAAAACCAAAACTACACTGCCAGCGCTGACAAAAAAGAAGAACGACCTCCCGGAGCGGCGGCCGCAACTGCAGCTCGTGCCACAGGAGGTGGTGGACCAGGAGTATCTACTTCTTGCCCGCCCCCCGCAGAAGAACAACTCCTGAAGCCCGGAGACTACGTCGAGATTCACGGTCTGACCGGAACTAAACACGAGGTGTTGAACGGGAAAAAAGGCCTGATCATGTTCCCCGCTGAGCTTTTACTTGACACCGGCGACACCTTTCTGAAGAAGCTACTTCGTGATCGGAAGCGTGAGGAGGTGGCGAGAGAAATACAGCAAACAGCTCAGACTCCGGAAAAATCGGGTTCTACCAGTTCGCGTGATCTTCTCCTCGGTGGTGCAGGTGCTCCAGCAGCATCAACATCATTTTCATCCTCTCTGCAACAACATCGGCCGTCCTTTCTACCAGAAGGGGTTTTTCCATCAACCTCTCTACCAGCCACGGCTTCTGGTAGTTTCGAGCCGCGGAGCCGTCGTGGAGATGATGCGGAGAAAGACGAAAATACACCTTGTGCTGAATATCCTGTGTAAAAATGTATGACCGGGCAGTAGAAGTCTAGCGAGCCTGTGAGTCTAGGCTGAGGCTGGTCGGTCGGTATTTTATACAGACCCTAGCCCTTCGGCCATTGGTAGCCAGGACCTGAGAACGTTCCCCCAATTAAGAGACGGCAAGCCATTTCGCTTGTAAGATTCTATTTCCGTCTGTATCTCTATTATTCTCAGGTCCCAGGGAGTCACGCCCCTGCCATGGTAGTGAAGAGTATTATTGTCTGGCGAGACGGGGTTGAAATTAAACCCCGGCCAGACTTTATTTTCCGCCCCGGTGACCCGTTTCGGTCACTGATTAGGGGCTTTATTTTATCTGGTGAGACAGGGTTGAGATTAAACCCTGGCCAGATGGTTATGTTGGTTTTGTCCGGTGAGACGGGGTTGAAATTAGACCCCGGCTGGACCTTTTATTGCGAGCCCTGACCCATTTCGGTCAGCGATTCTGGCTCCGCTTTTTCTGGTGAGACGGGGTTGGAATTATACCCCGGCCAGACATATTATTTTCCGCCCCGGTGACCCGTTTCGGTCACTGATTCCGGGCTTTGTTTTATCTGGTGAGACAGGGTTGAGATTAAACCCTGGCCAGATGTTTTATTGAGATTGTCCGGTGAGACAGGGTTACGATGGAACCCTGGCCGGATGGTTTGACAGCTAGCCCTGACCCATTTCGGTCAGAGATTCTGGCTTTGCTTTGTCTGGTGAGGTGGGGTTGAAATTACACCCCGGCTGGACTTATGATTTTCCGCGGTCAATCTCAATGACCTTGGTTGTTTTTATCCTGACCTTTCTCGGCTGTTTGGCACTGGCGGTAAACGGGCTCCGAGCCCAATCCGTTACCCTTGCAGAGGGGGAGACTGGGATAAGAAAAGCCGGGGGCTTGTTGTATTCCGTTGGGGTTTTTGAGCTCCCATAGGGCTTTTTGTGTCTGGCCTTTGCCAATTTTACGTTGCGAGAAAGGTCACGGATAAAACGACCAAGGTCGGTGCTATTTAGCGTCTTTGGCGCCATTGCTTGCGCGCTGTTTTGAGGCTGCTGCGGATTTTCGTTATATCGCCTGCCTTGCAGGCTGAGGGAAACCTCCGGTCCCACATTACGTAGCTCGCTGTGTTTTTTTTTTGGGCTTGGACTTATATTGCTTTCCCGCCTTCCAGGGCTCCGCGGCCTTTTCGATGGGGCATGTTGTCCCCCAAATTCATCGCTGGGTCGCTTCGCTTCCTGCGGGTTCTTTGGGGTTGCTTCGGCGCGTGGCTCCTTCGGCGGTGGCGGGGTGCCCCATCGCGGGCGCTCATGCCCTTCCGGTGAAGACGGCTTCCCACTGGAAGCCTACGATCATCCAAAGGATGATCTATCTCTGGCTGATTCTGTATAAAATGTATGACCGGGCAGTAGAAGTCTAGCGAGCCTGTGAGTCTAGGCTGAGGCTGGTCGGTCGGTATTTTATACAGACCCTAGCCCTTCGGCCATTGGTAGCCAGGACCTGAGAACGTTCCCCCAATTAAGAGACGGCAAGCCATTTCGCTTGTGAGATTTGCCCACCCACCCGCCCTGGTGATTTTCTGTTGTCAGAGCATAGGTCATGAGGCTTCGAGCCGCTTCGCTTTTCGCGGGGCTGGACAGAGGCCTACGACGTCTTCGCGTCGGTTGTGGCGGGGTGCCCCATCGCGGGCGCTCATGCCCTTCCGGTGAAGACGGCTTCCCACTGGAAGCCTACGATCATCCAAAGGATGATCTATCTCTGGCTGAATCTGTATAAAATGAACAGAACGACGACGTCCCCGCGGATCCATATATAAAGATGCGAACTCCTTCAACTTCTTCTTTGCAGCACAATTCAACAAGTTTTGGCTGTTGCGCATGACAAACTTAGGGTCGCATTGTGGTCGTGTTTGACTAGTAGGGCAGCCACACAGCATTGCGATCATGATCATCTTACTCGGATTCTACCAGCATTGCGTCACTAGATTCAAAAGCATATACAACTGGAAAACGTTTCTCCAGGTGCTGGGGTTGGCAAATGTTTTAGCTGCCGTTGTGTAAATATATATGTTATGACGAACAATTGTATTAAGATTAGGGTGAGCAGGCGTTTCTACACAGGATAAGAGCGCCGGAAAATCATCTGCGTCACGACCCAGTTCGGCTCAGGTTCAGCGATGGGCAGTCACCACACTGCTGACGGCGGCGGAGTATTCCGCCGGACGGAAGGACGACGACTCCACTGCGCTGGACAGGGGAGCGTGGAAAAACCTCGCAGTCCGGGCTGACAACCTGAGGCTCTTACCGCAGGCGGATTTTTTTCCGGGCGGCGAACGCGACTCGGAGTCCGAGCCCGACGTTGGCGCCAGACGCGGAAGTAGTGGTAGAAGCAGCGGTCAACGTGGCAATAGTATTTCTGGCTCCCCCTCCTTCTCCGTTCTCGCCTCCTCGCAGTGGCGTCAGCTTGGCCCGCTGCTGTCCGAGGTCACAAGCGAACAGAAAACCACGAACAGTTTCGTGTTTAAGCGGCGCGGCCACTTGCACCAGACCTCGGACTACCTCACCGGGCAAAAGCGATCTGGCACACCGATGTGCGGGTTTGTGTTAGAGGACAAAACGTCGCGGAGTGAGACACAGATCGTCCGGAAGGCGAAGATTTACTGGTTCCGCGAACAGAAGGTAAGTGAGGAAGACCTGGACATCAAGATCTTCGGAGAAACCGGCAGCTCCACATTCGACATGAGCACCGGGAAGATCACGCGACACAGGTACCTCGCCGATAGTTGGCGGCAGAAAAAAGACTTACGGATGATCGAGGCCAAGAAAGTGCTTGCCCCCCTGGAGGAGATCCAGCGCGCGATCGCGAACGTGGGTCTGCTGAAGAAACAGGAAAAGGAGGACGGCGAGCGATTGAAGAAGGAAATGCATGCGTTGCGCATCGCGGAAATGGCAAACACCGACCAGGAGAAAGCGGCTGCCGTCGCCTTCGCAGCGGCCCTCCCGGGCGCGGGACAGGAGCTGAGCCGTTTTCTTCCAAGAAATCAGAAGGAAATCCTATTCAAGAAATTTGAAGACAAGGTCTTCCACGAGAGTAACTACGGCTTTAACGACTCCTACTACCGATTTGTCAAACGGCACGGCCGGGTGCTATGGTGCGATGAAATTAAGTATGCCCCCAAGGACCTAAATTTTGTTTGCATCGTAAGGGAGCTGCTAAACCATGCGGCCGAGCGAAAGATACATGTCGCACTCTCATGTATGAAACAGAGGCATATGTGCTTCAACAAGTCTGTCGAGAGTAACAAATGGCTTTTTGTGCTACCGCTGACGGTGCCTTGTAAGTTTGTTGTGCATCTTCACGGAACTTGTGGTCCACCACACGGACTTGCACGTCCTGTCTTGCATGACAGATTTGACGTTCTGGAGGATGTTGGGGCCGTACTTTTACATTCTATACGTCATGGTAGAAAAGCACGACTTCGACCGGGGCAAAATCCAGTACTACGAGTACATTTATGACACTGCGGAATACGCGGACTTCGATATTGTCTCGTTCCAGGAAGAAGAAGACGGGGCGCCGTTTTATGCATCACAAAGAAATGTGTCTGGTTTTGGAACGAAGGATGTCGTCACGCGAAGTCCTCTCGAGCACAAAAATATCAGTGCTGCATGAACGGCAGAACTTGCCAAGTGCCTGTCAGGAAACAGGTGGATTTCTCAGGCGGGATAGGCATGCGGAAGGCCTCGCAAGATCCGCGCTGCTTGTTCTGTGTGCATTATTCCAGAGCATGTGTGTGGTCCGTGAGATGCATGTACAAATCTTGCGCTCTTCCAGACCCGGACACATTTGCACTGGATACGTTTCGCGTCAACATCAAACTTCTCCTCGGGCCGGCGACTGAGGTATTTGACTAACGCGTCGACGTCAGTCAACAAGAAATACTACAAATACTTGATGAATAAACTTGAGGAAAAAGTTCTTAGAGAAACAACTTGAGGAATAAACATACATCAAACTTTTCGTACGCGAAGAAAAACATGCCGGGAACAACGAGATGATAACTAATACGATACCGTCCTCCGTGCAGCTGGTGCTGGCTCTGGCAGGACGTGCACGATCACGACCACATCGTTCACAAGCTTGACACGCTTCCGTTCCGCAATTTTTTTGAACGCGTAAAATAAAGAAAAAGTACTACTAACTACACTAGGTGTATCGTCGACCCTTTCCGTGGAGGAAAGACGACAAACCGGAAGGAAAAGATGTCCCTGCCTGGGTACCGTTTTCGGATCACCTGCCCGGGGAGACACAGCCCAGCGGACTGCGGCCCCCGAAATACGAAGAGCAAGAGGAGACGGTCCTGCTGGTGAAGGAACGCGAGCTGGTACGGAGTCCTACGGCACCCTTTCCGGCGGTAATTCCTGCTATGCCACGCGGATGAAATAAATCACATCGACTGCTTCGTCTGTTTGTCGTAACGACTTACACACATCTTACTAAGCGCACTTTTAATGCATGTTTTGAAGATTGAGATTCTTTTGCATCCTTCACAATCAAGAGGTTGTATTTATGGACGAAGAACCACTCCTGACGTGCAGCATTCGATAGGGGTTATTTCAACGTGGATATCCGCGAAAGACATTTTGGATCGGGAATATTCCTTTCTTGCGGACCAGAAGGGACTTTGAAGAAGTGCATGCAGACTGATCGGAAATAAAGGCTTGCTCTCGTGCTTCTAAGAAAATATGTTACTTTGTGCATCTGCATTTTTGCGTCTCTTATTTCAAACAACTATCGGAGTCAGACACATGCATACCCGATGGAAAATAAAGTGAACTGAATTTGACGAAGTCCAACAATTTTGAAAATAGAAATGAAACCACCAGCTTTTGTTTTTTGTAAACGTTTAAGTTTTGGCTTTTGCCCTGCTGACTGATCTCCTGATACTGATAGCTCGTCACCCGCTCTAGTGCCTTTCTATTCGTCATTCGTTGGCGCCATCTGGGGACCACATGCACCAAGAAGCAGCAGCAGAATTTTGTAGCTCGACTTTGGTGCAGCTGTGAAGATGATGTAAGTATGCACTAGACGGAGAACAAGCTGGGATCATGGAGGTTCTTTTTGAATAATCAGGAACGAGTTGATATGATGTGTCCACTAACGACTGAAATACCTGAGTCGCTCTTTGGCAGCACAGCGAATCATGTGTCGCTCGACGAGAAGTGAATCATGCGCCCTCGCAAATGAACCTCATAGAACATCATACGAAAAGCAAAGCATCTGAGCTACATTTCCCCAGCCACTTCGGCTCGACAAGCTTGGAGTTCGAGTGTTTGTAGGAAGTCTACAACGCCGACGTGTTCTTGTTCGTTGACGAGCTACAACAATTTGCAATTCATTGCATTCCTTCCAATTGCTCGACGTACAATAAAATCCAGAAGCTGCATCTCTTCCTAGCGGTTGCATTTTATCCTGCTTGCATGCGTAGGTCGCATGCTCTCATCCTACTCACGTGTTTTTTCTGTACTTGTATAATACCATGCTCTCATCCTATTTATGCGTTTTGATTTCTGTATTTGGGGTATTTGCGGTCATCCGTTATCGCGTATTTAATCAATGAACTTTTCTATGCCAACATCAAGATTCCAGATTGCTTTATTTGTTGCTATAGTCTTACAACATTGTGTGCAAAACACAAATGCTGGGGAACCACGGACAAGAAGAAAGATGAAGATGTTTGATGCGGGCACGGGGTGCAGCTACAGCTGCATGCGTTTTGGTCTCGTCGGTTGCTCCTCCTCTGCCCCGGCGTTGCTCCGACGCCGCGGAAGGTCCATGCTATTGCGTCTGCGTGTGTTGCCTGCGTGCGTCTCGAGTGCGCTCGGACTTCTTTTGATACGTCTGCGTGTGCTGCCTGCGTTCGTGTCCAGTGTGCTCGGACTTCTTTTGCTGAGCGGCCTTTTGCGATCCACCGTTCTACTTGCCGCAGCAGAGACTACAGCTGTTGCAGGAAGTGCAACCACCTCCGCGGGAGAAATTGAAACTCAGGTACCGGTAGAGTGGCACTTGCGGAGCCTGAAGTGGTTAACGGGTCGTCGGGATGACGAGGGTGAGAGCAGCCCGCTCAACACGCGGCATTTATTGGACGATAGGACGAGCAAGTACACGACGTTTCCGGACTTCGATTTTTTGCTGCGCTGGTGCTGCTCTCGACGGGGTAGTTCTGCGGGAGAATCAGGTACTAAGACCGTTGTACCTGGCACGAGCAGTGAAACTTCTGCTTCCACCATTCTACCCGCCGAAGCTGGTCGTGCCCGACCGCGAGTTCACCCAAAATTAAATGCGACCGAAGCGTTTGTCCGAGAGCGCAAGCAGATCCAACAGTTCCACCAGGAGTATTATCGGAACGTGTTCGCCGTCTCTTTGAAGACTTTCCGGGGGTGCACGGTGAATTACTTCGAGCAGTTGATTGCCGTTCTCGACGCCCTACTGGTGAAACTGAAGGCCCACCCGTGGGACCCACAGCAGGAGCCCATCACCTTTCTGCTTCCCTCCACGCCCTACGGCTGGGGCGGCGCGATTTTGGCCTCGCCATCTAGGGTGCGATTTCAGACGTCTACAGCACTGCCGTTGTGTCTCGATGCCGCCGTTCCCGGGGGCTACGAAACGCTCGCGCATCAAGAAGAGCACAGCGACCGCGATAAGGAGTTTCAATTACATCCGGGTGGTGCTGGACCTGCTGCTGGACAGTTTTCGCAGCACGGTCTAGTTCAGGATACAAGAGCCCCCACAGCGTCGAGATCATTCCGTAGTTTCGTGCCCGCTTCCCAAGTCTCCGCCGCCTTGGAGACCTCGCGCGGCCGGCCGCGCAAGATCACAGGGTCGGCCTTTGGACCGCGGGATTCAGATGAGCTGTGGAAAAAAGTCAAGGTCGAGGTGGTGGTGGACGACAAACTGGAAGAGCAAAAGCTCGAGCAAGATAATGGGTTGAACAACAACAGAGTAATAGAACAGCGCCAACGCACCACACATCAACTACAAGGGTTGATGTCTACGTCATCGTCGTCCGGCAGTGCTGGCGCTGCCCCCCGGAAAATCCTCGGCCTGGCCGTCGACCTGCAGGACTTCCGACGCGCGAACAACCGGCCGCTGCTTCCGCGCATCGAGGACCTGAAGGAACGGCTGTATCCAGGAAAAAACACCCGTCCCCATGCAATTTGTCATGCAAAACATGCATAATTTCCTGTGTTTGTGATGCAGAAAATGGATGGGGAGCGGTGTTTTTTGCTGGATAGTCTGCACTTCTTCCACATCCCGGACCTGGCCCGCGAGACGCGAGGCTTCACGCAATGCTACCTGCCGCGGGTCTGTCCCGAGACCACGGCGACCCACCACCGCGTGCTGCTGCAGCAGACGAAGCCGATGGGAATCGTGGAAGCTGTAAAGGATAGCCCGCTGGTGGCGTCTCTGACGGAGTTTTTGAACGACGGAATTTTTACCTGGGGTAGAGGTCGTGCTGGAAACCAACATCCACCGGGCACGAGAAACAGTCCCTCTGTTCCTGTTGCGGTTGTTCCTGCGCATGACCTTTTGGATCATTTGCGCTTCCCGCGGCCATCGACTTCCGCTTCCGTTGTGAAGAACGAAGCAGGACGAGATCAGGCCTCACGAGCAAGAGCCAGCAGATCATCATCTCGAGAACAAATGCTCACGAAGCTGGAGAACGCGGAGCTTTCCGCGCTAAATGCTATCTCCGCACGCTTTCAGCACCTGTCTGGTCACACGGCGGTGGCACACGGCTTGCTGGACTACCTGCCCTTAACCCAGATCGTGTTTGCAAAGAATGAACAACATGATGACGCAGCAAGCAGAGCAGAATCGGGAGGTCGAAGGAACGCGGACGAAGATAGCGCTTCTACACGAGACCACGTCGACTGGCAGCGCAGTGAAAAAGATTTCCGCGATTGCACGGAATTCATGGCAAGCGACTTTTATGAAGTGCACATTCGGTACGAGAACTGGCCGAAGTTTTTCGACGAGCTACTCGCGGTGAAGGCACGGGTGCTCTTGCAGCATGAGGAGATGATAAGCAGGAGAAGTAGAACTACTGCGGCGCAAGATGCAAGGAGCGCTCTTGCAGATGCTGGAACAGTAGACGCAATAAAGCTACATCAACTTGTACATGTACACTCGACGCCGAAAAAACGCGCAACCGTCGAAAATTGGTCCATCAAGTTTCTTGGCTGCGTGCCCAGCACGGATCTTCACGATGCTGAGTCCGCTGTGCAGTATTTGCTGCCACTGTCACTGGCCACACTGTTGCGCCATCTGGTCCTCGTGCCGGGTGACCTCGAAGAGGATGTTTTCGGAGCAGCTTCTGGCGGCACTGGCACTGGGGAAGTAGGAGCATCATCAAAACACATCGAAGTAGCACGACCTGCAGCTAGTAAGACTAGTACTGATCATCATGGTGAACAAGACAACAACAGCGACGTTGACAGGAACGTGCCCCTTTCGCTGGTCACCTTGCCTTCTATCGTGGAGCAGGCCGGACCTTTGCGGAACCCGAACGGAAGCAACCTTGCCATTTCGTCCTCCGGGGCCATGCATGCGGGTGGTGGGACCTTTCAGTCACACCACCAAAAAATCTTGTCCGCAAACCGGATGCGAACCAAGGCGATGGCGCAAGAGGAATTACGCAGGAAGGCTTCAATGCTTTCTCCTGCGACTGCAAGCGACGTTATTTCACCTTCTGAGAATTTGAATTCATCTACCTCAAGTGCAAGAAAAGGAGAACGGATGGATCTTCCCGGCGACGAGGTGATATCTCCAGCTGGAGGTGGTGCAGTTCCTGCAAGTAGCACTAGTGGCGGCCCTTACGTTTCCATTGAGACCGCTCTCAATTCGTGCGCGTATTTGACGGCTCGGACGCAAGAGGAGAAAATCAAGGTTCTGACCGGAGAGGGAGACAAAGTTCATCGGGATCTACGGCAAAAGACCGACATCGTATCTGGCTTACCCCGTATCGTCGCGAGACTGTTGGCTGCTGCAACGCAGACCTCCATGAACCAAATCCCTTTTCGCTGTCGAGGAGTGCTGTTGCCCGAAAGAACTGCACAGTCACTTCGCGAAGATACCAATCCTGCTGTTGTTCCAAGTTTATTGCAAGACACTCGGCAGTCGCGAAGAAAGGTGAGCAAACCCCCGACCAACTCATCCCTCCGGTTCTTCCAGGAGCAGGCGCGAGCGTGGCGAAACGAAAAGCGGACCAAGAAACTCAACATCGCCGTCTGCATCACAGGTCGCGCGCGCACGCTCGCGGCGCCGGAAGTGTTCAACTCGTTGCACCAGAATTTGACCAGTTTCGGGGAGGACCGCAACGCCAACGTGAAGGTGTTCTACGTCTTGGACCTGCAGGGGAAGGAGAAAAAAGACTTCGCGAGCGCGTTCAAACTACTCCCCCCGACCAGAATCCTTGTCACGGACGACAAGGAGCACTACCCAGCAGAATACGCGGAGGAGCCGGCCGTGTTGCAAAAGCGGCGGGAGCAACTGGCAGCCAAGAGCATCGTGTTGGACGATGAAGATGAAAGTGAAACACGCGGCGATCTGGAAATAACTCGTACTGGTGCAGATTCCTCGAGCAAAAGCGACGTGAAAAGGAAGAAAACCAGAAGCAATGAAGATCTGTCGCAGATTCGCATCCAAACCATCCACGCCGCGGACCCGCCGATCGAGGCCCGACACGTCTGCGACGCGCCGATCTCCTCCGCTTTTCAGAGCCAGAAGCTGAATCTGTGTATGGATTTGGTGCGACAGTTCGAGGAAGCCGGGGGGCTGGATGAGGAAACCGAAACTACGGCTGGAGAAGTTTCTTCACCTCGCGACCCCCCGGCAGCTGTTGGAGACACGGCACCGTCGACGACCCATGGTACTAAATCCAGAACGGGCAACGTAATTATGCAGGACGGAAATTATAACGGAAAAGAGAAGCCCACAAGGTTCGACTGGCTTGTCCGCACCCGTCCGGACCTGCAATTTCTGTCCCCGATCGGTTCGCTCCGCAACTACGACCCGAATTTTGTGCACCTCGTGCAGCGCAACGTGACCACGAGCAAGGGCGACACGCAGGACCACTTTGCCCTGCTTCCGCGGAAATTTGCCGAGGCTTACATGGATTACGACGGGTGCACGGGCGTGTCCGCAACCCGGGTCCAGGAGTCCTGCGCGAAAACAGCCAGAACCACATGGACGGAGTCCGCCCGGGTGACCCACGAGTGTGCGCTCAACATTCGGCTGCGACGGAAGCAGGTGAAGGTGAAACCCCTAGGGCATGTGTACATCGTGGCCAGGTGCACAACTACGAGCAACACAACTGGAACTACCGGGGGAGATCTTCTTCATGCCGAAAATAATACCATCGACGCCGAGGAAAGGGCTGCTGCAGGCGAATTGATAACCTGCTTCGACTATGCATTGCAAAAGTATCGTACTGGATAAATTGCAATACAAAATTGCGCAGCATTACAAATTGCATTTGTAATGCTGATTTGCCTTTAGAAAAAGATTTGTAATGCATACAAGCAATTAGTACGAGTACACTACTTTTGCACAGGATATCGACTCGGAGACAAACCCGGGATCCACGAAAAATTCGATGGCGATTATCGAGGGAGGCAAGAGGTGAAGAAGCTTGGCGGCCTTTTTTCCTGATGCAACCAGCAAGACAAAAATCTCTTCCTCCACCAGCTTGGGAGGTGTGCGCGACCGGCCTCGAAATGGTAGTGGCGGGCCACTTCTTGCTTATCCGGCGAGAGGACCCACGCTGGAGCTGAATGAAAAGGGTAGTAGAAGAAAGTGCCGTTACCGGGAATCAACGCCTCGAAAGACCCAGCGCCAGCGACATCGTGGACACGGACACGACGACCCTGCTGCGCGAGTGAAACGATTGCGGTGGATTGCAGGCGAACGGGAACATGCGCCGCAGTGGAAACTGGTAGCGATGGCCAGAGCTCGAATGATGTGAAGGACGCCCGATTTCTACATCAGAAGATGTTTACCGTTCTGCTCTGATGATCAGCACGAAATGCACCAAGCAAACGGAACACGACCGCAGACGGACACTCCGCGCGGCTCCAGCAACTACTTTTCTAGGAGCAGACTCTGGATGACGTTCAAGATGTTGATGTTGATCTCCTTGCGATATATATCAAGTTCCGGCGTCCCTCATCTTGATGAGTCTGGAGCCGCTCAGAGGATTTCCGTCACAGCGTGTTGCGCACCATCTCAATCTCTTGGTCATGTTGTGGGCGAGTCGATCATGAAAAGATGTCCATCACAGTGATCATTGTACTCCTGAAAAAACAAGAGAAAACAAGGAAGCAGAATACACTGACTTCCGGAAGTGGATCGCGCAAGCCACGGGGTGAAAAACCGAAGCAGTTGCCTCTCCTCTCAGAAGTAGAAGTCCAAGTCGACAGAAAACTACAAAAACTCCAGAGTGGTAAAGTAAATTTAAAGTAAGGCCGCCAAAGCACTAGCTCCGGTGAAAAAAACGCACTGGATTTTTGAAACAGGGCACCTGGCTACTTCACTGTAGTGTAGTTTTGTTTCGTCGTCGACGTCGTGAAATATTTCATACTACTTGTCCGGAGCAAGAATCACTCGATTACGTTTTTAGTGTTCCTCCCGTACTACACCTCTCCTCCTCTGAAACCTCATGCGACAAAAATCACATCAAAATGGTGAAAGACGAGGATCAATCGCAACCTCATCAGTTTCAATTCCTCTTCTTGTCGGTCCTAATGTTGTAAACTCCATAATACGCTTGTTTGTGTTTCTTGTGCGACAACTGTGATTGTTGACAAACACAGGCGACCGTGATGATCCATGTGCTGCAAAAAAATAAGACAGGAAGAACTGAAGACGAAGATCGTTGGACAACAAGAGAGCGAGTAGAGCTACAAATAATACGCACCGAAAAGAAATAAAAAAGAAAAACCGCAACGACAAGATGTACTCCGCTACGCCGACACGCAATCACCAAATTGAGGACGATGAGGTGCTCGTCAGCTGGGAGAGCAGCATCGGTTTGAAGCGAAATCCAGTAGAGACGAAAACCGGAAAGACAACCCTGATGCTCAGTACATCAATACGATTTTTAGTAGAAACTCTGTCGTGGTGCTTTGCTCGTCACTCATGCAGCTGTTGAATTTTCATCATGCAGCACGTTCGGGACCGCACCAAGATTGTCTTCTCGTCCCTGTTTCCCGAAAGAGAGAATCTTTCCCTTTGCGCTGCAAGCAGAGATGTTGTGCAATGTTGGAATGAAAAATTTCAATTTGCAGTACCTTTTTAAGCACTTCTCGCTTCACAGGTCGCATGCCTGTTGATTGACCAAAATCAAAACACACATTTGTCCACAGAAAATCTTTTGGCGTCCCAGAGTCAGCAGGATGTACTGGATATGCTCGCCGCCCGAAACTTCCACCCCGGTCGCAGCTTCGACTTTTTCTATCTCCCAATCGACTTCCGCTCCAGGTATAAAGAAGTATAGTTAAAGCGAAAGCGCGAATACTTAGCACAGGTTGACTCTGAACATGTGTGTCTGGTGTCTCGCCTTCTGTCATCGTGCGATATCACAGAATTTTTACGACAAACAGGTCCAACTACGGCTACTGCTTTGTGAACTTCGTTTCTCTGCTATCCACATCAAAAACAGCTCAGTGTCCACCGACCCTTGCTGGTAGCGTGCTTTCTTACGTTACGCAAAAAGCTGTAAGACCTCTGTTTAGGATAAACGAAAAAGTGCACCACGTATCCATGCCATAAAAACGAAATTTGTATATTGCACTGCATGATGTTGCAGCCAACAAGACTCATCGGTGGACTTTTCAGAGTCGTTTTGTTTGTCCGCAATAGCTTGCCGAGGCGAAGCGCTTCCACGCGGTCTTTCACCAAGTCAGCTTGCACCCGTCCGCGCCGCGGAAGTTGTCTGAAGTTGGCATCGCGCGAGTGCAGGGAAAGAAGAATAACATCGAACAATTTCGCAACTCGCCAATCAACGCCGTATTATTTCGATACTCTCAGCATGGTTTGTCTTGTCATGCAACACCTAAAAATCATGATGAAGCTGCTGAAACCTGTGCCTATCACGCAGTTGCAGTTCGTGTCCCTCTCTTCAGGCGGTATCAATCGGATTCGGAGTCTCTAGAACAGTATTTTTCAAACATCAAGTGTAGTAAAATATAAGGAACAAAAACCTATCAGATTCCGGCCGCCATTGCCCATTACCGTCCCCTAATTTTCGACACGCGCGGCGCGGTGCAGCCGTTCCCGGAGCCGGACCAGACCTTGCCGGCGCTGCAACTGCGGGAATCCCGGCGCACCGTGGGGCCGCGAAACAAGATGATGTCCTCTTCCATGACGGGGAGTGGTGGTGGTTTGTCAACGACCCCCATGTTAACCTGCTCCGCGAACACAACGACGTGTGGGACGAACAGTGATGCCGCGAGCGCCGCCAACAGTTTGAATTGCTTCAACGCCGCGGCTGGAGCGGGGCATGGCTTGGCGTTCGCTCCCATGCCACAGTCAGGTATGGTTTGAGATAGATTTTAGCATCATTGGTCTCATGCCTAGGTTGGGGTGCCAGGACGTCCAGGAGGTCTGCTGGTGGCCTCGAAAGTGCCGCTGCTCTTCTATTCTTTGAAGAACAAATTGTTTTATAAAAGATAAAGATGTTAAACTAGCCATCGAAATCGAAAAACGAATTTACCTCAGATCAATCCACGAGTTGTGCAACCGGGGCGGCAGCGACGTCTTCTCCGCTGATGAGCAGCAGCAATACCACGAAGAAGTATGAGATGAGGAAAAAAATCGAATAGTTGTCGTTAACTTTTTTTTATTTTCTGATCCTGATGGCTGTCATTGCATTATGTAGTCTCACAAGAACCCAAGCGGCTTATCACTTTTCGCAAATTTTTGACTGGAACGCGTCCGCTCCTGACTTGTCTTCTTTTTCCTCGGCATACTGTCATCAACGCCAACACGCCGAGCACATGCGGATCGAGTACCTACACGACTACGATGGACCCGGCCACCGTGGCTGCTGCCGCGCAGCACTACATTCCGGCTGGAACGACCAATGCGGCGTCGCAGCGGGGAGCGACATTTTTCGACGCGACAGGATCTACCTACTTTCCCAGCTTCTGGACCAACCCTGCGCTGGCTGGTATTGTTTAGGTTGGATGAGATATTTTAGCAAAAACATGCGAGTGTCTGGCTCCCATCTTCTCTTTGCGCATGACTAGAAATAAACCCACACCGAATACATCATGAAGCTTTGTTGTGCATGCGACAGACAGACTGAGTTTAGTTCTTGATTATGGTGGAGTCAAAAGAAACGCTGTCGTGTGCGCTCCTGTTTTTCGAGGTACACGTATGACATAATAATATCACAACAGCCACCTATCTGCACCCGGGATACTACTACGGAAACTATGCGGCGTTCGATATCTCAAAGGAAACGATCATCACCAAAAATTACACATAGATTCATTTGTAATGCGCTTGCAAGAATGTGCGACCGTTCAATTACGGAATGCAGTGCGCAGCTGTAGATAAAGTTAATAAAAGAGTATTTACCTCTTTGTACTTAATTACGTGGTGTGTTGATGATGGTGATTTTTCCCTTGATACCCAGAACACCCAGTGGAGCCGGCTGGTAGATTTTTGTCAATTTTTGTGGTAGGAGCGCGACATCAACACCATCGGGCCGACGTAGCATTCGCTTCATTCGGGGGGAAAGTACAGATATTGATAATAATGGAAATAGATGCAGTCCAATCAATTTGAATTGATACAAAATTTCCGAGAAAAAAAAAGTTGATGCTAGACGTATACGAATGTGAAACTCAAACTTCTTTGGCTTTGGAATACAGATTTTTTTTTGACGTAAATAGTGCTTAGAAATAAGCTGGGAGCTATATTGTTTGCAAGAACGCGGGTTAACGTTAACACGATTACAGATTCCTGTGAAGCTGAAGATAATATTATTCTTTGCAACACCAGAAGCAAAGGACAATGAGTACTTGCATACTTAGATTTTTTTCTTGTTTTCTCTACATTATTGATGACTTGCAAAGACGATGCTGTGGTAGCTCTGTTTCCGTGAAAGCAAAGATGTGCTCTTTATGCTGAAGCTACGTAGTGATGCAGTGTTGATACTCACAACAGCCTGCTGGGGATACTAAACTACAAGGCGGTGATAAATTTATGAACATTATCGAAGGAAAATATTTTTGTAATTTGCAGCTTCGATGGATCATGCACGTGACGATGTTTTGCCATTGCATGACATTGACATGGTCGATTTGGTTCCTGAGAGCGATATTATATTTGAAAGATAAGCTTTTATTTTAGTTTCGTACGTAAGCAAGCGGATGTCACTGTGACTCGCATACAAACTTGTTTTTTGAACAGAACCCGACATAAATATTTTGAACCGGTGTTACCTCTGAGGTGTATTTCTGGTATACCTTTGAACAGCAAAAAGATAAAAGTTTCAAATTTAGCCGAATTTGCCTCATTGAAAAGAATTTTTTTTACTCCCGTTTCGCAGTAGGAAAGTTTGCATGTGCTTTATCCAGCAAAATTTGAAATCGGAAAGGCGGATCCATCAGTTGCAACAATTTTGTCATCTTCGAGTTTCATCATGGGAAGCAAAAGCAAGAGCTTGCAATCGAACCTCCAAACGTTTCTAGTATTTTCTTCAAAAGAAAATGAAATAGTTCGAAAGAAACGCTATTGACACAACAAGCGTGCTTATTATTTCATCATATCAACACTACACGACCTGAAATTGTTGGTGGCAAGTGTGCCTGGCTCGAGCTTTTCACTACAACCGCAGTCACCGGCACCACAGTAAAATTTCGCAGTCATTCTGTTCCCCCACGCCCGCAAACGCAGCGTCGTCTGCCACTGAAGAAGGAAAAAAAAGGCATTAGACAAGGTAAAAGATCCTGCTCTTTCAAATCGCAGCTAGGTGGTGATGTCATCAAACCCAATTTTTTAGAAGCCAGCTTCCGATCTAACGAGTAACTTCGAGTTAGCACAATCCGTTCAAAATATGATTTTAGATGTGACAAGAATCTTTATTCCTGTTGATACATGATGTAGATGTAGAAGCGAAGTTGTAATTGTTTCTTTCCCACAGCATCGACCCATCTGATAATTCTGAACACAATCACAAACGACCTTAACCATCCCCTTCATACCCACATCAAGTACCACCTATTTGTTCTTTAGTTTTCATGACAGACGTGTGGCACCACGATATAAGGCGTGACTCTCACTATGTCTGAGGCGTAAAATTTAGTGGTTTCTATCGAATACCGACGCCCCCTCCTAAACCCCAAGGTAAGAACTCCTTACTCTCACAACATGTCGACCCAGTACGGCGACCTTTTCGGGTCGCAGGCCGAAATGGCCAACTTTGCCTATGGGGAGCAGGGCGACCGAGAAATGATCCGACACGACCGCACCGGGAAGGTTGGTAGGCTGCTGAAAGACCGAGAGCGCATGGCGGCGGCAGCGGAAATCGCGAAGAGCGAAGTGGAAGCAGGCAAAATGAAGAGAAGAAAGCTGCAGATGGGAAGTACTAGATAGGATAATGAAAGTTTGTCGTATTCCTCATGTCGACCCTGCTTTTACTGGTGGTTGTGCCGATAGTACGTTGTAGGAGATAAACACATGATTGCAATAAATTTCAGCACGTCGCATCCATACTTTGAAAAATTTATTCATGTTGACATACTAGTGTTCCTTCTACCTGCTGTTTCGCGTCTGCGTTTCACGGCGTAGATGCTATACAAGAACTCTTCGGCATGATAGCAAAACATGAAAACATAAACAGCCGAGGGCGCTGCGTTTGACACTTCCGCGGCCGACGTTCTGGAGGAGGAATTTGCGAAGCAGACCGTCGGGCTGACAAGCAAGGAGGAGTTTCTCGAAAAGCGGAAGAACATCGACGAAATGATCGAGAAGGCGCAGAAGGCGAAAAACCAGGAAAAAGTGGAGAAGAAAATGATTGTGCAGAAGGTAAAGAAAGCCGCGCTCAGCTTTATCGACGACGAAGATGAGGAGGAGGAGGAGGACGACGAGTCAGAGGAGAATAGAATCACCAGCGGAAAGAACGTAAAGCCAGGAGCTGCTGGTGCGACATCATCTTCATCTGCGGTAGCTTCTTCTTCTTCTTCTGCGAAAAAAGACAACAACTCGCCGCCCCCGTTTGAAGCCGCCGAAAGTTACGGCGGGTCCAGACCCGGCTACGTTTTCAAGCTCGGCGAACTGGGTTTGGGTTACTACGCGGATAGATTACCACCGGTTGGAGGAGGATCCTCGCCTGGAGGTAAAGATACAGCTGGGGCGGCAACTTCGAAGGAGCAGACGTTTTGGCGCACGAAAAAGAACCCGACGGTGGACACTTCGTTCCTTCGGGACGAAGCGCGCGAGAAGAACCTGGAGCAGCGAAAGAAGCAACTCGCGCTGGAGTACCAGCAGCAGCAGGAGAAGGTGAAGAGAGAACTGGTGGACATTGTGTACAGCTACTGGGACGGCAGCGGGCACCGGCGGTCACTCCAGATCGAGCAGGGTGCCACGATCGGGCAGTTTCTGAAGGTAGCAAGGCTCCAGCTGCTCGAAGACTTCGCCGCCCTACGCCACGTCGCGTCCGACGAGCTGCTGTATGTGAAGGAGGATCTGATCCTGCCCCACAAGGTCAGCTTCTACGAACTGATCCGCGACCAGGTCCGGGGGAAATCGGGCCCGCTGTTCAGCTTCGACGCGACGGAGACAGTAACCGAGGCCGCCGACATTCGCGTGCAGCGCAACGACTCGCACGCGGGCAAAATCGTGCAGCGGGCCTGGTACGAGCAAAACAAGCACGTGTTTCCCCAGAAGCGGTGGGAAATCTACGACCCGCAGGTGTCGTACGGCACCTACTCGGTGAAGGGCAACGCCAACAAGTACAAGCGGCTCCACCAGGACTTGGTCGCGCCAAAGAGTTCCTCGGTGATCGGATCGGGGGCCGGCATTTTCTCGGGCGGGGGAACAGACTCTGCCGCGAACATGAATCCAAAAAGCAGCGACGCCGCCAGGATGACCAACTGAGAGGAAAAATATTCAAGTTGGAACTCTTCGTTGCTCTTCTTTGTTTTATATATACATCTTTTAGTCAAGTATACGACCGACACACCTCTTGTTCGAGTTATCGAAAAACAAAAAGGCTTGCTGACAGTGCCAGTGGCGCGGCAGCGGCTCGCATGCTAGCGTGAAAGTGTCGAGTGCCGGCCGCGACCTCAACCTCCCGACGTGGTCACCCGTGTTCCGTATCAACAAATGCCAATGCGAAAGAATCAGAGTGTAGCATTGTGGTCTTTGTCGGTAAGTCATTATGCAGCATATACTTACTTTGGTCTCACGGTGTGTCCGGCATACTTGTCGGCGGGTTTAAAAACCACAGGAGAAATAAACCTCGGTCATCCAAAATGGAAAAACAAAAAGGGGACTGAAGATCCAGCTCTTTGTTGTGCTCTTCAACTTCCACCATAAGACGTGGTAAAAGAACCTGTTTCATCGTTTCCGTTTTGTTTTTGTTCTTTGCTTTTGCGTGCAGATGTTTGTAGTTTAAATGTGAGAAGTGTAAATGACTTTGCCGTCTTGTGTTTCTGTTTGCTGGTTTCTAACACACATTGTTAAATATCCTTTTTCAACATCGAGATCAATAACAGCCCTTGACCGAAGGCGATCTATCAGTACCGCGAGAAGAAAAGACAAGGATTGACGAGCTCGTCTATAGCATGTGGTTTCCCAAGAAAGACGGAAGCGGAGAAGAAAGCAGCAGCGGCCGGTGTTTCAGTAGCACTAGCACTGCTACGCCGCCTTTCGAGCTGGAGCGCACGAATAAGGTGCTGGTGCAGCTGCGCCAGCATCGGAATTTCGCACTCGATAAACAAAACGGCGCAAGGTCGACTAGCCAAAGTTGTAGGAGAACAAGGAGGTGGCCCGAGCTGCCCAACAACGATACTACGGGAACATTAACACCATCAAAAAAGGACGAGATCGAGCACACTATTAAGGCTCGCTGGTACGACAATCCTGGCAGCATTTGCGGTGCCGGAGGACCAAACCCAAGCGTGCGAAGCAGGAGCTGCTTATTCGGTCACGTCGAAGATCCTGCTGAGGAAACAAAAAAGACGAGGTCGATAACGATGTTGCGGGAATCGCAATCGGATGCGCAACATATCTCGTTCATCCGTTCATCTTGCGGTGGACAATGCGCTGATGATCCTTGTTTCGACTATGCCGCCAGCTGTGCGACCGACGAAGCCTCTATTACAGCAACGGGATCCCGCTCTTCCTGCTCGTCCTCGAGGTCCACTCGCGATAAAAGAACTTGTGGAGATGAAGCGCCAGCAGGAAAGAGGGCAGCTGCTGTACGACCACCAACTGAAAAGAGGAAAGAACATGACAGAACCGCTGGTGGAACAAGTTCACTCTCTGTGATGAATTCAAATATTGTGTCAGAATCAACTTCGAGACGCCTGAACACGGGTAGGTCCGCCACCTCGAGAAAACGAAAACGAAAAACCAAAACAATAGAGCCGGACGACTTTAGTAATACTTATAGCTGCGAAGAAGAGCACTGTGACTTTTCTAAAGGCTCTCCTGGTGCCGTTAGGCATTTTCGAAAAGAGATGGAGCCACCGCTTATGCAAAGTGGACACGCTGCTCCGTTGGCCGACCTCGTCAGTGGCAGGCCCCATAGTACCAGTGCGGCAAGAATTGCGTATCAGCCGTCGAAAAGGAAAACAGCAAAAGTAGCAATTTACAGTTTCCGGCTGCTCACCCCGATCTGTAACTCAATCGCCATGTTTCTCATCCTTCTTCTTCGCATATTCTCATTTCTGCGAGACATTTTAGCACGACACTGTGGGTTTTTTGGAGGGTCTTCAACTGCTTCGACGTCGAAGGGAACGCTCCACCCTAGCGCCCTTGCGGCCATTGCTCCGAGTGGAGGTCGACTCAGAAGGACCACAGCTACTAGTACCCATGCACGAGGAAAAGCTGGCTGGAGCTGCTCTAGAAGTAGCGCTACTGCGTCGAAGAACGCAGAAAATGTTGACCTCCACACAACTACTTCGGTCCTGCCGGGCAAGACGAGGATTAAAAATCAACATGCGAGCGCTATTAACAAGGCGCGTTCAGCACATAGGAACCGAAGCACTGCGGCAGGAGGGACATGTTGGATGAGGCCGCCTAGCAGCAAGAAGACTACATTGACTTCAAGAAAAACTACAAGAACCCACTGGCTGCTATCTTCAAGAGCGGCTTTCACGAAAACCCTTTTCTACCAGCTGCAGCTCCTTCCCCTCCTCACTTTCGCGTGGCACTACATCCCGGGCTCGAACGAGTCCAATATTTTTTACACCTTTCAAGAATTCTACACAGACGCGCAGTACGGGCCGGACTTCGGGTACTACAGCAAAGGCAGAATCCTGCAGGGCGAGTTTTTCAACTCCTACACCACCTTCCCGATGGGCCTGTCCCCCATGTTCGGGAACCTGATCGCCGACCGGCTCTACGCGACCTGGCTCGCGATGGCCAAGCCACCAAAATTCGACATCTTCGAATTCGGTGGGGGCACGGGCGTCCTGGCCCGCGACATTCTGTTGCGGATCGAGGATCGCTACCCCATGATGGTACCCGCCACGAAGTACACCCTGGGGGAGCGCGCGGCGGGCCTCCGCCGGCAGCAGAAGAAGACCATCAAGGCCGCCAACCTGACCCACTCGGACCAGATGTTCCAGGTGCGGGAAGCGGACGCGCGGGAGGCCGCGCGGTTGAAGCAGCCGGGCGACAAGTTCGTGGGCGCGGTGATCTCGAACGAGCTCCTGGACGAGTTTGACCCCGTGAAGCTGCGACTCATTTGGGAAACCGGCAAGCCGCCCAACCCCTCCGAGGTCCGCAGCTGCCGGACCTGGCGCGAGGTCTACGTCATGCACCGCGTGGACAAATCCCTTCTTTTGAATAGCAACTGGCAGCGGGAAGCGTCCGCGATCGTGTGTGCCTACCTGGATGACCCCTGGATTGCGCGGCTGATCGCCAAACAGTTCGCGAACGAGCGGCGGTGCTACCCCTACGCGGTGTGCTGCGTGCCCTTATTGCTGGCGTTGAATAAGCTGCTGCACTATGACCACCTGTTTCTGGAACGGTTGGAGTACCGGAACGTGAACTTGCTGATGGAAGAATACGAAAAGGAGGTGGCATATGGAAGCGTCAGAATCGAAATCGTCAAAGTTGAAATAGTTTGTCATGCATAAAATGCAACCCACAAAGTGCCTGTCTTGCAGAGTAGGCAAGGGAGGCAGACCGTAAGCCTGTTGCGGGGTAGAAATAGAGCTGCTAAAGTAGCATGACAAAAGGCATACTCCTTACCCAAACCGCATTACAAACTGGATTTCGGTTCTACCCAAATTTGTCATGCGCCACTTGAAAACTAGGCGCGAACTGGTATCCGTTTTATGCATGGTAAACTATTTCAACTTTGACGATTCCGATCCTGACACTCCCACATGGCAGACCCGCGTGTCTTGGTCACGAAAGAGCAGTATCGAATGATCCGCCGGGCCCATTTGCACGATTACCAGGTGGAGGAGGGACTGCTCACCTCTGACAAAATTGCCACGGATCAGGTCGAATTAATTTTTGACATGAAGAATTTGCTCACTCCTTTGCCGCGCAAGGGGCGGGGTCCGAAGACAAGTATTATGATCTACGTCTTCTTGTTCACAACGCACCATCGAGAGGACCACGTACAAGATGCGCAAAAATTCTAGGATCGAGGCGCCGTGGTCGTGCAAGATCTTCTGCAAAAATGAATGCTTTGAACAATACGAAATATTACATCAAAACAGGTATCCATGCTTCTGACGGAAGAGCGGTGCGCCGAACTGACAGCGTTTTTCGCGCGCCACGCGCAGCGGTTCACCCGGGCCGCGGAGCGCCGCGACGCAATCGACGGTACCACTCCGCTGAACGACATTTCGTCCTCTTCGTTCCTTAAGTGGGTGGTCCGTCCCGGCGAGGAGCAGTTTGCGCAGGAAGCCAGCAAACTGTTGGACCAGGGCATCATGATCGCGATTGACTACGGTGCGGATTTTGAGGCCCTGGCTTGGCTGCAGATATCAAATGTGAAAATGTCTGGGTCTGGAAGAATGCAAGATTTGTGATGCAGGTTTTCCATGACCCATGAGGTCTGGAATGCGAGACCCAGCATGACAGATTCTTTGAGATCTCTATCATGCCTCTCGTGCTTGGTCAAAAGCGGACAGCTTTTGGCACTCACGCAACACAGATTTTTGCATCATTTAGGTTTAGCATGACAAGTTCTAATCTTCCAGACCCAGACATTTTTGCAGTTGATAGCAGATCGTGAAGCCCAATTACGAGGGGATTCACATCATGGATGCCCGGTACGGCTATCAAATGTAAAAATGTCTGGGTCTGGAAGAGTGTAGACTTGTCATGCAGATTTTCCATGACCCATGAGGTCTGGAATGCGGGACTTAGCATGACAGACTCTGCGAGGCCTCTGCCATGCCTATTCTGCATGAGAAACTCCGTTCCAACTTGGTCAAAAGTGGACAGCTTTTGGCACTCATGCAACACAGATTTTTGCATGCTTCAGATTTACCATGACAAGTTGCAATCTTCCAGACCCAGACATTTTTGCAATTCATAACGGCAATTTCTGCACCAACAAGGGTGAGCTGCAGTGTCCCGGCATGCACGACATCACAACAAACGTGGACTTCACCAATATATGAAAGTGCACAAGAACTCCCCTTCATCCGCATCCCCCTATATTTGTATCAATGCAAAATACCTAACTCACAGCAACAGCTTGCTCGTAAGGACTACTTGCAAGACAATGATAAATTCTGGAGCCTCATCAAACAGTGCAGTACTACAATGCGCACGAAGATTTGTTGTCATCCGGAAGCCCCTTTCTGCTGTTGCTTGTGGTGATGCTGTAGCTGATGCGTTTTAAGCGCGCACCTAGGGGGAGGTGTGCACACGGATACAATTTCGCCGAGGCTGCGAAGGAAAAAAACTTCGAGCTCGTGTCCTACGCGCCCATGATCGAGCTGGAACGGTTATCACACAGAAAAAACAAGCTAGTGTGTGTGTGTGGCATATTTGTATTGCTACTGATGCAAAAAGATACAGCACTAAAACTTCTATACGTATACTAGTACAACACACAGGATCAAATCTGCGATGTTTATCTTGGGCCAGCCCATAGCAACAGGCTGCTTGAAGTATAAATATGCAAGACTCGTCCTGACAGATGATCTTTTCAACATCGTACTACTCCTGCGTAGTTGCAAAATCTCAACATCCTAGTTTTTTTCTCCGGGATGGCGTTCCTTTGGCTTCGGTGCGCACGAAGAGTCGCTCTTTCCGCATGTGATCGAGCAGGCCGGCGGAATCAGAAGCGCCGGCGTCTGGGGCTGGTACTCCACCAAAAACACCGAACCCTGGGCCAGCTTCAAGCTGCTGATCATGCAGAAGCAAGGTAGTGCGGTGCCGGCAGCTGGGAGTTCTACACTTGGTGGTCCAGGAACGACGAGACCAGCAGACGCGGAGCCCATGCTGAAAATGAACCCGTTTCATGGTACGTGTACGTCTCTAGTAGATCTTTCGAGGCCGCTCTTCGTCAAGAACTACACAAGTCGTGTTGATGGCTTGAGTGATGATGATGGCACTTGTTCACGACGGCATCTCTAACCGTGCGGCACATGATAACGCTCACGACGAAAGCGGCTGCTAGTGCTAGAGTGAGACGCAAGGAGATGAACATCATCAGCACCGTATCGAACAAAAAAGTGTTAACGTTACGGCTTCGGCGATTTTTAGAATAAATTTTTTTATTTTGCCGCTCAGTCGCTTTCTTTTCATGTTAAAATCAACACTTTTCATGATACTAGCTACCGCGGGGCGCTGTTGTAGCGTAATCAGTTTGAGCTAGCTAGTGCACAAAGTATTCCATTCCGCACCCGAGTCCGGCGTAACCTCCGGAGGAAGACCATGGGCGCCGCGTCTCTGACTGTTTTGGCATGATATGGTGGTGATTCTGGCGACCTTTCGCCTTCAAGTCTGTCGCGCAAGGTCTGCGTCATGTGTCGGCATATGAGTCTACGCGACAATCCCCCGAAAGGTCCGCGCAACTCCCCACCATATCGCCCGCTTAGAACTGTATAGATTCGCTGCGTTTCCAGTCATTGCGTTGTAGCTTTTGAGCCATCTCGCCAAGTTCTTCCCATGAGGCAGAAAAGCTGTCATTTCGAGGATGAGGAAAATTGGCAAAATTCGGGCACCAAATTGCCCAAATTCTGCAGTCACCCAGAAAACCGCTAACACTTTTTAGACAGGGCGCTATGATCGACCCAGCCTGCCAAAAGCAGGCTTTTTTGTATGAAAACGCCAAAAAATGACCGTTAACACTTTTTAGACGGGGCGCTATGGTCGATTTATCCTCCCCAGAGCCCGTGCTCCTTGGCCTGCAGGGTTCTGGACAAAGTAAGTCGATCATAGCATGCTGTCTAAAAAGTGTTAACGGTTTTTCTGGGTGACTGCGAAATTTGGCCTCAAATTGATGGCAAATCATGGATTTTTTCAGCGGAATTCCCTATGACCCCAAAAAACCGCTAACACTTTTTAGACAGCGCGCTATGGTCGATTCTGCCTCCCCAAAGCAGGCCCATCCCCAGTGTCGCTGGCGGCGACGGGGATGGTGGCAGCTCGAGATCATCTCTCAACCACATTGCTTGCAGTAGCTGCCGTCCACGAAGCGTCCCAAAACAGCTGAAAGGCAGGCTCCGCCGACGCCGAGCTGTTGTGGAGGCGCTGCGACCGGGTCCAGGAGCCGACGCGCAGGGGAAGGCTCCTCATGGAGCGGCCCCGGTAGGCGAAGTTCCGCGTCGTCAGACCTTGTGCACTAGCTAACTCAAACATAGTTAGCTACTTCAGAGGCCCGCAATAGCTAAAAGAGTGAGCGGGCCCCTTTATGTATTCAGATAACGCCGGCAGGGAACCAACAAAAAATTTTTAATGCAAAAAATCCAAAACCGTAACGGAAAACATCATCAGCACCGCCGCAAAGTTTTGTCGTTCCAAATTTAGGTATGGCTCAGTTTCCGCTCCTCCGTGCCCGAGACGAGATCGATAACTGTATGGAGGAGGTGAGTATCAATCGCAAGTAGAAATATGGCTGGGTCTTGAAGATTGCGAGAATTGACGTGCTAGTTGTCTGGCACGACCCTGAGCTCTGTATTTTTGCGTCGCTACGAAGAGCTCGTCTCGTCTGTCATGCAGAAACAGAGTTTCTGTTTCTCACACACGCGAAATACACATCAACACAGAGCCCGCGCGAAAGAATCTGTCAGGTTTCGCTGTGCATTGCAGGAGACTGGGCCCATTATTCAGTGACATGCACCATCATCCCAACTTTCGCTTTCCAGACCCAGACATATTTGCAGTGGATAACGATGCTTCCCTCCCTGGCCGGCGCCATCCTGCGGGAGTCGAAGCTGAAGCTGAATTCGGTGGAACCCTGGGCGACGGCGAGTATATTGGCGCGTGTGAATCCGGATCTTGTCTACGACCAGGAACTGGTAACTAATGTAATTCTTGCATAAAACTTTTATGAATATGAAGTCTTTTTTGAAGCATCTCAGACGATGATGTTCTTGACGATCACGATGATGATGATAGTGATACATCGGGCACCAAGTTGTAGAAGTATTCGCTTATTCATTGCCGTTTTATGCTACAAGTACAACTAGTGGTAGTGTATCAGGTTCAGCATAAACAAAAAATGCACCAGCTGCAAGGCAGTGAGTATGTAACTCCTACTTTGCTCGAACTTGTTGCACAACAGGAGCGGCAGCGGGCCATCATGAACGAGTACCACCTGTCCATCTTGCTGCTCGATTATGCAACCCATTTGTCGCAAAACCAGTGCCCCATTCAGTGGGACGAAGCTTCCATTCGCGACATTGCAGAGGCGCGGTTGCTGAAGCAAGTGTTCGGCGAGGAGGCCCTGGAGCGGGCACTGAAGTACTACGTACAGGTGAATAACATGACCGTCGTGAAACCGTCCTACGTCTCCCAATTTACCCCGGTGGGCTGCATGCTGCGGAAGGGCCTCCTCGGGTATTGCGGGCATAATGAGGTACTGAACGAGGCCTATGTGGAGGACTTCGACTTGGGGCACATGCTGATGTGATGGAGCGTTGTAGTGGTAGTAGGATTTCCGATACTTTTTGTTCGCGGTTGAGCTGGGCAACAAGTACGTAGCGTGCAAAGACAATGAACGGGGGATGACGTTCTTACAGAGAACGAGCTTTCTTTTCTCTCTCTACAACTGTATCTCTGTCGGATAAGAATGAAAATCCTGTGTAGTACAAGCTTCTTGGCATGCTGCTCTTTTGTACGATGGAGGTGCGATTGAAGCTGTATTTCTATCTTTTTCAACATCGGAGTGGCGCTTTGCTATTGCTTGTACTTTTCCAGGAGCTCTAAGCAATAGATAGTTGCGTTCTTTGTTCTTTGAGGATTGTCTCGACTCTTGTATTCAATGAATACTATACGTCTTCACCTTCAGATGAGTATGCGGATTATAAATATGTGCCCCGATTTCATCCGCCAGCACGAGCCCACTTTTTCCCGCATTTTTTTATACCATAAAGATACAAACGAACTATCAGATGAGGCAAGTCGAAAGATGAAACGCTTTCCATGTACATTAACTTGGTGAATGCGCCGAACGAGCAGTATTGTAAAAAAATTCAAAGTACTTATTGTTTGTGCGTGTAATGATGTTTCTCGACTCTGCTGTGGCTTTTATTTAGCGTGATGTCGTCCATTTGGACACCAAACAAGTTCTTAATCGTGGGGAGAAGAGCATGAAATGAAAAGGGGATTTGGAAAAATCGCGGTCTAATCTTGCTTGAAATGTAACCCGTAGTAACGACCACGCAAAAGTGGTCCATTATCCTCTCGAGATGAACAGTTCGCCAGCCATTGTTAAGGGGACGGAGCCTACCCCTGCCACTAGTGACGCACTGCATGAGCATGTGTTGTCGTTGTGTTCCGAACAAAATTAATAAGTAAAAACGCGAATTTATTTTTCTGGTCAAGCATCATCACCATCAACAGCATCGTTATTACCAGCCAGGAATATGGCTCGGGCTTCTCAAACGATAACAGTTTTTTACAAGATCGGCTGTAAAAATTCACGTATTTTTAAAGATGTTGTTGATGTTGGGTGCAACAGAAAAACGACCACCATCTTCTTCAAGGAAAGAATAAAGACCGAGGACAAGGCGACCACATAGGTTGTAACTCAATGATGATCTTCTATTAGCTGAGTCAATCTAATAAATGGAAGCTATCCCGCCCTTGTAGGGAAGGGAGCCCATGTGCTCGGAGCACAAAAGTACTTGGTCTGTCTTTAGGACCCAGCAGATGCCAGGACCGACTGGCAACGCGCTCAGAGTGAGACAATGCATCCGCCTCAGCTACGCGAGGCCTGTGGAGCGTCTGGCCTAGTTTGGTCCGTGGAACGCTCGTCGCAGCCGGTCTAGCTCGCAGCTAGACCATTGCGCGCCACCTTCAGCGTCTAAAAACATTGCCCACGCCACTGCAGCCTCCCCCGTGGCATGTCCGTCGCATCCGATCGCCTGCGTGTGCAGCCCCGGAGCATACGGCAACGGGACGCCAATACAGGGCCACGCAGCGAGCGCGCAAAGATGTGCGAGGCACGAAGGTCCGCGACTGCCATGCGCCTCCCTGCCACCTAGCACCAGAAAGCCATGGGCCCGCGTCCGGAGGATTGGGCTGCGCCCCGGATGTTTCTCACTTAGGCGCGTGGACGCATGCAAGGCCCTCGCAGGGCTGGCGCCTGCGCCTTTCCCGTGCGTCCGCGTCTGCCCTCCGGTTGCTGCCGTAGAGGTTGCCCTGACATCGGGGGCCTGCTCGTAGTAGATCCCCCCCCTCCTCCTCTCTCTGTCTGTGAAGAGCTGGAGTAGTAGCATCCGCTAGAATGCAGGACGCAGGATGCACGATGAACGCGGCACAAGGCTCGTAGCCCGCCGCCGACATTGCAAGACCGTGGCAAAATCAATCAGCACGACGCTCGTAGCGAAGACGCATTGATGCGGCCATCAGGAGCATGGATATAGAGCCCGCCGGTGCGCTCTAAGTCGCCCCCCCCAGCAAAGGGAGGCCCAGGCACCTCCAGGATCCTTGTTCACCTCTTGCAACGTTCGCCCACATCACGAACGCAGAGGGTTCCTTCACACCCTTGCTCGCCCGTACTACGCTGGGTGGATCACTTTCCGGGAGACAGGATCAAATTTAGAGCACCACAAACCTCTCGCAGAGCCGCGTGGAGCGTGTGTGTATGTATAAATGGAAGCTATTCACTTTGTCAATGTGACGTCGAGATCGAGAACCTCCGTAACTGAAGTGAAGGTGGCAAAAAGAAAGCAGCGCTTCCTTGATTCTATTGCCTGCTCATAGAAAAAGCTCCCGCGGCAGAACCATAGATAGATATGATATATCAATTTCGAGCGATGCCTTTCATCCAAAACCAAAACTGTAACAGTTCCATCTCCTCTCACCACCTCTTCCCAGGCCTCTGATATCTCAAACTTGGACTTGCTACGTAAGAAAGATAAAGCAAAAGTAAAATAATAAAAGTAATGTTTGAAACCTATTTCCAGAACACCAAGCCATTCACTTACTCAAAGAAAGTTGTGCTTTGACTATTGTAATTGTTTATCAGTATTACTTACATTCATCACTCAAATCGAACACACCTATCGGCGAAGGTGGTCGGCCGAGTCAAGATACTATATTCGAAATTGCTTAATCATGGAATAGTCTTTTCTCGACCTGAGATTTATGGTGTTTTTACCCTACTAGCCATTGATTCTGTTACTTTTTCCGCTCACAGTGCATACAGTGCGGGCGAAGACGCATAGTCGGTCAAACAAGAAATAGCACTTTATTTATTATTCTGGGTAGTTGAGTTGTTTTTTGCTCTTTCAGTGGCAGCTTTCAAGAATGGCAAGAGCACAAATAGCAACAAATTCTTGATTTTTGAAAGCCAAACTTTTTTTGCGGGGAGCTTGCTTGTGCCTTTGATGCCGCATAGCAGCTTGTAAGCGTGCTGAAAAGAAGATCCGGGGATAGTCAAACTCAAAGATTAGCACACAACCGAGAAGACACGGGTATACTTAAGTTTTTTCTCAACAACATTGCACTTACAAAACCTATAGATACATAAGTAGCTTCCCATCGCTGCTATACCGCGTTGTTTGACACGGGGAGGACAAGCGGGGGGCTAAATAAACCTGTGAGAAGTATTCTAGGTCTAGTCTCAGCTAGAGCCGTTTCCACCCGTCTGACAGATTTATGGCGCTACGCACTCTCACTTTTTACCACCCCTAGAGGCTCGAAAATTTTTATTTACCTTTGTTTTTGTTTGTTTTGATGCTTCGCGACGACGACTACACTTTAGTCTTACTTCACTGCGCAGGAAGCTTTAATTCTTATTGTGTCTTACACCGAGTTATGTTTATTTATTAAAGAAATCTAGTAGCAAGAGACCAAGCGCGCGAGTAGTTTTTATTTCAACCCTTTGATATTGTGCACAACTGAAGGAGTATTCACTTTATCTTTTATGACCCGGATCAAAAAGCTATTAAACTTCTACAAGAGGTCCAATACATCAAACCTATGACCCCAGTTTTTTTCATGGCTTCCACCTCCGATTCTTCTCTCTGGAAGACGGTGGAGCCTTTCTGCACTTGAAGAACCTATCAGCACCACCATCGGCGATCGGCTGGCTTCGTGGATCATCATCTGAGAACTACGCTACTGGCAACTTCTGAACTCTATCAACGAGGATCTTCTTGTTTCAAAAGACGTTGGAGCTGCAGACGGCTGCTTACTCCCTCGGACGAGACGAGGCGGGCGCTCTAATACAACCTTTAGCTTTACCGCGAAGAAGATGCCGCGGGACTCCCCCCCATTTCCCGCGTTTCCGCGCGAGGTCGAGAGCGGGCTGCACTTGAATGCGGTGCAAGAGGTTCACGACGGGATTTGGATCACTAACGCGGTCGGGTTGGCGTCGCGGGACTCGATTCTGCGGGTGAAGCCCAACTTGATAATCACGGTGGGGCAGGAATTCCGGCAGACCGGCCTGCCGCCCAGCATCCGCGACTTTTTCGCAAAAGACCCGTTAACACTAGGCGCTTCCGTATGGAACTGTAGTCAGAATCGAAATTGACACAGTTGAAATCCTTTGTGATGCAAAAAATCGATACCGCTGGGACCGTGGGACCCACAAAATGTAGTCGGCGCATGACAAATTTTCCCCATGCTGCCGGAAGCAAATCCGTCATGCTGTTTAGGGCAAAGGAGCTCCCCTCTGTCATGCTAGGCAGCAGCCCAACAATGGACCCCTAGCAGGATTATAATCTGCCTCCCTTGCGTCCTCTGCAATAGAGTCACTTTTTGCGTCGCTGTTATATGCATTTGCGTTCGCCTTGCTACAGTGCTCTAGTACTCAAACTTCCCTGCGGCATTTTATTTTTCAATATATGCATTTACAGGGATTCTTTCGACCTTGCTGATTTCGATCCTGACACTTCCATATTCCGCCTCCTTGGACGAGCTCGTCCCGAAGGACATTTTGGAGAAAGACTACCTCGCCTTCGGCCGGTATCCTGAGTAAAACCGATAGAGTGCCCATAGTTGTAGTAGTCCCTGGTGGGATGTTGAACTACTTTACTTTGCTACAACATGAGAAATCTACCAACTGTGCGAGTCGTGCATGGCACTAATAAAGTTGGTTGGTCTATCTCGTGGCGATTCCGATTTTCTTTTAACTTTATTACAGCCGCATGATCAGAGTCAGAGACGATTCAACACATGTTGCTTCATGTTTATCTAAGTTAGAACATGATAACTTCCACAGCACGATGAGATAAAAAGAATTCCGCTCATGCGTGGAAGCTGTCTAAGAGAAAGAGACTTGCTCCTGCACACCCCAAATTCGCATGACAAAGCCCTCCTCGTGGGTATGTGCTTTTTACTCAGGATAGCCGACCATCGACGAGTGAAAAACTGGGCGACCTCGTACACGGCATCGAGGCGAATCGTATTCAGCACGAGGGGCAGAGCACACATATGGAAGTGTCAGATTCGGAGCAAAATTGTAAAATGCGAATATATCAATCTTCTTGAGACGAGAGTAAGAGCCAAACCCGCTCCTCCTGGAGCAGACTCACAACCACGATCAACCTCGCTTGCCTTCGCTGCAAGGACGACAGACGCTTTCTGCTTCATAGCGTGATGTCCCGCTGTTCGTCCTGCATTTTCATTCTGGACTATTTGCACCATAATTTTGCAACTTTCCACCTGACACCTCCATAAAGCAGAACGGGTTGGTACTCGGCAGCATCGACGGAAACAGCTGTGCCTACTACAACGCGGGCAAAATTTACGAGGAGGATGAAAATAAAATCTTTTTGGAGCAGTGCGACCTGGAGGAGAAGGACCCCAATGGTCCTCCGGAAGACTGTGCGGAGGTACTTACCTATTCGACCTCCTGGTTGTGATGTTAAGTTGTACATGAATTTGGTGTACTAGGTTCTTTTGTACTTACACCGTTGTAGGACACCAGCACACTGATAGAAGTCGTGAAGTATTCAATCCCTTCGCCGTCCGCAAAAAAAAAAAGGTGAAAGCGTTGGAGTGTCTCGACGAGACCGTGCGGATCATGGAACAGCGCATGGGCGTATCAAATGTAAAAATGTCTGGGTCTGGAAATTTGTGATGCTAAAATGTGCATGATGAAAACACTTCTGAATGCAGTCCGGTATGACAACTTCCGAAAACGCTTTCTCATAGGCAATCCGCATGAGAAACTGCGTTTTTGCATGACAATGATGATGAGGTCGGATCGACGAGGTGCGTCAGGGGGCGTCACTCACTCATTCATTCATTCAGGGGGTCCGTCTCAATGATGATGATGATGATGATGATGATGATGACAAAAGAGGCTGCGACTCTTGTTGGTTTATGCAATACAGATTTTCTAGGTATGGAAAGCTAGCATTACAAGTTCCAACCTTCCAGACCCAGACATTTTTACAATCCATAGGGCGATTGCACCGGTTGCAGGCCGGAGGGAGCGAGCTGTCTCATCGTCTGCGCTTCGGGGTGCAACAAGTCCGTCATGGTTGCGTGTGCGTTCATCGTATCAAATGCAACGGATTCTATGTATCGTGTCTTCAGGCACAGAGAACAAATATGTTTGAAATTCATCAAATCACATATACTAGGCACGACTTCGACTTGCAATGCAAGATTTGCATCACAGTCTATCAACTCCAACTGGTGTACTTAGTTCAGTTCGTTGACTGGCAGCAAACAAGGAAGCGTTCTTGTACCCCTCTACTAGGCGGAATGGAGGTACTTACTCTGCAACGCAGAAGATTATGTGCCTGTCAGTTCTTGCACAACCTGGCCGCGTCGTGGTGGTGGTGCATAGATTAACTAATTCTTCTCGCCTCCGTGCAGGAGGCCTCACTAGATGCATGCCTTTTAGGCAGCCAATCATCATGCCAAGCAACATCATTTCTCCTGCCGCGAAACGAACTTTACTGAAATCACCTGACAGACACAGACAGATAGTTGCATTGGATAAATGAACCGCTTTCGTCATTTGCCGTTGGTCGAGGCCTTTGAAGCAATCTGGCAGTATAGTGAATCTAATTTTGATTTTCTTACTCTTTGTGCACATGCATGATTGTTTTTGTTGTACTCGTCCCCGCAATTTTATCTTTGGCAGCTTTATTTCGTCTTCGAGGTCAAATAACTCGAACACGAAGTCAAACCACATTTATTTGAAGATAGTAAATCATTTTGGAACGTTTCTTTGTAACACGAAGAAGGAATGAAAATCAGTAAAATTTTTATGCATGTGTATCCTATCATCCTCAGAATCCGTCCCGGCGTTTGGTTGACCCCCTACTTGATGCGGCTGTGCAGCATCTACGAAGCGTCCCTGTTTCGCAATGTGGTGCGGCGCGGTAAGGGCCTGATGCAGAGTTTGGCGGGCGGTAGCAGAAACAACGAAGCACTGCTGCAACAGATGGCGCACCAATTCCAGGCTGACGTGCCTTCGGTCGATCTGCAGGAGTACACCGCCATCACGGAGCAACATCGCCACATCCTCGACCCAATTCGCGAACTGGAGAGATCTTTTTTCGTTTCCGTGTTTGAACGTTTTTCTCAGCCTCCTCCGGGGGAGTCGCGGGTGGTCGGGGTCGAGAACAAGCCCAAGCAGTCCAGTTCTTCTTCCTCCTCCTCGCAGTCGACCTCGACTACGAGAGAGGAATCAAAAACCGAAGTGGCCAGGGCGGTCGTGGACCACGACAAAGGCAAAGCTACGGTACAACTTGGACAGCATAACAAAATGTTGAAACTGGACGGCGCACATCAAAACGTGAACAAAGAGCCCGTAGTGCTTCTCTCTGACCATGGGATGTTGCCCAAAGGAGGTCAGGATTTCATCTGTGGGCCAAGAGACACTAGTATCTAATGCAAAAGTATCGCACTCGTACTATATCGTTATTGCAGTCGTGCATGTTGACAGATCTATGGCCTATAGGCAAATCAGCGTATATGAGTCTCACTGTCACCATGATTGTGTTGCATTTTATACGTCGTACAACTTGGTGCCACGATACTTTAGCATTCGATAGCTAGCACGACGCCGGAATCGGTCGTTTCGACCTCTTACCCGACAAGCGGGATACTAGATACCGGCGTTGGAGCTGAAGAAACGTCACCTCCCTCGCAGGGCAACTACAGTCGCTAAAGAATAAAGTCCTCCACGACGAGAATCCATACCTGTCGGAAAATAAAAAGAGTACAACAACACATCACGACGACGAGGAAAACGACCCCGCCGACCTCGTATTACTTCATTCTTTGAGGCTCAACAGCGACGATGATGAGAAAGAAGCGTAAGTAATCACTTATGATACAGAACAAGTTTTAATACCCTTAGTGAGTAGACCGCGAGGACTGCTTTTTCACCAATGCAACATATTTTTAGCAAGCTGCTGCTTGGGATCATATAAGTATTCTTGTTTTTGTTTTGTGTGCAGTCTGACTCTCTCGGCGAAATAAGAAAAGAGCGCGCTTTCGTACACGTACTAACTCTGTACTGACAACTGAGGTGCTTCCGCAGGGAAGACAAGTTTCGTGTGGAACGCAGTCTTGTACAAGTAATCACGGCGCAAAATCTTGCACACATGCAGAGTTCCTCAGAGAGAGAAGTGGTCATGTCTGTGTCCATTCAGTGATGGATGATGTGATTTTTATGCAGCTTTTTCTATTCGATCAGGAGCGTCATTCTCATTTCTGCTCTTTTCCGGAAGGGACGCCACGCTGTAATATTGTAACGCGGCGCGGAAGACGCACGATTTGCGCCGCATACTTTTCATGAAAATAATGAATACTAGTACGTCTTCCGCGGTACAGATAAAATTCCTAAATGCTGTAATAATACAAGATGAAGTGGCTCCTACAACAAAAGAAGAAAAGTTTCCAAGTAGATAGAAAGTGATTCGAGGTCTACTAGCTATATGTAAATTTGTTTCGGTTGGTCCAACCGTTGGATGGTTGAGAAAATGAAAAGAAATATTGCTAGTAGAAGAAGCAGGGTAAATGAAAAAATGTACCAGACAACTCAACTTCAAGTGGTCTCTTACTCTGATTGATGTTTCCACCCCGAGGACTTCCCTGCTCGCTGGGTTGATCAAGCTCATTCCCCAACGATATTGTATATGGCGATAAATTGGTTGGCAAAGGCAAAGTGTATTGGGGGTGGGGCTTGTTGAAGATGGAGATGTTGAAAACTCGTAATAAATGTTTTTTTCATGATTCATCGTGGCTCATCATCTTGCTCTTCAGCTAGCGCACGCGCTTCGGATCTGACGGATTGTACTTCTAGAGAGTAGCTTTTTTACCAGTATAATATTAAGTTCGTTTTTGTAAAAACACTCGCCACTAGAACTCCTCTGACGACCGAAAAAACCTGCAAAATCATCGACAAGAAATGGAAATGCCGCGACCTAGAAATCTTGGACAACATCCTCTATTTTTTGTCATACTAGCTGCCATCTACTCGTCGTCGTCCCAAGATGAACTCAAACAAAGATGGGTGTCTAAAAATTTCAGAAAATTTTTTCAATCCCACGACACGTTGTTCGATTGATATCCACGTACAACTACTGGTAGGGCGACTTTCACCCAAAAAATTAAAGTGCTCGGGGGCATTAGCTTTGACCACTTCTACTTACGCGAATACATCATCACTCTCGTTGGCGACTGGACTTTCGACAAGCGAACAAACCCATTACTATGTCATCTTCTGCTTCAACAAAGGAGGCACGTCACAAAGAGTTCTCTCAAATGTTGTTTTCGAAAATGACCTGAATATTGTAAACGCATGAAAGACTGCTCGCTAGTACAACTTCATGTCCTTGAGCGCGGTGCTGGACTCAGGCATGACTTCGTGACATATCAGAGTGTTCAAGTTAAAATGTTTATTTAATGGTCGTTTATAATTTAGATACGGTTTCAATTTCGAAGCATATGGTGCGCTGTCACTGTCAGTTTTTTCTTTCAATCCCCAAATAAAAGCAAAGTATAAAGCTCCGGCCAACCAGGAGGACGGTGTAAGTTGTATAATGGCAAAATATCATCTAGAAAAAGACGCATGAAGATGAATCTATCATCTACCTTCCTATCGGGAGTACCAGAAAAACTGGAGCGCGAGAAACCAAATCGAAGTGAAAAAATAAAGCGACCATGATTGACTTGTTGTTCGCAAGTGATATCACATCAGTTTTCCACTACGAACAGTTCCCCGCTCCAGCGGCAGGCCCTGTGGGGTTGCATGATCTTCCCACGAAAAAAATATTTATTCCCCCTGATAAATATTTATTCCCCCTATTCTGCAAGAACTCGTCGCCCCGGCCCTTGTAGAAGGAAACAGAACTGCACGACCATGATCAGGAGTTGTATGTCCATATATACTAGAACTCGCCAGAATATTAAAGACAAGGCTCCTGAACAAAATGACCGCAGTCACGCTTCACGTTTATGATTTGACCGACCAGGCTGCCTTCTGTTGTGGGTTTTTCCACACGGGTGTGGTCGTGAACAATGTGGAATGGAGTTTCGGTTCGGGCGGCGGTATCACCGGGTCTAGCCCCGGGCTGGACGGGCATTCCGTTCCGGACGGCTGCCGCTTCCGGGAGGCGATCTTACTGGGATACATTGACCGCAACTCGGATATCTCCCGCGCGCTAGACCGCTTACGCCCCGAGTTCCAGGGCAACAGCTACCATTTGGTGTTCAAGAACTGCAATGACTTTTCGCGACGCTTCTACGCCGAGCTGTTCCAGCTGTCGGGCAGGGAGGTAACGGGCAAGGAGAACAAGTTTCCGAACTACATCAACCGGCTGGCGTGGTGGGGCCGGCAGTGGCCCATTTGCAAGTGCGTACCGGGCAACGAGCAGTTTGACCCCGGAAGGAACGGCGGGGCCGCGAACAGTGGCAGCAACGTTCCGCCCACCCGACCACTGATTGCGACGAACGCGTTTCCCCGACCAGACAGCTGGACCACCGGCGGGGGTCCGATAAGCTCATCTTCGGGGAGACGGCTGGGGGACAGAAGTACCGCTTCCTCCGCACGCAGCACCTCCGCCAGCACAACGGCCGACGAACAGGAACGGTCGCTCCTGTCGCGCACCAAATCCGCATTGTCTTCCCTCTTCGGACGTGGCCGGGCGTCGGAAGAGGAAACTCAGCCGACTCTGGGGGGTGGAAATGCAACCGCGACTGGCGGTGGTGGTACCAATGCGCGGGAAGTTCAAGCCAAAGCGGCCGAGGAAAGAAGCCGATTAGCGGAGAATCGGGCGTGAGAAATATATCTTGATGAAGGAGGTTTCAGGTGGCCCGGTTGATAGTGATTTTTGAGCTTGCAAATGAACTACCATAGGTGAAAGTGACAACTCCTGCATAATTGAGAAAGTGACAACTCCTGCCTCGTCCAGGACCTGGACGCAGATTTGCCTCCAGGTCCTGGACGCAAATCTGCGTGAAGATATCTGCAGGGAAAATCAACCCTCTCTGTCGTTGTAGACGGAAAAACTTGAGGCGGAGCTTGTTCACTTTTCCTTGTCTCCTGTTCATACGATACTGTTTTTTCACAACTGAAAACAGGGGATATTACGATCTGCACAAATACGACACAGTGAAGATATGATACGCCTTAGTCACGTATGTCGCTGCGAATGCGATCAAGATATAGCTGAACATCGATGACTTTACGCTTTCTCGTGCTGGTCGGTTGGTCTGTGCTTCTTTTCTGATAACCTTCGCTGATGCGTTTTTCGATGAATGATTTTTCTGAGACGAGAACCTACCATCCTACTCGCGCATAAACGTCATCAATGACCACCTTTTATTTAAAATGGCCGCGAGGAGTAAGCTACCTGCAGCAGAAGAACACGCACGCAAGACCGGTGAAGACAATTATCAAAGTGGTGGCGCTGGCAACATCAACTTCAACATCAAAAATGAGACTACTACAGCATCGTTTTCTGCAAATACAGCCAAACCCACTAATCTGGCAAAAAAGCACATCGTGTCGTTCGCAGAAGCCTGCAGAATTTTGTCGGACTTTGTGGCTGGCCGACAGCAGGAACAGCGAAATCAGGAACAGGTTGAACAAGTAGAACACTGCGGGTCTTCAAATAAACAGTCAGGTAGTTCCTCCATTCTTGTGCAAGGACCACGTCGAGATGAGGAAATTACCGTCGGAGTTTTCGACGAGCCCGGCTACCTCACCTCGCGCGACTCGGGCTTTTGGCGCTTACAGCACAGCAGGGAGAGCATGTGGCGGATAATATTACAGCAAAGCCAAAGCAAACGCGAATTCTCCTCGGGAGATGGTTTGATTATTTCGGGGTCTGAAGACGTTGACATGGGCGGTATTTTTGACATTGGTGGAGCTGGCGCAACAACTGCTGCCGCAGGAGGAGCTTTCGGAGGTCTAATGATGCAAGACGTCGAGGAGGCACCAGGGCGGAAAGGTGTTCCAACAGCAGGAAACAAGCAGCTGCAACAGCAAGCGCGGCTACAGCGGGACGAAGTTGTTCTAGGTCATTCTGATGAAACAAATTCTGCTGTTCAGTGGATCTCCGGCGAACCTCCAGATGAGTTTTCTTTACCAACTCGGAGCTACGACCCGTACGCCCCGCTTCTCGGTCCGTGTGCAGTGTATGGGAAAAGGGACTACAAGACACGGACAATCGACGTGGACCGGATTTTGCAGCTCGGTGATTTTTTGCCGCTAGTAAAAACGACCTGCAAGAGGAACCGGCGGACTCCTGGTCCTGCAGCGCGCGTCACTACTGACAAATCCGTTGAACAAGGAGAACCTGGTGCAAGCTCTACTTCCAATATGTTGGTTGCGGAACAACGACCTCCGAGGACGAGCAAGAGAAGATCTACTTCCTCGTCAACATTCATGAAAAATGGCGCGAAAATTTTTACGCTGCACTCTGGCTTCCTGCAACACGATACCAAGGAGGCGGCTTTGCTGTTGCTGTTATTGCTGCAGTACTTCCACCAGGAAGGTGGCGATCAACATGAACATCTTGCAAAGGGCGCGGATAATCACGTGGACGCAGAGGCAGGCGACGAAATTGTATGCGGTCAAGAAGAAGATATAATCGGATTTGGACCGCGAGCTCGGACGGAGGAGAGCAAGAATAGCAAAACGCGGGAAGGAACACAGAATTTCGCCTGCCGTTCGAGAAGTCTTCTCATTGTCGGTCCGCTGCCCCATCCCAATCTGATGGCGCTCGTCGACGTGTGGCTGTTGAATGTGAAAAATTGCCTTTCTGACAAAGCAGCAACAAACCGAATAGATGTCGAAGTGTCCACAGTAAATTTCCCATACACGACGTACCAATTCTGTTTCTTCTACTGCATGAAAAAACTTGCCTTCGAACCAAATATCACATGTTGACAAGTAGGACATAACTCTAAGTTAGCGAAATTTTTCGTCATGCTACATTTTGTAGGTGTGTGGAGAAATTTGTGTTGCATACAAAGCAACTGCTGCTTCTAGTACTGGCGAAAAAGAAGACCACAGGCTGCATTCCGTCATCCGCTGGGTCCTCGACATTGAGCCCAGCGCGCAGTTGCAGGTTTTGCAGCCGGCGGTTGCAGCGGCGTTCCCTCTCTCCGCAGTTCGGCCGGAGTTTTTCCGTAACGTCGTCGAGTTCTTTTATTCCAGCCCTGGGTGGTGGAGAAGTCGAGGTCCTCCTGAGGGGCGACAAGCAGATGTTGGTGTTGCCTCTTCTGGAACGAAAGACCGACCCCGGGAAGATGAAATGGATGTCGACGTTACTAGTGAGCATCAGTTTGGGAAGGGACCACGAGGAGGAAGACACACTGACCATAACGAGGACGACGAAGACATTATGAATACTGGCAAAAAAAGCTTGACGGCACATCAGATGGAGCAGAGAGGGAAAGGCTCACTACAGCAATTTAAAATTCTGCTGGTGCTCTCAGATGATTCTTCTTCCCGACCAGGACAGAGCGGAAACGAATCGCAATTAACGCGGGGGTCATGTACGTCTACATTTACCCTCCAGAACCGTGTTGTCGCGCAGGATAGATGCGTCGCCACGGAAGGACTGCATGCGGTTGCGTTCGTGGAGAGGCAAGTGTGCGGGGATGATTCGTTTTCATCTGCATTTGAAGAAAAGCCACGACTACATCAAGACGTCGATATGTTGGAGGACAATTTCGTCCACATGGCGCACTCTGGGCGGTTGTGCGGTTTTTGGCAGGACAAGACCAGTCTTCAACATCGCGCGCATCGGGACAAAATTCTGCTGGGAAAAGGTTGTTACAAAAATACTGTCGTGAGGACTTCGTCTAATAAAGAAGTAAGCGATCATCATGCTAGTAGTACTGCTTCTCTGGTGACACCAAGAATTAGTTCCTCATCTACAGTTTTTCATCTGTATGCCTTTGAACTGTGCACCACCTACACTGACAATGAAGACGGCGGACAAAACAACCCAGCATCTGAATCCTTTTCACTACAGCGCCATTGCATTGAGTTTGACGCACTGAGAACACTTTTTGATGAACAAGAAAGGCAAGAAAAAGAAGCATCTTCTGTCATCCGCATCCCACTTTTGTCGAGTCAGTTCGATGACGGGAACCGAAGTTTTGCATTGTGCGGCTGTGAAGAAGGGCCGGAACAACAAACGTCGCAGTCGTGTTCAGGAGTCGCTTCCAGAACCAAAGAAGACCACATCGAGATTTCGACGTTTTGTAGTGGATCTGATAAATTATATCTTCTTCAATCGAAGTACTTCTTATGCCCCGCGGCCTCGTCACAGGTTGGCCAATAATACTCACGCGGGAGGACCGAGCTGTGTTGCTTTCGCACGCAAACTACTTGGCTCTTGCATAGAAAGAAAGTTTTACAGGAAAAGCAAGTAAAAAGAAACTCACGTGGTTACCAACAGACCTGAGAGGAAAAAGCGTAAACATGATCTTCGTCAAAAAGAATTGTCTTCACACCAAGTTTTAACATCATGGCTGGTTGTCTTCCTCTCCTGTATTGTTGGCTTTTGGTCGCGCTTTTCTACGTCTTTTTCCTGGCATTTCTCGCCTACCAGGCCACTTTTTTTGATTCCTTTCATGACATCCTGGGTTCCTGTTCGGAAGCCCACGCGGCGAATCCGGTCGTCACCGCATCCGGAGGAGCTGGTTTTGACCTGGATAGGTTCTCCGGTGACTGGTACGAGGCGGCGCGGATCGCCAATCCGTTCGAGACCGAGCCAAATTGGCTGGACCGTATGCAATGCAAAAGCATCGTACTAGTATGAATTGCATATACAAATTTCCTCAGCGTGACAAATGCAGTTTGTAATGCTGTTTTACCTTAGGAAGAAGATTTGTCATGCATGTTTGCAATTAGTACGAGTGCGATACTTTTGCACGTGATAGACCGGTATGATCTCCTATTTGTGACTGACAGCGGAAAGGACCACGACACGGAGTTGCAGCACGACAGCAGCAGCGCGAAGCGAGGGATCGATAGAGAAGGTGGATCATCTCTATTGGCGAACAGCATACAAGATTCGGATCATATCTCGTCGCGGTCCTCACGACAAAGTCAACGACAAAGAACCTCAACGTGGTCCGAGAAACTTGTAGTGCGGTTGTTTCAGCAACTATTCGACCACGTACCGGGGGGAGTCGTCGTGGATCGGGTTGCAGCACCAGCTCCAGTAGATCATGAAGAAGATCAGGGGCATCTTGAGCGCGGCTCTCCCGGCGAAAAGCAGGTTTCTAGTCGCGCCAAAGCACGACCAGCAGCAGCAGAGTCAGAGGCGACGGATGGTGCCGCGCGACGTCTTCATCCAGTAAAACTAAAAGAACTACAACACCTCCGGCCACAACAAGCAGTAGCAGATGAGCAGGGCCAGATGAGGGCTCTGTTGCAAGAACCTGTAGTAGTTCCTGTTGGTACTACGACAGACACTGACAAATCTTCACGAGCGCGGAAGGCACCACCACCAGGTGTATCTATTTATTCACTGGACGATGATGAATTCGAGTATCACGTCCACAATCCGACTGTGTTTCACTATTCCCGGTCTCTCCCGCCACCGGGTTCCTGGCTTGTGAACTGGCTAGACCCGTGCTTGCTACACTTGCCGTTCCAACTTAACATCCCGTTTTGCGACGACGACAGTGTGCTGCAACCTGCGGCGGAGCGCAGACCAGGAGTTTTGGAGAAGAGCACGGACAGAGAGGACGATGACGAACTTCTCGCACAAGCGATTGAGCAGGCAGATGAAGTCGATCATGCAGAGAAGAAGTCAAAGTCTACTTCAGCACTACCAGCAGGGGTTGTGGTCGATGTGCCGCGTGAAGGTGGTTACCTCCAAAGAGGACAACTGGATGACAACCCCGACGGCGAGAAGATACACCCGAGGACTACAGCTGCGACCAGGGTAGAGCCAGGTTCTGGCACAGCTGAAACTGCAGCAGCGGAGGACGTAGTATCTTCTTCACGACCACCCGCTGGATCTTCAGGAAAAGGAACTGAGAAAACGGAAAACAAACACAATCATGATCCGCAAGAAACTAAAGAAACTGAAAGGACACCAAAATTACTATTTTCCTCCGGGGAGAAGGAGAACATCCACATTACAGATAAGATTAAGAAAGGCGTGGACCCCTACCTGCGTCTGCGCATTCGTTTGCCCAATAACCTCGTCTGGACCGAGCACGACGCGATTCTCAAATGTGCCCCCGCAGACCCGATTCCCGACCCGGCGACGAACAGCTCCAAGCCGTCCGGTAAACTCTCCGGGGACTGCGAGGCGCGGTTTTCGTGGTTCCCCATTTTGTTCCGGCACACGGTGACCGCTACGGACTATGAGAGCTACGCAACCCTGTATAGCTGTTTCAGCTTTGGTGGGATCTTCAAGTACGAGTACGCGTGGGCACTGGTGCGGCATTTACCGCCGAGGATCTTTGTGAAAGACAATAAAGAAGTTGATTATATAGGTGTTACTGACAAGCATCGGCGGAAAATAAAAGCAGAGCAAACATACGCTGCGATGGTGGCCGAAAATGTTGCGAAAGTGCAGAGCATCGTCGGGACCGCTCGACGGTTTATCTTTCCGCGCTTAGTGGAACATCAAGACAGTGGTGCTAGAAAGGAAGTGGAAGTTTCAGGGGACCAGAAAGTAGAGGAGCATCTGCTTCGAGAAGCAGAGCTGCTCGCGTTGACTCCCACACATCTTCAGCAGAAGGTGGATATTGGAGAAATGCAGCAAGAAACTAGAACTGAAACATCAAGAACTAATTCGTCGACAACCAGAGCTGGAAGATCAGACGAGCAGAAAGATCTGTTTCAAGATAGGGCAGTACCAACAGACAGTATCCAAGAAAGCGAGAACAAGGTGAACAAAATTGACAAAGGAGTCAGAGGACAAGAAGCGAAGGTTGAGGCATCTAGTACAGCGTTAGGACCGCAGCCGCGAGTAGAGGCTACCACAAAAATGCAAACTCCAAAATACTATGTCGAAGATGAAATACAAGAATGCATGCCTCTTACAGGACCGCCGGGAGCAGAAGTGCTGCAGCCGCCTTCGCTCCGGGTGACAGCTGACGTCGAAGCTGTCTCTCTGTACATCTTCACGGCTCCTTCCACCGGATTTTTCATACAAAATCCGGGCTATTGTTCTTTTCAAGTAGGAGTGGGTACTACTTTCTCGTTTCCGTTACATCCGGCTGCTAGCTTCTATAATCGGCGCATTAATCTACTCCCGAAATCGTGTACGGCTCCAGAGGTTGAGCGAGAGAGCACGGAAGATTATGAGGTAAATATATAAGTAAATAAAATTGGCATTGCGCACAACCTGTTTGACGACGACGACCGCAGGTAAGCTGTTGTCGTCTCCGTGGTCCTGTCAATTTTCATGCCCGTTCTTCTTCTTTGTGATCTTCTGTATAGTTCTTGCCTCCTACCAATCTTCTGTGTCGGTTTCTTGTTCTGTGGTTTGACTACTTCAAGTATGAGGACGACGAGATGGAAACTTTTGTATCTGTGGCGTATTTGACCCCGAGACACCAGAGAGCTACTCCTGATAGCTAGATGCTTTATCAAGAGACTTCTTGTTGTTTACTTCTACTTACACTTGACTTTCACTTTTAATTTCCAAGAACTGAAGATGTCGTTGTCATACATAGCCGACCTCGTTTATTCCACCGCGTCTCCTGTACGACTTTGCTATTTGGGTTGTTTAATCTTGATTGATATGTGATTATTGTGCCTCATCTTCGGCTCGTAAGTTTGAAATTTTTTTCCAACAAGAATTTCCAACGAGATGCAAGCCCCACCCATAATGATGCAGCCTCCGCCGATGATGCAACCGCCGGTCATGTCTCTGTCTCTCCCCGCAAGCATAACCTCTCCGAACGCGATGCCCCAACTGCCACCGGCCAGCACCCCTCCGCCGGTGAATCTGATGCAGATGCAGGCTCCGAAACCGTTGCAGGTGCAAATCCAGACGCCAGCCTCTATGGTCTCCGGCGTAAACTCCCTGCTGAACGGGCCGCCTGGCGGAAACATTAGCGGGGCTGCGAGCGCGGTCGGTGGGGCGTCGTTTCTCAGCGGAGCGCCGCCCGTTCCCAGGAACCATTTCGCGGGAATGGATACGAGGCAAAAGAGGCCGAGCACGCCATCGTCCGCACTGAACCAGTTTTCCATGGCACCGCCACCGGGGAACAGTACTTCCGCGGGTATGAGCAGCGGTGGTCAGCCAGTGCCGGTAAAAACACGCTGGTAGTCTTCGATGTAATGCGCGCTGGTGCGCCGCACTTTTTGCTTTCAAATATCAAGACAATCTGCGTGGCAAGGTAGTTGGTCTTGGTGCATGTAGATTCTTCATCCATGCCAAACCCAAAAATCCCTGTTCACGTGCAATGAAATACACTTAAAAGCTGAAAGAGATCCGATGCGCACTTCGTTCTGCATCTGCACCAGACATCATGAAATCGAAAATAAAGTTGCATGAAACACAAACCAATTACAACAGATAGCAACCGCCGCTGCAACGCAGCAACCCCGGAAGGTTTTGAAGAATCTAGCCTACCATTTGCGGGACCAAGCGCGGATCATTCAGTTGAACCACCCAGAGTCGCTGGACCAATACAAATCACTCGGGATTCTCTTTGACCTCGTGGATCTGTGCGACCAGGCCGCTGCGGTGTCAGACTCGCGTTTCGCAAAAGACGAATTGCTATGCTTTGCACATATTTCGTCCTTATCGCCCTGGGTCTGGTAGGATAAAGAACTCGTTATAGTACTGAATTGCGCAACGAGAGTCAGACTCCTGGAATGCTTGACACGTTTTTTCTTGAGCGTTTTCTCAATAAGCGAATGCGTAAGCGAGAGTATGTATGTGATGCGCATTTTTTGCATGACAAAAATGAACAAAGTGGCGGCCTTGATGTCCTCGGTCATGCATATAGAAATTCAATTTTATATACAGGACATCGTGCGGCACGTGGCTGAATGTGAATTCTTGTTATTCAGGATACGCAATACAAGTTGCACTCCTCTAGACCCAGATTCACGAAGATGATGCTTTCATCGGATAACTACAGACGCTTTTCTGGCGCGCAGTCGACCTGTTGAAGCAATGTCCCGTATATGAATTGATTCATTGAAAAGCTGCATTTAACAAAACATCACCAGGACAACTTGTTCTTCCTTGAAAAAGAAAAAGCGCACTGCTAAGAATGAAGGAACTCAAAGTTTTTGTTGCATCAGATCACCTTTGTTGCATCAGGTCGCCGGCTAATTGCCTACTTACCAATCGTGCAGAGAGACGTTTAGGTTATCCTTATCCCCACAGGAAAATACAATCCTAATCCAGGTTGACGGGCTTTCCCCCTTCCGATCCTACGGTCTACGGCTGGAACACACCATCCAGGCCATGTGGGCGGCGTATGCGCAATATGACAGTGCACAACTCGTCCCCCTCGCCCTCATTTGAAGGGCATAAGGAGCAACACAAGTCCTGGCATGAATGCAGCTTTTGCATGAAAAATTCGCGACCGATTCTAGTGCTGTTTAGGGTTCCGAAATCTTTCACGCAAGTAGTGGCGCCAAAGGGGAAAGAATGGATTTCTTTGGTATTTTGCATGACAAATGAGAGGGTGGGGGAGTTGTGCACTGTCATACGCAAAGGCCGCCGGTCAAGGATGTTCCGGCTGCGTTCGAAGTGCCCGAGATCCGTCTGTTGCCAGTGGGGTCGCAGGTATAGCGGACGAGCAGTGGCTTGAATTGGATACACACGTTTTTGACGCATAGAAGTAGCCACGTTGTGAACGAAAAAAGGATAATGAAATTTCCATGCGCATGCGTATAATAGGTGAAACAAAAGAAACACCACGATCACGATCATCACAAATATTTCCAAGGTCGAGTACTACTCGAACACCTACCGAAGATGGATGGAAGCAACTGTGCTACTATGCACGGAGAATAAAGACGGCTTCATAAGCAGCTTCACTGTTTTTTTTCCGCAGTGCTGGTGGAACCAGCATCATGTCTGCTGTAGTTCGTTGTATGACAGAGATTAAATAAAGCTGTGTTAGGCATTGCTTCTTCTGACGACCGGGCGTAATTCGAGCATGTTGTGCGTGTGTGTGTGTGTGTCGCTGTCGCCGCTAGAAGATGAAGACTCGACGAGGCTTCGCAAAAAAATGTCACTAAGGTCATCATGATCTGAAGTCTGCTTCTGACTGCAATCTTGAGGCATCGTTTCTTCTCTCCGATATCTTGGCCATCTCCCAGAAGGTGATTATCAGCTCGACATTCAAGCGCATGCGAGGAAGGAGAATGTGCGGGTACTTGTGCAGATTTTTGCTATAAATCGAACAACGAGCAGGCTACACCTATCGAATTACTTTGCATTTTTCCACCGATTTGAATCAGTGAAATTTGTTTTCTTCTTCTCGTGCCTGCGTAACAAGAACGGAGGATGCAAACAAGAAATAACATCGAGGAACGGCTGAAATAAAGCTCCTCCTGCAACGAACACATTATACTTTTCAATTTCACGACGTTTATATATACGCCTAAACCTCCACCAGGCTGTGATCACCCGTTCTCGCGAGCACGCACAGAGTTCCTCCGACCTGCCCCAGCCTCCACGAACGCAGCAACAAGGTTTGTCGAACGACCTTAATGGCGCTGCAGCACTAGTAGCGGCTGCGGGCGGGGTATGAGAGTGCACAAATCCCCCTCCCCCTCATTTTTGTTGCATGAGCAGCAATAAAAACCCCAGCGCACATTCATTGAGCCTGCGCATGATAACTTCATGCGCGTCATCGTGTAGTACTGTTTAGGCTTCCTCCAGAATCTGTCATGCAAACGGTGCCACGAGGCAGCCCAGCGCTTGGAATTGGATATGTAATTTTGCATCAGAAATGAGGCAGATGAGGGGGAGTTGTGCACTGTCACATGGGGAGATCGCTTCGACGCCGACCGGAGAGCAAGGGGCGACGTACCCCCCGGGGACCATTGTGGAGTATTGGTCCACGATATTCACAAAAAAAAGACCCATCTTCCCCATCCAAAGCATCACATGCAAAACGCGTTTCAAATCCTTTGTCTGTCATGCAAAAAATGGATGGGGATGGATCATTTTTGGTGGATACACGAGTCTCAACCAATGGATTCTCGCCGAGGTTTTGAAGTACAACCTGCACAACAAGACGTACCAGCTGGACTGCAAAAACAACGCGCCGAGGGATCGGATCAGACGTATGCCACCAATTTCATCTAGAAACTCATATTATATACGGTTTGCAGACCGCCACGTAACAGTTTCTGATCCTGAGCTTGTAAAAATATTATTTTCACTGCCAGGTCCTTGTAGTATAATCGAAATCAGCGATTGGCAGCAGTTCACCAGAAATCGTTCTTCTCAACATCAGTAGACCACTGTGTGTTTCACAGTACTTACAACATACAACGAACAACCCAGCCCATGCCCGCTCTCCCCGTGACGTCCGCCCGCTCACAGAGCACACCCGGCCGGTCTTACAGAAGTGCAACGACCACGACGGCGCGTCTTCGCAGGTCAGTAGCGCAGCCGGTGGAGGACCTCTCGCCTCGTCCAAGGAGAATCACTATAGCAACAAGAGCAGATCGCAGTCCAGGGGGGCGAGCAAGGACCTGGCGGGAAGCCGGCAGTTCGCGGGATCCCCGCCCATGAGCCTGCAAGAAGCACCGACCCCGGGAACGAAGGAAACCCGGGAAAAAGAATTGAGCGCCAGTACTGTGTGCGTGTGTGTGGATCATATTTTTGCATTGTTATCGACTTGCTTCAAAACTTCTCTATTTTTTCATGCTAGTACCCAAGTAGAACTCACTGCAAGTGCAAACGATAGCGAGCACTGCGTATTTTTGAAAATAAAGATAGAGTCGCTATTAACATCGACATGAAAAAAAATCGACTCAAAACAGTGGAGCCGCCGGAGGATCCAGAAGCGAAACTGGTGGTAAAAACGCATCACGACGTATCCGTCGCAAAGACGTACCCGACCAGTACTTTTCAGGCGGATCTGGGATCTTCAGTTGTTTTGCCTGTGTCGTGTTTGAGCACTTGTCATGCTTGAAGTTGAACATAAGTAAATGGATGTGTGATGCGGCTGAGCTAGCTGATCTTGACACCACTGCCGCTGCGCTCTCAAGTTTGTAATGCATCACTCGCAAAGATAAAGTTGTGCATGTTGTGTTGCTTTGTTTGTGTACCAGCGGAGTTGCTCTTATTTCGCTCTATTTGAGTCTGGGGTGGGTACGGCTCTAGTACCTGGGATAAGGTATGAAAACCGGGAAGATAGTACAAACCGAAATTGATCCAGAGGGCGGACCTATCCACAAAAAAAAAAACATTCCCATCCAATTTGTCATTACAAAATATCATGCGTAAACTCCAGTATTTGTCACGCAAAATAAAATGGATAGGGACGGTTCTTTTTTTGTGGATAGGACAAACGAAATTCATCTACGACTACTCCGATACGGCTAACGCCTCTGCGAAGCCGGCAATGCGAAGATCTGCTGTGATGCGGGAGCAGACTGCCGATTTCATCCGTACACCAACACTCAAATTTTGATTTTGGCACTTGGGTTCTTGGAATGAAACAAGAGAAAAACGTATCTTAGGTGTGGAGTAACTCTATCCCAGCTCTTTCGTTGTTTTCCATGCTCCTGTACTAGAAGGATAGAGCAGAACACGCAAGAACAATGGCTGTAGAACATCGAATTGAATTTTATTGTTCAACGGTTCGTGTACGTGTTCGATATTTATATCCCAGGCAACAGCGGCAAGCACCGCGGCCCGCCCCAACTGACCGTGCACGTGATGACAAACCCTGCGGACCAAGCTGGTGGTAATTACGCGACCAACTTCCCGCCCACAGGTTCCTCGGACCCGGCCGCGCACCAGCATGCCATGAATAGTCGGTACATGTCGAAGGTGGACAAGTTAAAGCAGCAATCCGAAGACACCCGAAATTACACCATGAAGAAAGTGGACCAGCTGACTCGCAAGGCACAGCAGCTTGTCGAGAGATTCGAAAACGACGAAATGAACCTCGATTTGAAACAGTACGACATCCCTAAGTTGTATGCCGAGAAAGCAAAATTGTTTCAGTGTATATGTCGTGCGTAGCAGTTATATCAATTTACATGATCAAGCAAGAGGGTTGCACACTCCGACATCGGGCTGGCTGCCCGATGTCGACCAGCTTCCGCTGGTTCTCTGTCCTCTATCTAGAATCTCCGCCTCGTCCGGGCTTGCCTGGACTCGGCGTTTTTTCAGCTCTTCGGTTCTCGGAGAGTGGATAGTTTACGGAGGAGTGTCTCGATGAGAAAGCGAGGCGTACTTGTACGCTTCAGGCCTTCGCTCTGGTTCTGCTTCGCAGTTCCGCCTTGTCGTTTCCGGCATTGCCGATCCTTAGCGTGGATCATTGCGATGTACGACAAGGAAAGAGCTCCGGTGGTTCCGTCGCCATTGACCTGCTCAAGCCATGAGCAGGACATAGTAGACGGCGTGCACACTGCCGCGCGCATGTAGCCCGGCCCAGCCGGGCGCTGGGATATCCTTCTGACCGGGGAGGATGTCTTGGTGGGAAGATGGCCGATGCGCGGCTCTTACAGAGCAAAGAGTTCGCGTGCTTCGGCTGTTTTCCAGGCTATCTTCTGGTGGTGGTTTGAAGAAGTCGATGACGGCTCGCGGTTCTCGCGAGTCCCACTGCTCGGGGAGTGGAGAGGTGCAGCCGCTGCGATGCAGTGCCTGCGCCTCTTCACGCCGAAAAAGGCATACGTCCGGCGGCAGCTTAGCCTATGGCTGGCGCCGCTTTATTCGGCAACGCGCAACGGTCAACAGCGCAGCTGATTACAGCTGTGGCCTGCCGCTCTGTGTGTCGCGGGCGGTTCGTGTTTTTGCGCTTAGCATCGTAAGGCGCAATGTTGCACAAGATGTTAAGACGGACGCGGGCCGCTCGCCTGTCATTGATGAAGCCGTGCGAGCAGGGGCGCCGTGTTTCACTTTGACAGGAATTCCTTACTGAAGAGCCTCACCGAAGGCCAAGGCTACTGGTATCCTAGGGCGATGCTCGCGAGGTCAGTGACGTTGTCACTGGCCAGGGCCAGAATAACACACTACACGCACACACAGCATCAAGCTAACGCTGACAAACACCCACGAAGGGGCACCCCGCGCCCGCATACCCCCCCTCGCCGATGGCAGGGGGGCGCCCGATGGGCTGACTATTTTCACACGAATTTACTACGCGACTTGTTGTAGTTGCACAGACGCCGGCACAGCCGATGGCTGTGCCGGTGAGATGAAGGCTTCGTTCTCCCCGCCACACCTCCCAGCACCTGGACGCGCAACTCCACAGGCACAGCCCCGCAGGCGCGGCGGTTATGTTGTTGAGTCGCATGGCTAGGTCGCATGTATTCGTTGGTGTGCACCACATGCGACGTCGATGATGTCGCCTGCGGGTGCTGGGTTGGGGTTGGGCGTCCACGACATTGCTGCTGCATCTCTTCGGGGTTTGCAAATGCCGTGTCGTAGCCATTGCGCCGGCGCTTGGCTCTTTCCACGATGTGGATGTCGCTGAGTCGCTTGTGCTTTGGTATCAGGGGTGCTGACTTGGAAGGAGAGCTGAGCGCGTTAGCCTATCGGCGTCGTTGCTCCGTCCTTCGCCCCTCGACGTCGGTCCGCCGGCGTTGATTGCCTGTAGGTGATTAGCGCAGTCGAGGGGTTCAGTGGTTGGTGTGGGGGCGAGGAGCTGTGGTGCAGTTTTAGCAGGTCCTTCTCCTGTGTCGGATTTCTCTGCTGTTCCACGAGCCAGAGAAGTTTGATTCATCCAGCGTACCTAGGGACGCTTATTTTGCCTTTTTACATCTGGAGCGCCGATCCTGGTGTCTCAGACAGGTCGCAGCGCGATGTGCTGCGTCCGCTAGATCACGACATACCCGCGGGAACTTCCCGGAACTTAGTCACGATTGGGAGCAAGACCCCGCAGCGCCGCCCGGGTTCCGGGCTCCACCGCGGGGCCCTACCCCGGCGCGTTTCCCACGTGCTCGCTACCTAGCTACAACACAGCCCCGCGCGCCTGGATCTCTGCACCGACAGAGCCAGGCTGCCCCGTTGAGTCACATTTGGGGAAGATGTTCGGCGGGCCATGTCGTGTTCCACGGCTTGGCCCACCTTCACGTCCGGGGCGTGGCTCTGTGGGGTTTGAGAGCTTGGCTTGCGCGGCTTGCTACTTGTAGCTTGCTGTGCCGGCCGGGTTCTCTTCTTGCTCGCCAGTGTGACCGTCGCAGGGCGTCCCGCGACGAGGACTGCAGCGCGCGTCAGCACTGCCTTCGATTATCATAGCTTCCGCGCGCTTTCGCTCGTTGGGTGAATTGCGCTGGGAATGTGAATTTATATATATTTGTGATGCAGGACGAGTCGTGTGAGTAGAGAGTGTGCAGCTACTACGCAGAGGTATTTTTTTTTGGATGAAGGGCCGACTTGTGCTGCAGATCATGGAAAAAATCACCACATTCATTTCACACTGAAGCATGTTTTTCCTACGACAAGATGAGTACGATCCAGCCGCACGGTGGTAATATTCCGGGCTTTGGGCCTCAGGGCGACATCAACATGCGAGCCTCATCCAACATGCGGCAGAGCAGTGGTGCTGCAGCGGGGATGAATAGTGTCCGGATGAGCCAGAACCCGTTATCCAGGAAAAAACACCCATCGTCCCCATCCTTTTTTTTGCATTCCGACCACTGGATTTTAGGCATGTTTTGCATGACGCATTGGATGTGGATGGGTCTTTTTTGTGGATGCCCGTACATGCAAGAATATTTCGAGACACGAACCGAAGAGGGGGACAACTTGGAAGGAGATAAGTACGGGGGTGTCAGGAGCGAAATCGTCAAAGTTGATTATAGTTTGTCATGCATAAGTAAGATGCAACGCACAAGCTGCCTCTGCTCTTGCAGAAGATGCAAGGGAGGCAGATTGTAGTGCTGGTAAGGGTCGAGAAGTGGGCTGCTGATTAGCATGACAGAGTGGAGCCCTTTTGCCCTAAACTAACAGCATGACAGAAGAGACTTGCTTCACAGGCAAAGAAAATTTATTGTCATGCGCCGGCTATAAACTGTGGCCCCAACAACTGGTGCCGATTTTATGCATATACACATTTTTTCTACTTTGTCGATTTCGATCCTGACACTTCCATAATGACGGGACCGCAGCGGGATCGCCACCGCCGGGAGTGGGACAACATCGTGGTGGCGGTGGTGGTGAGGACCGTCACTATCAAAAAATGATGAACAACACTCCGGTGATAACCTCCAGTTCGTCATCCGCCAGAGCGGGCGCGGGAAACAATCAGGTATGCACTGCAAAAGTAACGTACTAGTATCTATAAATTGCATTACAATAAATTTAAATTCTCGCAAGAAGAAATTAGAAAAGTGGAATTTGTAAATACTGTTTTACCTTTGGACGATTGTCATGCATATTTGCAATTAGTTCGAGTGCGATACTTTTGCAAAGCATATCACGGAAACTACAACAAGCCCAGCAACGTAGTTGCAACCAAGCAGCCGCGCAAGATGAGCGCGTACCCAGACAGCGAGAGCAGTGAGGTATGAGAGTGCACAACTCGTAGCTCCACCCCTCCCCCTCATTTGTATAGCACGAGCAGCAAGAACAGAAGCAATGCCACAAGTGTAGCTTTTGCATAACAAGTCCGCTAAATGGAATGTAGCCCTGTTTGGGCGTCCAAAACTTGTCATGCGCAGAGTGCCTCAAGGCAAGCTGCAGTAGATTGAGATTCAAATGAGGGAGTAGAGGGGGAGTTGTGCACTGTCATATGAGGCCGATGAGAAGTCCTCCTCCTTTATTCCCTGAAAATCAACCATCCCTATCCACTTTTTGCATGAGAAAAGCCGACGCCGGCTCTACTCCATGTAGAAGTTTTGCATGGCCAATGATTGGATGGGTATGGTAAAGCTTCACCGAATTATATCGTTCCACAGCCGCAGCAACAATAATAATTCTCGGACCAACAACAAAGTGAACACCTCTTTTGCCTCGAACTCGACCCGGAACGCGAACTTGTCCCGGATGCTGGACTCAGGGAGGAAGCCGATATGGGATTCTCAAACATTGCACTGTTTGCTGTTACATGAATCGTCATGCAAAACTGCCATCAGGAGCATCCAATTGCAATTCCAAACGCTCAAGCTACTGCGCATGACAAATCTTCGAAGGGCGAAACAGCATTGAATTCTGTGTCGAGTTTGTAATGCGATGGGTGCACCACAAGCAAGTAGATCTCCAACTGTTGCTATTCTTGCGTCACAAATTCAAACTCATACTCATGTAACAAGTGGCATTATGTAACGCTTGATCTTGAGAACTCCATAACCGAAGCCGGTGAAGTTGGTGAATTACGGAGCGTACGCATTGCAATATAAAATACGTTGTATCGTGCTACGTATCTATCTCTAAACTCTTCTATCTATTCCTATGGGTTGTGCCAGAAATCTCATGGCAAATACTTTAGTTCAGAAGAAAAAAGCCTTTTTCTCATGTAGACGAAGGGAGCTCCCCTTCCTTCGTGCAAGACCGCAATTCGTAATTATACAACGAGTGCGATACAACTTTTGCACAGAATAATAGAGCGGACTCGGATTCGGACTCCGACAATATGACCGCGGTGAACTCAGTTTTGAATCGGAGGAAATACCAACCCTGGAAACTACGGTCATCGCCATTGTATGACGAGGAGGATCGAGGTATTGAGTTCTAAGTGGTATAGACCACAGATGTTGAAGAACGCTCTTTATTCTCATTTCTCTTTGTGGATTTGCTGTACTCCTGCCTCACTAGCAATGTTTTTTTTTTTCCTAGTATCGCAATGGCAATCTTCACTCTGACTATGTTGCTGCAGTTGCAGTTACAACAAGAGGTTTGCTTTTCATCTAGAAGTGCAGGACGACAGCACAGCCTAATATTTTTTTGCTGCAAGATTGGAATGAACAACGAGTAGAGACACCGCACTTATTCCTCAGGTAGTACCGAGCTCTCCTTTGGTGCAAATAAGCGATCCGGTGGTCGACCGAAGAAGAAGTGTGAGACTGCTTCGGTGCGGAAACGCACCAGCGATAGCGACGAGATGTTTTCGGATGCCGACGACAGCTTAGCGGTCGGCACGCGGGGCCAAACCGCGTGGGATTTTGTGTCTATCCCCTCGAAAAACACGGACGCAGGTGAATCATCCTCATCGCCCGACAAGAATAAAGCGCCGAATGAAAACGGGAAGATGATGAAAAACGCAAATAAAGAGAAGGAGCAACAAGCGATCGACGTTAAGAGCGAAAAGGGCGGTGCGTCGAGCGGTGGTGAAGTTGAGGAGGAAACGAGCCCCGCGCGGCGCGGCAGTACTTCTACAACCGCAGGTAATAAACTGCGGACCCAGAATCAGAAAAAGAAGGCCAATTTTGCGACCAGAAACAACAACCGATCCGCGCACGCGTTGGGGGGCGGTCGCAAGGCGTTGGATGACAGCGACAGCTCACCGCCAAGCAGAGTCATGAAAAAGACCTCCGCGCCTGCAGCGTATAATAGATACTCGAAGCGCTTTTTGTTTTTTTTATCTCTGATGCGATACAGCTTCATCTTCTATACAGTTTATTTCTCATCATTTAGGTGCGTGGAGTTGTTGAGCAAGAAATGCGAAGTAGAAGCGAGTGCAATTATGGAAGATGTCCTTTTAATTCATGCAAATTTCATCACCGCAGCGCCTCTGGCACCTTCGTGAACCGCAAGAAGAACAGTTCGTACAAAAGGCGTGACTCCTCGGAGCAGGCGTCGCCTGCGAAAGGGCCCGGGCGCCGAGACTCGGACACGAGTGAGCCGGCCAAGTGGACGCCGTGGGGCGGGCATTTTGGTTTGGGCAGGTTCGGCAGGATTGACGACGAAGATGATGATGAGTAGTAGAGAGGTTTTATTTCTATCAAAAAACCTGCTACTTACTACGCGGACAATGATATCAAAATCAATACAGTATTTTATCAAAAGAATAATTGGCGAGGTTGAGGTGGTGCTGCAGGCTGGTACTAGTGGCACTGCATGAAAAAAATTTGATGACCACGCTAAGATACTAGATATAGACCACGTTAGTAGGTGACTTCGACTTGTTACCTTCCGTACGAAACAACGGAGTTAGTATACTTTATCGAAACTTCTCCAAAGCCGTGCCGCACCTTGCATTTTGATTTTATTGATGCACCACGGTATAATTATTGAGAATGTCAGTGCTCTCCTTGCTCGAGGTCGATCGTCAGCCTGAGAAGGTGAAGGAGCATGGTGCCTACTTTTGCACATTAATTATGCGCAGAATATCTTTGTAGTGAACTTTGAATGCCGCCGCTGTTTGGAATTATACGAACTTCGTACGCCCTTTTTTTCAAAAAAGCCAACCGACGCATCAACGCGCACGTTAGTCTAGTACTTGTTGTCAAGCCGCTTTGAATTCAAGGATTTTCTGGGAAAAAAACACGCACTTGTGGCCTCGGCTCAAGAAAGATAGGCCGAAGATGAAAAACAATAGTTTCACTCTTTTGGTTTTGATGTGCCGAGATTTTCACATCACTGCAAAATGTTCTCGGATGTACAGGATTGAAATGAGATAAAACGGTTGCTGATTGATGCGAAGCCTGCTGGTGCGTCAAGTAAGTTTATTTCCTTAAAGATAGAGATGAAGTAGAGCTGGACTTTGTGCAAGATTGGTCTAGAAAGAAAGTAGATAGCAGCTTCTATTTGGTACTTCATCATCAGAACTGCGAAAGAACATGGCGGCCGCTGGGTGTGAGTACAACGGCTGCTCTTGTCCACAACTAGTGCGCGCCCTCCGGCTGCAAGTAAGCACCACAGTCGTCGTCTTCATCAGCGTGCGTACGTGTTTGCGTTTGCTCGTCATTTTTTTGGGCAAACTTGCTGCTGTGATTTAAGAGTGGGCCCTTTCTTGTTCGACTTGTTATCTCCTGAGAGTTGAAGTACCATGCTGGGGAGAAGTAGAAGCGTTTGCCGGCCGTGGGTAACACCTGTGGGCGCATTCAATTTTCTTACTTCTACGAGAGAGTTATGTTATTTTCCTATGTTCCTAACTCACCGAAAAGGCGTTTTATTCTTGTTGAGGTGAGGTGGGAGTGACGATTGGAATGGGTGTGCAAAAGAGACCAATGAGAAATGCTGCAGCACCAGCGCAAACGCAATTTTTCTGTTGGGCTGCTCCTCTACTGCGATAAAGTAAGTTGTATCACACTGCCAATCAACGTCGCGATTCATTTTTCAGTATTTGAGGTCAATCAGGGGAGCGAGCGCCCTCGGCCGTTGTGCCGGATTAGAAAACCAAAATATGCGTACAACTTGTCGACGCTTTTTTATGACCTCCGGGCCAGCGACGTCGCTTCTTGGTCTTTCACTGGTTTTGTTTCAAAATGTAGTTTGCAACCTCGTTATCCTCGTTGCCGCCACCAACACCGAGAAGGTTTTGCAGGCAAAGCAGCTGTTCACAACGAACTTTTTTTGCCAGGAGACCAAGTGCATCAACCCGATTTTTCCGGCTTTCCGCCTTCTCGGCGTCTCGCAATTGGAGCAGCAGGAAAAGAAAACCCTATGAGAGTACACAACGTTCCCTTGCCCTCCTCCTCATTTTTTTTTTGCATGAACAGCAATGAATACACGTGGAGCCTGTGCATGGCAAGTTCGTCATGCGCGTAGCATAGTACTGTTTGGGCGTCTGAAACAAACTGTCATGCAAACATTACCACAGATCAGTGCAGCGCTTGGATTTGGTATTCTGCATGACAAATGAGAGGGAGTGGGACGAGTTTTGCACTCTCATAAACCTGGTCCTGCCTCAACGAACTGGATCTGAACAGTCCCGGAACGGAACCCGCGGACCAACAGCCTAGCGCGTTGAATCTGCAGAACTTCCGATCCTACGCTAATTTCTGTCAGCACTTGCTCGACTATGATTTTTCCGTGCCAAACTGGGTGCCGAACGAGTCCACGATCGAGACCACCCTGAAACAAGAGGACGAAAAAATATCAAATGTAAATCGAAGCGGCTGGGTCTGGAAACTTGTGATGCTAGTCAGGCAGGCGCGGGCAAGTTTTATCCGAGCTGCTAAGGCGGGCTCTTGCGTGCTTCTACAAGAGCAGGTTGTTTATGCGCCCATGATGCATCACAAGCACAAGGCATGTTAGAGGCATAGGCATTGCAGACAAGCATGTTGACAAATCCCAGTCTCACAAGCTTCCAGATTCAGACGCAGATTATATATTTGAAATGTATAAAAGGCGCTAGAAGCCTATTTGTCGCACATCGACGGTCTGGGTTACGAGTTCTTGGAAAATCGCGAGCCCTGGAAATACAAGGAGACGGTCCCCTGCTTGTACAAAGTGTACCAAATGTCCTGCTACACGTATTTTCCGAGTATCCACTGCAAATTATGTGTCTCTGTCTGGATTTGGAACTATATCACAATCAGAATCAAGATCTGCATCTGCGACGCCCTGAAGAAGTTTGACTTTGTCGATACATTTATTTATTCGGAATCTTGTTTGTCATGCAAATGTGAACCGCGCAGCCTTCCACCTTTCGCGTGCTTCTTCCAAAGTTTCTTTGTCTTTGGGCTGCTATTAGTGGTCCTCGTGCTGCAGAGGGCTGCTAGGCGTTCACAAGTTAACTTCAGAACCTGCCAGATCCAGACAGCAGACATCTTTGCAACCGATGTTGCAGTGTGCACCGCCAAACTCGGCCAGTCACGGCGAGTACATCCGGCCCTGTCGCGTATGCATTGCAAAAACGTCGCGCTTGACCTCGATGTAAGACTCGAGCGCCAGAAAGATGCATGAAGACAAATTATTTATCTACATCTTTCGTACTCCTGCTTTACTCACCATAGGATACGAAAACACATTGCCAGTCGAAGAATTTCGAATGCTACGCGTGCTTCATCTTCAATTTCTAGTAGTTCAATGCTTTTGCCATGCACATCGCGGGACCTGCGACAACTACCTCCGCGCCTGCGGAGTCAGCTGCTGTGACGAAGGCACAAACTGTGTTTTTGAGCACAAGGAGCGCGTGCAGTCGCTGGCGAATCCGACGGAATAGGAAATAAGATCCAGGTCGTGTACTATCACGTAGTTGTAAACACGGAATTTTTACAGATTGCAGGCAGGCAAAACCGGTGGTATTTTGACATCCTATCACGCATGCTATGCGAAAATGGATGGAGGGGATGCAAATAATGATATTGTTCATCGCATGGTGTGCATGATTTCTCCTGCGAGTCACCATTACAACGTTGACACGACGACATTCACTTCCTGTGATACGGAATCGAGTATGATTACGGTCAAGGGGTACGTGGACCATCCAGGCCCGAGTCTGTTTTGCACGGGGAATGCGAGACGGCGGTTTGGACTGTCCCCCGGGACCAGCACGGGTTTCGTCTTCGTGCTTTGCGCTTTACTCTGGACGCTGAGCAGCGTCCTCCTCACCTCACCCGGAGGTAGCGTCTTTCTTGCTGTGGAAGGCAAAAAGCTGGAACATCGGAGCAGGTACGTATTTATTGTCTTCAACGACTACTCGATCTCGAGTCGTGCCATGATCAGGCTCGGTGTTTTTATCTCTATCTAAGTTCAACGATTCAAATGAAAATGTTTGATTATGATATCTCACATCACCTGCAGTAGATCTGAATGTGAAGAAGTTCGACAGACCGCCGCGTTGAGAGTACATATTAATCAACGTGTCGAGTTATGACTTTTCCTACCACCGAAAAAGACAGCGCATGCCAACCGTAGAGGACGCGGTCGCACTATACCAAGACAAGGAACTTGCTCGGATGACATCGGAAGCAGCGGTATCCTGTGTAAGATGAACCCACCGCGGCCCATGATGATCCCAGTTTACTTATATACTTGAAGTATGTAGATTTGCGTCGACCCAGCTTTGTCATGCGCCACTCCCAAGACCCTGTCTACAGCTTATTTTCGGTTCATTGTGTAGCTGATTCAATCTTCCCATCCTGACCGTGGGGTCGTGGGTACTAGGTTTTTCCGCAGGACATTTCCTTTCCGACGCAGAAGGTGATCCGACACTGAGCCAGATCGGTGGCATCATATCAAATGTAAAAATGTCTGGGTCTGGAAGAATGCAACTTGTCATGCTAAATCTGAAGCAAGCAAAAACCTGTGTTGCATGAGTACCAAAAGTCGTCCAGTTTTGACCAAGTCGGGCGGGAGTTTCTCATGCAGAATAAGCATGAGGGAGATCGCACAGAATGTGTCATGCTAGGTCCTGCATTCCAGACCTCAATCATGGGTCATGGAAAAGCTGCATGACAAATCGCCCTCTTTCCAGACCCAGACATTTTTGCATTTGATACATCACGGGCGGAGACGAAGCGAGTGATGTGGTATGCACGCAGACGAGGGAAGCGCCAACGAACCACACGAAGACAGATTATTTTTTGAGACACAGCAAATAAAGCAAAACAGTAACAAATAGAATTTTACGGAGGAAGAATTCATTGATGCTTCTGTACAGAAATCTTGAAGGTGCTCGACGTTGCAGTTCTTACTGTAGCTGCTCGCAAATGACTCGCAGTTTATCACCGTAATATTACGCCCCGGAAGATGTCGAAATCGTAAATCGAAGCGCAGCACAACTTTAGTAAATTGTCATACGTGGACAGCTGACTGAAAAAAAAAATCATTGTTTCGACGTTGGTCCTCGTGCTTCTTTCTGCTAAAAGTTTGATAGCCCCTCACGAGCGACTACTCCGGCTCTCACACGCTGGCGAAGTGGCGGACCAAGCCCGACTTCACCCTCGAGCTGCAGGCCGCTAAGGACCCCACAACAAGCGCGCTAGGGTAAAAGTCGAATCTTTAGCTTGTTGAAGGCAGAGGTTTTTTACTTGTGTTATCTACCGATCTGGGTATTATGTGATTCGTCAGTTCGTTTCCTTGCTTCAGAAGTTCTTCCGCGACTAGAAATTTTCGTGTCGTGTTTACAAAGTGAGACACTGTTATTTGAACAGGTTATCTTCCTGCAACAACGCAAATATCCCGGACGCCTTCAAGTGCGGGAAGCGCGGCGTCTGTGTACCCTTCGACCCGGTGGACGCTTCGCCGCAGGCCTTTATGGTCTGCAAATGCGACCCCGAGTACGCCGGACTGGAGTGTAAGACGGAAAGGAAATCCCAACTCACCGCTTACTTCCTCTCCGTGTTTTTCGGCATGTTTGGCGTGGACAGATTGTAAAAGTTTGATGTTTATTCTTATTGTATAATATGCGATTTAATCGTTTTTTTTGAGCGGCTTATAATCGGATTAGTGTCCTAGTATTTATTTCCTTGCTGCTTGCTCGGAAGACGCGATTACTCATTAAGTTAGTCGATGGGAAATTGAAAATAACCCACTTCAGTTACATCAACGAGTATCTGATCGGGATCTTCAAGCTCCTCTCTTTCGGGGGTCTGGGCGTATGAGAGTGCATAACAACTATCCGTCCCTTTAGTCAGCTGGCAACATCCACGAGAACAGAAGGAGCGATTGCAATGATAAATTGAGCTTTGGCAACGTGACAGATTGAATCTATCATGCTGCAAGCAGTTTCAGCTAGCTTTACGTCATCATCCGGAGCCTGTCACGCAAGGAGTGCTGCCAAGAGCCAAACCAAAGGGTTGCTGAGAGGGTAATGCGCATGACAAATGAGGGGAGCCGGGAGATGATGGTGATGGCACTTCGGTGTCCGCCTGAGCTACTTTCCCTGCGTGACAGCCATCTGCGGCCGTTTACAAAGGGGGAGGCAAAGTGTGCCGCACTTCTGTTTAGCATGACAAATGAGGGGAGTGAGTTGTGCACTGTCATAGGTCGTATGGTGGATCCACGACGTGGTGTGGATCGGCACGGGCAATATCTACGCCGAGTCCTACCGGCTGGCAACAGTTTCGTACTCGTAAATGATATTCGCAATAATATTGCATGACGCCGCTTCTTAGGACGACATGACTCAGCATGAGCATGACAAATTCGATTTATAATCACAGCAACAAGATGAAGATAATTATGCAAGAAATGCAATTAGACTTACTACTAACTAGCTACGATTCTTTTGCAATGCATAAGTTCTACCGGCTGGCCAAGTCCACTGCCTCCGACATTGTGCCCGTCGTTTTGACGCCACTGTTTTTCATCTTTGTCGGGGTTTACTACGGCGTGAAGCACCTAAAGGCCCACACTGTCCGGAAGCGTCAGCTCGAGCGCGAGATCCTGAACCAGTACGACATCAACGAACTGACGACCAACAAGCACATGCTCGGCGGGATGTAGTACGACTAGGACTACTCGACAAGAATATTTTTAGAGCGGAACTGGAACTGCAAAGCAAAAGAAACTTTGTTCGCTGCCAGTCTTATATGATTGGGGCCGTTTCGCTGTCGATTTGCTATCTCCCGCCGGTGATTATCATGGGGAGATGGCTTTTTTCCTGAAACTGCGTGTAGGAGGAAAGGCAAGAAAGTAAAAAAACCACTTGCACAAGTTTTCTTTTTTCAGTGTTCGAGAGAAGCAGATGCCTTGAGTAGTACTTACTACAACGATGAAGAGAAAAAAGACGTCGAAGAACTTGCACAGCCTTGAATTTTCTGCTTCTGGACGATGTCGTAGCTTAAGGTCGTGCAGCTTCCAAATGAGTTACGAACTACTTACACCCACCGTGGAAGATCTTCCGTCTTGGGTGATGGCCTCGAGCTTTTGGGTGAGCCGTGCATTGTGAGAAGGGTTTCTCCTCGGAGGACGTCGAGAAGATCGTGGGTACGGCGTACGGGTAAATTACTCTACTACAAGAGGACGGGCCGCACAGTTTATACCTAGTAGGAGAGCAACCAGATCATTTGGTGCTGAGTAGAGGAGTTGCTGTTCCTGTGGCGGTGCTTTAGTACTAGCCCCGAGGAAGTGCAGCAATTGCAAGAATATTGAACTACCACAAGAAGTGAATAAATTTTTATTTTGCGTTCTTGCTCGTAAGCGTAAGAATTTAGCAGCTGTACTAACTTTGACAGAGCTCTCTGAATTTGAAAAACGAAAAGTCATGGCCGCTCTGTTCAAGCAATGTTTCAGTGCCCAGGATATGGGATGGACTCCACCATTCACTTAAAAAACATTCAAAAAACTTGGTTTTAAGTAATAAAGATTAGGTTTGTTTTGCGGCGCATTCCTTCGTCCCGGATTCCGCGACGTGAGCTTGATCCTCCACCGTCACCGTTTTGGAAGCCGTTATATATGCAGGCTAAATAGCTACTTAGCTTTAAATGAAGATCCCAACTTGAGCTAGATAATGAGGGTGAAACGCAATGCAATTCATCAGGTATTGTAATTGAAATTCTTATTAAGTGCGGGAGTTCGTCCGCCCATTTGGAGTCGCTTATCACCGCCACGTACTGCTGTTGGGGCCCCTTGAGGGATTTGCTGGTATAGAGGTCGCGATAGCGTCGTGCGCCGGCACTTTCTTGAAGAGGAGCATCCGACTACTTTTGGTCTTTGACTCATTTTTGTCCACCATAGCATCGAGAAGTAGCGAAGTCTGATCATCACCATTCAAATGAGGTATTTTGCAGGTCCCGGATGAGGGTATTTTATACCTCATCCGGAACACGGAAACAGTTTGCGGAGAGGTGAATTCTATACCTCATCAATAGACCTCATCCAAACCAATGATGTGGTATGCTGAATTTCTACAAAAAATCTGCCATACCATGCGGATTAAGAAAAGCGCAATACTTTTCGCGAGCATTCCCAGAATTCCTCCTCTTCCACCATTTTCCAGGTATTCTGCCGCCGCTTTGTCCCACAAATTGCCACGGGGCCCCAGCAGTCCAACAGGCGGGTCATCAGGCAGGTCACAGGTTGGGTGCCGTCAAGGAGGTGGTTGCGGTGGTCCTTGCTACTGTCCTTTATTTCGATGTCTTTTAGAGGGAAAACTAGCTAGCTCAAATTGGGATCTTCGTTTAAAGCTAGGCACTTCATCATCGATAACAAACCCAGCTCACCTCCCGGCGATGTCGCCGAAAACACGACGACCCAGACGTCCAAAACTGCATGGATAACTGCCCTATTTTGCTTCAGAGCCAAGTTTTTTGAATGTTTTTGAAGTGAGTGGTGGAGTCCATCCCATACAGGATTTTACACAGGTGCTGCTGATCGGGCTTGGTGGCGTGGGGAAGAGCACGCTGATGCAGCGCCTATCAAAACGAAAAATCCCCCCTCCCCATATCGAAATGGAAATCTGTGATGCAGGATTTGGGTACACAGATCGGATTTGTCTTGCAGTAAGGCATCGCAGCCAGATCCTCGGCCTAGGTAGGGGCGTATAGGTCTAGTTGCTTAGCATTGCAAACGGGTGTCCCCTAGGCGCAACAGCATGCCAAATCGCTTCCATAATGGTGCGGAAGCCTCTGCGCTTGTCTTCTTGCAAGACAGACGTGATTTGTGACCTCAAATCAGCAACGCAAATTTTCGGAAACACACCATTTCGATATGGGGAGGGGGGATTTTTCCTCAGAATAGCGCCTGAAGGTGCCCCAGTGGAAGTTGGAGCGCATGGCGAGTACCCTGGCAGTACGGAAATGATGTAGTCAGGTGGGAAGTCGACAAATAATGAATAGGAAGCACTGCGCTCTATGATCATTGTTATTGTGATGCATGAAATGCCCATACGATAGTAAAAAGTACCTGCTCGAGCAGTAGTTGGGCCCACCATTTGCAAGCATCGCATGACAAATTTTCCACACGCTGGGAGGCAATTTGCTATGCTGTTTTCAACAATAGGGACTGCGACTGCTCGTAGGATGTTGCTCCGCAGCAGCAACTGCGCTGATCGTACTGATAATCTACCTCAGGCGGCTCCTCGGTGAGCCTAGCAGTAGTCGGGGTGCTGCTTGTGTAGCAATCCACGCGTGACACAAGATCAACATTGATTTCATTTCGACGATTATTTCACCAATGGCGGTCCCATAGGCAGACCTGCGGCAGTACAAAGTATGGGATGGCTATGGAAGAACAGATGAGCTAGTTTTTTTGTTGGAGCAAGTCTCGTCTCTGTGATGCAGAAACCAATGGGACGGCTATGGAAGAACAGATACAGATGAGCTAGTTTTTTTGTTGGAGCAAGTCTCGTCTCTGTGATGCAGAAACTGTGTTGTCGTGCCAGACAACCGTGATAGCCTCTTATCTTTTGATCAGGAATTTTCCGCACCACTAGCGGTGCTTGACAAGAATTTTTCTCTGTCATGCGTCGATGCAGTTTTGTGATGCTTTTTTTGTTTTTTCTATTTTTAGTTCGCGAGAGTTACTTACACCGACGCAGGAGTGCTAGCTTTTCCCTTCATAATCGCGCGGGCGAGGCGGAGGAAGACCAGAAAACGGCGGATGCAGCTAAGTGGGGCCGACCGATAGAGTACACGTCGTTTACGGGGAGTGCGAAACGCGCCGCGTTGCAAGAGCCGGGCTACAATTATCCTGTGCAAAAACGGATGCAGCGTACCAGTAACCCCACGACTCCAGAGCAGATTTACTTTTACCTCCATGCGTCTGCATGCTCAGAATGCCTCTCATGCACAGCTCCAGCAACTACATCAGGATCAGGTTCAGGAGCATTTTCTAACGGTATCTATATATGGGTGGGATCATTTTGTCATGCTCATGCTCACGAGGCAGCACCAGCATTTTTCGAGTCGTGAGGGAGGATCTCTCGCTAAGAAGTAAAGCGACTACCCTGGACAAGGCACTTGCTGATGCGCAAGAGGTAAAACGTGTCGTCTTGACTAGTGCTACTGGGTCGTGGGCAATGCTGCGAGTGCCACGTGTTTACTCAGGATAACACTTACGAAGTGTTCAATGACTTCGGGCTCTGGGACATACCTTCCATCGTGTCCGACATGCTACCAGTATGACAGTGCACAAGAATCAAGAACTATTCCCCTGCATGCTCATGCAGCTCCTCATTTGATTTGGTAGGGCATGTTTAGCAACAGAAACGACGCCATGATAATGGTTTCTGCATGACAGGCCAACACGTAGACTACTGTTCTGTTTGAGCCAGGACAATTCGTGTTACGAATTCTTCCTTTTTTCCCTACCTGAAGTTGTCACTAGAAAGATGGCGCAGTTTTAGATTCTATCCAGCGCAGCTCGGATTTCTTTGGACTTCTGCACGACCCATGTAGGCGGGACAAGGGCGCCGTGGCGTTGTAGTTCTTTTCTTGTGCAATGTTATAACAAAATCTGTGGGCGCTTTTCTACCGCGCAGTGAAGTATCACGCAGTCTTCTACGTGATTTCTTCGAGTGACGCGGACAGACTGGAACTGTGTAAGAAACACATCTTCTCTATCATCCAGAAATGATCTGGGAGGGCATAGTAATTTGTAAATACGTAGAGCGAATCCATGCATGGGCAGACGAAGATCTCTCAAGGGGCTCGCCCATAGCAGGCTGTCGCTTGAGAGATGCCGCGGCACAGATTAGTACTTTTGTGTATTTATTTTAGCGCCCTGCCAGCTTTTTTCTGACTCATATTCTCCCTGCTCTACGAGGAGGAGCTTCGGGAGGCGCCGTATCCTCTGCAAAAGTGTTGTAATCGTTGTACTAATTGCAGCACAGCGTAGCAGAGCATGGTCTGGTTTTCATTTTCTAACTTTTTCATCATTACAAATTCCATTCTTTCTTCTGAAAAATTGCAAAAATGCAATTTTTTTCCGATAGTAAGTACGATGTTTTTGCAAAAATGCATACGCTGTTAGTAATCCTGATCAACAGTCGCAAGGAGAATCCGTATGATGTTTCTCGGGTATGGATGTGTCAGGATTGAAATCGACAAAGTTGAAATAAACTCTAATGCATAAAATGGATGAAAGTTGTGGCTCAGTTTGTAAGTGGCGCGTGACAAATTTTGGTAGAACCGAAATCCAGTCTGTCATGCTGTTTGGGTAAGGAGGGCGCCTTCTGTCATGCTACTTTAGCAGCTCAGTTTCTACCCCTTAACAGGCTTAGTTACAATCTGCCTCACTTGCCTACTCTACAAGACAGGCACTTTGATGAGGACTGCATTTTATTACGCAGTGGAAAATCTTCCACTGGCCCCGTTTTTCCACAAATTGACAAAAAAAAAAGTCAACGCGAGTCCTCCGGTGGTTGCTGATGTTCTGCGTCCGCTTCATTTACTCCGAGAGCTTCTCCTGGCCACACATCGGCGCTCTATGATATGTCGCGCAAACTCTGAGCCAGCTAGTGGCGCGCGGCGCCATTTTTGGGGCGCCTTGTCCGAGGGCCCCGAGGCCTTTTCCCGATCGCGCGCGCCCCTTAGCCTCGCACGGGGCGCGCAAAAAAGGACTTGGCCAGGCCTCGCGTTCTTGGCAGGGCTGGTCGCCGGCGACCCCGGAGACCTCTGCTGGACACTCACGAGAAAATCGCGCGAATTTGACCCGGTTCGGGACGGCCAAAAACGCAACAAAATCGGCCGACTCAGGTCCTTATTCCAAAACATCCACAAGACGCGAAAAATTTCGCGAGACCCCTGGGGGAGACTAACCAGGCGAGGGCGCGGCGGCCCCTCTCGGTTGTTCGCTTTCGCCGCCTAAGGCGCCGACCCCTGGCGCGCCGAAGTGCCGCGCGCCGGCTTGGGGCTTCCCGGATGTGGCAAATTGTTGAGCCCGCCGCGCGTCCCGGGCCGCCCGGAGCGCGCGCCCCCTTAAGCATGTCGCCCGGCGGCACTTTTGCGCCCCCGAGGCCGCGAGATGGAGATCAGCTTGGAATGCCGGAACCGAATGCCGCCAAGGGAGTTCCCCACTATGCGACACATATTTCAAAAAAAAAATTGCACTTTGTGGAAAAGCGGGGCCAGTGGACACTTTTCTCTAACGTATTTATGCATGACAGGCTATATTTCAACTTTGACGCTTTCGTCAAACCTGACGCTTCCATATCGGGACGCTTTTTATTACGAGCTCGAGTTGTACAAGCTCCCGCCGAACCGCGTGCAGAAATTCGCTTTCGATTTTTCCGCGATCAAGGGCCCGCGGGATCCGAACATAACGCAAGTCTTGGACTTCGTGCGAAATAAGGACAAGTATGGACGAGAAAAAAGAAGCGCCATTCCATTCTTGGCATCACACTTGCTACAATTCACTTGGACTTGGAGCATTCGGATTGTTGTATACTTGCATGAAGGAATTCGAGTTGAAAGTTTTTGTTTTCGTGCATGGGTGCATAAGTATGCATTTTTGTTCTTTTGCTATGTGGAAAAAATGCCCAAAAGCAAAACTGATTGCTGCGATGCTCGAGATGTAGTTGTTGCTTTTTTCTTGCATAGCAAATACCCAAGTGTCAATACGCTGGTGGCGGACCTAGAAAAAAAATAATATAGTGTTTGCTTGGAGGGGTTTCACTTTGCTTGCGACAAGCCTAACCTCGTTATTGCTTTGTTCTCAACTAATTTTCTTCTTCCATCATGCTTGATGATGAGTCTCCGGCTTCGGGCTCATTCCAAAAAACGGAAATCCATGCCAAAAACGTAGGCACTCACGAAGATGAGGTGAGCACACTGTAGTGCTGAGCTGCTCCGCGCTAGTGCTAGATGAGGCTTGCTCTTGCGTCACTCGTGATAGTTCATAGTGCATTCTTGATGCAAAGGTTCTTGTTTCTGGTTTTTGTTTTGTGTTGTCATGATGGACTTTTGGGCTTGTGTTCCGTGTCGGGTGAGTTGTATTGTAAGGCTCGAAGACTTCAACGCTGACTTGAATTGCAGTGACCTTTTTCTACCACAAGCACGCCGCACTAAGAAAGTATTCAGCTGCACAGCTAAATATACAACAGAATGGCTTGATATTTGAAACACGACAACCGCGATTTGAACTGTGCTTTCCTATGTTAAGCGGCCTAATTGCGCTTAATTTTTCAGTATGGCACCGTGTAACTGGCTACTTGAAAGAACAAAATAATAGTGTGACGACCAGATATGACTAAGAGGAAGGTGACAAAAACAAAAAATCAGATCGAGATCGTCGAGCAAAATCATGTGAAAGAGTGAATCGAAGTAGACTCTTGCATTTGTCTATAGTGGCATCCTGTTTCTTTTTATGACTTCGCCAGCATTAGCATACATAGCATATTATCTAATGATGGTCGCACCACTCTTCATCAGCGAACTAAGTCTTTGTGTTGTGAAAGATTTGTGAATTAACTTTTCCAAGAGGCGCCGCTGGGTGCTTATTTTATTTGCTTTTTTGCGTGATTCAGATTCACCTGTGCTTTAACTTGACAAAATTCTCACGAGTTGTACTGGCTAGAGCTAGGAGTCCTTGGACGGAGGACTAGGACAGCAAGACGAAGAACGGAACAAGTTGTATTGTTCCTATTCCTTTGTAAAATTGCAGTAGACGAGCCGATCTCGGCTGCTCTTACTATACCTATTGTCGTGCCCGTGCACCAGTAGAAACATAAGACGAATTACCTATAAAGTTTTGCGATAGTACCACTACCATCAATTGATGCTGGGTCACCAACTAGTTTCTTCTTTCTAATAGCAATAAATTAAGGCTTCGAGTTCGATCACGACAAGTTGTATTAGTAGGAGAATGTCTATCAGCAGAGCAAAGCGAACAAATATTTTTAAGTATCAAAACGAAGCAGTAGTTGCGCAGTGAATTCATCTCCTCCGTAGTTTCTGATTCTGTGCGCAGCAGCATGTTGACAGAGTTCCGAGGAGCATATCACCTCCCGCACAGCAAGATGATGACGTCCTCACGAGAGAGTTTTTGAAGACCCAGCCGTCTACGACTGTGAGGGGCTACTTGTAAATGTATTTACAAGTGGGACACAAGAAGCGGGAGGAAGCTGCGTCAGCACGATAAGCTCCTCGCGTTGGAGGTCAACTTGGACGGCGACGGTCATCCGTCTTTTCGCGGGCCCAGCCAAGTAAGTAGAACGCAATCACCCGCAACAGGTGGAGCCAGCAACTTCGCCGCACAAGAACTCCTCCTGGCTGGTATTTGGGTGGTGGACATAAAAAAAAACAGAGCTACAAGGTGCAAAGCCAGAAGATGTTGAACTGAGACAGAATTCGAATTGCGCCGCGTCGTGCACGTACTGCTCATCACTCATCTCGACGAGGAAGAGCGGGAGCAACTACAGCGGAAAAAAAAATACTTTTGAATTGTAGTCGCAACTTCTACAGCCGTCGTGCTGTCAGGCTTCTAGGTTCGTGAGTTCTTGCGCTGGGAGACCCAAGTTGGAGGTTGGACCCTCCACCTTCAGCGTCAGTGAAGAACGCCACACGAGGTGGACCTCCTCCGGGAAAATAAAAGAGCTCATCTTGCACTACACGGCGCCCTCTTTCAGTGCGGCTTGCTTCTGGCCTGTGCTCCTGTGCAAATAAATCTACCGCCAGAGGAGCCGTCGCGGTTGTCATCATCTACTTCGCTCAGCACAGCCAAATCGGCGGCATTCGTCCAAGGCCTAGAAAATATTCGCTGCGCTGTTCTCTCGTCGAGGATCCAATCTGCTGCTTGTACCTGCTGTTGCAGAACACCAGCGTGAACAACATCAAGAAGCCTGAACGGAAGAAGAAGGGAGAGCAACAAACTACATACCGGCATTTGGTTATATAATTTTTCGCGCGGACATCATAATGCAAAGCATCCACAAGAACAGGCTCGTGCAGCAGCGGCCTTGCGCGTCTTCGTGACTAGTAGTACATACCAGCTCTCGACGTCCTGATCTCGTTACCTCCTTCTTACCCCGTTCATCGAGAAGAAGACAGTAGGTCAGGACCAGTAAATTAGTGGCAGCTGCGTTCTTCTTCCGGAGTCCGCAGCACAGTCCTCGGCACGCACCTTCTTCACGACCTTGGTTGGTCTTGGCATCTCCGAGAAGCCCGGCCTAGCCTTGTGTCGAACGCGAACCACGAGCAGTACTAGGCACTACAAAAAAACGGTGAGCTTGCCAAGAGCCATGCCGGCGACGACCCTATCATACTTTTCCAAAAATATTACCAGAGCTACATCACACAGAACAAGAACCTGCTCTAGCTCTACCTCCACCGCATCGCAGCTCTCGTGCGCAATAGAGCAAACCACGCCTAATTGCGAAAAAGTAGATCCAGCTGTTTTTAGGGGCCGAAACGTCAATACAGTAGTCACAGCACAACTACCTGTGAAGACGGAAGCAGTAGCAGTGATTTTGAACAAGGCAGCAGCACGAGGACATCACCTTCAGAGGAGCTACAACCGGCAAGGACAAAACCGGCTAAGGAGGAGGAACCAACTCGCTGTGACTGGAAAAACAACAACCAGCAGGCCGAGAACTACAGGAAGTAGAGCTGCTGGAACACTGGGAACAAGAAAAGCTGCAAGAAGCAGAATTTTCCTCTCGTCCACCTCGGTAGGAACTCAAAAGCAAAAGTTCGTTTCAGACAGTATCAACAACTGGTTGAGCGAGCAGCTTGTTTGCTACAAGTGGTGGCTGTACAGCAGTTCCTCATCTTGCGACGCTAGTTCTTGTCGTACTCTGAGTTCTTGTTTTTGTTCTCCACGCCCTGGCGACCGCGACCAGCAGCACACAGCATCCACTACATTGTTGTCCCCCGCAAGAACGACGAAGAGCCATCACCTTGTCCTCGTCACCCCCTACTCTTCATCATCAGTTTGACAACCACGACTAGTATCGAGCAACCTCTTCCTGAATGTCAATAACAGCCAGCTCTGCGTTGATTTCAGGAACCAGTGGCGGCAAGATGAACGTGCTCAACGGCATCTTGACCGACTTGTACATGGTCTTTCTCCTCCTCGCCATATGGGAGCTCATCTTCGGCCATGACTTGCTCTTCCAGCCCGCGCGGGTCGCACTCGTCGCCATCACTGTGGTATCAAGTAACGTACTGCTTCAAAAGATGCAAAGAGCCTTTGTGGCATCTGATGGAAATAAACGCTGTGGTAGGGAATTGTGCGTGACATCAAGTCCAGAAGCGTTGATGTAAGTAGCTTCACCTTCATCATGTGCGGCAAATTATGCGTCAGCTTTGTTTTCCATATCGATATCAGGTACTCCTGTTTGCGATTCCCTATCGCAGCTTGACAAGTAGCTCAACAGAAAACGCCGGCGCTGTGCAGAGTATGTGTGCGAATTTTTGAGTCATGGGTGGTCATTGTGATTCGGCGTGCAGCTAGATAATTGCAACAGCGTGGTCGTGTGGCATGTTGATAGCCATAGTCTCATTTCGCCATGAGTAGAGAGGACGAGGCAACAAGAAAGTGAACAAGGAAGACGTCAGAATTCGGTTCAAGTTACGGCCAAAATGTTGAAAATAGAATTGGTCCGCACGTGTTGATGTACTAGTTGTACCAAAACTAGCATCGGGACACAGAGTTTTTAGCTGCGCGCCGCAAGAACTTTTTGCCCTAATGTCTCAACTTTCAGCCGCATAGTGTGGAGAAGGCCTTTCCAGCAGCAGACTGCACAGGGGCTTCCCAGGGTAGAAAAGACCACGAAAACCGGCAGCATAAATGGACTCGAGTACTTACTTCTTACGCAATATATTTTTGAAATTAATATCGCAGTTGAGTTCGTGTTCGCTCTAATGGGTGATCCTCTTCCAGGATTTTATGTTTGCACTTCCTTTATGATGTATAAAGTGACACTGCAACAAGAGGAACAGAACTACTTATTGTGGGTAGAATTTATATGTAGTCATGGCATAGTAGGTAGAGTAGTACTGGCACGACCATATTTTTAGAATGACAAGAAAAAGATAATATGATGAGAAGTAATATCTAATGCTACATACGAACAGGTATGCAAGTAGCGAAATGCAGGGCTGGCGACCCGCCATGGAAGACGCCGCCTGCGCTGAGGACTTCTCCGGCAGCGGAATTTCCTGCCTGCAAGATTGGGCTTTTTTCGGGGTCTTCGACGGGCATGGAGGTGTCTACTTACGATATACATATAGGCCTTAAAAAATGCATCTCTCCGACAATGAATTCGCTTCAAAATTTGATTTTGAGCTCAAATCTGTAAAAGAAAATCTTAGATAAAAAAAAATCACGGACGTCGGAACAAGAAAAATTCGAATGAAAGTATCATCTACTTATTTATCAGGTGCCGCCGTCTCAAGAAGGATAAGCACGGAGTTGCATGGCCACTTTTGCGACATAGTAAAGAGGAAATATAGCAACGCAAGCAGCAGCATAGAGCCCGAGCAGGTGAAATACGCCCTGGGAGAAGCGTATTTACGAGTTTTCTTTTTGGTTTTCTGCTCGACCTCTCCCCGTCATTTCATCGTATTTTTGGATAGCAGTGGGTCATGATGATGTAGTTCGATTTATAGAATACGTCGAGCATCAATTTATATATGTATTCGAGGTTGGTTAAGTTTAAGTGGCTATCTTTCAGATAAAAAATTTGTGGATGATTTATGACATTTACCACCTGAAAACAGATTCGCGATGATGGACTTGGCACTTCGAAGAGAGAGTGTCAACGGCGAATTTTATGGCATCAGAAACGAATATGAGTGGGGGTGTTGCTATCTCGCGTTTGCTTATCACACAGAAAAAAACTAGCATATCCATGTCATTTTTGTTGTGCAAACAAAATCAATACACAAGGAAAATCTGTGCTGCAATGCTCACTCCATCATGATCTACTTCATTATTATCATCATTCATGGTGGTTTGCAGAACCGAGCTTGCACACGGCCAGTGAGTTATGCGAGTCGCAGACTAAAACAACAGCAGAAAAAAAAAAACGCCCCTTTTTATAATTCCGTCCTGCTTGCATACCTGTGATTTCGTAGGCTCCACCGGCATTGTCGTGGTGTTGAGCGGGCGCGATCTCGTCTGTGCCAATGTGGGAGATAGTCGAGCACTCCTGGCCCGGGACAACAAGTGTCTCTCCTTGTCTGAAGATCACAAGCCCGAGATGCCACAAGTAAGATTGGTGTATGTACTTATTTTGCTGTCGGTTCATTGGAGGGCGCCATGCTACTTCACTAGAATGATGAAGGTATGAACGGGATAAGGATAACTCGGACGTGCACCTTGCAACCTAGGGGTTTCCTGTGTGTGTTGGACGACGCTCCAGAAAGTTTGAGTTGAGTATAACGCTGGCACGATCTTCATAGTCACGACGTCGCATCGCGACGATTCCGTTCAACATACAGCAACTAGTACTTAAGTACTTCGAAATATTACCAGGAGCGCAAACGAATCGAGAAAGCAGGCGGCAGCGTGGCACAAATAGGACCCTGCTACCGTGTGGACGGCTGGGGCTTGAACCTCTCTCGTGCCTTTGGCGATTTCCACTACAAGGGCAGGCCAGACTTGTTATGAGAGAACACAACTTGTTCCCTTCCTCATTTGTCATGCAAAAACCTAAATTCACTATCACTCATCTTCCTCCGTTCTTACCAATTTTTGCATAGCATGTTCCGCACCAGCAGACCAAAGAAACTAACAGCATCTTAGTCTACTTGCCTGAATTTGTTACGCAAAACAACAAGCTCGGCTCTTGCCGACGCTTGTGTTACAGCTGTTCGTGCATGATTGCGCAGGGGTGGAGGGGGAGTTGTGCATTTTCATACTCGGAGCCGTGGGAGCAGAAGGTCTCTGCGGAGCCGGAAATCCGGATTTTGCCCCTCCATGCTAGTACCGACAACTACCTCGTGCTCGGATGTGTATCCGATCGACATACAAATGCATTTCAAGAAAACCTCAGCTGTTTTTCCTTCTGTCTGAAAGATGCACCATGAGCAGCTGCTTTGCTAGTACTTTGATATTTTTCATAAAAACTTTTGTTGATGCCGCCAATATAATAAATTGCATTGAATCTACTACGTAATTTTTCTTCTGCATATTGACCTTGTCCAATGTTGGGTACGCAGCAAGTCAGATTTTTTTTGTTGACACGACTGGGCTGCGTGTTGAAATGAAAAGTTTGCTTGCATACCCTGACGGAGTGTTTGAGCTGCTGAAGAACCAGGATGTCATAGATTTCGTACAGAAAGTGATCCTTTTTCCTTTTTTTTGTATGTCAAAAAATGCGGGCATAGTACCCGGCTAATGTGCAACTTATTTTTCGATTTCATTGATGTGAGTAGATTGCAACATTATGATTATCGTATTGTATTTCGGTGCAGGTACATTGATGGCATGTTACTATTTTGGTTCATACAACCAGGTCTGCGAGACAACGCGCGACGGCTCGTCTAGCATCTCACAAGTGGTTGAATCGCTGCTAGACCAGTGCATTTCGCCGAATTTGCTGGTCACGCAAGGAATATCAACTGCAATTATGTCTGGGTCTCGAAGAATGCAATGGTTTTCATTTGTGTTTTGCATGGCCCATGATGCCTGTAATGCATGGCCTAGCGTCACAGATTAGATTTCACCCAAGAAGGCTTCCTGATGCCTATTCCGCATGGCAAATGCCCTCCCCGCGTATTACAAACTTGGCTCCTCTTGTTGGTCATGCGATGCAAATATTTTTAGAATCCAAACACAGCAGCACAAGGTGCAACCTTCCAGACCCAGACATACTATTTGCAATGCATACGGAAAGGGCGGCGACAACGTGAGCGCGATCGTGATTCGGCTGGAAGTATCAAAAGAAAAAATCCCCCCTCCCCATATCGAAATGGAAATCTGTGATGCAGGATTTGGGTACACAAATCGGATTTGTCTTGCAGTAAGGCATCGCAGCCAGATCCTCGGCCTAGGTAGGGGCGTATAGGTCTAGTTGCTTAGCATTGCAAACGGGTGTCCCCTAGGCGCAACAGCATGCCAAATCGCTTCCATAATGGTGCGGAAGCCTCTCCGCGTGTCTTCTTGCAAGACAGGCGTGATTTGTGACCTCAAATCAGCAACGGACAGGCGTGTTGGGGGTGAGGGACCCCCAACGAGGCCTGCGGATATCATGGGGAACTAAGGCTCAAATCAGCAACGCGAATTTTCGGAAACATACCTTTTCGATATGGGGAGGGGGGATTTTTCCTCTCAATAGGAAGGGGCAATAGGCACTACAGCGACAGCGACAACAAATACGACGGGCACCTCCGCCGGAGGGGACAAAAGCGACGGAAAAGTCATAAACAGAACAAGCACGACCTCATATCCTACAGAACTACCGATACCCATAGAAGTGCCCCAGAGTCTTGTGCTGCGGATTTGCAATTATTTGCATGCCCACAGCCACAGCCCGGTGAACGTATAACCTTAACGACGTCTTATATGCGGACTTACTTGTTCCTTTTCCACCGGGTCCGGGATTTATTTGACTCCTGTTTGCGTCTGGCGATTAGAACTGCTCTAATTCCTTCAACATGAGTTGTGCCAGGATCATGTTTAAAAAATTATAGGGCTTGTTTGACTTTTCACCTCAAGAACTCTAGGCTCGACTAATATAGTGGCGAACAATCTTCATGATCTTCACAACAGTTTCAGGGTTCGTGCAGCGAAGTTTGCAAAACTGTCAGATTCATCGCGCGTTCTGATCTTGACTTCGGGGTGGGTACGTTTTTGCACAGGATACCTGATCCGGAGGCGGGGCTAAGGAAGACGACGGCGGTGCGGGGATAACGACCACGGGGGGCGGCGCTGCAGCTCCGCTCGGGTCGTTGGCCGGCGCGTCAGACGGAGGGGGGCGGAGTAAAGATGCCTGAAACCGAAAGTGCCGGGCTCTACTAGCGCCACATTATAATATGTTGTCCGTCTGCTTTTTACCCTTTTTTTTCTCAAAGTCAAAGAAAAACATACTTTTTCACGACACCGATGAAAGCGATTCAATTATAGTTGTAGTATCAATCTAGAAAAGTTTTCGCAGTAGTAGCTAGGTAGTAGACTTTAGATAGCAGAATTTTTTAGAGAAGAAACGCACGGGGATCTCGAAAACATAGGCGCTCGTCGAAAATTGGCGGAACTAATAGGCCGAACAGGTGCCCCCGTACGAAATTCGTTGTTGACTAGCTGCTACTTGAAAATGTAGCGGCGCACCCGTACCGCTGCAAGTTAGTCAAGGCGGACGAGCAGACCTCGGGCCTTTAAAACAAACGCACAAGCACATGCCATTCACCTCCTCTTCTATACATTGTATACGACGTTGTACAACTTCTTTCTCAGCCGATTGCGATAAGAATAGCTCTCTGGAGAAAAGCGGTGAAAAATTCCCTGACTCCAGCCCACCTGTGTGATGAATTGTATCAGTATCAAATGACCGATTTATTACTTCAGAGCTCTCCTCTTTTCGGAGTCGGATTTTTTTGAACATCGAAGCAGACCTTGATCTTCGCAGATTCGCATCAATATAATTCAAGCAGTTTTCCGCATACCATTGATTAGCCAGAGGCCAGTGCTATCGAATGAGTGACGACATATTCTATTACCGCCCATTGTCCCAACCCGCCATGACCAGGCCCTCCGTTGAAAACTAGATGCGCAGGAGCAATAACTATGCAGGAAGTACCAACTAAGCACACCACCGAAGATAGTGTCAATTCAGAACTTCCGCCGCACTTCTCGCAGTACGACCCCCCCCGAGAAACTGAAACAAAACTAGCGACCGAAATGAAGACCATGCTTGAGGATATAACTCAAAGTTGTTTTTACAAAATGAAAAAGAAAAAAGTCTAGGAAAATTAAGTTTGATTGCCGCGCATCATAACCTCAATTCTTCGTCGAACTGTGTGATATAATTAGCGATGTTCAACTCATACATTGCCTGGTCCACGCATTTGTTGCAGAACGTCCGTGATCTTCTTCCGGGCTTACTTTACTCGCAGATTGCTGCTCTTAATGAAGCCCGTGCAAATTTCGCAAAGTAAAAAAGGATCACGAGGAACATGATATTAGGGATCTAGAAGGATCTGCAACTGCAAGAAGGTACTATATTATATGCGAAAAAGTTGAAGTCCTATCTACCGAGTCGAGTTGCTCGAGTGCGACCCTCGCGAGGGACTTTTATGGGACGAGCTTCCAACAAGTTGTCTTTGTTCAACACACTGACACGGTTGAATAAAGCCAAACAGCGACGCACGGTATAACGGTATTGTTTATTCATAGATCTTCAGAATCCCTTGCTTCTCGTTCCTCGATACTTGTGGCACATAGCCTGCTTAAAAAATGTTGACACGGATCTTCTTAGTAGACGACAGTGTGAGTCAATGTATTTGTATGGTAAAATGAGGACTCGACACACACACACACGCGACACATAATTGAGCTCACCTTGAAGATAGATGGAGACGAAATTCAGTGTGACTATGATCATGGCATATCTATGCTCTGAGATGCAGATGCGCAGCTTCAAAAAGAAGATCCTCTCCCTCCTTCTACTCTAAACGCCCCAGGCCTGAGGCAGCGTCCAAGGAAACCAGAATCAGGTCCTTTTCGGCCGAAGATGATCTTTTCTTATTTCTCCGCCAGCGACAGTGCACTTCACTTCGACAGTGTGCAAGTAACTACAGGGGAGCGAAGCAGTGTGTTGACGTAGGAGATATATATTCGTACCCTTTGCTCGTGTTTTGTTTCTTTCACAAGACAAATTCTATTGGCGATGTTCCATCTACTAAGTCTCCGCATCCGTCGTAAGGACCAGGGGATTTTCAATCCGTGTGGCTGCACAAGAATGTGAATTTACGCTAGTATGCTATATTGTACTTAGCATATAATCTTTATGAGCATGAGAAAGTAAGTGTTAGGTAGTGTATCACGATAGGCCAATACCGAGGAAAACAAAATGAGCGGGACGCCAGCTGGTGCTGCATCAGCTTGGGACTTCAACCTGCACTACACACCCAACACGGTCGCCGCGTTCGCGAAAACAGCCTCCGTATGAAACAGAAGCTCTCAAACGTTGCATTCTTTGATGCTGTTCTCTCATTTACATGATTTGCCATCCTTGCAGAATTGCCAGCAGCGTCGTCGCGTTCACACGATCAAGCTGCTTCGCGTCGCAAGTTTAATGGCCTGAAGATTTTTTTTATTTTTCAAATTTGTCTATAAGGCAAAACGTGCAAAAATAGTACTTAGCATCAAACTCCCTCCTTTCATTTCCGCGATTCTTGCATCAATCGGCGGGATTATAGCATCAATGTAGTGACGTCGTTGAGATGTCGAACAACTCCATAGGCCGAGCGTTTTGGGTATGCCGGGATCGCGATGAACTTCGAAGTGGAAGACCTGGCCGAAATGGAGGAACTTTTGTGCATTTTGAAAGAGAAAAGCCTCGAAGAAGAGACCAGAGCAACCGCGCCCGCGCCCGCTGGTAGTACGACCAGTAGACCAATGGGAAAAACTACATCGATGCTCTTGTCATCTTCAACATTATCCTCTTGTAGTACTACGTTGAAAAAGAACAACTACAACATCCACGCGACCACTGGTGGAGCAGGAGCAAAAGCTACCGGGAAGGCGAAGTCGCAGTTTCGCGCCCGTTTTGTCCAGTTTGTGGAGGAGTGCGATTTGGAGAGCTCGCGCTTCTTGGAGGAACAAAGGAGCCGCGTTTTGATGAAGAGCAGGCACGAAGGTCAGGATGGTGAACGGCAAAAAGTTGCTCGTCCTCGTGAGATGAAACAACTGCAGGCGACGACGAGTACAGCCAGCTACAACAGATTCGTCGACAAAAAGAGTGGTAGTAACGATGGATCAAAGATGAAAATAAAAACGCCCCCTGCAGCTCCGCCTGCCGATGTGCTGAAACGCGTCACGCTAGTCCACGATGGGGCGGCAGTGAATTTCCACCGGAAAACGGACTTGATTCGGGAAATCGCAACCTTGCTGCGGCGCCGAGCGTCCAGTCAGAGAAACGGGAAGAACATAGAGACAGCCACTATATCATCCGCGTTTCGTGGTGGCCAGGAACAGGAACAAAGTACACCCCTGGCGGAGCACTTCCCTTCTGATGGTCAGCAACCGGATTCGAATGGACAAACGAAAGCCGAGTCCTCGACCTCTTTAATTCGGAAGCAAGGTCAGCTGCACCACTCGTCGCGATTGCTACCAGCGACCAAGTATGCTTCGAAAATAAAGTATAGTACTCGTATAAATATAATTAAATGCGTGTCTTGCAGCAAGACAAATCTCTTTTTTTCCCTTAATGTGCATGACAAATTCAATTTTTCTTCGTTGAAAAAAATTTTTCTTCATGCAATGCTGTGTACTAGTACCAGTACGCAATTACTTTTTCTATGCATACCAAGCGAGCCAAGAAACAAGAGCTGGAGGTCGTGCAGGCAGCAAATAGAAGTACTGAAAATAATAAAAGCCCACTGCACGACGACCACCGGGTGGAAAATGGGCGGTCCTTCACCACTAAGCCGTGGCTGCTGCACAAAAATTATGCCAACGCGCAGCGCCACCCCTGGTGTGATTTCTTGGTGGCCATCCGTCCCGTATGAAGGTACACAACAACTCCCCCTTCCCCTCATTTCTCATGCAGATAAAACGCAGCTCCAGCACAGCCACTGCCTCATATCTTCGCTATTACCTGGTATGACAAATTTGGGCAGAACCCAATCCTTACTACAGTCTGCCCGCATGTTTGTCATGCAAAAGCTACATTTCGATTATTTCTGACCTTGTTTCTATTGCTGTTCTTGCTTTCAAATGAGGGGAAGAGGCAGCTTTGCACACTCATATTCCGGGAGCGACCAGGCACTGACGGAGATCGCGAACCTCGGAGGCGGTGGAACGACAAATACGCTAGAAAAAAACTGTGTAAGTGTAGATGACACCTGTAAAAATGAACAAGCACACGATACAGCAACGGTATACAGTTGTCACGCTAGCCAGCCGTTATCCTGAAATTACCATCCTGTGTTCATGATATACATACTTTTTCAAGTACGAAAATGAACTTGGTAATAAGAGGCTATAATGTCTGTTGTCCTGGAGAAGAAATAATGTGTCATGTTATCACTCCAAGACGCCTACACTGACACAGTTTTTTTACTGGATAACAAGCGCAATCGGTTCATTATCCTCTTTACCCGGCGGAAGCACGTCCGCAAACGCGCCGCCGTTGTTTGATCTGCTAGCCCTTCCCCTGGAGCAGCCGGCAACGAGCGCAACCGGGATCCGCATCTTGCGGCCTCAGGTAACCGCTTTACTCGACCGAAATCCAGCGCTCCTGTTTGAGGTATCGGAGAAAAAAAGATTGTAGCTGCAACTTTATTTTTGCGAGTGCGAGAAGAAGATGAAGAGCACCACATCGTGCAAACAAAAAAAACTGGCCATGCGCAGCTAGTACTTTTTGTGAAAACACAAGCGCGGCGAGCCTATTATGCATGTCCAGCATGATTATGCCAAGTGTACTACTGAAACTGTCTTGCCCCCTCGCCTGCAAGATGAACGCAAATTTACACGAGCAATCTCCTCTTTCTCCTGCATATGAGGTTCCTTTCGCGCACTGCCTGCGCGCCGAGCAGGCCGATCAGTTTCGACATTTTTTTCAAAATTTGCAGAAGCTGGCCCGGCTCACGCACGGCAAGCACTGCCTTCTCACCTCCGGAGCCCGAGCTCCGGCCGTATCCACTGCAAATTAATATATCTGGGTCTGGAAGTAGAATGCAGATGCTATGCGTCGTGCTGTTTCTGTATCTACCACACGAGGGTCTTGTCTTGAATGCACGCAGAGCATCAGAGGCAGGCTTTGCGGACGCTTTTCCATGATACCCTCTCCGAGAGACCCCTCTTTTGCATGTGCAGACGAGACCATGAGCATGTAACACAGATTTTTGCCTGTTCCAGATCTTCCAGAATCTGCATCCTTTGTTCGGATCCAGATGACATATTTGCAATGCATAGGCCGAGCAGCGGTCCAAATTTGACCTGGTGAATTTGGCGTACGTCTCTGGGGTGCTTCAGGTCCAGCACGCGGTTACCCTACGTAAAAGTATACTCGCTCCAGTAAGTACGTGTACGTAATTCGAGAAGTTTATTCATTGAGCGACAAGCTTTCATTTTGCAAAACTGAAAATAAATGGACAGCCCGGTGGTCATCATGCAGAGGACTGAGGGGGCCATCTGGAACTGTGTACTTAGTATGAAAACGCGTATATTGATTAAGTATAATCTTTGGCATTTTGTTGATTTTTGCAGTTGCAGTGGACACAGATACAAAACATTTCAACGAGTGTAGTGATACTTTTGCAGAGGATCGCGGAGCGTCACCTACAGCAGGGCTGCCGAAATTTCGGCTTACTTTCATGTTCGTATGGTGATGCGGCGAACTTGAATGGTGGAGGTGGACCAGCAGGAAGGGGCAACAGGACGCACGTCTCAGTTGCCAATCATAGTACTACCTGCGCAAATTTTTATGCACCGGCCCCGGTAGGGGTCGTGCGATGCTAAAAGTTGCACGCTGTACAACTAGTGCTTAGCTTTTACGATCTGTTCAAACCTGCGTGGTAATACCTACCAGCGACCAGGAGCGCGGACGTATGTCATGCGCTTGCGCATGCATGCATGAGGTTTTTGTTTCACGCGGTCATTGGCCTTTTTTTGTTCCTACTGAGCAGTGATTCTTGTGCATGCTGCACACACCCGAAAGAACACGATTGATGTCCGACACGACGCCCCCAATAGCAATAAAGGGGAAAATGAAACGCAAGGCCGCGACCACTCGCAGAATGAAACAAGAACTACAAAGAGTGACCCTTGCGACTGTTTTTAGACTCATGATGCTTCGCTCACCTGTTTACCCCAAAAAACCTCGACGCATGTTCAACTTTTGTCGGAGCAGATGCAGATTGAGCAGATGCAGACACAGACTATTCTTGTTGCATTATGAAGATTATTGTCTGATCAGCTGGTTCTTGTCCTTGTCCTTGTCGTGTTTAGGTCGCTTCTTGTGATGTTTCGTTCCACCATACCAGGCAGGCAGCTCCTATGAGTTGCTGTCGATTCTTGTCTTTTTCATCTGCTAGTCGGAGAAAAAGTACTTAGCACTTTTCTCCAGATGACATCTGCATCTGGAGGAAAGTGTTACTCTTTCTTGTTCGTCCGTTTTCATTGGTAGACTTTGTTCATATTCGTTCGCTTATCTTTACTTTGCTACCGGTAGTTTTTCCGAACTGAGAAAGAGAAACCAATGGGAAAAATCGAGTAATCTGGTAACCAAATGCGTGCGCGCGCGCGCGCAGAGCGCGCGCCGGCCCACGAAGCCGGCGCGCGCGCTCTGCGCGCTTGCGATATTGCTTAGCAAACGCAGCGCGAAGGCAGTTGCCGTTACCATATAGGGCAACCGCCGGGAGGCGTGAAGGTCAGGGAAATGGCCAGAAATGAAGCGGGAGAAGGGAAAAAAAGCGGACCAGATGGGAAAATGGGCAGGAGATCAAAAATGTCGCAAAAACGGCAGAAACCAAGCGGGAAGAGGTGAAAAAGAGCATTTTTGCGGTCTGGCCCACTTAGTATCTGAAAAAAAGACGGAGTATTTTTTGGTTCGGCCGCTTGACAGCTGCGTCGGAGCAGCGGTTCCGCGACCTGTTCGGAAGCCTTGAGCCGCTTCGTAAGTGGAAAAAGTTGGAAAAAAATGACAAAAAATTGCTTCATAACGTGGGTGGAAGCAATCGGCGGATTTTGTCCAGATCACCCGGGCCACTTAGAAAATGGGAAAAGAAGAAAAATCTTGCAAAAGCGCAATCCCCCCGCAGGCTTGAAAACTGCCACCCAGGTGGGGGCGGTGAAAATGTCCAGGTCGCCCGGGCCACTTGGAAAATGGGAAAAGAAGAAAAATCTTGCAAAAGCGCAATCCCCCCGCAGGCTTCAAAACTGCCAGTCAGGTGGGGGCGGTGAAAATGTGCAGGTCGCCCGGGCCACTTAGAAAATGGGAAAAGAAGAAAAATTTCGCAAAAGCGCAATCCCTCCGCAGGCTTCGAAACTGCCAGGCAGCTGCGGTCGGTGAAAATGTCCGGAGCCCTTTGGCCACCTAAGAACCAGAAAAAAGAGCGAAAATTGAAAAAAATCGAGAACCCTCGGCAGGCTTACAAACTGGCCGCCAAGGGCGGTCCGGCGGGCGCGCTAGAAAGGATGCCCCGCTGCGAGCTAGCAGACCGGACGTCGCATTCAATGCTTATCGCAGGATCCTGCGATAAGCTTTGAATGCGAATCCGGAAGCCTCCGATGGCCCGGGATAGATGTGGGGTTCTAATTAAAAAGAAAGGGTGGTGGCAGCCGCGCGGCGAAAGCGCGGCCCGCAGGGCCGCGCTTTGGCCGCGCGGCTGGCTAGGCTCTCGCGCTGGTTAGATTTTCGCGCACGCATTTGGTTACCAATATCGCCCTCCGGGCGCGACATTCATACATCATCATAGGCAAGCTTTGTATGAATATTTATCTTTGTTCAAAAAAGTATCCGAGCAAAAATGCACATCCGTTTGCCTGGGCGGGCTCTTCTACTCTAACGCTCTGACTATTCTCCGCAGCTGCCCGTTCCGCCATGTTGTTGTAGGTATGTGCTGTGTTTAGCGTAGTTGTTCGGAATTTGATTTGTTTACTCGAGCCTGCCCGTGCAATCGTGAATCCGGTTGCTTTGGTTGACTCCAATTGTGTTGAGCAGGCCGGTTTCCGCTATAAGATATGTATTTGGTTTTGGAACAGGAGAGGACCGGGAATACTTCTACGAGCATTTGTGTACTACTAAAACACTAGGCCGGAAGAAATCCTCGAAGAATATAATTATCAATACCATGTCGTGGCTCGTCGTTCCACGACCACCTGGGTCGTTTTATTTGCACGACCGTCAGCACCCTTCTTGCAGCCGGCGGAGTTGTGCCGTTTTTCGCGGCCAGCCACGATTTGGACTTGCACGCTGTGCTGGTGCCCGAAGATGTTTTATTTGCTCGTACCAGGTAGAAGTTACGAGGAAAGTACTCGTTGCGCCAGGTTGGTGGTCGTGTTGCATTCGCTTGCTGATGTCGCGCCGCCTTGTTCTGGAAGCTCTGCCGTTCTTTATTTTCATGGGTGCGCTCATCTTCAACCTCATCTTCGAACAAATTTTGACTTTTGTTCCGATGAAGGATCATAGACGACCTCCTTTAGAAGAGACACATCAGTCACGACCCACTTCTGCCGTTATTTTTGTTACCGCGTCTATTGCTATTACGGGGGAATTCGTTTCGCCCTTCTACCTCACGACGGCGTCCTCAGAGGGCGTCAGCCTACCTTCAGGCAACTTCGCTCATGACCACCCCCTGCAAAGGCCGTACCCGGACCTATGGGTGTGTCCGGATCGAAATCCACAAAGTTGAAATAGTTTGTCATGCAAACATAAAATGGATACCAGTACTATTTGGAGGCAGGCTCAATTTCAAAGAGGCGCCTGGCAAATTTTCCGACCACCCGAAATCTAATTTGTCATGCTGTTTGGGCAGAGAAGCTAGCTTTTGCCACGCTGGTTTAGCAGCTCTATCTCAAACTTAAACCCTATTAAACAGGCCCACAATCAGCCTCGCTGGCCATCCCTGAAAGACAGGCACATCATGCTTTGTATTTTATGTATGACAAATTATTTCAACTTTGTGGATTTCGGTCCTGACACTCCCATAGGATCACAGCCCGGATTTGTCTGACCTGACCAAAGCCGAGGACTCCGGCGTCTGCCACAAGAAGGAGGTCGATAGCACCAGCGAGGAATGGTGGGAAGTGTCGTTCAAGGATAGCGCGGCGCGGAACATCACAGGTTTTGTCCTCTTCAAGTACCCGCCCGCTACCCCTTCGTCTCCTGAGGGAGCACTAATTTACTTGGATGGCGCGACCGACGCCGCCGCTGCTACTGTGCCAGCTCTGCAGAACGACGGCGGGGGAACCTGGGTGGCGATCGGGCAAACCGCACACAGCATCCGCATCACGCGGTCTGCGGGGTCCTTCATCTTCTGTGGGTTCTGGTTGTTCGTGGCTTCGGGTGGATCCTCCTGGCCGCCTCTGGGTCAGGAACCCAACCTGCCGGTGGGGACCTCCGGCCGCTATGTGTACCCTGCGTTCCTGACGACCTCTTCCGCAGCGGATTATAGCGCCATGTATTCTCACGAACATGCGATCCGCCGGAGCCCCTCCCTGATCTACCCATTTTCTGTGAACGCAGGTCACAAGGTGTGCTCCCAAACATTCTCCCCCAATGATTGGTGGCAAGTGGCTTTCAGGGACGGGGTTCCGCACAGTCTGTCGGGTTTGGTTATCTTCAGCAAGTCCACAGGTCCTCAGAACACCTACCTAGATATCGGCGGAGTAGAGGTGTACGTTGACCGAGCGCAGTGGGGCGTGTTGGAATCATTTCCCAGTTTTCGGCTCCCGTTGGCGATCGACCCCCTTGGCACCTGGGTGCCCATCCACCGCCGCGTGACCACGGTGCGCCTGCATAGAAAGGAGCTGTGGTTGACCTTGTGCGGCCTCTGGCTGTTCGAGGCGGAGAGCCCGTTGGAGGCAGAGTCGGTGTATGCAAGCGCTGCGCCCCTGGATCACCCGAACATCCCCGCGGGGACTGCGGGCCGGTTCATTCCTCCCGGGGAGCTCTTGGTCACCGCGTCCAGCGAATGGGGCACCGATGTACTCCGAAGGGACTTCCCCCTCCGCCGGGCAATGCCCAACGACTGGTATTTCTTCGGGACACTGGGGGGGTCGTTCGACTCTGGCCAGTGTTTTGCGTCCTTATTGGATACCGGCGCGGACGAGTGGTGGGAGGTAAGTTTCACCGACAACGCCCCCCGCCAGCTTTCTGGTTTTGTGCTGTTCGCTCGTGACATTGGGATCACATCTGACGCCTCCAGGATCCACAATGCCGATGTTCACCTAAACGGGGACAATTCCCGGGTTGCCTTCACGCTGCCGAGTTCGGTCTCTGTGACCGGAAGCTGGGTCGCGCTTCCGGTTGGGCTCCCGATTTCCAGCATCCGCATTAAGAAATCTGACGGCTTGGTTTTCTGCGGCTTTTGGATGTTCGAGAACGCGCCGCCTTCCGCAGCGGACTGGTTCTACAATGGCACCACCCATGCACCGGCCCGGCACTACTTGTCCACCAAAGTTCCCGCCGGGACCGACGAGGACCTGTTTTTCATAGACGGGCATACCAAGCTTGGTCGGTACGGTCACTGCGCCGACCAGACATTTTATTGACGGAAAATAAAAGTGGTCGAGTGGTCACAGACCTCTTGCAACAGCAGAACCAGAAACACACTGCCCTGGTGCATGACAGAGAGAAAATAGACTTGCAAAAGTGTGGACGTGGAGGTTAATAAGAATAATAGGGGACGAAATGTTAAACATGGATGAAACGAGTCGAGGCTCGCAAGCAATCCCGGGTTGATATCAAAGGCAGCTGTCTGTGTCTGTCTTGCCTGCTCACTACGGCAAGGAGGTGTAAAAACTGTTCTTACGTAACCAAGTGCAGTTACCACGCTTTTTTTTCCCTATAGTGCGGAGCACCTCTTCCTCCCGCTATGCAATACAAATAATTTCCCGTACATCTACGAGATGCATCACAAATTTCTCCAATTTGGACTGTAACACTTGCGATGCCATAAAAAAACTAGGATCGGAGCCAGTGTTTGTCATGCTGAGACCGCATTTGTTTTACTCTTATGTACGTGTGCGGGAAATTTTAGTTTACTGTGGATACCCCCTGAACGAGGACACCACCGCCGAGGGATGCGTGGCTGCCAGTAGCCGGGTGGGCGGCGGCCTGGTCGCTGTGTACAAAGATATGGGTCCAGGAGAGTGTTGCTGTATCGGCACGACGCGAACGGCCTTTTTCAAAGCCAGTGGAAGCGCTAGTTCGAGGGACGTGGATTACGGCTTTGTGGTGGAGGGAACGTCCGCTGGCGAGTGGGATTTGACTTTTTACCCGAGTGGCACGTGGATTAGCGCTCCCGCTGGGGTGGTGAGCGCTGGCCTCTTTGGTCCCTGTGCTGGTCGCGTTCTTTCCGACCTGACAGACCAGGGAGTGAATGAATTGTACCTCGACTCGGACGAAGCCTTCGATGGCAGCGTGGACGCCTGCGCGCTGCGGGCTTTTCAGGTGCACGCCAAGTATTTCACCATTGGAAACGAGAACAATGCGGCCTCGGTTTGCTGCGCGGTGTACCTGACAGACGCGACGCACAACGGTACGCTACCACTAACAATCTCCGGGCACCTACGACTTTTTCAACTGCACGGCCGGTCGAACTCCACGGCCGCGGATGAGGTTCTACGTGCGCACACCGCCGGGCTGTATCCGCTTGCCGGCCTCGCGCATGTCAAAGCGACCCAGTATTCGACGTTCGTGGACCCCCTCACTGGGGTGGCGTACCACGCGGATCTCCCGCTGCGGCGCCCCTACGACGACCTTGCGCCGGTCGACTACTGGTCCGCGAAACAATTTTGCGCGGTCGGTGCGGCCACGACGGCGGCGGGGAGCGAAGCTGGCTGGTGGGAACTGGAGTTCGTGGACCAAGTGGCTCGACCGGTTGCGGGGTTCGTCTGGTTTCGCCATTTTACGAACTGGGACACGGGGTATCTATCAAATGCAAATAAAATATAAGCAGTATGCTTGGGTCTGGAAGAAGACTGCAAGGTTCGTCATGCAGGCTTCGCGCATGTTGGCCCAGATGAAGAACGTGGGGAATTGTACGAGCTGCAGCATCCAAAGTTTTTGAGATGGCTCTCGCTCTGCAAACGCTAACGCAATACCTATCCTGAATGAGAAACGCCATCTTGTTCGGGTGCTGGCCAAGAATTGGCGGCTTTTGCTGCTCACGCAATACAGATTTTTGCGTCCTGATTCGGTTGGTAAGTAGCGCAATCTGTTTTCTATTTCAATACAGATTTTTGCATGACAAACTCCGATACTTGCAGGCCCAGACAAGTTTGCAATGCATAGCATCTGGACAGTGACGACCCGATGCTGGGTGCCCAGGTTTACGTGGACGGTTTTCGCGTCTTGCACATTGACACCGTGAACAGCACCGCGAAGCGCGGGCAGTGGGTCCCCTTTCCCAACGCCCCCCTTCTAGCGAAAAAGTTGCGCATTGTAGCCCGGCGGGACGCCGCAAACCCCTTGCGGCTCTGCGGATTTCATTTGTATCTCGCGGGGGACGTGTCTGCGGCCGCAAGGGCAGGAGCCGACGTGGCACCGGGCGGGGGGCCCTTTGAAGACGCCGCGCTTTCTACCCGGTCCTTGATTGAGGGGGGTGTGAACCGCCACTACTGGTTTACCGTTGCCGATTTCACGGTGCAAATGAGGAACCCCTCCGGCTGGGCTCAGTTCGGCATATACGGTCACTGTAGGAGCGGTTTCTTAGGCAACCTGTATACAGAATCGAACGCGGAGGATGGTGTCACGTTCGAAACCTGCGCGGCCGCAGCTGCTGCGGTCGATGGGCGTGGAATGATGATGATGAAAACCGACTTATCTTCCTGTGTAAAAACACCCCCACACCATAGTTGTAATGCAAATCTTCTGCATGCTGAAAATATTCTGCGGAGCCCCATAAGAGGCATTTTCTAGTCGCGTTTCGGAATTTGTCATGGTCCAATGAGCATGACGCGCGAGATCTCTGATGCTGCTGAACTAGCTAAACAGGACTACACTATGAGGCCAAACTTGTCATGCGCGACAGCCCATCCGTTCGGTCCTCAGTAGGTAGCCCCACAATTATGGGGCTCGCCAATATATTTAGACGGTGGGTGACCCAATCGGCAGAGAGCACTGCCACCGATCCACCGATGACGATGATGAGTCCTTCCATCTTGACTATGGGGTCGGGACGTTTTTCCTCAGGATACGACTCCGCAGCTTTGGCGTCTGCCGGCCTTCCCGCTGATACGACTACTCCGTGTTGCACTGTCTACACCGGTGCCGCGTTCCGCGGAGTTGCTTTTGGTAGTGGTAGTAGTTGGAAAGTTCACTATAGCCATTTGATTCACATGGACCCTGCCTCGACGGGCGCCTGGGACGTGACGCCGATCCCCTACGGCGGATGGATGGATGAAACCGACAATACCCACGACCACTACGGCCCCTGTGCTGTGCTTGGCGCCACGGGCACGCTTTTCACCGCCACCGGCGGCACGTACGACAACACCGTGGACCCCTGCGCTAAGCTGGCTGCGGAGAAAGGAAAGACGGGCTTCCTCATTGGGAACCACGACGACCCCTCTTCTCCGTGCTGTACACTGTATGCGGAGACCCAAGGGGACATGCGGTGGGGAGAAGAGGCGATGCCCACTGGAGGGAGTGGGGTCGCTTTTTTCTACCGCGTGTACAAATTGAACGGCCCGTCGCTGCTTACGGGCGCGAACCGCGTGCCTGCGGGGCTGGTGCCGCTGGCGGAGGCCGACGTCCGCCGGTTGATGGCCACGCAGAGCTCGACCTTCACGGACCCTTTTTCCGGCAATATCTGCACCGCGACGAACCCATTGCGCCGCCCGTACAATGACGTTGTGCCGGTAGACTTATTTTCGTCGAAGCAGTACTGTGCGGTAACTGGGGCAGCTGCGTCCACAAATACGTTAGGGAAAACTGTCCCCACTACCGCGGTTTTCCCCAAAGAGAAAATTTTTTTTTCGATCCAAGGGCGACCAGAATGAGCCCTGCATAGCCGACCTACTCCGCGAACAGCCGAGACGCGAAGCCAGGTCCTCCCGGTGGGCTGCTTTATGGAATGAAAGAAATTAATTAGCTAGTGGCGCGCATTAACTATATTTGCAGATCTTGCATCAATATTTATTTCATTTGAGAAAGGCCTTCACGCTCCGGCTTCCGGGCCCAGCTTGTCGACCATCCCCTCGGGCAGACCAGCATGGCGACGGTCTCCGGGTCCGATCTCCATGAACCTCGTGTAGAACTGTTACCGCGGACGAGGTAACAGAGCAGCAGTATCTTCTCCAGCAACGTGTCCGCGATCAAGCAGGCCCAGGTGATGCAGTTAAGCTTCGCCGCCGTACCGCAAACCCGGAAAAAGCCGACATAACTACAAACATGAATGCAAATTAATCTGTCAAAAAATAATGCTTTAGTTTTTGTGCGCCACTAGCACTAGCTAATTAACTTTTTTTAACTTGCATATCAACCTCGGGGATTATCCTCCTAGGAGAGCCGCAGGTGGATGCCGTCCGGGCAGGTTGCGAAGCCGGGCATCGTGGGGCTGCGCCAGTGCGTGAAAATTTTTTCTCTTTGGGGAAAACCGGGGTAGTGGGGACAGTTTTCCCTAACGTAACAAATAAACCATGGTGGCAGGTGGAATTTTCGGACGGCAGACCGCGGCTCTTGGCGGGATTCCTCTGGTTCCGCCACTTCACAAACCTTGACGCCGAGTTCTCGGAGACCGCGGACGCCATGAAGAACGCTGCCGTGTACGTCAACGGCGTCCAGGTTGCCACGGTCACGACGGTGGACGCCGCCGCCACCCGGGGGCAATGGGTCAACTTCGACCCGCCAGTGTATGGTTCGAAAGTGCGCTTGGTGGCGGGGAGCGGCTCGACTGGCCGCCTCCGCTTTTGCGGGTTTCACTTGTACCTGAGCGCCGACGCCAGCCTTGCTAGCACCGCATCGCTGCAGCTGAGTGCTGTTTTGTTGTTATTGTTTCTTTTGGGTCTGAGCCAGGATACGGCCACATCAACGACGGACCCAAGGAATGTCAGCGGGTTCCGCGCCCTTCCACGCAACGTAGCCGCGGTGGACTTTGCCGCGCCGGCCTTCTATGGCCCCTGCCCCAACCAGGTGGAGAATCACCGGCTTCTGCCGACGAAGGAAGCGGACTTCGATGGCTCTGCGGCCAGCTGTGCGGCCAAGTGCTTAGCCCTGGACGACTGTTCTTTGTTTTCCCTGCTGCTACAAGAGCACCCCCACCGTCCTGCGGTGATGACAACCCTGCTCGGACCGATCGAGCGAAGCCACGCGTTTAGGTACCAACGCGACGGCGCCGAGTGCTGCAAACTGGAGCCCGGGGACGCGGGCTGGCAAACGAACGCGCCAACAGGCCTCGCGCCCTTCTCGCTGCATGCCTTTCCGAGCCGGACGACCCCCGTCTGCCCCGCTTTTAGAGCCGGCGGCTGCCATGACAAAACAAGTTTGAAGATCTCCGAGACGAACACGAACCGAGAAACAGCGGCGACGTGCGACACCACGTGTCGCAGTCTCACCGACTGCGTTGCGTTCATCCACGAGGAGACTATGCAGCAGGACAACAAAAACTGCGAATTTTTTCGGACCGGGTGCACCTCTATGAGCTTGACGTCCGATGGTGCCTGGAAGACTCAGCAGGTTTTCACGCTGGCCCGCAACGAAGCCGAGTGTCTGGATACGCGGGAGGTGCCTCGCATCGCACACTGTCCGAAAAAGCACAATGGTCATTGCTCCGTTGACTCGAGCGTTTCCAGCAACAACGTGGACAAGCAGGCTATCCAACGGTACCGCGACCGCGCCTACACGAAAGACGAGTGCCGATACCTGTGTAGTGTGTCCTCCTACGAAGGAGCTAGCTACACTGTGAACACGAGATGCACGTACTTCTATGTGGGCAAGCCAGACGGCTCCTATCCCGGGTTTTGCGACCTCTTTCGAGGGACCTGCACCGAGGCCAGCAGTGGGGCAGCCGATTGGGAGGGCTTCTCCATGAGCGAGTGCACGGTACGAGGGCTGCAGCTCGCCACGACTCCACCTGACCACGTGGGCGAGGAGAGTTGGGTGGGCCACCGCCTGTATCGGTATCCCGACACGCGGCTGCAATTTCGCGTGAACGGCAGTCCGCCACTGCTCGTCAGCGAACTCGACTTGCAGAACACGCCCAACTGCGAAGGCCCGGTGGGGGACCATCACTATTACTTTCAGTGCAGCGGCTACCTTCCCTTCGACGCGGACGCCGCGGGCTCTGTGGGAAGTCCGAGCGGGCATCGCCTGATTCGGTACGAGATCACCGGGCGCGAACAGGGGCAGACGGGGAAAGACCTCGGGGGCGAGGTTTTCTTCCGGTCCATGGAAATCCGGTTCCGTCTGGCCAAAACGGATCTGGGGAGCGACGCGTTCGTTTTCCTCGAGCGGGCGGATGGCGTGCGGTACGATGTTTTTCTGGATTCGTCAACGAAATCCCTTCGGACCACGGACACTAGTACCGGCACCGCGGTCGATCCACCGTGGGGTGACTGTGGCACCGGCGACGCCACGTGCGTGACGCATGCGGCAAGCGGCGTCGCCTTGTCACACGCGAACACGGACTACCTGTTGCGCGTTTCGGTAGATGAGGCGTCGCCTCTTAAACTCCGGGTAACGCTGAACGGACTGTATACCGTGTACGGGCCCTATTTGTCCAAAGACATCGAGCTCCAACTGGGGGCGAAGAGGATCGTGGCAGTCGGGCTGGCGCCGGGGAGGAATCGGGTGCAGGTTCTCACCCTGCCGCGGGATTTATTGTCATCGACAGCCTACACTACGACGACGTCCACCAGCACGTCGTCGACAACGACACTTCCGACGCCGAAACCGTCCGACGCGGCTTTTCTGACCCCACCGGAGGACTTGAAATTGGTGCCCACCCCGGTGAACCAGCACCCCTCTGCCCTCCAGCTGCGCACGCCCGGCTTCTTCGTGCGGGTGCTGCCGAAGAAGTACGCCCCTGCTGCGCCGTCGGGTGGGAGTGGGGAGTGGGGAATGTACGGCCAGGACTCGGATTGTTCGGACCTGCTCAGTGGCGGCCCAGTCGCGGGGACCCTGCACTCCGGGTCCGAGACGTGGGACGGATCTCTCAACACCTGCGCAGCCGCAACCTCTCAGGTCGGCGGCCACTTTTTTGCGGTGCCGAGCATGCAGAAAACCTCCTCGTCCTCGTACACGAACACCAAAAAGTGTTGCGTCATCTACAAGGACGTTGAAATGGAATATGCGGACACAGACGACGCTAACTATGACTACATCTCCTACCGCCTGGAGGGACCGAACTCGGGCACTTGGGACCTTGGGTTTTTCGCATCTGCCAACTGCGGCATTCTTGGAAGTGAATTCAGCTACTCCTACTATGGGCGATGCAATGCGCAGGGGGAGCCGGCGTCTATCCGGCCGTGGCAGCATGAGGCACCGGGCGAAGTGTTTGACAGAGCTACCGAAGGGGTGGAGGCGTGCGCGGCAGCGGCCTACGCATTGGGGTCCGTGACTTTCCAGGTCGGGCATCGCTCTTCTGGCACGAACTATCCAAATTGCTGTCGCATTTTTCATGGTTTCCCAAAAGACGAGGACAAGTCGTGCTCTGGGGTGTGGAGCCACCACCTTTGGACGTACCAGCTGCACGGCAAAGCCGTCATTGTGCCGGACGGGTTCGCGCTTCAGCGGCAGCGGGCCACCGGGACTTGGGACACCTGCTCCACGCACGCCCCGGGCGTGTTGCGTCCCGTGACCTACGCCGTGGTGCCCAGGATTACTGCGGCACCGTCTGAGGTGACGCCGGGACATCCAGAGCCAGGCGTCGTTGTTTCCGGCGTCGTTGTTTCCGGCGACGAAACTGATGTCGCATCCAACCTTATTGACGGAGACTTCACTACTCAGGTCAAGCATGCCATCGATCCAAGGGGGGTGATGTATGCACAAATTGATCTTGGCACACTTCTGCCGGGCGGTGAGTCCGGCGGCGCGCCGGTGAATTCGCTTTCGCTCATTTCCGAGGTCGCCATCACCGTAAACCATCCGTGTGTTGCATTTACATTTGGGGCCGCAGGTACGACCACCTGTCAATCTAATTATGAGAGTGACCCGGCTGCCTTGCTGTACGTCGCCGTTGCAAACGACACTTGCGTTGGGCAAAGCGACGGCTGCGCCGCCCAGCTGGCCGACGAGGACAAGACGGTCGTTTGCGAAGCGCTGCAATTTGCTCCGTATCCACTCACGCACCGTTCCCGGTTTTTTAGAGAGGTGGCGCCGGACATGGCAGAGTTTTACGTGCGCTGCCCCGCCCCATTTTATCCCGCCCGGTTCGCCACCCTCTTCGTGAAAAACGCGATTGACTTCCGGCTCCGAGAGGCCGTGGTGCGGGGGTATGGTCCGTCCGCACTCCTGCGCGACGTGAACGCGAAGCGGGCCCAGAAAATGTGGGTCGAGTTTGCTGACGGTTCGGAGCGGCGCATCTCCCGCATCGACTTCTGGAACAAGCCCCACATAGATTGGCAGCGGGCCGCGGACTTGTATCTGGACGACCAACTTATTGGCGGCTTCGAACCAATCGCCGCGTACTACGCGCCTGGCCACCCCGGGCCGCTGCCCGTTCTGGCAACCAACCTTACCGGTGCCGAGCATCCTGGAAACGACCCGCCAGGCTCCCTGTCGCAGTTCTACGCCCACGTGTCCCAGCCGGGCCGGATGGTCCGAGTGTCTCTCGCGGCGCACAAGAGCCGCCTCACCAAGCAGATCCGGATTCAGGTTGATGCGTCGGCGCGGATCCGTACGTGGCAGACGCGAAGCAGCGTGCAGCTGGGCGCCATCACGCTCTGCGGGATGGAGGTCTACGCGGCGACCACGACAACTACGACCTATCAAATACAAACATGTCTGGGTCTGGAAGAATCCACCACTTGTTTGTCATGCATCTTTTTCGAACACGACAAGAATGGTCTCTCTCTCTCGTGCACACAAAAGCATTACAGGTTTTGCGCTGGCCTTTTTATGGTTCTCGCGCACGAGAAATTCCGTATTTGCGTAGCAAGAAGATTGCGTAGCAAGAAGAAGGCAGCTCTTGGTGCTCATGCAATACAAGTCTTTGCCTTTTCAAGAATCTGCATGACACGTTTCAATTCTTCCAGACCCAGACATATTTGCACTGCATGCGACCACTTCTAGCACCACCGGCGGGGCGAGTTCTTTGATCGCGTTGTCGGAGAGGCGGCGGCACTTCTACGGCGCGGTAGACATTACCCCGACCGACGAAGCGCAAGCCTTGGCGTCGAGCGAAGACATGCAGATCGAAAGCTTTGCCAAACACCTCATCGATAATGATTTAATGACGTGGGCTCACACGGACGATATGAATAATCGCGCGCAGCGCTGTCCGTGGTATCAAATCGACCTTGGCGAAGTCATGAGCGTCCGCGAACTCGAGCTGGTCTTTTACATGCCGCAGTACCCTGAACTCAAAGATCTGCGGCGGCTGTTTTATGTGGTTGCGCAAAACAGTGCGTCCGACGCTGAGTGGGACATTCGGAATACCGACCTTGACCGGTATCCAGAGGGGAGTGTGCAAAACGATGAGGGCTTTAGGGCGCTGGTTTTGCCCCCCAACCTGGGACGGTCCACCTCCGGTCTGTGCGTTACTCAGCCGAGCGGCCACTGCCTGGCGACCGCGGGAATCACGACCCCAGCCTGCCCGAAGCCGCACGAGTTTCACGTCTGTAGGAGGATTCGACACACCACGACCTTTTTCGGGGACGGGTTTCGAAACAACTTCGTCCCGTGGACGCACTCGAATGGGAATCTGTATCATAATGTTACCATCGACTGCGCTGGGCGGCCGGGGCAATTTGCCGTCATCGAGCTTCCGGGTGCACCCGCGGATAAAAAGCGGGTGCTCCCGCGCGTTGCAGAATTTCGGGTGTTTGGTAACGTGATAACGACGACGACAACAACGACGACCACAACCACTGGGACTTGGACGGATCTCGGCGTTGCCGGGGATTTCTTGGACCCGATTTGCGCCGCCGAGTACAGCGGCGGATGCGCCGAGTATGCGACGCTAGGGAGCGGCCAGGGGTGGGCGTACCCGACCGCAGTGGGTACCGGGTGGCGAGGCTGTGACGCCCTGTGTCGCGCCTCCACTGCCGGCACGGGGTCCATCGCGTCGGATTGCTGGGGCTACGGTATCCAGCTCAGCAACGGAGAATGTTACATGATGGCCGCCGGCTGCACCGGCAGTTTTCACAGTGTCAAAAACTGGAGAATGTACAGCTTGACGAGAAACAAGGCCTCCTGCATAGAGGCCGCCAAAGTGCCCGCGGTCGATCCCAGCCGGTGCGCGGTTACGTACGCCGGCCACTGTGTTCCCGGGGGGGCTTACGCGTCGGAACCCCTCTACAAGGAAGCGGCAGGAACCGACACCGCCGCTACCATCGTCATCAGCTTGTATGAGGACCGGGCGTACAATCTGAACGAGTGCCGCTACTTGTGTGCGAACACGGACGGGTGCGTGTCGTTCTTTCTGCAAAAAGCCGTCACGAACTCGGTGCGATTTTGCTACTTGATGCGAGCGGGGTGCGGGACGAGCACAACCGACACTAGTTGGGAAGGATACGACATCAGCAGTTGTGCGCTAGAGGCGTCGACCAGCACCACGACAACTACAACAACCACGACCACGCCCGCAAAGGAGCGTCTTCTTCTCGATTGCGGGGTCAGCCCCGCGGAAGCGGCAGCGGCCATCGAGAGCGCCGGCGCGGCGACCGTGGAAATTTTTCGGCGCCGGGGCCTGCACGTGACGACGGTTGGGGGCAGCCAGTTCGACGGCGAGGTCCCCGTCGAGTTTGCGGACGACGCGGGCCGGTTCGGCAGCTGCGTGTTGATGGCCCCCTTGGCCGAGTTGGGTATCACGCTCGACTGGGAGGCCCAGCGCTGGGGGTACCCCAAGGGCGGCGTGCTGGTGCAGGCGTTTCGGCCCCCGGATTTTCAGACCCCTGTAGCCGCCATGGACTGGCTGGAGTACGCCCCAGCGGGGGCCCGCCGCGTGAACAAGTACAATGTTTTATTACAATGAAAAATGCCCCCGCCCCGGAACTCGTAAGTTCTCGTGCAAAGTTTCCAAAGGAAAGCTTTTTGATTTTGGCGTGCATGAAAGGACTACGAGCCTTTCTGATGGAGAATCTTCTGGATTCGCAAGGTATCTTTTGCATATACAGATCCGCTTGCCATTGGGCTCCTTTCCAAAACAGGTTTGAGCTACTCAGCATGGAAAATTTGTGATACTGATATATCTATGCAATAGCAAGACGGGGAGTGTTTCCATTGGAAAGGTTTGCAATACAAATGGCCGCAAGTTCTGTGGTGGGGGCATTGTTCACTGTAATATGTTTCGCGCCACGTTTTTACGGCGGACGGCAAAGCGGTTGTGACCGGGAACCGCACCTGTAGTGCCGCGGCTTCGGCGGGGGAGCAAGAAAAGTGCGCCGCGGTGATATGGCAGGGTCAGGCTGGAAATGAATCAAAAAAGTTGAAATAATTTACGACGGTGCGGGTCGGAACAAGCACCCACCGCCGATGTCTAAGCGGCGCATGACAATAAATTTTTGCAGCAACGAAACCCAACTCGCCGCCCTGTTCGGGCAAAAATAAGAAAACCACTCTATAGTCTGTCGTGCTACTTCAGCAGCTCTATCTCTACCAACCCCAAAGAGAAAGAAACGCTTTTTTTTTAGTTGCAATCGCTCTCCCGTGCCTGCGTTCTCGTACAGGCGACGTTGTTCGCCTTTGCATTTCATATTTATGCAGTGTAAAGAACCTAAACCACTTGCATATATTTCAATTCTGCAGATTTCATGCAATGCGCTGGCTTCCATAGATGAACGCGAGTGCGTACTCGGCCGCCGGCAATGTGTACGGCTGGGAAGTGAACATGCCGGTGCCGGAACGCAAGGACAGCACGAAAGCGCGCCAGCTCCTCCTCCGTTTGCGCCTTGGGGACGTACTCACGTTTTCGTACCGCCTGGGCAGCGGGGGCGGGCACCAGCTCAGCATCCACGACCTGGCGGTCACCGCGAAGTATCACGTGGCCGCGACCTTGACCGAGCGGGCGGAGGACCGGGCGACCTTTCCCTGGGTATTCCAGGACCGGTTTGAGTCCTGCGACGTCACCTGCCGGGACCTGGGGCGGCGGTGCATTGCAGAGGAAATGATGAAGGTGGATTCCTTGGACAAAGTGAACGAGATCCTGTTCGCGACCGCCGGCCTCAACTGCACTTCTGGTGCCGGGCGTGCGTACGCAAATACTCCGTGTCTGAATTTGGCGGCAGGATATGAAGGGATGTGCTTCTACCGGGATTCTTCGCACAGCTTGCATGCAATTGACCCAGCCGTCGGCTCGACATGTTGGGCCCAAGCCCCATATGACTCCCGCCTGACTTTGTGCTATTGCCAAAGATTGGCTGTGCCTCGCGAGGCAACGCAGGTCCAGCTTTTCAAGTCTTTCCACAAAAATTGGGTACTGGCTGCGCGGAAAGACTCCTGCAACACCGCCTGTCTGAAGAGCGGCAACCGGGTGTGCAATAGCGAGATGCAATCACAAGTAAACACGCAAGACCGCTTCCAGAGGGCCGTGCAACTTGCTACCGGCATCCCGGAGTTTGCCTGCCCCACGGGTCCGTTAGGACACTTGCCGGACGTTCGTCTCGCTGCGCATACTGGCGTGCCAATGATCGGCATCGGACGAGCCAACGGAGGGCAGCACTATGGAAAGTGTTTCGTCTACTCGGGCCCGCATTCCTACAACACAGGGCACTCCTCGCAGGGCGCCGCTACCGAGGGGGAGATATGGCGTTCTCAAATGTTACATTCTCAACTATTACATAAATTCGTAATGCAAGAATGGCAAAAGTGAAAGGAAGGGGGAAGGTTGCGCCTTTTGCATTACAGGTTTGGAGCTGATTGCAATGCTATCTAGTGCGTCGAGAGCTTGTCACGCGGAGAAGGCTTGGACTTGTGAAAAGTGACAGGGTTTTGCATGGCCAACCATGTAACAGCTGAGAGCGATCGCTTGAGAGCCCGTGATAGAGTTTTGCATGGCCAACCATGTAACGGCTGAGAGTGTATCGCTTGAGAACCCCATAGGAAAAGACCCCGGGGTACAGCAGTTGCCGGTCCAGTGCTGTCCTCGATGATTGGGGTAGACACCTCTGCTATTGTATGCATTGCAATACGAATATATGCCTGGGCGTGGGCCTGGAAAAATGCAGATGATATGAGTTGCCCCGTTGTTTTTGGATCTGCCAGAAGGTATGGAATGCATGCAGAGCGTGGCAAGAACAGGCTCCGTGCTCGTGCCGGGGACTTGCACTCCCTGCCTTGGAGTAATTTGCATGAGAAATTCTAGCCTTTCCACCGAGAGTGACGGAGATTAGAGCTGCGCATCGACTTCTGCTGACTATGCGCGACAGGAGGAGACGCTTCGCTTTTCCAAAATTTCTTGCATGACATCACGTTTGCTGCATCCTGCTTCCAGAGGACCCACACATAATTCATGTTCGCAATGCATATGCGGCGAGAACCTGGAAGAATCCTACCTGCGAGCGCGCAACTACCATCGGAACCTTCTGAAGAACGAACCCTATGAAAGCACGCGGGACTGGCGCGACTCCTCGCCGGTGGTGTCACGAGGCCGCGCGTCCAAGTGGATTCTGGGGGGGGCCGGGCGGTCCTGCTACCAAACGTGTCGCGACGAGGGGCCGGGCCTCTTCTGCGACACCGACGAGCGCATGGCACTAGACGGGGACGCCCGGCTTCGTGCGGTGCTGAAGGGGCCTGATATAAACCGGCCGGACCTGTGCGACTCGTCCTGGACCGTTGTCGGAAAGCCAGACGGCGGGGTTCCTTCCGTTGACCCAACCACGAAAGAATGTTACTTCGTGTATGCATTGCAAATACGTGTCGTGGGTCGGCAAATTTGCGCTGCTCCTGATATTGGTGGCAATTATTCTCAGGCCTGCATGTACGGAATAGAATAAACAGCATGTTGACAAGTTTAGCTTGTCATGCTCTGGCTTCAGCCTTAGGAGTAGGACGAATGAATTCGCAAGAAGCTGGGGGCACATGATATCCTCAATCTTCCGGAATTAGCACGACAGAAAAAAGCTAGCGACTCTTGCTCCTCGCATTCATGAATCACGGATCTTGTTGTCTTCGAACTCATGCATGACAAAGTCCACCGGGGGACACAGACAATAACAAATTTGCAATGCATATCGTTGCAGGGAATGCAAGTGCGACGGCTGGCGAAAAGGTCTGGACAACCCCCGCAAACTGCTACGCTATTCCCAGTATCAAACTCAAGAATGTCTTTTTCTGGGTCTGGAGGAGATAAACAGATGACACTTGTTGTCGTTCAGTTTTTGCATCTACTGCAAAGTAGTGCAAAGCGATGAGGTCTGAAATTATACAAACGGAGACTGTGGTGGTGGTCAAACTCTGTCAACACGTCCTCTCCAGACCTAGTCTGCATGAGAGATGGCGCTCTCCCCCGAAGACAAAAACCGTGTTTCTTTTGCTGACCACTACGCATTCAATTTTTACAGAGATTTGATTCATTCGCTTTACCTGTTCCAGAAATGAATCCGCATGACAGGTTCCTCGCAGCCTTCCAGAGCCGGACATATTTGTAATGCATACCCAGAGTTGCAACGTCCCCCCGGCTGCCAGTTTGCTTCTGCAGGATCCCGCGTCTCAGCGACACTTCCTACGCCGTTCCCGACCGCGCATTCCTGTTGCGCTCCAATGATCCGCACTGGGTGTTGTCGGATCCGGGGGAAACCTGCGTGGTCACCTGTGCTAAGTCCAACCGCCGCATGTGTGATCCCACGAAACAATATGCATTGCAAAAGTACCGGCATTGTACTAGTTATAAAACAAATGAAATTTTATTTTTTTAGAGAGAAACAAATTTGTCACGCTACTGCGATTAGTGCAAGCGCGATACTTTTGCAGAGGATATATAAACCGCCCTGTCGCATGTCAGCAAAGTTCTGGACGCGGTCGCCAGCGCGCTCGGGTTGATATCGAATGTAAACATATCTGGTCGGGGCGAGTGGTCATGTGTGTCATGCATCTTTTGCATGATCACACAATTTGCTTGGAATGCGCCCAAAAGCATTTCCAGGCTTTGCGGGCGAGGCTTTGAGATGTCTTCTATCCCGGATTAGCAGCTTGCTCTTTGCGTGGCAAGAAATGGAAACATTGTGGCGCTCAACATGCAAGATTTCGATTATAGATTTTTGCGTGGTCTGGACTTAGCATCTACTCAGGTTAACATCCTTTCAGACCAAGACGCATTTACGTACAAACTTAAGTCATTCTCTTCCTTGTCCTGTGCCACGGTCTTGCTTGTTCCACCAGACAAAACGCCAGAGATATTTGAAGTGCATAGCTTACCTCAGTTGACAATCGCAACCAGTACAGCAGCAACGCAGACGGCGTCCCCAGCATTGAGCTGCGCCACGGCAACGTGAAATCTTTCAATTCTTCAGCGCAGGAGACACACAGCAAGTGCGCTTTGGTGCAAGACGCCTTCCACGCCCCAGTGTGCTACTGTCGCGACCCCGACGCCCCGGACTGGGACTTCGCGGTATGAAAAAATATATTGATACCGCTGCGACGAAAATACATTTAGAGTCACTAAAAAAAGAGATGAGCTCACTTCTGAAGGTGAGTTGACCACCGACCCCGCACGACTATCGCGACCCAGGGGGCCACGGGCCCCAATCCCGACGCCAGGGGCACCGTTTGCCTCATGGATGGCGCCGCGGCCGAAGCACAGCACCGGCCTAATATGAGCACGGTGCAATCATAATGTCAGCCTCCAGCTTTGATGCTCCTACTCCTTCAAGCTGCGAGCTGCTTCGAGTTCGATGGTAAAGTTTTTCGATGGACAATGCATGCTTTCCGTTTTCTCTTTTCGTAGCCAAACGATATAGTTTATTTTTCAACCACGACTACTACAGAGCGCAAAGAAAAAGTATTCGCAGCTGCAATTTTTTTTGAGTCAGTCCCTCTGGTGCGTGGCTGCGTCTTCTCGGATGAGGATCAGTCACACGTCGTGTTTGTTTTTTTTTCTGAACGTCAAAAGTTTCGGAGCGGCCCGACTCTCGGCCCTTTTCAAAATTCGACCTCTGTCTATGAACACCGAAGAGCAGCAAAGACTGCCAGAATAAATCGCAGAAAGATGCAGAGGCAACGAGCTTTTTTTTCCAAGTCTACTCGCGAGGTGGGCTTTTTGAGTCTGTTTTTGCAGCTCTTTCCTTCGCATTTTGTAGTTTATAATTTTCAGAAGTTCTTGTGCCGCTCGTTGTCTCCCGATTCTCGTGGAAAAAAGTCGACTCTTACTCACTCAATATACAAAATCTTACCACACTTGCAGAAGTGCCCAGTTGCATTTTTTTTGAAGAACGTGATGCGTATACGGGACACAATGACATTGATAACAACTACACCGGAACCCGGGTGCTGGTGTGGCCCAATAGGTGCAGTTTGTTTGAAAAAATCGCAAGCATAAGAGGCACCCAGCGTGAACCGAAGCAAACACACAGGCACCAGGGCTGCCGCGTGTTGTTTTTATTCTATCTTCCGCTTGATGCAGAAACTGAAAATCAAAATATTAATTAAGATATGTCTACAAAGACCTTGAGCTTGACGAGCAGCAGGAGCAGAGCTCTATTAATTTCCTTTTCTGCTCTCATTCTTTATTTGGTTTCTTGTTTTTGAAAGTCACTCCCACACCCACTGCTCTTTTTCGTTGACGATATTTTTTTTATATATATCATATAGAAGAAGAGGACTTCGATTCCTACCCGCCTTTGGTGCTTTAGTCGCGTATTTTTCTACAAGCAAGAATGGGTGATGAAAGAGGGAGTCAACAAAGCTAAAGCTGTACTATGTACATGGCAGGCGAAGGTGTGGCCTCCGTACAGCTTGAATGTGGAAAGGCACAGGCTTCATTCAACGGGGTCACCTCTATGGCAACAGGGCAGTGGCTTTCAATCCTGCCGTGTGTCGGAGAAGGGTAAGGGAGCATTGCCGACTCAGGCTCCCTATCGTCGTCAAGAAATTGATCAAAGAACTTGATCTGTGCACAGAGATGCGTCAGCTTTCGTTTTTCCTAGTATTCCTATTTTCAATTTTCTCGCGCAAATTTTTTTATAGGAGTCTGCTTTTTGTTGGTTCCAGCTCGCTGTGAGATAGTGAAATCTTGAAATCTATATTGCAGATGTCTGCTCGTCAAAACGTCAAGCAGCCAACAAGTATCAGCTGTGTCTGCAGCAGGTTGTCGTTTTTTTTTCATCAATCACTGAAAATGAGTTGTATGTAAAGTCTGTAGTATCAGGTGATATGTCCGAAGCATGAGCCTAAGAGCGAGATGCCAGGTATATCAAAAAATGAAACAAAGCGACTAAGTAGCGCTGCTATTAAAAACAAGTATGTAAATGTTGAATAGTTGTATGCCTTGTTTTCACTACCCGTAGCAGTGGAAACAAACAGACGGAGGGGCATGCAGGACGAAGATCTCCCAGAGGATGATCTTTGCGGCCAGCGAAAAAGGTCCACCTTCACACGTAGTAATCGGGCTCTTTTCCAGGAAAATACGGCTCTGGGATTTTCCTTAAACTTCCACCAGTTTCCGTGTCAAGAGCACCAGCAAGCTTCTTGGGCGGTCCACACTCCAGGAGCTTTTGTGCCCTGTTCCTGTACAACTAACCTGAGAATCTTCCACTGCGTTAGCAGATGAAATGGTCTCGGTTCTTGCCGACCACTACTTCATCTGGAGGTGGTCTGCTGCTTGCAGCCTATTTCGTCGTCCCACTTGAGTGCTAGTACGCTGATCCAAGATGATCATAAACGTTGGCGTGTCGATCTTTTGATTTTTTTTTGTCGTGCCGGTGCCGTGCCTGAGCTAGCAGCTAGGGGCTACAGCTCATTTGATTTGATCAGTGTTTTTCTCTTCACGCCCGTTTCAATATTATTCTTTGCTCTTTTCTTGGCAAGATGTGATGCCACATTGTTTCCAGATCAACTTCTACACCACGGATCATGTGAGGAGCGTGGTCTTCGAAAAATAATTTGTGCTTGTCGGTGTAGTAACACAGCAATTTGTTTAAGTTGGGCAAGAGCCTCGAGCTACATGATACGTATAATTCGCAATTATTGAGAACGACATGCCTCGAAAACAAGAGCCTTCCTGTTTCTGCTGTCCACGCACGGGTCGTGGGGGCGACGCTCTCACCACAACGTCAATCGCTCCCACACATATGGCGTTCTCAAACGTTACATTCTCAATTGTTACATGAGTTTGTCATGCAAAACTACCATCATCATCAACAAGGTCAAGCTGCTTCGCATGACAAATTTGCGAAGGGCTAAACACCACCGAAATCTGCGTGGCATTTGTAATGCAATTTTTGCAATCTTCCCTCTTTGGCTTTTGCCATTCTTGCATTACAGATTCATGTAACAGTTGAGAATGTAACGTTTGAGAACACCATAACACAGTTGGAGGCTTTGTTTTGGAAGCGGCGCGTTTTGTCCAACCGATTTTGGCTCGCCTCCGCACTGGAGGCGTTCCTCCCCGTTCTCATCTTTTTATCCGTGTTGTGCTATTTTTCTCTCTACTACAGAGGTGGTGAAGAAGATGATAAGAAGTTCGCAGAATTCATCCACCCCGTCCCTGCTGACGAGGGAGGTGGAGCGATTTTCCGTGGCGGTTTGCTGGCGGGAAAAGGAACACCGGAGCACGGAGGTACGAGTACGGCCGCGTTTCGGTTTGCGCCGTATCGTCGCAGGAGCGCTCACCCTGCCGCGCCAGTCGCTTACACCCAGCCGATACCTCCGCGCGTAAAGGATGTCCCCCCGAGCGCCGACCTGCGCCAGGAGTCCGACAACCTCTACCCGGGGCAACTTCTTATTTACAAGCGGCCCTTCCTTCGAGACCTGGTAGAGACTGCGAATAACGCTGGCGTCCGCCCAACGGACCTCGGGTCGTGGCTCACTTCATCCGCTACGCATTTATCGTCCTTGCGAGATGAAATATTGAACAAGGATCAACTACATGTTCCTGTCCAGGAGCATCGTCATGGAATGGCAACAGCACCAGTAGTGCAAGCGAGAAGATCGACAACGTCGTCTCAGTTACGCACCACAACGAGGACGGCCGTTGCCGGCCACAAAAACAGATGCAAGCTCTTCGCTTTGATTTCGGACGACCCCCTTTTTATTTCGCAGTTCCAAGCAGACTACAAGGACGCTTTCCGCACGGATACGACAACAAAAGAAATCTTCGAAGAGCACGGCTGTGCCACAAGCACGACCGGTCGCATGCAGCAAGACGGTGGTGGGACGGATGAAGTGGAGGATATAAGAACAAATAGCGCGCCACCAGCTCCTGCAGCAGATGAAGTAGTTCCCCTTGTAGTTTCGGGAACAACTACAACAAGAACGGGAACTATTGAACATCAACATGTCGCAGCCGCTCCCACGACCACAGCCGGACGAGCGGGTAGTACGACGACAACTTCTAAGGACCACGAGCTGTTGCAGGACCCTCCACGCGGCATTTTGCGGGTCTTTTCCTCTCGACAAGAATTTTTTCGCCTGTGGAGCAGGTCCCTGAACATGTTGCGGCGCGAGAACATCAAGTCTCCTGTGACCACTGCGACCACACTTCTCGCTGGTAGTGTCGGGACACAACAACTTCTACTCGAGCCCCCTCATCAGACCACTGATCCTCCCGCGGCGTTGCACGTGGAGAAAGGGCGGCAGGAGCTGCTGGTGGGCGGGCTTACTGCTGGTGAAGACGACCGCGATCATCACGCGGACAGCCGACAAGACGGGCACCACGACCTCCAAGGTTCTGATCTTGGTCCTACTTCTGCGGATCTTCATGAGTTTGACTGCACGCACTGGCATTTTTGCTCTGCTGCCTTCTACGCCATTGTTGAGGTCTTGAAGACCCCTACTGCAGCTGCTCCGAACAGTGGTCCGAAAGACGACCAGCGGCGGACTTTAGCTCGTTCCGGCGAGGTGGAACCAAGCATGACAGAGCAGGAACTACAAATCGACGAGGCATCAATTCCAATTCATCCTACGCACGACGAGCCGGCGAGCGCTCCGGGCAGCACATCCTTTTCGCTGCCGGCTGGACGCAGCGTTCGAATTCAACACGTGGTAGCACGACCGGCTCCGCAAATAGAAAACAACTCTTTAATGCTCCGCGAGCATCAAGAGGATGATCATGATCAGATTTATTTGGAAAGAACGCACACGGCCGCGGCCCCGAGCACTAGTTTCGAAAATAATAAGAACACAGCTGCGCCTGTTCGTCATATTAAAGAAGAAGCGCCGGGGGATCAGGACCGCTTTCAGGAAAGGCAGAACATTTTCCAGGCCGTGGCCCTGTCGCTGCGCAAGCTTGCACGAAGATCAAAATGGCAAGAAGGGGAATTAGAAGCAGACGACGAGAGGTTCTTGTTTTCTAGTGGACAAGACACCTCCCCGACCGGCGTCACGGTGCTTCGAGGTTTCTTTCCGAGCTTCCCGCAGATTGGCATGCACAGTAGCAGCGTTGGGGGCAACACCTCTGAAGAACAACGTCAGGAGATGTTGGATGACAACACAACCAAAATAGCGAAAGGAGCCAATCTTTCGCTAAGTGACTGCGAACGAGTGCTCTTGCTCGCCATTTTGTTCTCGTTTCCAGTGGTCTTTTTCCGGACGGTGTTCGAGCTGATTCACGAGCGAAATTTAGGACTGAAGGAAACACTCAAGTGTTTTGGACTGCGGGATCGGTTTCACTACTTCTACCGGTTTTGGTGTCCTGACGGCTACGATTGCACGGGAGGTTTGTTCGTTTTCGCGGTTCTTTCGGCGATTGGGATGCACGTGCTGCTTGTCTTCGCGGACGATTCGTTCTTTCGTCCGGCTGCTCAAGCAGGCAGGCCAGCGTTTGGATCGGCGGTGCTGGACCTCTTCGCGTCCTTCTGCTCCACCGGCGGGATCGCTTCCCTGGCCAAGTGCACCCTGTTGACGTTTCTGTTCTTCGCGGCCGTGCGCGCGCAGGCCTCCGCCTGGTCCTGTTTGTGGAGCGAGGCCAACACTGGGGCGGTGTCCGGGTGTCTCGTCTTCGCCGCCCCTCTTTTGTACCACTTGAGCCAGATTTACGGGGCCTGGCATCTTGGCAGTGGCGGGGGCTCGGTGCTAGGGACGAGTCGACGTCCGAGCATTGGCAGAGGCGCAGATCACGAGGCTGTTGACCACGACGACGGACATCTTTTTAGTAGTTGGAACTCTCCGGATGATCCTCGTCCCGCAGCCACCAGGCTACTGGGGGATCGATATGGAAGTGTCAGGTTTGAAATCGACAAAGTTGAAATAATTTCTCACGCATAAATTGCAAGGCATGAAGTGCCTCTGTTGCAGGGATCGATGACAAGCGAGGCCGACGGTCACCCTGTTTGGGGTCGCATGGCAAAAGACGCCTTCCGCCCCGAAACAGCGCAACGAACTGGATTTAGACGGCGCCGCTTGAAAATTGACCTTCCAGCAACTGGTATCGATTTTATGCATTGCAAGTTACTTATTTCAACTTTGTCGATTTCAAAAATCCTGACACTCCCATAATCGAGAGCGAGATGTTGATACGTTTTCGGGTGAAATGCAAATGACGGGACCGACATCAACTGCCACTTCTTCGCTCTTCACGTCGATCCTTGTGCCGCACACGGATTTTGTGCACGGAGCCACCGAACTCCTTGCGTTGCACCGAACGACAAAATTTCAAATTGTTGACCACAGCCAGCACTACAACTACCAAAGGAGCGATGCAACCTCCACCTCAGGACAGCAGTTACACGACCTGCATCTTCAGAAGAAGCTGCGATCTGCGGCGAAGCTGGAGGGCGAGCGCGAGTTTCACCTGGAGGAAGTGAGCCAGAGCGTGTGCCACTTGCTCGCCAGTCTGTGCTTCTACCTGGTGCTCTACTATTACTTGGACCAAACCATTCGCCACGCGAACTGCAGCCGCCAAAAGCCGTGGTTTCTGTTTACGAAAAAACACTGGAAGGGCGTGATATTCGGGTACGAGCGGAGTGCGGGAGGTGGGCGTGCCGGGTGGGGAAAACACGGCAAGCAGATGCTCGCAGGACGACTGGAAAATAACCATCCGCCATCCTCGTCCAGCCCTACTGTTCCTCGTTCGGCTGTTGCACCACGAGCCCAGCAGCAGAAAAGTTCTGGTGGTGCGCAGTCCACGCTAGCACAGGAGGACAAGGTCGAGCTGGACGAGAAAACCGAAAACAGAGCTGGTGACGGCTTGTTGCTGGCTGCGTCAGCTCGTCCGGAGGTACTTGTGCCAGACGACCGGTCCTCCGACGGCAGAAGCAGCAACAGCTCGTGCTACTCACGCAAGCCGGCAACCGCAGCGGACCTGCAGCAGAAGGTCATGCGGTTGTGGGAAGAGGATGAAGAGGACGATGATGATGATGATGAAAGCACCGGGCTGATGCACGGATTATTTCCAGAGCAGGACTCGTCTAGGAGCTATCCTTTCGTAAACAGAGTGCGGGGCTTTCTCGGGGAAGAGGACTACGATTGTAATGGAAACCTGGTGGAACGTCCCCCAGAGCTGTCCAGCGAGGAGATCGCCCAGCAAGTGCAGCGATTGCGCGACGCACAAGCGCAAGTAGAACTGGATCATGTAAAGGCGCAGCAGGTGAACAATAGTATACAGGGCCGCAGAGAAGTAGACGCTGAAGACGCGGTGGGCGAGCATATGAATAATGCGAACGCTCGAGGAGGACGTTCGCAGAGTAAACATCCGCAGCGGGTGGCGCAACTACAGACATCACAGCAGCACATGGCAACATCATTACAGCATAATTTTTATCACGAACAGATTCAGGACGAGCGGCTGCTGCGGTGCGAGGTACTGAATCTGATTGCCGACATTCGAGATTTGCGCGTCACCTACAAGCGGACAAAGGTGCTCCGGGGCGTGAATTTGAAAATGTACCCGGGAGAGATTTTCGTACTGCTCGGCCACAACGGCGCGGGGAAATCGACAACAATGAAGGTTCTTGCAGGGTTTATCTCGGACTATGCCGGCGACGTGTCCATTTTCGGGTACAAGAATCAGATCGAACTGATGCGGAAGACTGGGGAAATTGGTTATTGTCCGCAACACTGCTCGTTGTTCGAAGATTTGACGGTGAAATATTCCCTGAAAATTAACCATCCCCATCCAATTTGTCATGCAAAACATGTAGGAAAGTCTGTGTTTGTCATGCAAAAAGTGGATGGGGATGGTTAATTTTCAGGGAATATGAAAGAGCATCTCCTGTTCTACCAAAAGTTGAAGCAGCGAAAACGTGGGGGACGTTTGACGACGAGGGCGGGCGTTCGTTCAGTGACGACCAGCGGCGAACAGCGGCAGCACGACGACGACAAGGGTCATGAAAATGATGAGAATTATTACGTCACAAGCTCTTCAAGAACAACTACAGAAGCTGCTAGTGCCTTGCTGGCGGACCAACTGCTCTCCGATCTCAGTCCGGAATTGTTCGACTTGCGAGACCAACTGGTGAAGCAGTTGTCGCCGGGCAACCAGCGTCTCCTCACCGTCGCCCTCTCGTTCGTGGGCAATCCGCGTTTTGTCATTCTCGACGAGCCCACGTCGGGGGTCGACCCCATCACGCAGCAGCAGATTTGGGAGTTTTTGCACAAGTACAAGCGGAGCCGGATCATCATGCTCACCACGCACTGCATGTTGGAGGCTGAACGCATCTCCGACCGCGTGGGCATCATGAACGAGGGACAGATCCGGTGCTGGGGCAGCTTCGCGTTCTTGAAGCGAAAGTTCGACTGTGGCTACAAACTGTTGCTGGAGCTGAACAAGGATTATTTCCTCGAGCGGAAAGTGGAGAGTAGTGCTCTGTTGTCCAAGTTTGCCGATCCCTTTCAATATAATAACGATCAGGATTACAACTCGCTGGTTCCGGCTCCTGGTGGTGCAACAGCAGAAATATTACACTCGGCAGCTGGTCGTGGTACTGGTTCTGGTGGTGCTACGAAAATTTCCTCTGCTTACAACCCGGGCAACAACATCGCAGAGATGAAGGTCAATCCCCTAGACGACGACTCTGACGACGGCTTCAACTTTCTCCTCGGGCCCAGTTCCCGCAACCGTCGCGCTTTTGACGCGATGAATAGTCGGAACCCGCCGGGCTATCCAGGAAAAAACACTCATCCCCCTCGAATTTGTCATGCAAATAAACTTTCATAAAGATAAATTTCTGTGTTTACCATGCAACAAATGGATGGGGATGGGGTGTTTTTCCTGGATAGTACGGTGGCGGGAAGATTTGTCGCCCAGCAAAAGCACAGCCACCAAGTTGTCGATACGCAGACGCAGATAAAGGACGAAAAGGACTTTTGTTTCGCGATGCAGCACGACTTCTTTCCGACGGTTTTTCAAGATTGCGAGGAGTTTTATGACCGACCGCAGTCGCCATTGTTTCCCTTGTACAAGATCAAGACGATCATCGACGAAGAGAGCAAAGCCAGCACAAGCGGTACAAACGGCTTTCTTGCCGGGCTGCTTTCCGATACAACTTGCCCCTCCGCAGGACCACACAGTGCAGATCATAGTAGCTCCGCGGTACACTACGAACTTGTGCAAGATTTGGTGACCGGGAAAATATCCATAAAAAAACACTATATCCCCATGTTGATCCTCCAATTACAATTTGTCAGGCAAGCAATCATGCATGAAAAAAATCCACACGACCACTGCTTGGCATGCAGCTAAGAATGGATGGGGACCATCATCAGGGGTGATGCTTTTTTTTCTGGATAGAAAAACGAGATCTGCGTCAAGCTCCTTAACAGCCAAGCAGATCTCTCTAGTGGATCTGGTGCTGCGTCCGCGACGTCCAATTGTACAAGCTTGCTGTCCAGTATTTTGCGCCGCTTCGAAACGGAGTTGAAGCACGGCGTAGAGCTGCAGCCCCCAGCTCCAAAGAAGAACAGACTCGACGGGTCTTCTAACCACGCGGAGGTGGACCACGTAGAGGAAGACATCGAACCAATCTTGCAAGGTGGCATCGGGTCGGTTGTAGTCGGTTGTGAGCATAACTTGCTTCAACATATGAAAACACGCAACTTGTTTCCCTCCCCCTCATTAGCATGGCCATGGCGTGAGCAGCATCACAGACGACATAAGAAATGATCAAAATGTACTTAGTGCCTACTGCGTACTGAAAAATTGTCCTAGCAGGAACTTCAGTGCGGTTCGGGATGCGGGAAACTGTCACACAAAGTGAAGATGCGCGCACGCAGCAACAGCATGTGGAATTGTTCTGCTTTTGCATGACATCAGTCGAGTGGGACGAGGAGGAGTTGTGCACTCTCATACAGCAGGATAGTACGACGAAGATGAACAAGCTGCAGGGCGGAGCATTGAATGCTAAGTCGTCGAAGAACTCGAAGATTGCAACTGCTGCTTTCCCAAAAATCGTTTCCAAAGTTTCCATTGAAAATTGCAACTTGGGCGATGTTTTCCTCAAGATTGCAGCCAGCAGTACAAGTACATCTACAACTTCGGACGACTACTCCACGGCTGGGACTGCAGGAGCCATCTCATCTCCCTCTGACGATATTGAGCCGGAGGACTACGCAGGACGAGGAGCATGGGACGGAGTCAATTTTTCGCAGAAGGAAGCGAGGAGCCACAAAGTCCCTGCAAACGATGAAAATGAATTTAGGACTCAGCAAAGCGTATCTGCAGCTCAATCCATCGTGAAAAGTGCGAAGTATCACTCGATCGACCACGACGGACGAGCACGAACAACAAATGCGCGGCCAGGAGGAGCAGGAGGAGCCCCAGCCGCTACTACAAGCACTGCAGCACAGATAGTAAATCGATCTCGGAGCAGGGGCAGCCGCGCTCTGTCGGTTGCTTCGAGCGGAGCTGTTTCTTTCTACGAGGAAGGAGAAAGTAGAACGAAGACAACTGGGACAAAAACTACAACTGGTTTCGCTTTACCGACACGAAAGAAAAAGCAAAATAATAATTACGGGGAAGATCATCTTCATGTTGAGGATGATTTGTCCAGCAATGCGGACTCCGTGCAGATGTCGCACAAAGCTCTGGTCGTTTCGAGAAACACCACGGGCCAGAAGTCGCGAAGGAATTCCGTGGGGCTTCTAGCTGGTGAGGAGGCGGCAAACAAGCCTAGAGCAGGAGCAGGCTTTCTTGGCAGCACCCTGGCTGTGAGAAATCTCATTCCGTTTTTCAATCGGGCCGGCAAGGACCACGAGCAGTGTGCTTCTATTGAGGAAGGTGGCAGGAGCTTCTCCACGGGTAATCTCAACAACTCCTGCTTCCAAACCTGCCAAAAGCGCATCCGCACCAGCCGTCGCGGGCGTGTTTTCTCTGCGCTGTTCGAAATGCGTTGGCTGACCACGCGCCGGGATTTCCAGTCGCTGATCCTGACACTCTTCGTGCCGACGCTGTTTCTCACGCTCGGTTGTCACTTCTTCTATCAGCAGCGGGCGAAAGTGCTGTGGAGCAGCATGCACGGCCGCCGAGGACCAATAGTGGAGCAAGGAACGGCAGTAGAGGTGTCTTCTTTTTCACTTCCTGCAGCGGGCAGTCCTGAGGACCCCACGGCACTCGGCTTAGTGTTTCAAGGCAAAAAGCTTCTTGCAGGCATAGCAGGCAACAAGATTTTTAACACCGACCACGCGTCGGCCTTGCCAACGACTTCCAGTGCGGTTGCGAACCCCGTCGCCGGAGCTCCACCACCACCTGCGCAAAGTAGTAGTAAAAAAGAGGCCCAGGATGTTGAACGTGATTCACACGACCCAGCACACAATCAACTCCACAACCTCCACGCACTCGGACGAACGAAAACCGAGGCTGCTACGGGCCGCAAGCCGCGCATTTTGTACGTGCGCGTGCCGAAAGCGAAAGCAACCGGAACTGGGGAACCAGAAAACGAAGTAGATCCTCAGGAGGCTAGAACCTCTCCTGGCACGACACCAGTACTACCAGTAAACAATTTCCACGCTGACGTCGCGACGGCGGTGCGGAAATTTGGCTTGAAAAATGTCGAGTACGTAAATCCAAACACAATTTTCGGGAGTAATGCGAATGCTGCGCCCTCCTCGTCCACAGCGACGACAGGAGTAGATTCAGATCGTGCTGAGCAACAGCAGCAGACACCATCCGATTCGAATTTCTTCAACATTAACGAGGTTGCCAACCGTCTCGATTTTTTCACGGTCGTCGCAAGTGCGGGAAGTGATGATAGTCAACAACATGCTGCTCCCTTGCCTGTTCAAACTAGCACGACTGCCGCGGACGACGGTACCACGGCATCGCGTGTCGTCCCACTGTTATCAGGCACATCGGACGAGCAGCAGTTGGCAGCTACGAAAAGGAAGCTACTGTATCGTGCCTACGTGGCCCAGCGGCTCATGGCGCTCAATGGGATAAGATTCGAGCTCGCGGGAGCAGGAGGAACTGCTGGTGGCACTGCTGTAGTTGTTGATGGTGCTTCTAGAACAAGAAGCGCAACAAGCGACGTAATAAAGCTCTCCTCTGCTTCTGCTGCCGCCAAAGCCGCGCGAGACTACATGTTACCCCAATTTGTCAAGGACATGATGGTGGTGCCACCCCCTGTTGCGACGTCAACCTCTGCAGACCACTTGCCGTCTGTCGTCAAAACTTGCACGTCTTCGGACCGCCCGGCTGGCCAGCTTCGCGGTCCTGGACAAGACTTTCGATCCTTCCGCGACACTTTCAAGGGCGTCTATTCGCTCGCAAAGTTGCAGGACACGGCCGTGCGAATCTCGGGGGTGTCTGCCGTCCTCATTGCCGAGAGAAAACTTACCTTTCTGGAAGATAGTAGGAGTTCTGGCCGTCGTGACAAGAACGGGAAAACGTTACAGAGTCAGGAGCAGCTTCCCTTCTGTGCGGTGACAAAAGAAGAGGATATGAAAGTGCATAACTGACAACTTCTCCCCGCCTCATTTGTCATGCAAAACCAAAATATTACCAAATCCTAATCCACCCGTTGTCTCTTGGTCTTGCTCTTCGCACTTTTTTGCATGATAGGTTCTGACAGCCCAATAAACAGCGCGACCACAATCCTGCGCTATTTTTTCATGCGAAACCTGCATTCTTTTTCTTGCCGACCACCCTTGTACTAACTTTTGCTGTTCATGCCCCGGGGGAGTAGTTGTGTGCACCCTGATAGCGGAAAAGCAGATTGCAGAGGTGTTTTCATCGACGAAGGAGTCCTCCGCTGTAGTTCGTCATGCTGGGGACCTTGACAGCAGGCGCACTGCAGGAGGTCGACGTGCCTCGAAGGTTTTTCGAATTCCGGATCTGGGCAAAAATGAAGAAGACCGACAGCGAGGACCAGATGCTGTCGTGGATTGGAATGCCCTGCGGCACATCTGCTGTAAGCTGCATCATGCCCCGAAAGATGAACAAGATAGCGAGGCGCAGCTACTCCAAGGGCAGGCGGCAGCTGCCCACAATCTGTTCGCATGTGACGTTAATGGGCTGTTCCTGTCTGTGGGGCTCACGTCCGCGAGGAACAACGACGGCGAGCAAGTACGACAGGGTACTAGCGCGGGAGAGGATAAAAAGCACGACCAGAGCAAACTGCTGCACCCCACGTACGTCCAGGTCCTACCTTCGCCACAAATAAAGCCGCGGACCAGTAGAGGCGACGCCGACGCCACCACTTCATTTGATGGTGCACCGTGTAGAACTCAAAAGCAAGAAGCTGCGACAAGAACCCAGGAGCAACGAGCGGAGAATCATGAACCAGACGAACCCGGCTCCGTCACCGCGACGAAAACAAGCAAAGCGGGGTACGTGGTGTTGTCGCAAGACAAGATCCTTCTCAATCTACCGGTTATTGATGCACGGGGGAACGTATGCATTGCAAATATATCTGGGTCCTCTGTTGAAATTTGTCTTGTCATGCTTATCCGACATGACTGCAGAGATTGTGTTTGTGATGAATGTCGATGGTTTGTGATGAATGTCGATGTCCATCAAATTCAAATAAAGGCCTCAGTGTTTGTCATGGAAAGATCGACGTTGCTCGCCATGCGGATGGCGCAACACTATAGGCGGCGCTCAATATCTTCTCATGCTTAGCTCCTGTTCCTTGCAGAAGTCCATTTTTCATTTTTCACAGGTGAGCACATACAACGAACTTGAACTTTCCTGACCCAGACATATTTTCACTCAAGAATAGAACAAGCTGGGTAGAAGTAGTAGCACCGATGAACTACGGGCCCCCTCCCACGTTGTCGTCCCGGTTGCTGCAGTCGGGTTTGACGCTTTGGGTAGCGGAGTGAAAATTTCCAATTTCTGGTACATGCAAAACAACAATCAAGCTGTGCTCGCACCGCGAGAAGGTGAATTTATTGTATCGGACGGCCAAAGCGTTGCGGTTGCGGAAGATGTTGACGAGATGAAATCTGCGTCGAAGCTGGAGCTGGAGTTCCTAACTTACGCACAGGAACAACAACAGCGTACAACTTCTCCCGGGGCCGGTGCAACCGGTGGAAAAAGTGAAAGTAAAGAAATTGATGTGAAGACCGCTTCAACAGCTGCTTCCTCGATTTTGTTACCTCGCCGTGGAGAAGACGATGTCAGTCGGTGCTACATGCTTCCAGCGCAGGAGCTGCGGAGGTGGAATAATTTTTGCCTGCAACCCACCGGACCGACGACGACCTCTTCTCTGCTTGGCCCGTTGATCTCTGTGAGGACGTCAACGCCTCTGCTCCTCTGGACCGTGCACTCTCGCAAGCTCCAGCTCGCTGCCAGCGCCGCTACGGATACGCCCTTCCCGGTGCACCCGCTGGTGACGCTGCGGCAGACGCGAGCCTTTCGGGCAGACTTGGCGATTCTGGATTTCGAACAGGAAAACGACATCACGCTGATTACCACTAACGCAGATGAAAACGACGCGAAAAGTTTCCAGGCCTTGCTGCTGTTGTACTCGTCGAATTACTTTTCAACATCTTCCAACGGCGGGGGAAAGCTAAAGAACACCGATGGTCGTGAGGATCTTATCGGAACAAGCCCAGACGCGTTTAAAATCACCAGTGCCAGTTTCGGCGAATTCGTAGACGACGAAGACGTTGAGCTAGTCGCAGATACTTCTAGTGCTTTACCTAGCTTGATGCAACAGGAAAAACTAGCACCCACTCAAGAGCTTCTAACTGGTCGGGCGGCACGAGCGCCGCAAATTGAAGGCCCGACACGAGGACGACCAGCAGACAGAACTGCTCTGCCGGGCCAGGCGACCGTGGCACTGCTCGAGTTGAACAAGAAAATGAAAGGCTTCAAACTGGACGACAGGAACTCTGACTCACTCGTGGTCTCCGATTTGAAGATACTCCCAGCAGCTGGAGATGAGCAGGCTCAAGACGACGAAACGTTTACGCAGCTGTTGAAACTCAGCTTCATCTTGTCTCTTCTGGTCGGCTTTCTCATCACCTTCTCCATCTTCTTCACGTCGTATGGTTTGTTGGAAAAGGAATTTTATTCGAAATTGAAACTCCACGTTCTGCTTTCCGGGATTACTCACATGCAGTCTATGCAATACAAATTTCCTGTACACGTAGAAAATGCAATACGATCGCGAATTTAAGCTAGAGCAACATTATGCCGCTACTTGTCATGCTGAATAGACGCGAGTGAATTTTTTATTTTGGCCTGAGGCACTGTTAGTGGGTGTCCACTGCGTGATGATAATGATGATGATGATGATGATGCAGAAATAGCCGCGCCTGCACGTTGTGTGCAGAAAATTTCTTGTGGAGACAGTATTGGTTTGGCGTCTGGATTTGGGACTGGTTGTTTGCGCTTTCCTCCGGTGTCTGCTGGCTGGTGGTGGTGGGATTGTTTGTGTTCGGAAAGACCACGAGGAATGCAGGGGCTGGTGGACATCATGCGGCAGAAGATAACACAACGGGAGAAGGTACCAGCAGTGGAACAAATCTTCTGTACTACGCGTTCGCACTGACACTCCTCCTCCATTTCGCCATCACTGCGGCGCTATTTCAGGTATACTTCTTCTCCCATTGCAAAAATGAGCTGTGGCCGCGGATGTTAGCGCGCTGGTTAAAGAGCGCACAAAACACGAAGCCGTCTGCCGTTCCTTGCAAGAACAAGAATTATGGTGCGGCTCTGCAGAACAAGAACAACGATTTAGCTCTAGCAGGAGACGTCCACCGGGGCGGCCCCGGTAACTACAGTTTTCGACCACCGCGCCCCCCCCTGGCGCTCGTCCTGGCGGATGACCCCGGCGGCCTCGGCTCGACAAATTTCATCGGCACGAATAGCAACGGAAACAGCGCTATCCTGTGCAAAAGTAAGTATCGTACTCGTACTAATTGCAATTATGCTTGTTCTTGACAAATCTTGTCCTGAAGGTCAAACAGCATGAACAATTCCATTTGCCATTCTGAAGTACTTAATTTGTAATGCAATTACCACTAGTACGATGCTTTTGCAATTCATAAGCGCCAGTTCCTCCGTCATTCGCTGCTCCTGTCCGTCCGTCACCTTCGCCATCCTGTTGGTTTCTAACCTGCTCCTCAGTGTGCTGTTTGCGTCAAGGGAGTTAGTGAGCAGTAGGGTAGTGGTGCAGGATTTTCTGGACAAGGTAGTTGTGGAGGAGCTGCACGAAGGTCATGACGACCCGCGAGGAGGAAGCGACGGAGATGGTACTGACCACGGGTCTTACTCGTTTTACGAAGGAATTCTTGCTCAACATCCTCTCGACGAAGCCGAAGATCCTGAGGCACATCAGCAGCTATCCCCAGAAGTGCCACTGTCGCAATCATCTCATTTGAATAAAATCACGCACCAGCTCGGCGAGGCTCTGTCTCGTGCGAGCAACCTTTTTTTTGCTGGCTACACCTTCGAACCGCACAACTCGGCCACAGGACCGACGACAACTGCGTTCGTTGATCGCTCCGACGCTTCTGTCGGCGTCTTTCAAGCGGACGCTACATCTTCTTCTTCATCTTCATCACCCGAGGAGGAAATAAAAGCGAGAATCATCGACTACGTGGACCGAGCTAGTCAACGCCCGTCCTTGCCAATGGGGATTGTTTTCCCGGGAATGGCTTTTCTTTCCGCTGTTGGGAAAGTGTTTTTGCGGAAAATTGTGTTCGAAGACTTCGTCTGGACGGGGCACAAGCACAACGATAACGGAGATGGAAATAAACGGAAGACACGGGGGAATAAGAATGAAGCGCTCTCTAGTACCACGCAAGAACAGCTCTCGCGCAATCTATTGCCGGAGCACGTCGATCCAAGTGTAGTCCCAGGTTCGCACTTTCTACCAAGTTTGGTGTTTACGAATCGCTTTTCCCGTTGCGAATTGACCGCAAGCGAGGAAAGTAGACCCAGTAACGAAATTCAAAATGACGATCACGGTCAGGAGACTACCTCCAGCGGCCCGCCCGGCGCAGCAGCTACAACCCGACCTTGGCCGTTATTCTCCTACTTTTGGTATGGCGCAGACTCTACAGAACTTTCTCCAACCCCCAGGCACGTGATTCAATACAGGGTTCCCTGCGCTTTCCGGGATCCAGCGGAGCTCTTCGCCAGTATTTACCTTAAGACTGGTATGGCTGCCGTGAAGATGTTGAAGAAAGGAGCAGCAAAACTTGCCGACGACCTCACAGGCAGGGTGGTACAAGGAGCGAAAGCCGCCACGGAGATGAGCAAAGTCGTTCGGTCAGGAGGTGCTAGTGGTCCTTCCCCGTCTACTTCATCTGTGGCCAACATGGACGCCAGCAAGAGCTTTCTCGAAAAGCGGGCACAAATTGGCGCGCGGCTTTTCGGTGATGACACTGTGGGAGCAGATGAAGAAGATCATGCGACTATTAAAAGTGATTCGGGTAATATTATCCCGGCCCTTGACGACCGTGATGAACAAGCTGCAACACCCTCTTCTTTTTTGGCAGAGAGCGAGTCAAGAACATCTACTCCTTTAAAGAGCGGCGTTGACCAGCCAGAACAAGTCCAACAGCAACTACTGCAGAATGGTCGTATTGGGGGACAGGTTGGAGGGAACTTCCTGGCGAAAGTACTAGCTGCGGGTCAGGACAAGAACTCCTCCGTGTTGATGCAAGAGGGAGCCAGCCGCGGTCTGACCCGAGGACGAGGCAGCTCAAGAATCGACGCTGCCGAACTAGAAGCAGCCAGAAACCTGCACGCAGCGGTCGTCGGCGATTACTTCTTTCGATCCTTGACTATTGGAACTGAACTCATCCAGTTGCTACTGTCCTTCGTTTTGTACACCTCGCTTTTGATTGTAACTACGCTGTTCACCAGCGTGGTCGTACGGGACCGGCAGAAGTCATCGAGTGGCACAGCCGCGATTGCAGGAACTACAGCTACTGCGTTGATGATTACAGCGGATGACGAAAATCAATCCGGTACAAAATATGGGATGAAGAATCAACAACTGCAAGGAACTACGTATGGTCAACAGAACTACGCGATGAATACGACAACCGTCTTTCAAGGCATCAAAGCGCGCATCTCGCAGGCGCTGAGCGGGAGGACTTTTACTTGTCGGAACACGTCCTCTTCGTCTTCGGGTGGAGGGGTGGACCGTCGGCGGAAGATGATGAAGAAACGAGGAATGCTTGCTGGCCCCGGAATAAGTACAAGAACCAATGATCGCTCCAGTCTGGCGTCAAGTCATCATGCGTGTAAGGCTAGAACCATGGACAACAAAGACAAAACGACCTTGTTTCCGCCCGCGATAACAACCTCGGTTGCCGGTGTCGTAAGTAAACGCAGCAAGCAGAGCAACAGTACGCCACGGAATGAGGAGGATCACGACGATGACGACTTTCCCGAAGCCGCGGACCTGAGCGAAAGCGACCACGGGGAGTACAACGCTCAACTTCTGGACGACGAGGAGGAAGAAGATGACTTCAGAATGATGAAAATGAATACTGCACTGGATCATGACATCAACAAGGCGTCTCTCCAGCACAAGTCTCTCCTCCTCGCGGACACCCTGAGACACGACCAGATTGACAGTGAGTTTGGCCTCCGGAAGATGGGCCTGCTCCCCGCGGGACAAGGCGACATGATGAACAAGACAGCTGCACATAACTATCCAGCCCGACCACCGGCCACCGCCGGAGGCTCCGTTCGTCGGCCTTCTAGCTACTATGCATTGCAAAATTTATTGTCATTAATGGGTAGCACTAGTAGTAATTGCAAGATTTTTGCATGTTGACAGATCTGCCTTCTTTACCTTAGAGAACAAAGTAGTTTGTAGCTATGCAATTTGCGCGTGCGCTAAAAATGCTACATACATTTGCACAAATGCATAGCTACCATGGGTCCACGGTTTCCTCTTTCCGCATTCTGGATTCGGAGTTGCAGGCGGACGCCGGGGTGCTGCGCGAGGTGGCTCGCGTCAGAAAGATGAACGACTTGGTTTTGAAGGAATCCCAGGTCTTGTTCCTGAAAAACGTGACGAAACAGTATCCGACCATGGAAAAGCCCGCCGTTTCGAATCTGCACTTTGCGGTCTGCGGCACGACCGGCGATCATCTACTCTCAGGACGAGCTCCTGCAGGACCAGGGAACAAGACTAGTACACAGCAGAACTTATTTAACACCAACATCAATGCCAAGCACCTTCCGTTCCATCTCCGCCGGTCCCCGACGCTCGCCGATGGTGCGGGGGTGTTTGGCTTGCTGGGCCGCAACGGCGCGGGGAAAACCACCCTGTTTAAATTGATCTTGCAACTGGAGAACGCGGACTACGGAGAAATTTTCGTGCTCGGCCATAACAACAGCATTGCGGCGAGCAGGAATAAAAGCAAAAACTGCTGCTCGCCGCCACCGTACGAAAAGATCGGCTACTGCCCGCAGTTTGACGAGTCTTTTCTACCGCAGCTTACCGTGTTTGAAAACCTCCGCTTTTACGGTCAACTGAAACTCAAAGAGAATATGGAAGCGTCAGGTTTGAAATCGTCAACGTTGAATATAATTTGTAATGCATAAAATGCGACACAAAAAGTGCCTCCATTGCAGAGGACCCAAGGGAGGCAGATCATAGTCCTGGTAAGGGTCAATGTCAAAAGTTGGACTGCTAACTAGCATGACAGAAGGCAGCTCCTTTGCCCTAAACCGCGTGACAGACTCGCTTCCACGACCGGGAAAATTTGCCATGCACCGACTACAAACTGTGGGTCTAACTGGTATCCGTTTTATGCATGACAAACTATTTCAACTTTGACGATTTCAAACCTGACACATCCAGAGAGAACTTCTCGAACCTGAAAGTGAACAACCTGATCGCCAAACTTCATCTGCAGCAGTACGCGAACAAGAAAGCCGGGCACTTGTCCGCGGGCGTGCAGCGGAAGGTGTGCTTCGCGATTTCGCTCATCGCATATGACAGTGCAGCACAACTGCCCCTCCCCCTGATTTGTCATGCAAAATACTCAATCCACCCTTTGTCTCTTGGCACTGTTTGCGTGACAAGTTCTGGTAGCCCAAATAGCACTACACGCCAGTGCAAATTTGTCGTGTATTAAAACCGGCACTCTTGCTGATGCTTGTATTGCCGTTCATGCTATACAAATTAGGGGGAGGGGGAGTACGTAGTTGTGCACTGTCATATCGCAAACCCCCAGATTCTTCTGCTCGACGAGCCCGGCGTGGGATACCCCGAGCAAAAATATCCCCACGCCAGAGTTGATTGTCATGCAGATTTGCTATTCCAGGGAGAGGGACACTAGTTGTAATATATGCGCAAGAAGCGCATCACCATATAAAAGCAGCGTCTCCAGGTCCAGTCGTCTTCTGCAATTTGTGATGCTGTAAACAGGATAAGGAGCAGACGGCTTTATTGTGATCGACGGCTGTCCTTGCTAATTAGAAACTGCCCTACAATACGTACAGAGAGGAACTGCTTGGCATGCGTGACTCCCAAAAGAAACTTCTGCATTTGTGTTGCTAAGTTCCCAACTTGACTCTGGGGTGGGGACCACGTTTTCGCTCCGGATATGGAAATCGATTTGTTTTCCAAGCAGAAGATGTGGGACGCGGTCAAAGACTGGGCCACTAGTCCCCTGGCCGTCGAAAACAAGAACGTCGAAAACATCAATAAGATCGGGGACAAGCTGTGTTTGGTTTCGACCAACAACATGGAGGAGACCAACAACCTCTGTTCCCAAGTGGCCATCCAAGTGCAGGGGCAATGGAAGTGTCTGGGCGGACTGAAGGAGTTCGAATCCAAGTATGGAGGAGGGTATCAGGTCATCTGCGACTTTCGCACGCCGGTCGTTTTGCCGAGTGACGCTACTTGTAATGATGGCGCAGTTGCTGCTCCTTCGAGCACAAAAAATACCACACCAGCAGCTTTGAAAAACAAAACTGAAGGACCTGCACCAGGATTATTGTGCGAGGTGGAACGAGAGCAGTCTACTTCCGCGGCTGTTGCGATCAATATTCCTGGCGACCGTGGTGGTGTGGAAGCTGATCTTCAAGGTGGCGAAGGCAATACTTCCGAAACCGAAGACGTTTTTCCCACGACAAATTATGCCGGCATGATGGGCGTGGTGAACAAGACAAACACGATATCCACAGTAAATGTCGCTCCGCACACGTACTTACGATAAAATGCATCACAAATTTCCCCTTTTTAGAGCATGCCACTTGATGTCGTGCTGACTAGGACGGAATGCAAGCTTTGTCATGCAGAAACCGCACATAAGCTACACCGTGCGCAGGCAATTTACTGTGGATACACGACAACTTTCGAGTTCAAGCGTGGTCAGACAACGAACCTTGATGAAGAGTTGCTCCCGTACGACGTCGCAACTAGCAGCAACGCTGGAAGGACTACAAGTGCAAATATGTCTCTCCTGGGGGACAACCAACACAAGTCCGATGAGATGATGTCGAACAAAGGCGATAGTAACGTTTTGAAGAAAAACAAAAACTTGTTCCAAAATAAAAGCAACAACGCCGCAGTATTAACAACTGCAAAAGAGTCGACGAGTAAACGTAAGATTCGCAAGCTCCGCGCGCTGCAGCAGCAGTTGTTGCTGGACATCGAAGAGGAGCTCGGTTGCGAGTATGAGGTGATGGAAACGAAAGGAACCCAAGTGGTACTCCGATTCCCGACGATCACAGAAGAGTCACCGCTCCAGCTGGTCCGCGCGCTTCTGGAATTTTTCGAGAAGCAAGAAAGGGAAAACGTGCTGGAGCAGTTTTCCTTCTCGAAAATGCAACTGAAGCACGTTTTCAACAAGTTTGCGGGGGAGGTGGAGATTTAGGGGTGGGAGCAGGAGGGGTAGTTTATTTTGCGATTTTAATATGATGAAGATGCAACTATCTCAGTATGCGACGTTGATGAGATAGTAAGTACTACATCACCAAAATACTTATGGCCAATGGAGGCCCACCTTGATTCCGCGTCTTTCGCCGGATCATAATGCGCAGTGGTCGTGTTTCACAAATAGCCCGTCACTGCAGCAGCATGCGCGCTGGCTATGAGTTACTTAGGGCTTTTGGAGGTTTCTCTGCATGTTGAAGGAATGCGTTGGTTCGTAGAGAGTGCCATGGCTGGTGCTACGTCGCGATGAGAGTGACGCACCCGCAGCTGGGTGCTTTATACAGAGTACCAGTGTTAAGTGTAGTCATCCCTCTCGAACAATTTTCTACGTTTTTCTCTTTTTTGTTTTGTCTTTCGACTGATGCGCCCTGTATCGTGATTTTTCTGAACTGATCATTTTGTAAAGTAAGTACTTATTTTTGGTTCTGTCCTTCTCCTTTCTCATCTTGCTATGTATCCAATTTTGAAAATACAGTCGGTCGTCTGCAAAATGAAGTACAGTGCGTACGATGGATTACAGCATCACAATAACGAACAGCCTGCTTTATTTCTTCTAGAAAAAAAAAACTCGCGGACTCCTTCAAATGCACTGAAAAAATTTTTTTCGTAGTGTGTTTATGATATGTCTGCAAAACTTCCTGTTTCCTGCTTGTGAAAATGAAAGGATCATGGCCCCGGAAAGAGGACCCCAGTTTGGTTGAAGTCTGTCAGACAACCAAGGGAGTTGCCGACGTGCTTCGTGTTTTTTGAAAGGCACGGTTTAGGTACCTATGTCAGGCGTCGAAAATGTCTACCACAAAAGTCAGTATGCAGTACTTCGTGCAGTAACTTGGTTTTCCGTATCGTCATTTTGTCGCTCGTTATACTTTGTCCGGGGTCTGTACGTAGTGGATTTGTGTTTGCCCGCTGTCGGTGTCAACAGATGCTCGGTTTTCAGCACTTTCTGTCGTTTATTTCAGCATGAAGGGTCGCTCCGGAGTTCATCTTGCTGGACTAACAAATAGCGAACCAGTCGGTGGGTGATTCTTTGTCAATGCCAAAGTAGAACACCGCGCAAAAATGGCATTCCCCTTTTCTATGGATTTCGGGATCGGAAAAGTAAAGAAAAAATGAAAAATTCTATGTTTACTTTTATTCTGCGATGTAAACGACCACTATTAACGAGTACGGTGCTCGTGCCTCTTGATCCGATAGAGGTCGCTCTTTTCGATGTTGATGGGTCGTCCTTCGATATGACCCTGTGTATCCCGAGCAGGGCATTTTTCGTTCCTGTAGACTGCGGCAAAAACTTCCAATAGGTAGACCAGAAGGGCAACCAAAAGTGGTCCGCTTGCTCGCCACAATCGCAGATCGCGTTGCAGTGTTTTAGTTTTTTGAAAGAAATAAACAACTAACACCTTGTCAGAAGCGACGAACCGCACCTTTCAGTTTTTATTTGAAATTACTCTGGAACAAAGAAAAGGTAAAGGGCGGAACCAAGGGAAAACATAAAACAAGTCTGAGTAAACCAATCGATCCCATGTCGCGGTCTGAGTCCGCGCAAGCGCAGCTGCTGATTCAGAAATGCGCAGGCGGCAACTTTTTTCCAAGTAGGGTATGGTGGAAGGGGCCCGGGGATCTTCAAAGACCAACAGCCGAGCCGGACGAGTAAGTGCATTTGCTTTTTGCAAAATATTAAAGAGTTGCAAGCCCAACAAGCGCAAGCCAGTGTCGGCGTGTCTGTACAACGAGTACATCAAGAACGCCAGCGCGCATTAGTTGCATGTCCTCCTCGGGGAAAAAAAGCAAACACAAGCAGGCACAAAGTAAATGAATGTAGTGAAAATCAAAATAAATTATCAGGTACGACATCAATAGAAGAGTGGACGCAGCAGCATGGAGAGACAAAGGCAGAGGCTTGCTCTTTGGGCCGGATCAGAAAACAAGGACAAATCCGTATTGCTAAGTGCTTTTTGTAACTTTCAAAAAATGCAAAAGTGATGCATGATAATTTTATTGTGCGAGAGCAAGTAGACAGCATTATTTAAGTATACTGTCGCTTGAAAGTTGACCAAACTTCATCGAGGTACCCCATTTGGAGTCACACAATCGTAAAAAAGCAGCCAAGACTAAACGCAGGAAAGGCACCACCACATGAGAAGGTATGTGGGATTAATTGCGTGCGTTGCCTTTTCTTTCATGGTCTTTCTTGATGAATGTCCTCTTGTGGACGAAAAATTTATTCAGACTTTGTCCCCGATTCGACATACACGAAAAAATCAAAACCGAATTATCCCAGACCCAACCGGACCACTATGACGTGCGACACAAAGACACCATGCTGAACAAGGCAAAGTCGGCCCGGGCCTTTCCAAGGCAAAATCACGTCCAGGATCTGAAGCGGTACGTGAAGTCACAGACGGTAAACCGTGCATTTAACCGAGACTTTACCCGGTCCGGGAGCTGCCTCGCGTTCTAGGGAGCAGCTGTCCGGGGTTACTAACTTGCAGCTCCTTATTGAAGCGCTATATTTCCTATACATTTACCCCTACTTCTAACTTCAGAACAAACGTTACACCTTGTTATGCTTAAGAAAAAGAATACTGTCATCATGATCTTGACCATCACCACGAATATATCAAAGTGACTGCGACGGGCAGCGTGAGTGTCGTGATGAAAGAATGTCATGTACCTCTATTAACTCCATCGCGCAAGGCATATTTATGCTGACATTGAGCTACAAGGCCGCAACTTATGTCGCGCAGTGGGGGGGTGAACGAGTGGACGGGGGGGAAAGAAAAACGCCAGAGGGGCAAGGGAAAAAATTTTTGATGCAGGGCGGGGCCAGGCATCTGCGCCGCGTCTTGCTGAAAGAACGAAGGCGGAGCGCCATGGCGCTCGTGGTTCCCGTCGTCGTGCGAGCGCGAGGGCCCCGCCCGCACTGGGCGCGCGTTTGCGTGGCGGCAAGCCTTAGGCCCAAGCAACAACGCAAAGCGCGGCAGCGGGCGGCCGCCAGTGGACGGGGGAACAGGCCGCGCCATGCGAGGCGCTGGCGGCAGCGTGACGCCCCGCCCGCGCGTTTGCGGTGTGGCCCGTTCGCGCCGCCTGCCTGTGTGCCCCGCCCCTGTGCGCCTTGGTGCCCCCCCCGCCCTTCTTCCGCGCGCAGCCTTGCAGAACGAGGGCGCGTTGGGGCCCCTGCCGCGCGCGTGGATGGAGGACGGGCGCCGGGGCGGGGCGCTCATTGCCCTCCAGGCGCAGGGGCCCACCACCCTCCCCCAGCACCCCCGGACAACAACGGCGCCCCCCGTGTTAGCCCGCAGGCAATCTGTTGCGCCCCCGCCTGCTTCCCTCGCGCGCACCCTCCAAGACAGAGACGGCGGATGGTGGCGCCCTCTGCCGGCCTCTTCGTGAACAGAGGGAGGGCGCCGGGGAAGGGTGGTGGGCAGCTGCTCGCCTGCAAGCCTGGCGCTGGGGCGCGACTCCCCCCTCGCGAACAGAGGGAGGGCGCCGGGGGAGGGTGGTGGGCAGCTGCTCGCCTGGTGCTTGGCCGCCGGTGGCGTTCCCCACACGGCGGCAGACGCCTTTTCAGTTCAATCATTTCCAGCTGGAAATCCAGCTGGAAACATTTGGAAAAGGCACCTGCAACGCATTTCCACCTGGAAACGCAGCTGCAGACGCCTTTTCAATGCATTTCCCACCTGGCCTGTTCAAAGTGTTTCCAGCTGGATTTCCAGCTGAAGAGGCCTGCTCCATTTCTATCTGGGAATCCAGCTGGAAACACTTTGAGAAGGCATCTGCAGCGCGACTGTTGCTGCAATTTCGGGTGGAGATGCCCAAGGGCATTTCCAGGGGGGATTTCGGGGCTTTTCGCTTTTTTGCCCGAATTGCTGTGTTTGGCACAGCAATTCTGGCTACCCAGGGAAAAGATTTCCCAGTAGGGTACTGGGAGGGTATCAGGATAATGGGGGGGTATTGGCGCAGTGGGAAGGTATGGGCAAGGGAAGGGTGAATTTTGTTTGTTTTCCCCGAATTGTTGTGTTTAGCACAGCAATCCTGGCTACCCAGGGGAAAGATTTCCCAGTAGGGTACTGGGACGGTATCAGGATGGTGAGGGGATATTGGCACAGTGGGAAGGTACGGGTAAGGGTAGAGAGAATTTTGTTTGTTTTCCCCGAATTGCTGTGTTTAGCACAGCAATTCTGGCTACCCAGAGGAAAGATTTCCCAGTAGGGTACTGGGAGGGTATCAGGATAGTGAGGTGATATTGGCACAGTGGGAATGTACGGGCAAGGGGAGGGAGAATTTTGTTTGTGTTCCCCGAGTTGCTGTGTTTAGCACAGCAATTCTGGCTACCCAGGGGAGAGATTTCTCAGTAGGACAGGTGGCAATCCGTGTGCAGCTTGTAGGGATGCGATCGCCGCCTTCGGTCTTCGGCTGCCTGATCGCGCTGCTCTCCTCGGGCGCGCGATCAGCTGATGTTTTTTTTTCCTTAGGGATTTCAGTAAGGAAGTGCCACGCGATCGCGCAGATCCGAGCGGCCCTGCAAAATATTTTGCGTTGCAAAATATTTTGGAGCTGCAAAATATTTCGAGCTGCAAAACATTTCGAGCCGCAAAATATTTCGAGCTGCAAAATATTCCGAGCTGC